CACAAAGAATGCGGCTAGGTAGTCATGTCGTAATTTAGTGAGGAATAAATAGATGCGCTCATACTTGAACAATGGAGGCGCACTCTACAATAATAGGGAAAGATTCAAGAGGAAAAATCGGAACAGCCTCAAAAGAAATAAAAGTAACCGAGGCCTTTCCACAAATGATCTTATAAATAAATAAATTATTGTATTATCAAAGATTATAGTCTAAGTTATTTATATGAATAGACATTCAAATCAAAAAATCATGATAAAATTATTTTTCTACTACCTAGATATTAATGAATTTAAGAAAATGAAAATAAAAACAATGCATAAATTCATAAATAATCAATTTTATTGATTCTAAAAATGCTCAATAAAATCTACTCAACCAGAAAAAAGATTGTAAAAGCCTTTTCACAAAAATTTATTATTTGAACTATTTTATATAAATGCATATTTATATTATTTATAACTCTAATTATTATTCATCGATAAAATTTGTATTCGTTTAATTTCTAGTTCCTAGTTAAATCCATTTCCACCCAAGTACCAAATTTTTTGCCAGATTCATATTCACCTATATAAGCGATTTAACTCATGTAATAAAACCCATCCTTCAACTCAGTCCATTTACCTAACTTAAGGCCATTATCCCCATCGTAATATCCTCCACCACTAATATTTTTTTAAATCATATTTACATTTTAGTGCCCTTATGTAAAATTTCCCATTTGCTAATTTTTCTACCGTTTTTATACATTCCAACATAGGTTATTTATGATTTCTCCCAGAATCCATCGTCTAGCTCAATCCACTACCCTACTTATGTTCCATCCCCTTTTTCATCATAAGATCCTCCACCTCTACAATATTATTTCTCGAATATAATACTTACATCTTTGTTCCTTAATAATTAATATCCCATCTACCAGTTTTTTTTCCATTTTAATATTCCCCGTTATAGGATACTTATGAGTAATACTAAAATGCGTCATTCAAATCAATCCATTATCCAATCTTAAATCCTTCTCCTTCTAAATCATATTATCCCCCGCCGCTAAAATCTTTTATGTTTGCTTACATTTTTTTATTTTGATATGAAGTCTCCCATTTACCAACCTTTTTATTGTTTTTATATTCTCCACAATAGGTTACCTATTAATCTTCATAAAATCCATCACTCAAATCAACCCATTATCCAACCTTATGTTGATTCCCTTATTCATCATATTTTCCACCAGCACTATAAATTGTAAATATAAATTAATGCAATACATTTATTTATTTTCATAGTAAGTATCCCATTAACCAATTTTTTTGCCTTCTTTATATTCACCTTTATCAGTTACTTATGATCTATCCCAAAATCCCTCTCTTATTTCAGTCCACTATCCAACCTTAATCCCAGATCCTGCTTCATGATATGATCCACCACCACTAAATAATAATCAAATTGGTACATCTATTTAGTTTAATTCTAAATATTCCATCTACCAGCCTTTTTGCCATTTTAATAATTCCCAGAATAAGTGACTTAAGATCTATCCCAAAATCCTTCGCTTAATTCTATCCACTCCCCAATCTAAATTCCATTTCCTTTATCATATTCACCACCACCTCTAAATTATGATATTATTATTATATTTACATCTTTTACTATTTATAAAAAATTTCCCATTTGCCAACTTTTTTACCATTATCGTATACCCCACTATAGATTACTTAGGATTTATCCCAAAATCCCTCTCTTAGTTCATTCCACTCTCCAGTCTTAATCTCAGAACCTTCTAAATCATATTAGCCGCCTCCGCTAATTAATTTCAATATATTTTTCCTTACATTTTTTTATATTAATTATCATCCTCCGGCTTATACAACATTTCCCATTTACCAATTTTTTTGCCATTTCTATATTCTCCCTTATTGATCACAAATGATTTCTCCCAAAATCCTTACCAAAACTCTTTCCAATTTCCATTTTTCTCTCCATTCTCATTGTATTCTCCCCCACAACTATCATAATTTTATCTCATTATACAGTTCTTAATCTTTGTAAATATATTTCCAGGTTTATCTTCTTTTGCCATCCATATATACTCCAGACCCCTATGAATAAGTTTTGCTATTAATTAATTATATCCTAATATACTTCCAATAATCTGGTATTAGTTCTTTCCATAAACCTTTTTTTTTCCCATCATCAGAGTACTATCCTCCAACATCCCTTAAACCTTCTCCTCTCCATGTAGCTATCCACTTACCAACATTTTAATTATTGTAGTTATATTTTCCAAACCACCTAAGGTATTGAATTTACTCTAAATTTGATAAAACTTCAGGTTTCACATAAATATTTTTGATGTTTTGGCTTTTAATATTAATTAATATTTAATTAATACCTTCTGAGGATAGAACCGTCTCTGATATATTAAATTTCTTTTTCTTTGGTAAATTTAATTAGAAATTTTGTGTTAATAAATTTCTGACCATAATAATCCCATTGCCGACATTTGTATTCTTAAATACCTTCTTACCATTTGAATTTTTCATCGTTATCCATCCTATAAGAAAATAATTAAATAATTACTAAATTATCTATTATATAATTTTCATTTCTTCTTTAAGTTTTTCAAAACAAATCTACACTTAAACATCAAACTAATCAAGTGCCAATTTCATTTTTGATACATAGCTTTTTTTTTTATCATTCCATTCATCCAAAATGCTACCATTTAATATTTACACTAGCTATTGTAAAACAGTTATAGATGATTCTACAAAGTTCTCATTTTAATATATGAGATCCAGGTATGATTCTTCTTATTTCTCTAACATCTCCTAAGTTTATTTTATTTATTCTGTTAAATGGCCCAATAATGATTTAAATTCATTTTCAGAATTGGACAGCCTTTATTTCGAGCTATTTTTCATATCTTAAAATTCAAGTGTCCCACCTATTTTACAGTCTTAGAATTTCTTAATCATTAATTGTCTAAATATATTGATGGGGATTATCTTTTTAAGATCCACATTATGATCATATTGGCATTCTGCGCAAAGCTTCCTTTAACAAATATGAGGTGCTATACAGATTACTGTTATTGAATTTTAAGGATGATAGGTGCATTACATACTATTTAAATACTTGATAGAAATTGCCTCTTTTAAAAAAATTAAATTCTTTTTAGTATATTCACAATTTAGATTAAAACAACTTTAGCTAAGCTATAATATTGTTCTTTAAGAAGTTTCTACCAAAAGATCAATATTATAACGATTTATAAAATAACATAGCAATTATCTTATATTTTTTTCAAAATTTATGAAAGAAATACTGCTTAAACTAAAGAGATAAATATAAACTTAATTCTATTTCAAATCTGAATCTTTTCTACTACTAGAAATTTATTATTTCTTACAAGTCAATACTTTGTATTTAATAGAACCTCTACACTAAAAAAAAAATCGATCAAATTAGTACTTTACAAGTTAAAAAATGTTTTGAAATTCAAATTCTTCTTGCAAATTGATTCTTATTCTATTTTCTTGTTTTTATTGTCTAAAAGATGGTGTTTGTTGATTCCTGATTAATTGTTTTTATTTCTTTGCTAAGCTCTTCCCAATAGCTTATCAAAATATTTGTTAATTTTATGTTACTTGTAGTAGTCATTAAGGGATTCTTCAAGGCATTATAAATGGTCGTAAATTTTAATTGCTTTAATGAATATTTAAAAATAATAATATTTTGTCTTCTTTTTAAAATTGTTATTTATTATATGAGTATATATATTCTCATACTGTCGAAAAAACGTTATAAAATATTTATTAGGTTCAAGAGTCAGACTTCAGTAAGCATTTAATGATATTTTTGTTCTATTATTTTGATCATTGCCACATAATTCTCCTGTAAAAGTGTTTTCTTTTTTGTACATTTCTCTTTTAAATGTTGTATATTTTAAAAATAGTCAGGAAATATCGTAATTTTTAGGCCTGCGACATTCTTCCCTATTTTATAGTCGGAGAAATTCTTTCCTCTAATTGGATATATTTATGCTTACATTTCACAAGCTTAATATGCTTTCTTAGTTTAAATGTAAAACTCTAATTTTGAAAATCATTATTTTTTTTGAATGAATTAAAGAAACTAAATTGCTAAGTACTTTAATATATATTTATTTTTTCACATTTTTTCAGACTTTATAAGTTTAATTAGAGTTGAGCTTTTGTATATAAAAAGATTAGCAATAAATGGAATTAGAAAAAAAATGTGGTGAATACATAATCCTAGGAACATTAGGAAAGGGAGGTTTTTCCAAGTAATTTATAAGTGCAAGATTAGAGTCAAATTAGCTGAGAAGGACGGATAATACGTGGCAATCAAAATTTTCAAGAAGGACAAAGATACGGCTTAAAACATAATGACCCTTGCAAATGAAGTGAATATTCTTAAATTAATACTTCACCCTAACATTATCAAACTTATTGATTTCAGCGATGCACTTCCATACAGAGTAATAATTCATCAATATTTAAATAGAAAAGAAATGGATAAATTGTAAATCGCATTTGCATTATACTCGAATATGCTTAAGGTGGAGAATTTTTTGATTACATTAAAAATTTTGGATGTCTCTCTGAAGAAATTACTAGATTCTACTTTAAGTAGTTATTGGTGAGCATGATTTTTATGGCAAACAAAGGAATTTGCCATAGAGATCTGAAATTGGAAAATTTGTTGCTTGATCAAAATTTTAATCTAAAAGTTGCTGATTTTGGATTAGCCGCATTTTTACATCCTTAAAATAGTGTTATTGGAACAAAATGTATGTATTGTGAAAATTTAGAATATGCGGCACCTGAAAGTCTTCAAAACATTCCTTATGATGGAACAAAAGCGGATATTTATTCAGCTGGCATGATTTTACATATCCTAGTTACTGGTTCACCACCAAACAATGAAGCTGTATTCAAGCAAAAATTAAAACAATATTTACTAAAACGAAATGAAAATTTAAACAGAAATTAGATTTTATAGAGAGATTAGTAAATCCAAGAGGATTAGATTATCTTAGAAAATTAGACTATTTCAGAAGATTTGATGTACTTAAATTGACATTATTATCCTAATAGAAACCTTATTTGTGGAATGCTAGTTTTAAATCCTAATAACAGATTTAGTTTAGATTAATGTATGTAACAGCCATGGACTAATGGACCAATGGCTACAGAATAGCAAATTCAAAAAGAACTCCAAAGAAGATATCCAAAAACTTAAGGCGAAAAAACCGATTTTTTTATGAAAAGGCAAGCCTAAAGGATTAAAGATGAGTTCAGAAGCAGTGACGAAAGTAAGGTATAAGAATGTTACTCATAAATTATTGAACAATATTAGTTAAATTTCTAGGAGAGAGTCTTAACAAAAGGTAGGGAGTTAGGATTCCCAAATGAAATTCTCATTTATCATAATCCCAAGGTTGTTTTCTGTTTTCTTTTAAAAGAATGTTCAAGATTTTCCTCTAAAGTGAGCTCAGTCCATAACAAAAAATATTATGTTGTTTTGTTATATATTTTAGATTGATTTTCAAACTGAAGATGAAATAGATGAAACTATAAAGTTCTCCGTCTAGATTTTAGATTGCGATAATGAAATGATTAAGTTAAATATATACAAAATCTCCGGAGATTATCTTGGATTTAAAGAAATCGTGAATAGAATCGAACAGAGTATCAACAATATTGGCTAAGTTAATATATGAGAAAAAATTCTAAAGGAATGAAATCATATTAGTTTAAAATAATAATCATTCAAATTAAAAAACTTAATTGCTATGATATTTTTTTTTTTAAATTTATCAGCATTACTGCAAATCAGTATAATTTAATATTGATTTGATTCTTATAATATTCATCTTAAACCCATTTTTTATCTGAATTTTAATATTGCAGTAAATACCAACAAATACCGAAAAATAGATTACGCCCATTTTGGAGTTTAATATGAATCTAAGGAAATAAATGAATCATAAGAACAAGATTGATCTCCTCATTTGATTCAATACATTCCTTAATGTAATTTAGTAATTAACAAATGATAAATGAACTAAACCTTATGTATTTAAAAGTCTTTGCAAAGTCTGAATATATTGGAACATACTCTCAATTATAAAGCACTTTAATAAACGTCCCAGTATTTATTGCAGAATTCAAATATCAAATTTGCAACCAAATCTCTATACTATTGAAATGATATTAGACATACTTTAGTTATACAGTTATTGTACTTGATAGTATTATTTTAATAAATATCAGCCTAGCAATACACTCTTTAAATTTAAGGCCGATAATAGGCATCCAAGGAGACGAATCATGTGCAGATGATCCAAACTACTTTTACAATTTAACCCCCCAGCTAAAGCAGTGTCAAAATTTTCAATTAACCTTTAAAATAAGGAGTTGATTAGATTTTCACTTAACAAATTAAACATTAGTATTATACTTTGGGTTTAGAATTTTTCAAGAGATTATGCTAAGCTAGCAAGTTATTAGAGAGTCTATGCTTTTAGATTGGGAGGTAATGGATCTCCATTGTATCTATTACAAATAATAGTATCTCTCCTATGTGATAACTCTATGATATCATTAACTTTTTCATCTCCTTATAAATTTAAATTCTATATTAAAGTTATCATATAGTTGTGCAGTTTCAGCATTAACTTCCTTGTAAAGCTGAGTATTTTAATTATCTGCATTCATTTTTGGGCATTATGTATCAATTTGGATTAAGATTGCTTCATCTCCTCTAATCTAATCTTTAATGAAATTCCAATTACAATGATAATAATTTCTAGCTCCATGCCTCCAAACTGCATGCACTTATCTCAAATCCTCTTAAGCAAAAAGAAACTTGTTAAAAAAAGACAAATAATTATATATTTATTATTTTGATTAGAATTTTGGTTTAACAAGATTAATTAATAATTTTGTGAGATTATATCATTGATATATTAAGAATAGTTTGTCTATAGAAATCATTTGTTTTCAAAGGAGTTTATATTATTACTTTCTTGGATATTAAATTTTGAATAGTTTGTACATTTTTATTCTATAAATCTTAACTCCATTTTTTTAAATAAATCAAAGGCCCATTATATTCAAGGTTGGGAAAATCTAATTGTATTGAGAAATTTTAATATGAAGATTGATCAAAAATTTGTATTTAAAATTAACTTTAAAATATCAAATATGATTCAACTTAGATCAGATAGTTGAAGTTAAATCTTAGTTATTTTACTTTAATAAATCTCATTGATTTTTCAATACATGAATATATACTATATATATTAGTCATTTTTGATATTAACTCTTAATATTTAAATGTAATTTTATAGATATTTTAGAAAAAATAATAAAATTACAAATTTATTTCAAGTAATCATCATCAAAATTTGAAACCCTTATATACAATTTTATGGTAAGATTTCCTATGGCAAAAATAATACAATTTAAGTTAATCAAATCTGAACCTTTTATTCTACTATAAGAATTTTAATGAATAGAGAAATTAGTAATATTTATATTTAATTAATAAAATTATTTGAATTAAAAATGATGAAAAATGCATAGAAAAACAAGCATTTTATCAATTTATTATTGATTGGAATGGTTATAATAGGTACACTTAACACTTTAGTCTATAAGTATTAAAACACTACTATAATTGATGGAGTATCATTTATACACCCTTATATGCAAGTAATTTACAAATCTAATTTTAGGGGTTATGCATGTTTATAGGGGAAGCAATTTGTTTAGTGTTTTATTTCTTATTTAATATGAAAGTTGAAGAGGATCCTAATAAATAGAATGGAGGGTTTAGAAGATTGGCAATACCAGCTTTGTTTGATGTTATTACATCTTCTTTGTAGAATGTCGCTTTGAATTTTATTCCATCATCTATTTTCCAAATGATGAGAGGAGGAGTATTAATATTACCAACAATAGCTTATGATTGTAACAGCAGCATTTTCTAAATTTGTGCTTAAGAAAAAATTATCATTACAGCAATCACTTGGAATTCTGTTGGCTATTTTAGGTATTTTCATTGTTGGATTATCCAATTTTATATATAGAGAATAATCAAAAAGTGATTTCAGCTGGGAAATCAAATTGATTTCTATCTTGTTAATTATTCTATCTTTATTTACTTAAGCCACCTCGTATATTTATGAAGAAAAGCTATTTTTATAATACAACTATCATGTATTCTATGTTGTTGGTATGGAAGGAATGTGGGGTATTTTAACTTTGGGTATTTTGATACCAATTTTAAATTTTATTCCATGTAATTTTAGAGATGGATGTGTGTATAGAAACGATAAAGGTTATTTTGAAAGCACAGATCTATTTTTCTAATAATTAGGAAGCGATCTTTGGTTAACATTATCTGTAATCTTGGGTATATTTAGCATTACATTGTATAATATTTTTGGTGTTAATGTCACAAAGCATGCTTCATCCTTGACTAGGAGTGTTGTAGACACACTGAGGACAATTTTTATTTGGGCTATTGGGCTTGTAGTCACAGCTACTACATCTAGGGTATGGGAAAACACTTCTTATCTGGCTAATTTGATAGAATTAATTGGGTTTTCCATTTTAGTGCTTGGAAATCTAATTTATAAGGAGATTTTTATTATTAAATATCTTTAATCTAAGAATTAAGTTTTACTGGAAGAAGATTGAAACATTGCATTATTTCTAAATGAATTACATTTTATTTTTGAGAAAGATTTATATATATTATTATTTAATTTTATTAAGATTCTTAGGATAATTACTCAAAATTAAATGTGCTATCTAAATCAACATATTCAAAGAAATACCAAGATCAAAAATCTATATGATAGGCATTCTTTGAGAATTGGGTTGTTCGCACTATTGAATCATCAAGTAAACAGGGGACAGGTAATAATTTACAAAAAAATAAAAACTCAAATTAATAAAATTAATTACTTATATATTACTTGGTTTTAACTGTATTTAAAAGACTATTCATTATTAAACTATAAAATTTTCATCTTAATCAAAATAGAATAACCTGCACTTGCTTCCCTTCATAATTTTTATTTCGGAACAATTACTAATAATTATTGTATGAAATTGATATGAATTATATTAGATAAATAAAGTAATAAATTCAAATAAATACAACAGTTGGTATTTTAAAATGAAAATTTGAGAATATAAAAGGTAGATTTGATAAGTATATTGATGAGTATTGTTTATTTGTTAATTTGCTAAAAATATTTAAGATAAATATTCATTTTGAATGAATAAATCTAAATTTATCCTAATCAGACATGCAGAATCTGAATATAACCTTGCTGCTAGGTTGGCTGTAAATTCATCTAAGGAAGTCACAAATTTCAAAGAGGAATCACTTAAAATCAAACAAGATGAGAGTCTTATAGATTGTGGATTAACATAATATGGTATTCAATAATGTTTAGAATCGGCGACAAAAATGTCTTCATTTAAGGTAGATATCGTTCTTGTGTCTCCATTAAGAAGAGCGATATAGACAGCACACTACTTATTTAGAGATCATCCAAATAAACCTAAATTTATCGTTGTTCCATTTTTAAGAGAAATGCTATCATCTTCTTGTGATATAGGAGGTAATTTGACAACAACGATGAATGAATATTCTCAATTTGATTTCAGCAGAACTTTGAATACTGAATTTTTATAATAATATCCTAATATGTGGACTATGGAATATCTTTGGAATCAAGAATAAAAATAATAAATGAAGCAATATTTATTATAATAATAATGCGATGATTTAAGTACTTATCCTAATAACCTTTAGATTCAAGAGGACCTAAACATATTTTAGATTACTTATTTTAGTATCCACCTGATTCTGTTGTTGAGACCTTTATGGACACAATGAATAGGATTTAATAAGCAAAATTAGAATTGTCATTTTATAGAAACTAAAATGTGGTTTGTGTGACACATTCTAGATTTTTACAAACAATTTCTGCTTCTTAATTTGATGCTGAAGGTAAGCCAAAGGATGGAACCTGGATCAAAAATTGCGATTACATTGAAGTTGACATTTGACTTCATTTTAAAATTAATTTTATTATTCAATATTTTTCTAAAAGAATATGCAATAACACAATCCAATATAAATACACGTTGAAGACACCAATGCAGAAGCAACTATGGCAAAAATGTACCAAAACTCAATATCATAGTTCTGCAATTAAGCACAAATACTTCCAAGACGAATTTTCTGAGGAATTCGTAAAGGGCACATCTAAAAAAGATGTTCTAATACACAGAGGCTACTGGTGCAGATTTAATATTTTTCATAGAATAGTTTCTACTTATATAAGCAAATAATAAAAATGCAATGTAATATCACTTGGATCTGGTTATGATACTCTCCCCTACATTATGTGGCAAACATATCAGAATAAAGAATTTACATTTGTTGAAGTGGATTTACCAGTTGTAGTTGATAGAAAAATAAAAAAGCTTAAAGAATCTAATAAATTGAAAACATTATTGGGAGAATATATTATATCATAAAATAAATTATCAGCCAAATCAGAAAATAAGAATTATTTATTATTTGGAGAAGATTTATGTAACACAGAGCAATTACATTAATCATTATAATCTCTCGATTTTACCATTCCAACCTTGGTGTATGCAGAATGTGTATTAACATACATTAAAAGTGAAGCCACGACTAGATTATTGGATGGACTAACGAAATGGTTTCCACATCTGACATTTTTGAATTATGAAATGTTTAATCCAAGTGACCAATTTGGTAAAATGATGGTGCGAAATTTTGAAGTATAGATTTCTATTTAATTAAAAGTACAGAGGATGTCCATTGGTTGGGATTGATGCATTCCCCTCTTTACAAGCGCATAAGGACAGATTAAATTAATGGTTTAATTATGTTGAAATTTATGATATGAAAACATTGTATCAAATTGCCACTGATCCTGAAGAAAGAAAAAGAATTGAAAAATTAGAGTTAATGGATGAATGGGAAGAATGGAATATTATGTAAAGTCATTATTTAGTGTCCCTTGCAAATAAAGATCAAACTGAATTAATTGTAAACTTAAAAGTTTGATTCATAAATGATTTATATAAATAAATTAACGAGAATATGAGGACGTCTTGAACAGTTATTGAACCTCTTTTTTATAATTATTGGACTATCTATGTACAAAATATAAATGAATCTCTTCTAAAGTTACTATGATTATAAATTAATATATATATAATTTTAATATAAATTATTTTAATTCCTAATAGTTAACTATGTATATATAATTTAATATATAATATAATTAGTTGATATATGTCATATTAATTTAAGAATTCTTAATGGCAAGCTAGAAAAAAAGAGTTGAAATCAAGACGTTAATCATAATCAAGAAAATTTAATAATATCAAAGCTTAGGTCTAAATAAATAATTCTGCATTTAATTGTAATAATAATTATATATCAGATCTTTCAATTGAGGCACCTCCATCTCTGAAACCAGCAAAGAGATATTGCGATGTGACTGGATTTGAAGTAATGATAAATCTATGATTTAGGCAAAATATAAGGATCCTGTTACTTAATTATATTATTGTGATTCAATTGTTTTCAACTATATTAGAAATTGCCCAAAGGCAAGCGCGGAGACTTATTTAAATATCAGAGGGTGCACTTAAAAATTGATTTCTTGATAAAGTTTGAGATATTCATTTATTAGAAGAGTATAAATTAAATTTTTGGTTTGTAAATAAAGCTGATATAGTTCATCTTTTGCATTTTCCAAAAGAATATTATGGTGTTTGAGGTTTTTCTTCAATCTCATAAATTGGTCCAGGAATCCCTCGTTTTTGTTTTGTAAAATCATGCCTTTGACTTTTAGGGAATAGATATTGAGGTGATGAACTCTTTTTTTCTGGATTATATATTCCTGGGCCAGGCCTTGAATGAATTTCTTTTATAATTGGATCATAAGAACTTCCTTTGAAAACAATACCTTGAGATTCGATTATCTTTGATTAGTATTCATATTTTCCAGGTAAAGGAGCTGAAGTAGGAATTGCCAAGGGTGGTCTTATTGATGTTCCAATTTTAACAGAAGTTGCTGATATTTTTTTTGGTTCAAAACTGCCAGGGCCTAATTAAGAGTTTTGTTTGGAAATTAGAGGTTATCTTTGGGAGGCAGAAAAACTGAGGATAGTTTAATTGATACTTAATTTTGTTGTTTCGTTTAGGCTTGGATGGATTGTAAGTTCCTGGGCCTGGTACTGGATTAAATTAAATGGCAGTAGCGGCAGTAGGATAAGCTATGTTAAAAGATTAAACAGTTTTTGAGGGAATTGGTTTGGTAGGTGTTTTCATCATACTTTACATTAATCTATCAATAAAGGTCTTGTTTAAACTTTCGAAATGGAGTTTTGAATATGTCAATTTGAGAATTATTCATTTTAGTTATTAATATTATAAATCAGACATGAATATTATTGTGATTAATGTAATATCATTATGTTAATTCATGCTATTTTTTTAATATATCGACGATTATGTTTGTAACTTCATATCTGAATTATACAACACTGGTTTTATCATCTGGATAGACTCTATTGGTTAGGATAACAACGATGAGATCAGTATCTCTATCAGCCCAAACAGATGTTCCAGTGTATCCAGTGTGTCCAAATGAATTTTTTGAGAATTTACTACCACAAGGTGGGTAAGTCTAAATTGGAACAGTGTCCCAACCTAATGCTCTGCTATTTGCATAGGGTAATCCTTCTTCTACTTTGGTCCAATATAGTAATGTCTCATATTTAAACAATGAGTTCTTTCCTAACATCATCTACATAAATTTTAATAGATCATAAACAGTTGAAAATAACCCTGCATTACCAGACACTCCTTCTAAATAAAATGCTGTTGGATCATGTACTTCCCCCCATATCAATCTTTTTCTGACTACTTCATCTCTTTAAGTTGGAGGTATACGATATCTAATTTACTTATTTTCAATACTTTAAATCAGCAGAAGGATTGAACATAGTTGATTGCATACCAAGAGGTTTGAAAATATTCTCATCCAAATAAACATCTAAAGTTGTTTCTGTAATTCTTTCGATTACTTGTTGTAATGTCACCATACTCAAATCACTATAGAGATATTTTTGGCCAGGTGTTGACAACAAAGTACTTTTTGTGTATAACCAATCCAACACTTCTTCTTTAGTCCATATTCTATTTCCTAAGGGGGCATCAGCTGGCAAACCTGAATTATGTAGTAATAGATGTCTTATTCGAACTGTTGGATGAGGAAACTCTGGTACGTAATATTAAACTGACTCTTCGACATTTAATCTGCCTATTGATTAATTAATCAATAACCTTATTCCCAAAGCAACATTGCTGCTGTAGTGCATCCAACAACTTTACTTACACTTGCTAAATCAAAAATTGATGTTTTCAACAGAGCTTAGTCTTCTGGATCTCCTGGATATTCAGTTCTTCCATATTTAAAAGTATATTGATAATTTCCATCTTGTATTCCAATGACAGCTCCTGGAAATCTTTTCTACTCTATTTATAATTCCACATAATCATCAAGAGCAGTAAAATCTTACCCTAATGCTAAATTTACCATTAGCAACATCAATCCTAGCGAATACATTTATTTTTAATATGTCATAATATATATTGTAATTAAACTTAGAAAAGAATCTAATTAAAAATATTCATACTTTGCTTTGATTAATATATTTTATTATTAAGAAGAGAAATTTTCTTGAAAATACCATGATAACCAAAGTGTAGTTTAATTATTGCCATATTATTTATGCTACATCAATAGTGAATCTATTAATTATAGACAGAAATATTAAATAAAAGCAAATTGAAAACTAAATTTATGTTATCTTTCAGTTTACTTTTGGGATATTACTTTTTTTCTAATCATTTCTTTATTGGACATAGTATAGTTACCTGAATATTCTGACTTATTCATGTTGAATTTGAAAATAATAACCATCAAAATTATATGTTAATTTTAAGTATTTAGGATTTCAATCAAATTTGAAAATATACCAATTGTTTTAATTCAGTTCATAAAAAGCTTTTGAGTACAATTATCAAACCTTAATGTTTAAGTTGTATTACAAGAAAGCTGAAAGATATAATCGTTCTAGCTTATGAATAAAGCATTATAAATAACATAAGAAATGGTTTGAACAATAATTGAGATTATCAATTTTTTATTCAATAATGATTAATAAAATAAATGGAAAATTAAATATGAAAATATAGATCAATATATCTTTTTGGGTTTATTTCTTTCAATAAATATTAGTTCTTCTAATGTTTCTTTTCTCTGTTTTTCAACAAAAATATCTAAACGGCTTTTCTATGGCTGTTTCAACTTTCTATAAGACCTTATTAATCATATATACTTATCAACATCCTTATAATTTTGAATTAATGAATCACATTCATTTATGCATTTATTGACTTCTCTTTTAATTTCATTATTAATACTGTACTTTCTAAAGTTGCTATTGATTCTATTACTTATATTATTACGTTATACAAATTTTTTGTACTACTACTGGTACTTTGGCTGTTATGATGATACTGTTTAATAGGAGAATATTGGATTGGTTCAAAATTAAAATTAGAAGCAAATCTATTTCTGATAGGATCAGGTGATTGATTCACAATTTAGGATTAAGACAATTATTTTTGATGTGGCGACTAGGCAATTTGTTTATTTTTATTTTTATGTTTGGATTTACCCATTAAAGCTTTAAGTCCCAATTATTCAATTATCACACTTGCAATTTATGGAGCTAATATATTTAGAATAATTGATTACATTACATGGACTCCTCAATTTATCTATTATCTATCGATTATTATTTTGATAAATCCAGTCTATTTTATTGATTATATATACATTTATTTGTTTTACTTTTTTTTCATCTCTTCCAAAATTTTATCACATTGCTTTTTCATCTTCTTTGTCCAAATTTCAGCTATGGACATACTTCCTTATGGTCTGCGTTATTGAATGTTGTCCCTTTTTTTAATAGTTCTATCTTCAATTGAATAGTTTCTTTTGATTAAATATTTATAAGGATCATCTATGCTATTTTTATAATTAAAGTGGTTACTTCTATTAGATTTCTTATCCAATATTGGTTATTAGCTTATTCAACTAATCTTCCTTATTCTTTTCAATTTGCTTTACTCTCTTTATATCATTGCTCAATGATTAATATTTCATTATTAATAATTATATATTTTTTACTATTTAAGTTCATTGTCTAATAACTATATAATATTTAATTTAATAATCAATGTCTATAACACTTTATTTTAATCCATATTCCCATAGATGTTTATCTGTAAAGACAGTCTTATTGTTAACAAAATCAGACTTCAATGAAAAAATTATAGATGTTTTAAAGGGAGAAAATGTCAAACAGGCATTCACTAATATCAATCCTAATCAAACCGTTCCTGCAATTACTGAAGGGTTTTTCAGTTTATTTGAAAGTCATGCGATTATTAAATACATTTGTATTAACAAACCTGATTACAAATTATATCCTAATGTAAAAATATAATATTTATATAAGACATTATAACAAAAGGCTTTAGTAGATTCATATTTAGATTGGCATCAAAACGAATTTACTAAGCTTTTAGATTACTCTAAAGAATGTTATTTGTAACCGTTGTTGATAGGAAACAAAATTCCTGAAAACAGAGTTTCAAGATTAGTAGACGTAGAAGAAGTTTTGGTTTTTTTTACCAAGACTTTCTTAAACAACGGGCAATATAATTATATATATGATTAACCCAGTTTTACTCTCGCAGATATTAGGTAATCAATTTTATAATTTTGAAGAGCAGTCTGTGATTTGACTTCATTATTTATTTGTAATTTTGATTTTGAAAAGTTTCCAATATTAGAACAATACATTTGGAGAATGTTTAAAATTACAGATTTATACTAATCTCATAAGGAGTATTTTAATTTAATTTAGAAACAAAAATATAAAAATTAGTTCATTTAATCAATTTTGACTAAATAAATAAAATAAGAACAAATCACTTTATATTTTTATCCACTTTCATCGCCATCAAGGGCTGTAAGATCCTTATTTTTAATGGCTAAGATTGAATATAATGAAAAAGTCATAGACATCCTGAAATCTGAAAACAAATCTGATAATTACACTTAAATAAATCCGAATCAAACAGTTCCCTGTATTAAATAAGGCACCTTTACTCTTTTTGAGAGTCACGCAATTTTAAAATATATTTGCGAATAATATATGCTATTAGACTTTTACCCATAAGAAAATTTAAGACTTAAGGCCTAGATTGATAGTTATCTTGATTTTCATCTGAGTGAAATGAGATAAATCACAGAATTTGTTATGAGTTCATAAAAGAATCAGAATGAACAAGAGTTAAAAGATAAATAAAAAAATATAGATTAATTGTTATAATTTTTTGTTAAAATCTTTCTAAACGAAGGAAAATATAAATACATATATAACCACAAAACCATCTCAATAGCAGATTTGAGGTACACTTTATCTAATTATTTTAGTGCTGTCAATGAGATCTTATTTTTAGTTATGATCAATTATGAATTTAATAACGTACCTCAAATCTAAAAATATATAGCCAACATCATCGAGAATTCATAAGTGAAATAGTCTAACAAAGAGTATTTTTCAACAATAAGCAGTAATTAACATAATAATTTAAATTAATTTAATAAGTAAATTATAACAACTACAAAAAAAAGAGGCTGTTGTTGATTCTATCATAATAATTTTATTTTTTATTTCTTAAAATGGAATAATTTATCTTATTTTCATTATTTTCATGTCAGACATCAATCCATTACTGGCATATGTCTAATATTATTAATGCTCACTGCTATTCAGGTTATCTATTAAAAAAAAATTTGAGACGGTAGAATAATTTTTTGTATTTCTATACAATTTTTCATAAACTAATCAAATTTATTAACGAAGGTATCAAGTCAATTTGTCATTTACTATCATCTATTTCTATTAGGAGTTAAATGTAAAATTAAAAAGAAAACTAATTAAAGAATAAAATTTAGGATTTTCATATATATTTTATTTTTTATTGTATATTAAAAACGAAATCTCTAATTTCATTTATTATTTATTATATTTCTTCTAAAAGATGTAATATTGATGATAACAATTAGTAGAGTGTTCAAGTATTCTAAGATAGATAATAACATGAAGAATTTATGTAAACTAATTTGTTATTTTAACTGAAGAAAAAGGAAGAATAATAAAATTATAAGTTAGAATTTAAGCTGTCTTGGTGCAATTTAAGATGATGGGATGCATTTAAATATGTTGTAAGATAAAAAATCACAAGAAGTATCAAATGTCTATGAAAAGACAAAATAGAATGTTTTAAGATTGGTAAGAAAAAGAAACAAAAAATATTTTTAATTCAAATTTTTAATTACTAAAAGTGAAATTATCTTTGGAAATGGAATAGTTTTTAAAAAAATTGCCTTTAACTATCAACTACTAATTTTATAAGAAGAAAAAATGTTTTTGTAAGAAAATATTGTTAACATCATAAAAGAATGCTACAATTAAAGCTGAATTAAAAGATTAAGCTTAATCATATATTACAATGAAAGAATTTATCATTCAAGAAACATCAAATATTAATTTTTATTATAGTATGAGTATTTTAATAAATTGTTTGGATACTGAGGTTCAACTAAAATCCTAAAGTTTTAGCCTTTATTAGTAACAATTCCAAGGCTCGGATGAAGCAGGACCACTAAATTAATAATATAAATAATGATATTCATATTTATATTAATCCTCATAAGTATTAGTAGTATATATATATTTTTAAGATAAAGAATAATATTTGTTATGATTTATATATTAAATGTATTAAGATAATTAGGATGAAGATGATAAATTAAAAAATGATATTGAAAAATTTCGAAATCTCCTTGATGAAGAAGTAGAAGGAAATCATAAATCTGAATATTTGAGTAAATGCTAATAGATGTCTGAAAATATTAAAAAGGAAATATAAAAACGCATAAAAAAGGGTGATGAGAATTAGATAATGAAATTAATGAAATATTACTCGCAACAAAATAAGAGGTTACAGGAGATGGAATATAATAATGTAGATGAAGACACAAGTTTATTGCATGATGATCATTAAGTGGAAGTGTAATTGTTTTAAGATAATGTAACATAAAGAAAACAGAGATTATAAAATGTTCATAAGAGTATGGAAACAGTCAAAAATATCTATGAGAAAATCCATGAGGTTGCAACTTAATAAGTTGATTAAATGTTTACAATCGAAGAGAATTATACTTATGCAGAAAATAAAACTGAAAAGGCTTCTTAAGAATTAATTAAGGCATAATAGTCTTTAAAAACAAAAATAGGATATCGGATTGTAATAATATGCATTTTAATTGTAATTGTTGGATTAATGTTTATTAAATGAATTTGTTATTAGTGTTATATAATATTATTAAATAATATGATTAATAAATATTTTACCATATTTAAATGTTTAAACAAAATCCAATTCTTAATCTATTTTCTGATGATTTTGATATCAGTTCCTTTTTCTGCCAAAATAGGTAATTGAATAAATTGAAAAGGTAAGATATAGTAAAAAAAACAGACTAAAGCTATGATTATAGATTGAAAAGAATGATAATTGATTGTGGCAATAAATGTGGGATTAAGTATTTGAGACCGAATAAAAATCAGATAACATTTATGAAGATTAGAAATTGTTCTATAATGCTTAAATAAAGTGGGAACAGTGAATTGCCTAATATGAATTAAAGAACAAGAAATAAGAGTGTGTAACCTTCTCGAATTGAGTAGCAATTTGAGATTGGAGCTTGGACTAAGGAGAGTTGGTCGAGTGTCTGAATGGAGAATAAAAATGATAATTGTATATATTTAGTTGTTTTTATTAAAAAATCCGTTTTTGTTGTGCACGTTTTATGCTTTGGAGAAAAAAAAAAAAAATATTATTATTAAAATGAGACTTGCCTTGTGCTTATTGGTTATTTTAGCCGTTGCCAGTGCTACACCAAAATTCAACTTGGATTACTCCAAGAAGAGATCAATGACAGCAGTTATGGCTGAAGTTGAAGCCAAATTAAAGAACAAATCACCACTCGATGCTATTTTGAACGTATTGAGAGACTTCAGAGATGCTGTTAACACAGAATAAGTTAATCACGACGAAATTTACAATGTCTAAGTCACAGAATGTGATTCTGAAAATGCTTTCAGAAGAGCTGAAGTCACTGATGCCAGCAATGTCCTCAGAGATTCAACTGCTGCCTTGAATGTTGCTTAAACCTCAAAGATCAGAGCCACCAACTAATAAGAAGTCAATTAATAATAATACTTCTCAGCTTAAGAACACTTGAACAGTGTTTTGAGTGCTGCAGAAACAGAAGCCGGATACTTCAAGAGAAGAGGAAGAGATTATGAAGACGCTCTCCATGCTATTGATGAAGCCTCAGACATCTTAGCCGCCATCTACAGTGGATCAGGATCATTCGCTGAAATCAGCAGAGTTTCAAAGAGCATGCTCTAAACTGCCTTCAACATCAAGGAAACCGCCAAGTTTGCCCCAGTCTTCTATGCCTTTTCTTAATTGGCTGCCCAAGAAGGTTAACTCGATGAATCAGCTCTTGAAAGAGTTGCTTAACTTTTGGAAACCTTGAGAGGAAACATCCAAGAAGCTTACAACGACTTCACTGAATCAAACGCTGTTTCAGTTGCTGCCTTCAATGACTAAAAGGATAGAATTGGATAAACCATCGCTAGACTTGAAGCCTAAAACGAAAGACTCTAAAATAAACTTGATTCATTGAACCAATAAATCGGAACTCAATCAGCTATTGCATAAACCGCCTCAGGAAAACTCTAAAGAAACCAATAACTTTGGGATTAAGCCTAAGCTTTATGCTCAACCTTCGCCAACGAATACAACTATGCCACCTAAGCCAGAAGAAACGAACTCTAATTGGTTGCCGAATTAGAAGAGATGGTTGAAGCCAGATTCAACTAAGTTGAAGATGAAAACCACGAAAGAAACCAAAGACTTGCCAACCAAGCTTGATCTTGTTTTCATTTTCATAAAACAAATATAAATTTAATAATTCAAATTTTATAACAGCAAAATGAGTATGTAACTCACTTAAAAACCAGCCACATCATATCAAGTACGCCAATCAAGTGCTACACCACTTTAGAGACATCATAACAACCCCAATTACATGAGTTGCTAGAAAATGAGAATGTAATTTAACAATATCCATATCAAAGGAGCATTATTGATCAATTATCACCCATAAAAGATTTGCCAGTTAATTAAAGTTAGAGAAGTTCCTTCTATTAAGTTAGAGGTAAATCTGGGTCAACCACTACCTTAATGCCAAATAAAACACAACCTAATAGATTATTAGATTCTACTAGCTTTAATACAACTTTGAATTATACTTAAGAGAGTAATTTTGATAAAAAAGGTTCTACAATACCAAAAGGAATGAAAATCAATAATTATGAAATTTTAAAGGATCAACTAAGATTCGCAATTTGCTAGTTAGAAGATCTTAAGAAATCATTTGATAAAGCTGTTTAGAGTCAATTTGATCAAGTGATATAAGTTATTAAATCATCTGTCTAATTGTCTAATTCATTAGTTGATGATAACAATCAACTTAGACAACAATAACATTCATAACAAAGTAATTCAGAGTATGATAAGTTGAAATTAATAATGGAATAATTACAACAAAAGATTACTGTATTAGTTAACGATAATTCCAAATTAAATCATTAAATTAATATATAACAGGAAGAGAATAACAAATTAGTATAATAAATATCTGAATCAGATAGAAGATATTAAGATTTGTTATTGTCTTCTTAAAATAGGTTGAGTAAAGAGAACATGAATCCAAACATAAGCCAATATAAACACATTAATACTCATCCGAATTCATCAAATACAAAAAACAATTATACTTAAAGAGAACTTAGTTATAAATTAGAATAAGCAGAAATTAAATTATTGACACTATAAATAAGCAATGACAATCTAAGATAATAGTTACAGCATACTCAATTAGATCATTAAACATTTCAATAATTGAAGGAGACCATTTCCTCCTTAGAAATAAAATCAGAAAGCCTCTTGAATTAGAAGGATGCACTTTAATAAGAGAATGACCTTCTCAATCAAAAAATATAAAGTCTTGAGACATAATTAAAAGACTAATCTCAAAAGACCGAATATATCATCTATATTAACTAATTAGAAAATGATCTAAAATAAGCTAGATAGGATAAAAACAATAATCATTAAACCATTACTTCTCTCAGTAATACGGTATCTTAATTAAAGGAATAAATTAGTATATTATCAATACAAAAAGATTAATCAGAAGTATGAATCTATTTATTAATTAGAATTCTTATATTTAATAGGTTCAATTCTAATAAAATGAATTATAATAGGCGAATTCAAGGTATTAGTTATTAAGGTAGGAGATATTTGAAATGAGAGATCGTTTAGAATAAAGACAAATGTAAGAAGATAGTCACAATATGTTATCTAATGCAGAAAAGGCGTTGTTTGAAACTTAAATTTAGAATTTGAATGACAAAATTAAAGACTATGAATAAATGTTATTGCATTATGAATAAAAATCAAGGTAATCTATTCATTTATGTAGATAACTAGAGTCATAGGTGTGTTAAAATTAATTGGAAATGGACAACTATAAGAGACAATTAGAGCAGATGAATAATTATAATAATAACTCTTTGGAGATACAGGAGTTGCAATGGAAAATGAATCAACTAAGTAGTTTTTATATTTAAATTTTCAGATTAAATTATTTAAAGAAAGGACAAGGAATGCTAAATAAAAATAGATGAATTACAGAATACCAAATCAGCATTTGAGCAATAGGTTAAAAAGAACCAGAACTTGGAAATGAGAATTTTATATTTTATGGAGCAAGAAGTTAAGGCAAACGGCAATTTGATAAGAAAATAATGAAAAATTAATAGTTATCTACTTATAAATAAATTAAATAATGGGACAATGTGTATGTTCTGAACAAATAACAGTGCTGAGTGAGGCACCTCCACTCAATTTTACTAGCAATATAGAGACAATTAGAGAAGGAGCAGCAATCACAGATGAACCTATGATACAAGGGGATTTGGAGAAGAATTCATCATAAACGAAAACCAGATAAACGGAAGATTCCTTACTGTTAGAAATCCATCGACCAGACATTAAAGAGGCCAGTTTGACATCTTAATTGTTCTAGACATCCTCGTTCAAAGTCAAAGTACGAGATGATTTTAATGCAGGAACTATTAGATAGATTGGGACCATATGAAGTAGAAGAGACAGATGCTTATTTTTATGGAGTTTATGAATTAAATAATGGAAGTTTATACAAAGGAGGATGGTTAGAAGGTCAAAAATGGAGTAAAGGTAAAATTCAGTTATTAAATAAAAAGGAGTTTAAATCATGAAAAATGGATCAATTTATGAAGGATAGTTCTCTAGAGGATTGGCCAATGGAAAGGGTAGAATGATTTATGCTGATGGAGATTATTATATAGGAGAATGGGCAGATGATCAACATCATGGATATGGTGAGTATTATCATGGTGATGGTGCCATGTACAAAGGAAATTGGTTTGAGAATTTATAAAATGGATATGGTTTTGAGTTGTTCTCTGATAAATCTAGTTATACAGGTTAATTTAAATTAGGTAAACGTGATGGTTAAGGCGTTTATAAATTTCCAGATGGTTCTCTTTATGAAGGTTGGTTTAAGAATAATTAATTTAATGGATAAGGGTATTTTTCAACTCCATATGTTCTAGTATTTATTATTGGCATGATGGCAGAAAATATGAGGGGGAATGGTTAAACGATTAAATGGATGGAAAGGGCAAGATGACATGGTCCAATGGTACGGTTTATGAAGGAGAATACAAGAATGATAAGAAACATGGGTTTGGAACTATAACATGGCGTAATCCTATTAGTAATTTAGTTAGCTGATTCTCGATAATATTCAGGATAATGGGAAATGGGTAAATAACATGGAATCGGAGAGTACGTTAATTGTTAGTAAGGCAAGAGAAAGGGTTAATGGATTAATGGTAAAAGAATCTAATGGTGTGATTGATTTAATATTTAATTAAATGAATGATCTTCATACTTCATTATTTAATAATAAAACATTTTTTGATTAATTGTATGAGATACCTATGCAAATTATATCATAGAAAGTTAGTGCTCACTTCTAAGATTTACTAGTAAAGTGTTGATGGACTGCAAGTACTACTGCTTTTATTTTCAATTTTCAAAATTAATAAACTATGTTCTTCGTTCTATTATTTTTATTATTTTGATGAATAAAGCATAAACTATTCTAATCTTCATATCACAATATCAGGGAATTAGAAAATGATTAGCATAATGTTAATCAAGTGTTTCTATAATTGAAAGCTCTTTAAATAGATAATTTGAGTATAAAAGAAATAATAATAAATTTGAATAAGTACTTTACTCAATAACTCAAAGTCATCTAATGGTGTTGAACAAAGAAGTAGAACCAAGAAAATAAGAGATTTATACAATAGTCAACTTTAAAGACTTCAATAATTATATAAAATTATGATTAATGATTATGGATAAGAATAATTAAAGGAATTGTTAAAGGATATTGAACGAATGATGAAAATGATATCAATTTAGATATATAAAATGGTACATTGAGTTATTCATCTAATAATTAATAAAATGATTTAAATAGTACATAATTATAAATGATGGATGTCTAATAATTTGAGTAATTCAACCACATTAGAGGCAAAATGAAATCATTAGAAAAAATTAGGAGGAATTAGTTTAAATCTAATATTAAGCATAAAAATAAAAGGTTTACTCAAGATTTAGCTTTGGAAATAGTTAATTAAGACTACTAATTCGATTTGATTAAAATTAGTTTCACAAAAACAGAAGAATAATAAAAAACTGGAAAAAAGAAGTTATGGTGCATGTTTGCTGTTATTACATTCTAAGCTCTGTTATTAATTTTATTATTATGAATGTATAGAACTTATATATTATGAATTAATTGTTTCAAAATTTGATTGTCTCATTCTGTTGACTTGTATTATGCGTTGAAGCGGTACTCCTAGTTCCTTTATAAGTAGGATCTTAATTGCAATCATATCCATAACCGGCAAATAAATCTAAATCTACTATTAAATATACTTTAAACACTATTTTTTCTTAATAATAATTAGTTTTCCTTAATCAATTCATCTTATGATTCCTCTCCATCATCAGATATTTGTTACCTATACATATCCTCGACATTCTAATATTATTATTCTAATAAATACAATAGGAACATAAGGTGCTTCAATTGTTTTATGATACAATTTTTCCCAAGGTACTCCTTTCAACCATGGATGATTCTTGACTTCGGAAGGACCATTGAATCCTAATCTATTTTATGGTTTTCTTTGTAATAACTAGAGTTAAATAGAAGAGTTACTTTATTTACAAAATCCATAGCTTCAATAGACCATCCATTTGGTAGATCTTCTTTTTTGATAGATGCTTATTTAGCAAGTATCTAATCTCTAATCTCTTTCCTTGACTTTCCATTGTAAGGTCTCTTTTGATTAATTAAAAATAAAGATTACTTTTCCTATCATAAATTCATAGGCGATAACTCCTAAAGCGAAATAATCAACTGCAATTCCATGATTTTATCTACACATAACTTCAGGTGCTAAAAGAATTAGTAAATTAGTATTTACCCATATAACCAGGAGTACCACTAGTGTCTTATGAATTATCTGGTCTAACCTTTCTTGCAATGCCTAGATCTGTAATTCTAGCATAACCCTTAATTAATATTTAATGATTACTCGTTTGTCAAGTACTATATTTTCTGGTTTAATATCTCTATGAATAATGTTATTGTTATGAAGATATTCTAATCCACTTACAATGCAGGCAATGAAAAATTCTAAATTAATTATATCAATACTTGTTTAATGTTCCTTAAATCTCTTCATTTTACCAATATGGAATCTTAGATCTCCTCCTGTTAACAAATCCATAATCAAATAGAGGTTGTCTCTATCTTAGAAGGCATAACACATGTTGACTAAGAATGGATGTCTCAATTATGATAATAATTCTTTTTCATTCATTACAGAGTTGATACTCCTCTTGGCTATGATTTTAGATTTCATCATTTCTTTCATAGCAAACAGTTATCTATTTTTCTTCAATTCTACCTTCCATACTTTTCCAAATCCTCCTTTTCCTATCACATAATTATAAATGAAATGTCCTTTATTCAATCCACAGAATTCTTCACCGAAAGTTTTACTTTCGTTTATTGTCTCATTTGTTTATTATTATTTTTGATTTTACTATTGCTTTAATAAGTTAACTAGATCTATGGTTCCTTATTTACTTACATTGCTGTTGTTGAGAGATTATTTTTATTGATCCTGTGATTAATTAAGTATTTTTATTTTTTATTATTCCACTATTGAATTCATTTCTTGTCTTTCTCTTAATCTCCCAGTTTAAAATCCTTTTGGTATTTTTGGATCTCTGGCAATTGATCGATTTGTGCTAACATATTAATTTCACTTACTTTTCAACAACAATTGAATGTGCCGAAGTATTTCTACTCTAAGAACTATTGTTTCGACTATTACCCTTTGATTAAGGTGCTATATTGTTTAAAATCGGTTTTCTAAAATCAAAAATTATATGATTACTTCTCTATGCTCTTTGGTAATGCTTATTTCTCCTTAGATTTTGATTTAGAGGGAGGAGCCTATATTCCAAAACCTATAGCTTTAGTAAAATTGATGATTTCCTCCTTCATGCTGGAGACTGGAGTCGAATCCTTATTTTTCTTAAGATTCTACAAGACTTCAGCAATGGAGGAAGTACGAGAATTAGGTTTGGCTTCCTAGTAGGAATACTTATTTTGAAGTAAGTCCTTGAGGTTCTTAAAGTGTGACTTCTACATTTAATTTATTAATTAAATAGATAACGTTAAACATTTGTTTTTTACATGATTCAAACTTAACTCTACTCGAAAAATCGTGATTTAAGACGGTTTCTAACAAATTAATAACTATTAATCATATGACAATAAACAATAAAAGTATTTTTAATTGACTATTCTTTATATTCGATATACTTATAAATATATGAATATGTTTTTACATATCAAATTATTAAAAGATGAAATTGTCAATTCAGAGATCTTTATAACTTCAAAAACGTGAATGGCAAGAACAGAGCCACAGTCCTTCTATTGATATTCATCAAAGTAAATCATGACTCAATTTTTATGAAGATGTTCCATCAGAAATACTGAATGAAACATCTAGTCCATTCTCACTTCCTATATTTCTTATGCCCTTAATCTATGGCACATTCATCTTCATTCTTATGATTCAAATGCATCAACAACAGCAACCTTAAAAAGATCCAGTCAGTGCTTCTGCCACCTTGAAAACTCTCCAAGAAAACTTAGCTTCATCACCAATCCTCGATATTTAAAACACAATCGAAATCAATCGACTCCATCGACACTATTAGAGTTGCCCATATGGATTTGAAATTACTACCATTGGTATTTGGGAAGGAATTAACTCAGGTAAACAATGATAATGACATAGGTTGTCTCTGTTCAAATGGCGAATTAAAAGAAAGATCCTATTGTTATACTCATTTTAAATCTGATTGCCAGAGTGTTCTGTATTATAAAAGACAACAATTCTAGTATTGGAAGGGAGAAATGTATTGTGTGGAATTTGCGCAAAAATGGAAATGGGTTGGGAATTAAGATTGTCCACATGATTACTATAAATGTGCAAATGGAATATGTATATCATCATCGAATCCTAAATGTCCAATTACAGATTTAATTGAAACAAAATCACAAACTGAAAAGTAAATAAAAATTGGGTCAAAATATTTCAATAAGTATCGTAACGGTTCAACACCATTAATAAATTTTTAAATTGTTCCAGGTGTTTCTCCTAACTCTATGTGTTTAAATTCACAAGTTTAACCTAAGTTTTAAAGTGGTAAATATTATCCTTTAAACATTGTTCCTGAGAAAGGATGTGACAAATATGGAAATACGTTCAATTACTCAAAAATAATAGATTCAGATTATTAGTTTAAATAGTATATGATGATAATGATTTTACTAATTTCTAAACCATACCATACTTTTTAGATTATATTGATAGTATGGATACTTACACACTATAAATAATGAGTCGAATAACCATTAATTCAACGCATCCAGAATGTAATTTTGTTGATCCAAATAGTATTAAAACGCTGAGATTACAAGGAGAGACTATCATTGCATACAGTCATTATGTAGGCAAAATATCTTTAGTGTTAACAACTGTTTTATTAATTACTTCTTTGTTGTTTTATTTACTCAGAGATGTGACTTTCATAAGCGTAGACTTTACAAAATTTTAACATATTGAGTATTAATTGGTGATTTCTTTTATTTTATCCATGAGTAATATAGCTTTGGGTATAATTTATTACACATAAGCCGATGGTCTAAAAGGAATTGATGGCCAGAATAGAATATATCACGAATATCAAAAATATAATTGTTTTATAGATGAAGGAATTACAAATGTATTTCTAAAAACTAATGTAATAGGCTTTTAAAGAAGTAATATTATTTGCAGAGCATTCATACTTAAACACAGAACCATGGGTAAAAGGATGCTTTTACGGAAGTACCTGTTTCATTGTGATTATTGCAATCTTATTATTTCTGCAATATTAAAAGGTATAACACTTCTTTGTTAAACCTTGGAAAGTAAAATTAAATTGAGTATTATTTTTAATTTTTATATATAATATTTAAATGATGGACTCACAATTTGAGAGCTTTCCTATTTAGGACAACTAATAAGACATATAAGAGGTAGAAAATAATCATATTTGATAGATGATTTTAAGATAACTTCAATAATAGGCATTCACTAATTACATTTCCAGTACTTAAACTAAAGAGAGAATTTTATTAAACGAGAATAGTAGATTGAAGGAAGATAATTAAAAATTGCAAGAGAAGGCGAATATGCTTGAAATTAAGCAAGAAGAACTAGTTAATGAGGTTTATAAATACATTTATATTTAGATTTAAGACCTTCGACTATTAGTTAAAAGAGTTTATAATGAGGGGGAAATCCATGCCGAGAAATTAAGGATGAAGAATGTATTATATTTATCGATTTTATAGATGGAATTAGTACAATAAAATGAAACCTTATCAAAAGGATTAGAGAATTTATAAAAAAATATGGAGAGTTTTTCAAGCATTAAATAAATTAGTGAATTTTATGAGAATGTCGGAGAACTCGAAGATGTATATTAAGACAATAACTGACTTTTATATTATTTTTTTTTATTATATTATTGATAAATAAAAATGTAATAAATGGAAGAGGAAGAATAATAAGAACAATTATAAAACTTGGGTTCCTTGTTCGGTATTAATTGACTTTATATTCACTAGTGTTCTAAAGAATAAGAGAAACTTAGAGAAATTATGGCCTACAACATGGAGATTACTAAAGATATAGGACATATTGCTATAATAAAATAAGCAAACTAAGACACTAAATGCAATTTACTCATGGAAAGAGATTTCAAAAGAAAGTGATTTAAGATGTGGTCAAGGTATAATCCAAATATTGAAATTAGAATGATCCACGTGTTTTATAAGTATTATTGTATTAAGCTGAAAAGAATTGGGCACATGCTATGACTTTGAAATAATTGATTAATAGTGGAGTCAATAAGAAAATCAATAAAAGATAAGTGAAGGTTTATTTGGTTAAGAAATTTAAGAGAGCAATCTAATATTCTAAATAATTAACTACAATTTGTGAATAGAGAACTGAAAAGAGAACTTCATTAGAATCAGAAGCATATAATTGGTATTTATAAGGATTGTATCACTTTGAAACTGAAAAATGGGAAAGAGCATTGGAATCATTTGCTAAATGTTATACTATTTATGAATAAATAATTAAAGTCTGCGATTAATTTAGCTCTGGAGTATATTAGGAGAGATTGGAATAATTAAATTAATAAATTAGATATTGTAATGCTAAAGCAAAGAAATTGGCTACTCTATCTGCTGATGAATTGACAAAAATGTTAAAAGATCAAAGCGATCCCATTATGATTGCCAAATTTTAAGAGATGCTTGAAGAATAGAGACAAGCAAAGATGACTCAATAATAAGGTTCTTTCGAAATTGAATACTAAGATTCTAAGTTACCTATCAAAAATGAAAAGGTAGTTAAATTGATTCTTAAGATTCAAGAAAGCAAACTAATAGGTGATTTGGATTCATTTACAACTTTATTCTCACTTTATGATGAAGCATCCAAGTACGTTAAGATAGACAAGGATTAATCAACATCTGAGCAAGAAAAGGAAATACACTCTAAGGTGTTAGGGTATATAAATTATTAAAGATAATCTGCAACATTAGATAGAAATGAAATGCATATCAAATAATACACTGAAAAATTCATCAAGGAAGATGGAGTCAATAATCTTTAGAACTTACAAACTAAAAAGGCACTTAAATTAAAATTAACCACTCCATAAGAAATCATTAAATATTGTGACAATTATTCCTAAATTCTGAGATAAATTATGGATGAAGAACGTTTCAATAAGGATATCACATTATTCAAAATTCTAGATGCTAAAGAATTCTTCTGTAAAGCACTTCGTTGTTTCTTTGTTGGCTGTCTCTACTTTACCAACGAAAAGTATAGAGAGGCTTACAGTTTATTGAAATATCATGATGATTTAACAAGAATGGCTGATAGGAAATATATTGAGAATAAATTGGAACCTCATGGTTTATTGAAATTGCTTGTTCCTTTGTCAACATAAATATAAAATAAGAGTAAACTAAATGGATTGAAACTTTAATAAGATCAAGTGAAAACAATTGGATAAGAAATTTAAAATATTGGTTTGGAGGATAAATAAAATTAGAAGACTTTGTTTGAATTATTAGACTCTCCTGAATAAATTACTTTAGACAATGTGTTATCTTATAAACCAGCTGATTTAATTTCATTGATGCAACCAATTCCACCTAAACCAATATAATTGGATATTGTAATTAAATTATTTAAATTAATAGGCACATTCATACTTAACCTATCCAACATTGGAAGAGCCAAAGAAAGGTGGATTCTGGGGCAAATTAAATATTTTTAAAAAACAATGAGTAATTTATTATATTTAGGATATATTTAAGTATAAATAATTAATTAAATATTTATGATCATTTTTTCTTCTATTTTTTGTACTTCTCTTCTAATTGCTAGATTAACTATCTAGAGAATTTGAATTTATTAAACATGACGTTTATAAATTGATCATTATCAATTGTGAAGAAATCATCTAAAGATTTTAAGTGTCTCAAACTTATTTCAAAATTGTTTTGTAATTAAATTAATTTCTACTCTTTAAAATGAATTATAGCCAAGGCGCATCTAAATAGAGTTTTTTCCCCCTCAAGTAGGAATATTTCAAAGACTCTATAGAATAGATCTATTGGTAAAGTAGATGCAAATAGAGTGATAAACCTATAGAATATAATTCTATATTCTACCATTCAGTTGCAAAATAGAACAAATCAATATTATTCTTCTTTAAGATTTTGGCAGTTGTTGGATAGTATTGATTTATCAAGCAATCCAAGATAAAGAATTCTCTCAGAAGTGAACTTGGATTTTTATATTTTTCTGCCTGATTATATTTAGTCATTAGACGAAATAAAATCCAAAATGCCTAATATAATACAATTATATTTTACATTTTCATCATTTGTCACCATAATAAGGGCAGCTGTTAAGAAGTTTAAGCCTTGACAATAGCCCATGTCGGAGATGGCAACAGATAAGGCTTTAAGAACATTTACAAGAGATTCAGATAAAACAGTTTAATCCTTTTAGTTATATATATATGAATACTTGAAAATTAACATTATCAGGAAATGTACGTAGAACATCCAATCTGATTTAATGTTCAAAATTAAATTCTTGACTTTTGAGGAATTCCTCATATTTTCCACATTTCAAATAAATGATGGAATCTATTTTTGCTTGTGGTACTCCAGCTAAATATGGCCAAGCTAAGTTTCTGAAACCATCAGGAATGCCCTTTTGATAAGCAGTATAATACTTTGCGAGTTCTATTTTTAAGTAATTTTTTATCTGGTTTTTCTTGTTTATCAAAGAGATCTATCGTGATTCTCCATTTTTGTATTCTGGCATTCAGAGTTTTTGGATCATTTTTCTGTTTCAATTCTTTTTGTGACTTGAAACCATATTTATCTGTTTAATCTTGAGTATTAATTATTGAGGTTTCTTATTTAATTGGTTGTTGTTTCTTGAATTCAGTCTAAAGTGTTGGAGATGCTTCAGGTAGAAGATCAAAAATGCATTCATTCTATTTGCTTGGATTAATTGTGTTTTTTTTCATAATTAAATAAAATGATTATATTCTTATTGGGAATAGTGACTGTCTTTGGTGACAATATTAAAAATCTGAGTGACTATGCCATTATTTTGAATCAAAGTATTTGAATTGTTTAGAATATTAGCATAGGAAATAAAGCATTATGATTTGGAAATTAATGAGGAGGCAGTGCTATTTCAATATCCATAGGGATCTATACTGAAAAGCTCAATTACCTCAGATAATAAAACAACCCTATGTGGAGTGAATCATGATTATATCTCAATAACAACAAATATATCAAAGCAGATAATAAAATAAGATTAGGAGATGTACACCACTCTTTCAGATTAAATTATTGCCGCAATCAATAAAAAAACAACTATGGGATTTGTTACAGAGCAAAACAATTATATAGAATTTGACTTTATATCTTTAGACATCAAAAATACTATGGTTTTAAACTCCCACATGGCTTAGACTCAAATTTATTAATCAGGAATCTACAGTATTGAAACTAATTTAACTATTTTATTTTACACAAAAACTGTTCTAATTTTAGATGACACAAACAATGTTGTATCCTAGAACATTACTTAAATGGAAATCAATGAAGTTCTGAGTAGTTTAGGGTATCTTTATGTGGCAACCAAAAAAGGTTTGATGATTTATAAAATTGACCCAACCAATAAGGCTATCATCTTTAACCAGACCATTGAGGACAAATAACATATAATCGATATTGCATTGGGTGGAGAGAATGGAGAAATATTATACATGTTAAAAAATGATGGAATTCATATTTATCAAATTACCAAAGATGGTCTCCTTACTAAGCATCCCAATTTATCAATTATTCCAATTGACTACGGAATTGCATTTGATTAGGATAATGATGAAAGTCTAAGCATATTGATTCGTCCATAGAAACATGTTATTTTTGTTGATATTGAAATAAACCTTGATAAAGGAGTATGGCTATTAGAGAGTCAACATAAACTAAAAATTAATGCAGAAGAAGTGTATATCAATGGTAAATATGCAATATTGAGAGGAGTAGATACTCATAACATAATTAGACATTCCTTACCTAATATCTTCACTGTATCAATTTAATCATATACTTAGCGAATATTCAATAATTACCCGTTTATGTTATCAAATGCAGTCTTATTGGGATTTCATGAATTGAATATTGAACATTAAGATGATACAGTACATAATTGGTACAAGAATTCAACGAAGAACATCTTATATGGAGTCGATCCTAATTAAATCGTCTTATATTAATGGTAAAACTTTGAAGGTTAAATTTCCTGCTATACAGAAGATGAAACATTAATTGGCTAGGTAATTGTTAAATTAATAATTGAAGACTTTTGTTTATGATGTCTAAGCTACTTTAAGTGAATGCGATTAAAAAAATGAATATAAGGATGATATTGTAAGCAAAGATTTATTAGTTTGTCAATTCCAAACAAAATTATATATTAAAGTGCTTGAAGATATTTAGTCATATTAATAAAATATTCTAATAATAATCTGTGCAGCTTTAGGAGGGGCTCTCATTTTGAGTATACTTGTATTTGCATGTTATAGAAGGAAAACTCAATCATAATTGATCCAATTTAAAGAATAAATTAAAAAATATGAGAAGTTTTAGGGAGAAGGCAGCGAATCACATGGTATTAGATAAGATACTCCTCATCCTCCTGCTCATTAAATAGTTAACAATTTTAAAATTGATGATGATGATTAATGATAATTATTACCTTAATTTTATAATTTGTATTGTATAAAAATAATAAAACCATAAGTCTAAAATTTATTAAACTCGCTTATACATATATTCATATTTTAAAGGAATCAAAGACAGTCTCCAACAATTTCTTAGAATCAGCCTTACATTGATCAGTTCCTGCACCTTTTTATTCTTATGCCTTGAAACATTAGACTGATGTCTCTCTCCAATATATCATCTTGAACTCTTTGATAAATCATGTGGACATACAAAACAATGCTTCATTCTTCTCTAACTTCTTTGCTAATAGAGTTTAACACTTCAAAAAGTCTTATTCCTTCTTTCCTTCAATGCACTTCCTTTATTCTTATTGAATGTTTTCATTCAATGCTTGTTGTCTGGCCTAAACCACAGATTTGACTTCATGGAGGAATCCTTCGAACTCTTTTGGTAGATTGCCGTGAAAATTTTAAGCCATAAATAAATTTATGGAATAATAATTGCAAATTCTCTTTTAACGTTTAGAAGAATTCAAATAAGATCAGAATGAATATTGGGAAGAAGTTAAGTAATTGTCAGATGAAACAGATGAGAATCAATTACCTGTAATATTAGAGAATGAAGAGGATTGCAACTCTTCAGAGATACTCACGATTCTTAATCAAATAATGACATTAGTTAATCATTTGAGAGAAGGAGAAATCAAAGTAATTTAATGTTTTAAGTAGATTATTGAACGATATAAGTATGAATTAAAACAATTAGCACTTGAATTGAAGGAGACTCAATAATACAATAAAGAAATGAAATCTATAAGTATCTAAACTGATTAAGATCAATACGAAAAGATGTATTTTCAAGAGAGACAACGCTACTCCTAATTAGAAAAGAAGTTTGAAGGTCTTAAAAGACTTGATGAATCATCCTTTAAATAAGATGTAATGATAGAATTGGCTACTCTAAAAAATAAAATACAAATTTTGACTGAAACATCAACAGAAGCTGAAACATTATTGATAAAGAAAGATTAATAAGTTAAAGAGTACCAAAAGCAATTATAGAAGTGCCAGAAAGAATTGACATAAAAAAGAGCCGAATTGTCGAGTCTCAATGATTAATTGAAGAGTAAAGATATCAATTTACAGATGTCTCAAAATATGAATAGAACATATGAAACAGAGTTATAGAAGGTCAGCAGAAAGAATAGTGGATCTTTGAAAAGACCTACAAAGTGTTATGAAACCTTAACTCTTGAGATTCAGGAACTGACTTACAACAACTCATAACTTAAATAGTAATTATTGTTTACACAGAGGAGATTAAAAGAATTAGCATCTGAATTGTAAGCCAAGGAGTAATAATTAGTAGAAGTTCTCAATCAAATTGATGAAATCAAATAACACATGCAATAAACCAATAAAGAGGATGAGTTAAAGGAAGCTATGGAGTATTTAGAATTAAAGGATATAGAAATTGATAGATTACATAGGGAACTTGATAATTATAAAAGAAATGTAAAAGATAATCCATAAATAAGAGACCTGTAAAATCTCCTCTTAGTAATGTCTAGAAATCTCTAAGAGAAAGAATAATAACTATTAAGATATTAATAATACAATTGAATAATTAATTTATACTACTATCAATTAAATGGCAATCTCTAAAATAAATAATAATTCCTAGACGTATTAAATTAATTTAGTAATAATAAATTTTTTATTCTTTATTGTAATTGATAAATATTAATACTTTAAATTTCAAAAAATCCTAAGTAAAAATAAGAACTAATCTGTCAATATTATCAACCTATTAGTGAAAACTGTTAGAAGTACTAGCATTCCCAGGGACAAACTAATATTTATAATATACAAAAACTTAATCTATTTTGATTTTGCTTATTTATAAAATTTATTTGTTGGCCTAAAAAATGAATAGATCATATTAAATCTCTGATCTTTCAATTTTAATATGTAAATATTTCTTTTTAATAAATAATTGATATTTATACTTTATTAAAAGTGAATAAACTGATTTATTATCGACAATATTTAGTCTTACATTGATTTATAAAATATTTAATAATAATATGCTTAATACAAATTTTAATGCTTATTTTGTACCACATCAACTTATGTATCCCTATGGATATCAATATTTGATTATGCCATAATAATTCTCGGTTCAAAATTAACAGCAATACTATGCTTAACCTTAGACTTAAATTTCAGAAAATATATCATCAATTGAACCTAATCATTCTATAGAAGCTATATAGCACAAAACTTACTCGGAAACCGAAAGCAAACCTGAATAGACGAGCAACTAAGAAGAAATTAAAGAGACAAATATTCAGAAAAAGATAAAAAAGAATAATCTCTTAAAAAAGTCACAAAAGCCTAATTACTTGGTTAAATCTACCAATATCCAAAAAAATTATGCAAAGGCAATTGTATCTTTTGCATGTCGACAAAGAAATCTAATTTACTAGATTTTGGGGGAAACAGGAGCCTAAGAGTTCCTGAAATTAATGAACCGATTGAGGAACAAGCTCAGGAATATAGCCCACATCACCAGATATACTCACCAAGAGAACTTTTTATAGATGTTTAGGATATTAGGGTATTCATTATAATAACGACTTTAGTAATAACTTTTTGAGAAAAGACTCTGTTAGCTATATTTATAATTCAAAAATCCAACAGAAAAGTTGTCATGTGGCTAACAAGGCTATAGTTAAGAATTCTGTACTCAAGTATTGATGTCTCCTATCATAATTTATATAGAGTATTATTCATTATCTATTTTAATAATTATTCATAATCCACTTCAATATCAAACCTGGTAAACTACTTCACACGATTCTCAACACAGAATGAGGTATGTGGTGATGATTCTCTCATTTATTCTTTCATTTTACTTAAAAGAAACAACTAATTTAAAATAAATATAGTCTTTCATATTAATGCAATTATTGATATCATATAGCCTTCTCATTACGTGAACTTTATCGTTATTGATTTAAAGTTGTGGAATGTTCTTTTGTTATATAGTATATATTTTGCATCTTATTTCTTTTAAATTGATATGAGTATCAATGATGTTCAATAACTAAGGTATCATCTTATGACTTGATGGATAAAGATGCCCTCAAAAGAATTTGGGTTAATATTATTAATCTTCGATTTCTCAGTCTAGATGACTCCTCGTTTCGATTTTTTATTTTTTGAAATAATACAAGATCATCTGCCTTAAACCAACCTTATTTTACAACAACCGTGTATTCTATGGAAGTATTATTATGAATTACGAATATAGTACATGAATATGAAATATATTAAAAAGTAACGTAAAATCCATTCATAAAATCGAATTCATTTTATTATAATATATTTACTATAAAATACTTGTCTTGTATTTCATTTTAGTATCAATAAAGCCTTATAAAAACTTGTACTTAACATCTTGATTGGCTTTGAGATTTGTCCTTAATTCTCCTATTCTGCTTTAATTATGATCAAATAAACCATTTTTTAGAAACTTCCTCATTTTTTATCAAGGCAATAAACTCATATTATTGCTAAGCTTTGAACGGCTGTTATTCATTTGAATTCATCATAGTTCAATCATATTTATTGATAATTAGCATAATATATAATGATTATTAGTAGTGCTTGATGTTTTATTCTTAACATTGATTGAATTTATCGAAGCATCCATCGACTTATTATTACCATTCAAAATATCAAATTCAATTAATTATATCATGAAAACTAATTATTTTATTATTTTTAGAATATTTTTATTGTTAACTATTAAGATTACTAAATTATATATGAGATTAAAAATCATTTACACTAATAATTTTTCATAGTTCTCAATATATATTTATTTGAGAAGGGCTTAACTAAGATATATTATTATTAATAAGTAATATCATACAGTTTTGAGATGTAAGAATTCTAATCTTATGCATATTTATTCATCGATATATTATTATTATGATTATACAGAGTAAAAATATTGAATTCATTTTATTACCCTCTTTAATATCGTTTGAGTGAATGTTGTTGTATATATAACTTGATCAACTGAATTCTTCCATAGTTTATAGTACAATTTTCAAACTGTGAATTAATATAAATAAAAGCACATAATGAGAGTTTTAGAAACAAATAACCATAAATTGCTATTGAACTGCCTTTAGAAACGAACTAGGTATTCAAGTTTTTTATCATAACTTTGCATTCTACAACTCATATTAATGATTAATAGTTAAAGTATATTATAAATAAATGCTAGATAATATGTACGAAATTTATTTTATGGGTGACTAAAAATATAAATAAATTCATAGATGAGTCTGAGAGAGTACTTGAAAGGAATGAACATGAGAAAAGTTAGCTGTAGTTAAGGTTGTAAAAATTAAGAAAATTATAGAAATTTAGTTTAAACAGTGTATTTATATTAAATTATGTTAAATCAAAAATGCTTTATGGTCAACCTGTTACAAAGCATGATTCTCTCATACTCAATATATCACTAATTGGAAAGCTCATGCCTACTCAATTTGATACAATTAATAATTATAACTTCAATTACTTTGGCATTAATATTGCTATAAAATGTTTTTAACAAGTTCATGTTACAAGGAACTATTATATGCATACAATTAGATATGATATGTTTAATAATAATGAATGTGCACAATTTTGGTAGGATACCCTTTTCATAAATCATAATGGCTTAAATCTTAATAAAAGACCTGTATTTAGAGTTTAAGTTGCGTTTGTAATCTCAATTATTGGCATTATAAGCAATAATCTCAATATTTTTGCTGGTTTACTCATATGTGAGAATTGAATTTGATAGAGAATAGCCACAATTATTGATATCTTTAATGATATCAATCTACTTCAACTCTTCATTGATGAAATAAAAGCCGTCTCAAATTACATCAATTTTAACTGAAATTACTAATACTAATAAATAAGAAATGTTGAATTCAAAGAGGGGTGTCTCATAATTTGATTTAGATCAAAACCCCAATTCTGCAGGTATACGAGATACATCAGCTTTGGCCGATAATGGTATTTCTGATTCCACTATTCAATGTTTAGAATTATTAAAAGAAGGAGTAATTTTACTAGTTCCAGACTCTAATTCTTCCAATTTTCCATATATTATCAAATATTTAAACCAGGCCACAAAAACACTATTCAATAGAGAGTCTGAACAAGAAGTGCTTCAATTTATTGATAGTTTGAATACATTTTAATTAGTTAACGGAGAAGCAAACGATGACTTATTATTTGTTTCACAGATTTAAAGGTAACCCTCTTTGTATCTTTTCAAATAAACGACTGAAATCAAAGATTAAACTTATTTACAATAGAGAAATCTTAGTTTAGATGTGTCTTAGGGTTAAGAAAAGAGTCAGAAGTACAAAATAAAATATATTATTGACATGTTATTAAAATAAAAAAATTAAGATTGTATAGTTGTTTAAACACAATTAAATTTAAGATAAACTGTTTTTACAAATCAATAAATACAAGTATCTCAAACCTATATTAATGCAGATAATAATTAACTGCTTGAACTAACATTGACTTTAAGTAAAAATTAAAATATCATCATTATCTGTAGAGATGTAACTCATAGACAAAAAATTAGATACCTAAAAGAATATGATAAACAAAAGTCAAAAATGCTTTCATTTGTCAGTCATGAATACCGTTCTCCTTTGAATTGTATTATCTAAATGCTAGAATAAGTACTCAAATAAACCCAAATTAAGAACAACCCTTAGATAAATGAACAATTACAAATAGCCTTAGATAACTCAAACTATATTTTAAATTTATCCAATGATCTGCTTGATTTGGCTTAAATTAAAAACGGTAAATTCAAAGTGGAGAAAGTACCATTTAATTTATCAACTTTAATTGAAGAATGCTAAAAAATGTTCGAATTAAAAGCTAAGTTGAGATAGGTTCAATTGTCTACCAATTACAGTTCTTCCCTTCCATAATTTATATTTTAGGATAGGAACAGACTTAAACAAATAATCGTTAATCTACTGAGTAATGCCTTTAAATTTACATAAAGTGGTAAAATTAAAATAATGCTTGAGATGGTAAAATCGAAGAATTTGAGAATTGGAGTAAGAGACGAAGGAATTGGGATATCAGAAGAAGATCAATTGAATTTGTTTAAGGCATTCTCCAAAGTTAATTCTGAAGAAAGTAGAAAACTCAATTAACAAGGAGTTGGATTGGGTTTGGTTATAAGTAATTAGATTGTTTAAAATATTGGATCTGCTGGACTGAATATAGATTCAAAAAACGAAAAGAATAATCATTATTGCCATTTCTATTTTGATTTATTGATCGATGACTTTTTCAAAAAGAAAGTCTCTAGTTTTAGGATACCTGAAATTTCATTGTAGCCTTAGGAAGTTGATGAAATTAATAGTTTTTAAAAAATACCTTCAAACACGAAGGAGGATTTATCTACTCAATAAATTTGTCTTCATTATTTGATTGTTGATGATGATTGTTTTAATACTTTTGCATTTAAAGGAATATTATAGGAATTGTATAAAAATAAAAAGTACTTGTTTACAAGTGAATTTGATGTTGATTAAGCCTTGTCTGGGAGCGAATCCATTAAAAAAATATAGAATAAAAAATGTTGCAGCACTTGTTCAGGCTATAAAATTGTTTTCATGGATATTGAAATGCCTTAAATGAATGGTTAATAAACTACCAAAATTATATTAAAAAGCTTTCCAAATTAGATAATAATTGGTTGTAGTGGTTATACGGATCAATAAGAATATGAAAAGTGTATAAATTCTGGAATGGCAGACTTTTTAGTTAAACCAATCAAAGAATCATAGTTAATTTAAATACTCAAAAAGTATTAATGATATCTATTCAATCTATTTTTGCTTTTTTATATTAATAATCACTGCAATTATTCTTAAAATTCACTATTATGTTTTCGTTAAATTTAATATATTAGTTAACAGAATATTTGAATTAATTAATATGGACAAATTGCCAATAGGTTATGTTAAAGGAAAAGGAAATGTATTTATGAATTTGAATTCCCAAGCCCCTTGATAAAAAAGTACCCAAAAACAAATAATATGATCATGTCAAACAAACCTTAAATACAGGGCCAACTGTAAGAGACATTGAAGTAGTAAGCAATGCCAAGATAGCAAAAAAAAGATCTGAATTATTTAAGCGTATTAAGTGTTCGACTGTGTTTAACTTTATCAGCGTATACTTTTTATGTTATCAAAGGAAAACACAGAATAAGAGACTATTTATAAGTTAGCAGATTAACAACAATAAGCTTAAGAGCAATTACAATAATTCGATACTTAGAGTCAACATAGTTAAATGACAAGATTTACTGAAGTCTCACAAGTCTCTGCAATTACTTATGCTACAGAATAATTGGGGATCACAGATTAATCAGAATTTCTTCTTTTGGACTTACGAGATGCTGATGAATTTGAACTTTATCATATTAAAGAGGCAGTTAATTTCCCTGCTCCAAACCTAAGACAAGACAAATTAACTTAATAAATTCATAGATTCGTATGTTTTATCATTTAATTAGAAAAACTAAAAAGACAAGCATATAATAATATACCATTTTGATGAAAAGAATGGAATTCCTTCAGCCACTCTCTTTGCTGAAAAAGGGTTCGAGAATGTATATCTCTTGAGTGGAGGCATTGAAAAGTTCCTCCAAAATTACCCATAAGGTGTGATAGGCATCAAAGTACCATCTATTCCAAAGCCGGAAGGTAATATATTATGAATAATAACAGAGAATCCCAATAAAATTATCAAGAGATCTAATTACAAGGAAGCAGATTCTTAAATAAATAAGTCGGAAAAGAATATCAGTGATACAAAATCACAAATTAGTTAGAAAACTAAAATTACTAGATAATCTAGTTAATAGAAACAACAGCAATCATAATATATTGATAAATGATATAATAGCATTAATTTAAGTAGTTTTTTATAAATTATTTTCATTATTTAATTACTTTATTCATTGGTATTGTATAATGATTACTTAAAAGTATGATTACACCGTAAATTGAATTTAAGAATAAATTTTCACTTTAAATTATTATATAATATTTAATGGAATTCCTTTAAAAACTTATTTCAATTCCTAAAAATGTGATAATGTCCTTGAAATATTCATAATAAAAGAAATAACAAATACAAGTTATAGAACCTATCAAATTTGAGGAAGATTGCAAAATTGAGACTATTTAGATTGTGGAATAATAAAGAGTAATAAAAAAGAAATTAATTGCGGATAAACAGATTTAAACAGAACTTGAGTTTGTAAGAACTATCAAAAATTCTGAAAAGAAATAGGTGATTAAGAGAAATAATAATAAATAATCATATCAATTTAAGAAAATTGAAAAGTGTGCTTAAAAGTAGGCTCAAAGTCCGAGTGAAGCATCGGATAAAACAAAACCATCCTAATACTCTTATTGCTAAAACAACTTAATAGATTCATTTGAATTGGATGAAAAATAATAGAACCTTTAATATGATAGATCCTGTTATACTGCTCAAAAGAAATCTGTTGAATAAGCTCACTAAAGATTCCTTGATATTTATTTTAATAAGGTCAGACTACAATTAGAGGATAAAGAAAAACTAATCATGAAATAGAATAGAGTAAAATCAAATAATTGAAATGATCAGTTTTGTATTTAAATTAAAAATTGTACAATATCATTTTCTAATATTATAAAGTTGCCTATAATAAATTGATACTAATTAATTATCTATTTGACCAAAATATAACTTATATTTATAATAAAGTATGAATTTTGATCATAATATTTATTAATCATCTTAATTTGTCTAATTATTTGGATTTTCAATTTGTACTAATTTGGCAGCCACAGCATCTTGAGGTTTGAGACCCAAAGACTAGATGTAAAATATAGATATTTACCTAATACAAAGCATTGGAAATCTTTTCATTGAATTCATTTAATTATTATTTATTTGGTGCAATTGATATCAATTTCTTAGCTGTCTTCAATTTAGCATCTACTCCTGCATTGTATACATAAGAAGACATTCTATTTTTAGGTATATAAGAGTATATCATTCTTGAATGATCAAATGGAGTTTAGAAGTGACCTTCTCTATGACCATCCAATAATCTTACAATGATTGACATATTGTCCAAATATTTAAGTGGCTACTTTTTTAATTTTGTCAATTCGTCTATTTAATCCCATATTTCTCCTCTTTAGAATTCTTCTATTATCTTGAAAGTAATTTCTCCAGCAAGCACTGGCACCTAATAGATTCCACTTTTGACAAATCCATTTTATGTGAAAATGGGTAATACTGTCCATCCGACCTTTTCCACAATTGACTTGGTCCCCCTCTATGAAAATTTGACTCTTCTAATATCAAATACCAAATGAGTATTTTTATCAAATGGAATATCTTTAAATTTGAAATACCCTTCATTGAATTATGGCGATTGCAATGCTGATTCCCAATTATATGAAGTACAAGTGATAATTTCATTGGCTAAATTGATATCATTTTATTGTTATTATTAATTCTGTTATAGATACAATCTTCCAGGTGGATTAATCGAATAAATAGCCACATATGGATGATCAGTATCAGGCACATTATGAAATCCATCCAAACTTACTTTGAATCCCACTTATCCTTTATATTTGGCAAAGAAAGTCAGTTCGATGAGATCAGTGTAGGCATCTCTTACCAATGCCCCATCTAGCCAGGACAAAAATTGAGCAGCAGTCATAGTCTATTAGATGTTCTCCATAGACAACAACCTTTCCATAATTTCAACTAGTTTAGGGTCTTTTCTTTGCACTCTGATATTGTATAACAGCTTTTCAGTTTCCCTGATTGGACAAAATTAAGTATTGTACAGACCAGTACCATATGGAGGCATTCTTTGCCACACTTTCTTGGCCTCCCAATCTTTTTAACTAAAATCATTAATAGACAAGGGTTTGAATCCATCATCTGACATGGGAGCTAGGAAAATACGCACAAGTAGAGTTGAGCAAGGCAATCTATCAAGTTTTTGGACTCTATTCATATTGAAGGGTTTTATCATAGCTGGATGTTGGCAATGGATTGGTAATTGATATAGACCATTCATTAAGACGACATCTCTCTCCAAGGGATTGGTTGGTTACATTTTGGTGGCTTTGGATAAAAACAAATTGATAGCACAATATCCAACTATTCTAACTTCTTTTTAGGTATTGTCTTTAGTTAGGATTGTCAAGAATGCTATAGTGGTTGGATCAAAGTGGGGACTTCTCAATTCGTTTTTGTAATTAAATGTAGGCGAATAGGTGGTTGCTGCAATGTCAGGGAGTACAGATTTGGGAGGATACAACTTCTCTAAATTAGTATTCATGAATGTTAAAATGATCTTACACACGGTCACATTATCTGGTAAGAATCTTGCTTAATCTATATAAAAATCTATTCCAAATCCTTTGTCAAATGGTCTATCTTAATACTACTATTTCATATTTTCAATAAATGGTCTGTCACTCAATGGCAAATTCTACCAATCATAAGCAACTTATTTTTCTTTCTTCTCCTTCTTAGGCTTTATTTTAGGTTTTCCATGTCCTCTTTACTTTCTCTTCAATTATCTCAATTGCTTAAATTTTTCCATTTATTCATTCAGATTGCCCATATTGTAATCAAATAAGTTGATACTGAAATCTATTTAAGAATTTGAGATTCTGCATTCGAAAGGATCAAAGGGAGGTTTCTTAATAGGTGGTTCATAAATGAATTCTGAAAATCTGCCTATTTTAAGTATGTTATTCTCAAATAACTTAAATGCATACCATCTTTTACCAACAGGCTTAACATCAGTAACTGATTACTCAGACACCACAGACTTATTGTCCTTCTTATCATCTTCCTATTCTACTTTTTCTGGAGGATAATCGAAAACTTAGAATATTAAATATAAATCATCCCATGCTCTATTATTATGAGCATATGTGACAAGATCAACAAAGAACTGATACTCTTCTTCGATGAATACGAAAGGTCCCCCGAAATAGTCTGATTTTAATTGTTACTCATTCATTTCATATGGATCTGTTTCAAATGAACAAGGTATATCCTTTTCATCCTTTAACACTCCTCTCTTCACATCAGTTAAGAAACATCTAACTTTTGATTTAGTTTTCACAAAGTAATTAAGCAATTCATGAATGTTAATGTAAAGTCCTCTTCTGTTTTCTCCGAGTTCCATCATTTACCATTCAGGTTCCTTTACTTCCACAACCTCAACCTCTTCAGGTTCGATTTCTCTCTTTTGATTGAACAACTCATCAAATGCTAAAGGATTATACCCTCTCTTTCTAATTGTTTATGGAACATGATCATAATCGTGTTTGATGATTGTTCTACTGTGAATTCCAGTAATATAATATTCTTGGGTCATAGTGCTAGGATTCAATGGTTCCATTTTCGAATACTCATTATCAAAAGGGAACGATATTCTGCAAAATAACAGAGTATTTGAAACACTCTTCAAAGGCTTATCGGATGAAACTAATTAACTTGGATTGGTTCCAGTTGGATAAAATGGTAGTTTAAACCTTCCCCTAATGAGATTCATATTAATATCAAAAACTTCCAAGACTGTCCAACCATATATATCTAATCTCTTTCTGCCACCCTCTTGATAATAACATTGCAACTCAATTACAACAATTATATCCTTATTTGGTATCACATCATAAACATATTAATGTTCATTGAACATACAATAATTAACTCTAAATCCATCACTAATACACATATGATCCTCAACAATCTAAGGCTTATTTAGTGTTTGTCCTCTTAAGAACATACCCCATGTCAATCGGCATCTATCATATTTTTTTGGTACATTTAAGCACCAATCCCAATGAATAACCAAACCCTCAGTTGGATTGTATTTCTTTTCTCCTCTCCATGATTCCATTTGATGCAACAGTCTATCTCTGATGTTCTATTTCCTTTCTTAATCAGAATCCTTCACTGTTTACTCATAATTCTCCCTGATCTTATAATACTTTTGTTCTTAGACAGTTCTTTCCAATTCCAATCTCATTTAAGTTATTTTATCCACTTTACTCTACATGATCTAATAATCCAATCCATAAGGCAATCTTTCCAACGCTCTTTTTGCATCAGTCTCCTAAGCCAATAGATTTATTAATTTCTTTTGTTCAGGTGTCATTGAACTGTAATCTTCACTCTTCTCTGCAAAAATACTCTCCAAACTCCCATAACCATTTGATTCTGCATATCGTTTTAATGCAGGATCCATTCCAACCATATGCATTTTAATCTCCTAAGATAATCGAGTTGCTGCTTGTAGATTCTTCTCAATCATATCTTAATCATATTTTATTTGTTAAGGGTCATACTCAACAACTTTCTAATCATCAGGGAATTACCAATGCTATGCAATATCACTGGCACCTGCACCTTGAACTGAATTATCGGATAATATCTATTGTGCTGCATACTTTGAAGCATCATTCGATCTATGTCCCGTTTAATTCATTAAATCGCTGAATACACTACTCATTATTCTCATACGATCCTACTCTATTGACTCCTTTATCTTATTTAACTAAATCACTCTATCTAAATTATCCTTCTTGTATAACCCACTTTTACTGTTTAAGATTTCATTACACTATGCGATAAAATTGTTATATCTTTTATACTGTTAATATTTCATACCTCTCAAATAGGATATCTCTGTCTGAACCTAACTATTTCAATTCTTGTACTCGCTAAGCATCCCTAGCCTTCTTTATTTCTCTGTCTATTGTATCTCGATCTTTGAGGTACTCTCTTTCTTTCCATGTTCTATCCTTTAATTCCTTTAATATCATTTCTCTCTCTTAGTCCTGCCCAAAGAGTGCAACTCTTACTGACGCATTCATTGATTCTTATAACTGACTCAATTGATCTTTGTCATATCTATTGAATGCGGAATATCAAATACGTCAATGAATTATTCATCATTTAACTCATGTTTATATTGCTATTGTTTTCTCTTTCAAGTATTCGACTCCTCAATATTTTATATTCTTGCTCATTCAATTCCAATTGTTCTGTTGTATTATTTAAAAGCATCGTAGATGATTAATTTGCTTCTTATTACTACCCTAAAATTACATTTACTTTACTTTTCCCTAAATTCATAGTCGTTGACTACTCATTGAAATTACCATTGAAACTAGTTCCATTACAAAACTAATTTGAATTATTAACTAAATTTACATTCTATTTGTGATTCTAGTAACTTGTTATGTCTTCAAATCTCATCTAACATATTCTAAAAGATTTTAAATGCTAATTATTACCCACAATCATACATTCTTCTATTCATAATTTTTAATAAATATGATTATAAATTATATTATACTAATTACAAAAATTGATTATCAAAAATAATCTATTAATTCCCTAGAGTAATACCTAATTCGAGTTAAATTATCTCTTAACTTGAAAAGAACTAAAACTATTATTTAAATTAAAGCAAAAAAAACAAAGTCTGATTAAAGTCCTTGTTAATGTTAATATCTCCCTATAGCACAATGGCAGTGCACAGGACTGTAGATCCTAGGATGGCGGTTCGATTCCGCCTAGGTAGACTTTTTTTATAATTTTATTAACAATCACTACTATATTAAATTGAACTCAAGGATGTGTTATTAATCATTTGATTACTACTACAGATAATTATGTTTGATGCAAATAACCTTAAAAAAATATAAGCTAAAAATTTTAATCTAAAAGATTTAAACACTTATGAATGTTTAATTATATCTTTTATTGTATATTTAACATATATAGATAGATTCTCATTAGGTTTGCTTATATTTTATTTTATTCAGGTCGTAACTTATTAATTATAAGAAGGTAAGAAGATTCTATTATTTTTAATTAAGCTTATCTCAAATGTGACTGCACAGGTAGGATTTAATTGTATTTATAGTTATTGGCTATCTTTTTTCAGAGGAATTAAATTTATATATTTGATGATATAATTTAATAATATTATTTAATATCTTCATGATAATAATGTTAGTTATTATTGCGTGAATTACAGTTTAATTTTCTGGAATCAATTGAAATTTTGCTGTGTTAAGCCCATAAAATGATATTTGTAGTTTGGAATATAAGAACATCATTAATAATAAGTAAAATTGATAAGTCACAAATCTTCTTTCTTTTTACACACTTTGAATAAGCAGTAGGTGAGAGGCAATAGACAGATGGAGGCGATCAAATAAAGGGCTGTAGAGTCTTCTTCGAAGTGGATTTGGATGAATGCTCTTTAAATGTGGTAAATTATACTAACCCAATTGAGTATAGAATAACTGAAAGTAATGCTAACAATATAGCTGTCCATTTAAGCTTGGGATGAAGGAGTTATTTTTAATGTACATCCAATTATTTTTCCCGATCTTTCTGTTTCTCCTCAGTAGGAATGTAGGTAAATGATTTGCTGATTTATTGCTTCTCCATATTTTTAAATATATATTTATTAAATATTATATATAAAAATGCTGCTTAACAAGGTGTGTAAGACAGAAGGAATTGAGTTAAAAAAGTACAAAAATTGCAAATTTAAGATATTTATATTGATATTTTGAAAAACAATTCAAGCATAATAATTTAAACTACTTTTCTTTTTAGCTTGTACAACAGCGATACCTTCCACAAAATCCTCGTGAATCAAGAATGTTCCTCCTCTATTCAATGCAATCATACCAGCCTCAACACTATCCAATATTTCTTAAATGATACCAGACAGCCTTCAATTGGGCTCCATTAAATTCGTCAGTACTTCTAGCGATTTCAACATAATTCACAGTTTCTTTGGCCACAGACATCTTTCTAGAATGAATCTTTAAAATTTAAGCTCTAGCTTCTTCATTTGGCAATGGGAACTCAATCTTCCTATCCAATCTCCCTGATCTCAACAAAGCTGGGTCCAATATATCAGGTCTATTGGTTGCAGCAATAACCTAATGAGATCGTATTGATTATTACTTTAATTCTATCATCAGGACTAAATCCATCTAATTAATTCAACAACTCAAGCATAGTTCTTTAGACTTCTCTGTCACCATTCTTGTCACTGTCATATCTTTTCGTTCCAATGGCATCCAATTCATCAATAAAAATGATGGCAGGGGCCTTTTCTTAGGCCAATTGGAAGGCATCTCTAACCATTTTGGCACCATCTCCAATAAACATTTACACTAGTTGAGGTCCAGCCAATTTCAAGAATGTTGCCTTGGTTTAAGCAGCACAGGCTCTAGCCATCATAGTTTTACCTGTTCCTGGTGGTCCATGCATCAATACTCCTTTTGGTGGTCTAACTTAATCATTAGATAATATAAATACCTAATTCCTATGTTTTCAAATCTCTCCTTATGCACAATTGGTAAGACAATAGCTTCTCTTAATTCTTCAATCTATTTATCCAATCCTCCAATATCTGTATAATCTTCCTATGGTTTCTCATCAACTTCCATTGTCTTGACTATTATCATAAGAGAGTCTCATTACCTCTAGCATCATATTCAGTTGGTAATTTCTCATATAACATATAGCCATCCTTGTTGACTCCAATCAATTCTGCAGGTTTTAATTATGATGCATTCAATAAACCAGTGACTGGTAAAAAGATTGTTTGTCTCGTAGTTGTCTTGATTACTACACCTTTCCCAGAGATTGTAGCATAACCATCAGTCACAGATTGATCTTGTTAATCTTTATCTTCGGCTTCAATGTCCAAGATCTCCACTACATTTGATACCAAGTATGGAAGAGTGGTCATGATACCTCTTGACATAATAAATAATTGAATACACTCTCTTCTTTGTACTTTCTAATGAATCTTCATAGTGCTTTTTTTGATTCACTTCCCTTGAACATTAGTTCCTTAATTCATGTGCTCTCTTCATTAGCTTATTAATTTCTTCTTATAACTGAGCGTCTGATAATTATGCTGCCTAAGCCTAATAATCAGCCTCTGTTTTTGGGGTGGGTTTCTCTGTTTACATTTTAATTTAAATTATGAGAATACTGATGTATTTTAGAATTTTGAATAGAATCCCTTTTAGATATATATATAATATATGAATTAATAGATCGTATCGATTTGCTTGAATCTAAAATGCAAACCCAATCCATTTATATTTCACAAACATAATGATACCATGAACTGCATTCTAATTCTATTTTACTCTTAAAATATCCAATAATTTCAACTAGATGTTATACAATTTAATGTAAAATCATACATTCAAACTTGAATTATTATCGAAAATTGTTAAGTATATTAAATGATTCTATTTCTCTATCTAAAGGCAATAATTCAATTAAAGAAATTTTTAAATTCACTTTTCAACTTCTATATTTTATAAAACCTTTAGAACTGTTGAAAAATTAAGATTCTCTAAATAACGACAGAATTATAATGGAGATTGCATATAAATATGAATTTCTGTTTAGCCCTTTGTTTTTAATATATAAGATTATTATAGTTCTTAAAGTTAATTTAATCAATTTAATAAATCATTTAGAGTAAGAAATGTACCACCTAAAATAAATATATAGACAAAAACAATAATTTAAATAGTTATGTAATATTTCCTTCAATTTAGGTAATATTTAATGAAGAATTAATATTCATCTAATAAATTGATTATAATTCTTGTAACATTATTCAAATAATCATCTACAATTAAACTTTACCCATTTATTTGATGAAAATTTGGTGGTTATGATTATTTTATAAAAAAACTGTCAAGTTAAAGAATTCTTCTAATAACCATCTTGGATTATGTATAAACTTAAGATAATGTTTAGATTAATTTTCTTGCTCTCCTTCTTTCAACTTAATTTAAATTGACAATAGAATGTATCTTAAGTTAGAACCAGACAAAATTTGAATGGCTAGTTTAGTTCCTTATTACTTTGATAGCGAATGATAAAGTAGACTAATTTACAATTAATAAAGTTTCAATTTATCACATTTTCTTCAATAAATATAAAGAATTTATAAGAAGATTATTTTATAATTGATATAGAATACAATGATAATTGAAGTTATAATCAAGTTATATACAAATATTGAGTCCTTCCTTAATCAGAAAATTCTGATTAAATTGTTTGCTACTTAGTTCATTTTACTTTTATTGGACTCTGACCAGTTTTCTTTAGATATGAAATCTTTGAGTTGTTATTCGTTGTAAGTACCAAATATCATGTCATCTGACTTGAGTTGAGTATTTTAAACAATTATCATAGAGGTATCAATCTTGCCTAATTGATATTAAAAGAAATTAATTTTTTATTTTTTCATCGCAATTTTAGGAAAATTAGAAAAGTTCTATATGAAAAAATACTGAATTAAGGAAATTAAGGATCTAATTAAAAATTCAATGCTTGGTTTATTGCATTTCAATACATCCAAGCTTTCAGTCAGTTTTACTAAGCTTGGGATCAGATTATTTATAATGACACATTCGGATAAAATGATTTATTTTTCTTATTCTGTTAATACTTAATAATCCGAACTGATATAATTAGCTCTTTGACTCACAAATTTACTAAATTGTTTTCTGTAATCATAGAATTACTCTTGGTACATCATGACTTATAATTCATTTATCAAATTAGTGCATGATGTCATAATCACTAGATTAGACATAGCAAAAGTGAAAATATTTGATACAACTATTATGGCCTAATCTTTCTCTAATTGTGTCATGCTCTCTGGATTGTCCTATTAAGATAACTATATAAATTACAATGAAGTTTAATTTGCACTTGTCTAATCTTTTTTATTGTATAAAAGAAATCATTTTTGAGAATACCATTTATGTCCATTACTTAATCTTGATCATAGTAAGACTTTCATTAAATTTGAGTGATTTCTGATTCCTTCTTAAAATCTCTTACTTCAACGACCAAGAAGTTTTCTTTTAGCTAAGGATTATTTAACTAAAAATTACTTGGAGAGACTTTTCATTCGTAACAGGGCTTTAATCATTTAGAAACATCTTCGAATCCTTTGAAATTTATATTGAATTAAGGTTGGGATTATTGATGACTTTTCTTTTGGGAAACTGGCACTTGTGTTAGGTTTTGGAGTTTTATCAAGGCTGATATGGTGTGAATGGTCGCTGAAGTTTTCGAGTCCACCATCAGAATTATCAGATTAAAAAGTTTTTCTGATTGTTCTTGGATTATACACACTGGTTCTTGGGCAGTTCAAGTTTTCGTAATTGTTATTAAGTTCTATACTCTATACTCTTGTAGCAACAGAGTTACTATTTGATTGGCGACTTGTCAGTCTATTTCCTGATTACAAATCTGTTGAATTTGAGCTTCCCCTATTTTTCTTCTGATATTCTTAATAATTTGGATCATCAGATACTGAATAACCCAATTTCATAAGAAAACCTTAGTGGTCTCCTTTATCACCTTTGATATAATTTAACATTGTTACTTTCATGAGTTCGTCTTTTAGAAAAATCATGAGTTATAGGTTGTTCGCCATTCAAAATGGAATTTCCGGTTAGTTTGAATTTTTTTCTTTGTGTCCCTAGACGAGAGTTCTATCTTTCATTTTTTGTGAGAATTTCTATTGATGAAAACATTATCAACTTTATGTATACCTTATCTGATTTTTATATGTAAATTTATCAATGCAATTATTTAATTATTTATATATAATATGTTTCATGATGTCATATAGGATAACTACCTTCTTGGTATTGAATGTTGGTTTTGTTTTAAATAGGCTCTATAATCAACTAAAGATTTTTCGATTGAAGATTAGGATTTTTTCAAAATAATCTCAACCTAAAAATATTTCAGTAACATTTTGAATATAGAGATTCAATACAATGCTATTTCTTATCCATTTAATAGAAATCGCGTTTTCTTTGATTAACTCTGAAAAATCTTGGATTTAATATCTAATAAAAATATAAAATCCTTTAATTAACAAAAGAAAGAGAATTTCAGAAATTTATCTAATTTAATATTAATAATTATTTATTATAATGAATTTCATATAATTAAAATAATTCACATTTTCGAGAATTTGAATTGTATTTTTGATGTTTTGTGTACAACATTTAATTCGCTGCTCTAATGTGAAAATAAAAGATATGATGAAAATCTATCGTAATTCTTCAAACCATTTATAGTAATTAATATTGATTATTAATATAACTAAATAATTACAATATTAATCAATTTTAATACGCAATATCAATTTTAATTGATATTAAGAAATAAAAATAATATTATTAATCCAACATTTGTTATATATACTCAACTAATCAAAGTTTTGGTTGATCTGATTTGGCTTTGACAACAACTTTGCCATTGTTTTAGCCCAATAAGAGTTTAGCCAATCCATTTGGAGCTTATTCTAGTCCATTTTGAACATCATATCTTATCTAAGAATATATGAAATGTGGTACTTTCATTTGGCCTTGTTTGAGCATTTATGTTATGGTAGCTTATCCTGGCTTGAACAATTCAGGATGATCAAAGTAAAGGAATCCTTGCATGACTGCTCTTTTTATAATTAATCTAGGGTAATTCTTCACCTTATATGGTTCTACATTGATAATGATAAGGAATATACCTCCAGTTTAGTTGTATGTGGCAATGGCTCCGCACAGAATAATTCTTGTGTGATCTGTGATATGCATCAATATTTCATCGAGCATTTCTCCACCTACATTATCAAAATAGACATGTATTCCATTGGGTGTCAATTCTCTGAGTCTTTTACTGAGATTTTCATTTTTGTAGTCGATGCAATCATGTGCACCCAATTGTTTCTTGACATAATCACATTTTTCTGGTCCACCAGCAATTCCAATGACTTTGCACTTGTAATAGGTTTTAGCCAATTGGACTGCAATTTCTCCAACAGCCCCAGCAGCAGCAGAGATAACTACAGTCTCTCCTTCCTTTGGTTTTCCAATGGCTTCGAATCCAACAAAAGCTGTCAATCCACTAATTCCGAGTGGGCCTAACAAGGAGTATCCAGTCAAGTCATCAATGTCACCTCCTCTTTTAACGAGATGCAACTTGGCATCGCTAGTGATTTGATACAATGTCCAATTGACAATGCCAATCACATAATCCCCTTTTTAGAACTTCTCACTCTTTGAAGCTAGAACTCTTGATACAGCTTGTCCAAACATAGTATTACCAGGGAGGACAGGATCTACATAAGTCTTGGCACTAACATGATATAAAATGACATCATTACCCACTAATCCATACTCTCATTGCTGCATCAATGGAGAAGTACAGATTTTCCAACAAGACTTCGCCATCTTTGAGTTGAGTGGCTGTTGGTGTTGATGTTGTCTTAACCTGGAACACATCATTCACTCTTGGATATTTGGCATCAGGTTTCTTAACTAGTTATACTTATAGATTTGACATATTTGAGGTAAATATTTAAATTAGTATAATATGTATGTATAAAATAAATTTAACAAGCGTATTAATTCAATCAAATTAAGAATCTTAATAGTATATTTATTCCATAATTTTTAATCATCCATTCGTAGTAGATTACTCTAAGAGTGAGTAGGCATGACATTTAATATTTTGAGGATTGAATGTTTGAATAGAAAGGGAGTAGATAAAACTAAATGGTTTGATTTATTTATTGAAATGCATTATATCGTTTTTGGCTAATTTTTTTAATGAAGATCTTTGCTCTCTTGTTGATCTTAGTTATAGTGTCTGGTGCTAATCATCATCATAGACTCAATTACACTAAGTAGAGATCAATCACAGCTGTGATGGCTGAGGTGGAAATGAAGATTAAATCTCATTCTCCATTGGATGCTGTTTTGAATGTACTCACTTTGTTTAGAGATTCTGTCAATGAGGAATAAGTCAATCACGACCAAATCTTTAATGTGGAATTGAGAGAATGTTAGGCTGAATATGAATTTAGAAATGCTGAAATTCAAAACGCCAAAAGCACTCTGAGAGACTCTAATGCTTAATTAAGCACTTGTCAATATTCAAAATAGAGAACAATTGAATAATAGTAGGTCAATCAATAATAAGAAAATACCTTCTAGTAACATCTGAACACCATCCTTACAACAGCTGAATCAGAATCAGCCTATTTTAAGAGGAGAAGTAGACAATATGAGGATTCATTGCATGCCATAGACGAAGCGTTGACAATCTTGGAAGGAATTTCATTTGGTTATAGAAGTTTCTCTGAGTTGAGTAAAGTGAGTCAAAGAATGTTATAAACATCATTTGACATTAACAAAACTCCAATTTATGCTCCCATTTTTAATGCATTCATTCAATTGGCAACCCAAGGATAATCAATTGATTTGAGTTCCCTCCAATAAGTGGAGCATTTACTCAAAGATCTGAGATCTGCCATCCAAGAGGCATATGATCAATTTACAGAATCAAATGCTCAAAGTGTGGGTTTGTTCAATCTACAAAAGGAGAAGGTCAACAAAGTGTTATCGAGATTACAAGGATAACACGAGAGACAACAAGTGAAATTAGACAAGTTTTCTGCTTGCATTGGAGTTCAATCGGCAGTATCGAATTCAGCCTCATCCAAATAATAAAGAAATCAATAATTGTTGGAATAAGCTTAAGCTCTGTGCTCCACCTTTTAGACTGAGTACAATTATGGCACTCAAGCGAGAAGAAGCGAGATTCAGTTGGTGAATCAACTCGAAGAGATGGTCAAATAGAGATTTGAAGAAGTACACGAGGAGAAGATAATGTTAGGCTATTCCAAATTGAAATATTGAGTAATTCAAAATATAATATAAATTAATAATGGGAACTGCATGTTATTCTCATTAGACAAGAAAGTAACATCTCAACGACATTAGGTTCGGATAGCAGAATCTGATGTTTAGGATGGTAATTTCTGGTATTAAGGTTAAAAATATACAGCAGTAAAGTGCATATGTGATTGTTAAAGTGAATGAGCATCTCTATAAGACCACCATGATCAGATATACCAAAAATCCACATGTACTCTTACTCCTTTAGTATAGTGGCCCTAAACCTTTACTTTTGATTTGCACATCGATCCTCAAAGTATGCAGACTCAATTCTTTACACTAGTACAATATTCAAATATCCTCCCAAGCAAATCCTCGACGATTCAGACAAAGTTCATTATAGAATCAAATATACAATCTATGAAATCGCCAGTGGACCATAACATCATGACATTTTGTTTAGTGTAAATACTATTTAATATTTTAGAACAAATCCTCAATTATATTTGACATCAAAGTGGCTCAAAGATTGCATTTTAAGATCAACACCAAGCACATCCGCTGTATCCTGGAAGAACAATTGGGTGATATAGCCTACAGTTTTCTATTGAAAATCAAATCTCAAGAAAATGAATCTCAATCAGCAATCTCTCCAAAATATATGAATCCCACCTACTCATAAAATGACGATGTTCCCTATAAGTATCAACACATCAAAGGCGGTTCCTAAAGACATGTCTCCACTAAAAAAGCATTAGAAGCTAAGAACGAAATCCTTTGGGAATTCAGAACAGAAGATTCTCCATCCATGGAATTTGACATTTTTGCAGATGACTTTCAAATTACTACCTTTGTTTTCGTACTTTACGCAAACAAATAAACTAAGTTAGAAGAATATAAGCGAATTGGTAGTACATACATCAGTTTTAATAAATTCTTTTATGATAATACCTCTCAAATCGCTTAAACTGATACACTCTTAATTTAAGAGGCATTGTTAAATGAACAATTGATTTCTGATGGCACATACATTGGAAATTGGGCAGGAACATTTATCATCAAATCTAATCAATATGTTAGTCAATGCAGTGGAATCAAAACTGAAACTGGAATTGTCAATCAATCTACTTTATTATTGAAGAAGGCCAAATCCAAAAATAACACAAATAAAGAAGTTGATTGGCTGATTGGATTGTAAATTAAAGTGGAAACATTGTCATAGACCATGAGGGATAAAAAGATCAAAGACTCTGAGAAAATGAAAAATGAAATTCTATCGACTTTGGCCGAAAATCACAATATTAAATATCAGAGCATTGATGATATGTTACACAGTTAATCAGTGTAAATAAAGTTATGGAAATACTTATTAGAATAGAGCAGTAAGTAATAAACAGAAATGGTTAAGGAAATATGTTTCACTGTGCTGAGTGAACTCATTTATAGAGATGATATGGATTTAGATCATTTGAGTATTGATACTTAAATAGAACGTATTCATAATGCTTAATTATTTGTTACTTTAATGATTAAAGTTATGCCTCTTTGTTTATAAAGAGTCGTTGACACTTCTTGTTCAAACAAAGAACATGATTTTTTTGTTAAATTTGCTGTGCTCTCCTACTTCAGAGTACCTCAATTTAAACAAGCTCTGTTTCCAGAGATTGAGAATCTCTCAATTCACAAATTTTATGATCTCGCATTCTAAAATGAAAAAGGATAATAATTGAAAAAAGAATTGGAATCATTGAAACTAGAAATGCCAGATAAATAAACTGTGCATTTCTATTACCCTTTTGTAATTTAATGGGTCAATTTTGTGTAATCTAAGTTTGGATTCAATGTCAATTGGCAAAACATACACGGATATGATGAGATTGTCTCATTATTATTATCCAATATTTAATTAAAGAATCACAAATTCATTGAAGCATCTTGTGCCATAATCAACAATTCCATGTTGCTTAGCAAATTCATTCACATTTTGTTCAATCAAACAAAATTGTACGATGCAATCCAAGTGTTCAATACTCTAAATATTGTGGACGTTTGGTTACAGATAGTCAATCAAAATTACCATGTTTTACCTACTAATTTTGACTATTCCTTTTTCTTCAAGGGAATCAAGTTAATCTTGAATGGAGATCATGCTGTCTCTATTAGTAAGAGTCTATAAATCTTATATAATAATTTCCATCTCATTACAAGTAACATTCATTAATAATAAACTAGCTGAACCCAAAAAGGAATTATGTGATTTCTTATTTAGCACTGATTTATTTTTTAAGATTTTCATGCATTGGAGTCCCTTAGTCAGAAATACATTTATACACCTACTGATTTATAGAATACAACATCGTCATAGATCTTTACAATCAGGATTTGAAAAAATAAGAGACATCAATAAAGAACTGCAATATGCATTCTTTAAAGATTACTCCTAAAAGGAAAGAGATCAATTAATCAATGATATGATCTATCTCAAATACTCATACATCATTTAAATTATTAGGAAGATTTACCATCAATTTTAATTGTATAATGGAGGTAAACAATATGTCCAGAAGGTCATTTAAGAAAGAAGTCTAAAGGCTAAGCTCATCAGAAAAAAAGCAAAAGAAAAAAAAGAATAGCAAATACTTGATGATAAGCAAAATGAATAAGATTCAACTACTCTTAAGAATTCATCCAGAAAAAGTGAACTACCAGAAATCAGTTTCCAATCTTAAGTCAGCAAAGCTTAAAGTGCCATTGGATTTGCAGAAAAACCAAACAACTCTATGAAATCTCTTGATGATGGCAATCAAAAAGTAGAAGATGAATAAGTACCTGACAATACTCCCATCTAATCGGAATTCTATTAGAGTTTCTCTTCCTTCATTGATCTAAACAAAATACTCTAAGAGGTAGAATTGGAATAAGAAAATGAAGAGAACAGAAGACGGCTGCCTAAAAAATAATCTAATAGATGTCTTTCCCCCAAAAATGTCACTAAACAACAAGATATGAAAATATTAACTAGAAAATTCCCTGAACTAGAGTTTGAGAGCTCAGGACTTAAAGCTTCAAATCTCAAGTATCTCTAAATTGCTTATTAAGAATACACAATAGTATAAAAGGAATATTTAAGGTATGTGATTATTCATAGTTAGATGGATCAATCAAATGAAATCAAATTAAAGAAACATCAGTTAATTTGATCAAGTCAAAGATCATTAGGTTCCTCTTTTAGTGATCAGAGTGCCAAAAGATGAATCGAATTAAGAAGCTCCTTAAAGCGATGATTGAAGAATGCTATTTAATATTTCTATTATTAATACCAATTTACTATCAGTTAATATTCTTATCTCCGTTAATATCTTACATTTACATATCATATTAAAAGTTGCCACGTCATTCAAATCCTAAAGTATATTATACACTATATTATAAATTATATTAAATATTTAAACATCTATGTCAGATATATAAGAGTAAACTACTCCAAATGAACGAGCAAAAGAAATATCATAAGCGAAGACACCTGAAAATCCCGATGACATTCAAAAAAGTAAATCTGAAGAACCAAAATATTTTTACCGATTATTATTAACATAATTGACAGTCATTTTGATTTCAACCTTTTTACCTACTAAGAGATACTTCTTCTACTCATACGCCCATTATCCAAGAAGTGGGATCACTTTTGATGAATATTGTTCTAAATATGAAAAATGCAGGTAAAGTTATTACTACTACAATTCATCCTACTATTATTAAGACTAAAATCAATATGAAGTTTGGAAGAATTCCGTAGCTTAAGATATCACTGTGTATTCGAACTTATATTACTTTTCTTTCTTTATTTACCCCGCATTGTTGGTTATTTAATCAGTTTTTAGAAATTGCTAATTATTTGTAAGCTTTTTTTCTATTAGATTTTTAGAAATAAAGACAGAAACTTTTCCATTACATACAATACCCATTCTTGAGTCTATTCATCTAGGTGTGCACACACTAAATCAAATCATCAGATTGTATTATTATCATTTATTTCATTAGATAGTAATTTATTTTACCATTTGAGAATATTACTTATATATAAAATAGGAATTGTGGGATTCTTTTATTTCAATCAAAAATGCTTGTAATGGTAGCTTGAAACAAAATCTACAACTTAAAGATTGGTTAATGGCTCCTTCGCTCTCATTTGTTTGAAAGAACTACTAAATTGTATTAGTTAAAGTCACTCCAGTTGGATACCACACATTTTATTCCTTTTATATACTCAAGTATATTTATTACACCTTAACTCAAATTTATTCCAAGTATGATATTAACTAATCTTAGGAAAATAATAAATACGCTATCCAGAATAGATCAGTTTTATAATTAACCAAATAAAAAATACAATCATTTTTTGATGTTTAGGATGTTTATAGAGAAGTAGCATAGACTTATTTTGTCATTTCAAAAAAGATCATGTACTCTTCGATTGGAGGAATCGTTCTCGCAATAATTTTAAGAGATTAGATTTTTAAACTTGAAAAAGTTTTAGTTTTATCTGGAATTTTCTTGATCTTAGGTTGGGAAACATCACTTGTATCCACAGTAATTTAAGTATTTAAATATATAGTCATCGAAACTCACTAATAGAGACTAATACCAAGCAGCCAGTTTATACTTTTTAGATTTCATGCTGCCAATCAGAAATATTGTAATGGCCTTCCTTGCTTGAAAAAATTATTCATATTTTTATATAATATCATCAACAAGAATCTGCTGCTAATGAATATAATCGCTGTCTAAACTCTAATTGTTTGTTTGAAGAGAAAGTATCAGTATCTTCATTTGCTTTTGCTTCTATAAATTTCGAGAAATTTGATTTTTAGAATTTAAAGAGCTTAGGTCTTTTTTACTTATACGTATGACTCAAATTGTCATCTATGTCTCTGGGACTATGTTCCTCTGGCTATCGTTTATTAATATTTCGTACATTAATGTTTTCTAGCATTCTTTCAATTTTCTGTACATTGGTTTCATTCCTTATTTCTTACATCACTTGTTATATTCTAAAATCTTTTGCTATTAGCATATCTGTGAATTAATTATATATGTCACCTTTTATTTCACTTTTTTACTCTATTCCAATCCGATTAGATTTATATAAATAATAAGTTATAAACAAGAGCTTGCCTTCGCATGTCTAAAATTAATCCATTTTTTATTTTTTTTACAAATTATAAACATTTATTAATAAATAGAGTTTAGCATATTTCATAGATAATTTACAAGTATTACCATTCAGATTCCTTAAAAGCTTATGAATACTAGAACATTAATATCTTTGATAAAATTATTATTAAAGATATTGAAATTTATTGTATTTTATTAGCAATCTAATTATTAAGTGAAAACAAAATAGCAGGATTACACACAAAAGTCAAAAAAAAATCGTAAATATTAATTGAATATTATTTTTACAAAGGTTTATTGAGTTAATTTAAATCTAAGAACAATATCCAGTAAGGATTTCTTAATAAATTAAAAATTGAAATAAGTATTTTATTCAAGTTTCATTAAGTTAGATAAATTTCTCAGTATTTAAGATGGACGATACAAATTTCTATCCAATTGTTTGAAATACAAAAATTATCCAATAGAAAATTTATGTATACTTTTAGAGCAAACATTAATAGTATTGATCTATGATGATAGATTTTTTCTGAGTTACCTATTAATCAATTTTTATTATTCATTTCATTAATAATGCATATTGTGTTGTATTTCCCTTATATCCATTTTAGATTTAAAAAAAAGCTGTATCTTAATTGAAAGTATTTATAGCATTATTCGATATTTACGTATTATTTTATATAAGGATAAATTTTCAAGAATCTAATTTTGAGTTGTTATAAAGGAAGATATAAACTATAATAAATTTGCATTTTTATAAATTTGAACTAAAAAATTAAAAACATGCAATATTTGTTTTATAATAATAAATAGCTACATTTAGGATGAGGGGCTGAAAAATGAAAAATAAAATTTAGAAAAACTAAATTATTTATCAACATTGATAATCATAAATATACAAAAATCTTGGCTAGCTTTATTAAATTAGTTTTAATGAAATTATTTAAAGCAACACAATATTATATTGTTATTAATTTTTGAATTATCGAGCTTACAATTAAAGATTAAAATTATCATTAATAAATAATAAGAAAAATATTAATAAATTATTTAATGTAATGAATTGAAGTATATTCAGATTTTTATTTTTAGAAGATTTGGTAATTTCAATTAATATATTAATATGGCTTAATTATTATGAAAAATTATATGGAATCCATTATAAATTAATTATACTCTATAATTTTATTGTTTCTATAGAAGTATAATTTTATAGGTGGAAGTATATGAACCAACAAAAATATTATTGCTAGCTTTATTGAAGAAAACTATAAAAAGTTGTTATTTTATAATAATAAATTGGATTACATCATTTTCAGAACTATATTCATTGTGCGGTATGTTAAGTTCATATACGAAAAACATTGAACGATCCTTCAGAAATTCCTTCTAAAGCGAAATTGCTTTCATATTTCGATTCTTCCTATTAGCTTGTCATTTATGAGTACTCTTCTATAAAATAATTGTTATTTCGATTGAGGTTTTAGAGTTGTAGTACTAAGTCATTTAGTTAATTTTCATTTTTTGGATATATTATAAAGAAATGCGGCCTTTCAATAGTGATTGGGGAGTTAGTAGCGTTCCTGGATTTGTTACTCTTGCTACACATTCTGTATTTTTAGTTAAGTTTATTATCTAAATATTAGCTTTAGTTTGCCAAATTTGAATTTGAGTTATAAAGAAGAACATCTCTGTCTCTATCTCTTTCTCTAAACTTGCATGTGGCACCCATTTTATAAAAATATTTTAAAAAGAGCCTATCTAATTAATTATGTTTAATAATGAAGAATTCGACATTCATTACTGATTTGAAGATTGATTTTTGAAGTAAATAATCGATGATCTATGAAATTAGATGGAATACATAGAAAGTAATTATGAAACTTTAAAATTACCTGAATATAATTTATGAGAAGGTTTTTCTTTCTAAACTTATTGATAAGTATAAAAATTCAAAATTTGAATCTAATTAATAGTTAAATTTGAATCTAATTAATAGTTTAATTTGTGGCTGAAAATTTCAATCAATTCTCTAAACTTAATTAATGCTGGTTGTTTGAAACGATAAAATTGATTGATATGAATTATAGGTCATTTACATTTTGTTGATTTACAAGAAAAACAATAAACTGAAGGATTTAAATTAAATATTTTGAATTTTTCGTTATTTACTTTAAATTATTTAAATAAACTATAATGAATCTTGTAATTATAAATTTGAATTCTAATCTTCAAACCATTCTACTTTCTAGTTATCTTAAATAATAGAAATTTCATTGATTGTATCTATAAAGAATTGTTTATAATGAATTAATTTAACTAAAATATGTTGTAAATTTATTTTAAAAATTCCATTCGTTTAAATTACAATAAGTTATTTAAAAAATGGAAAAAATACAGAATTAGATTTTAACTAAAAAATGATATTTTATCAATAATTATAGACTTAAATTATTTATATTAATTCATGTATTGATTCTTTAATCTTATTCATATAAATAAGACTAATATCTCTATTTTAACATGTTTTACTTAAAAATAAATGCAATATATGTAATGGTTGAAGCACTGGCTCCACCTACTCCAGTAATAGCTGCTCTAATAGCTACTCTCTAGGCAATCTGCGCAATTATAATCTCTGTAGCAGCTAATCCTGCACCTTCTGCAAGTAGTGCAGCGCCTAAAGAGGTTACTGCAGCGGCTATAGACCCTATTATAAATGTTGCCTTTAATCCTAATTCAATATTTTCAATATTCTAGATAATATTAATAATTTTATCTGCATTTTTTCTGAGCTTTGATGAATCAACTTTAATTGGGGAAATTTTTCTCATTTAGCAATAATCATCTATCATTAAACATTACAATACGTCATCTATTGTATTTTATAAGAAGATAGAATTAATTTTAAATAATTCATTAATCTTACACCATTCTAGAATTTTTTTTAAAACCTCCTTTACATTCTGTTAATTAATTTCATTGCCAATAAAAATTTTTAAGCTTTAAATTAGTTACTTTTTGTTTTCTAGTGTATCTTCGCAATCTTAAATGTAAATATTAATTTAATTTTCCAAAAGCCCAACAATCTATTCAATTTTCTTTTGAAGCATGGAGAGAACGATTTCATACAAATAAAATAGTTTTGAATCTATTTATAAATCAAAATTTAGCTAAAAGTCTTCATTTTATTTCTTCTCATTTATTCTCTTTAACACTTTTTGTTGAATATGAGTATTTTGTTATAAAATCTATTCCTACGATAGATTTTTCTTAGGTTTAGGAAATTCAATACATAAATTATCATTTTAATACATCTCTCTATAAAATGTGTATTTACCTTCCAACAATTTATGGTAAGCTTCATCCCAATTTTCAATATAGTCTCTTCTTGTGTTTTCCTTTGATTTGACCAAAACCAAAGAAGCCCATTTTTGGTTATCTTGTAGTAATTAATTTTTATCCTTCAATAATAAATAAATTGGATCAATTGTATCCTTAATAATTTAAGCATCTCTATTAGAAGAATCAATTAAAAAAAATCCTATAACTTTTTTAGTTTTTCTTAAATAATTATATAAACTAATCCTATGTGCAATTCTTATTTATTAGGATATATTATCATCAAATCCTGGGCAATCATAATACCACACATCCCCAATCTACATACTTGTAATGTTTTGTGTTTCACTCATGCAGCCATGTTCAATCTTAAACTCTGTCTGAAACTAATTTTTCATTACATAACAAAGTTCACTTATTCTCTTTTCTATTGTTAAACTTTCAGGGTTTTTTAGTATATTTATTAATGTGCTTTTACCAACTCTGCTTTTCCCAAATAAAAATACACCAAAATCCCTCTCTTCCTTTGGACCTGGCTATATGCTTTTTGTTATTTATTTAAAATTTTAGATAATGCTTTCAACCATTAAAGAGCTATATGAATTCCAACATTTAATATTATAGCTTAGATTTTTAATTTCAGATACATTTTTCTATTTAAAATAGTTTTCTACGTATTTTTTCAACATCTTATTGATAAATTCTAATTACTAAGTATTTACTAATTCTTATGGTAAATAAAGGTTTTCTATAGAAATTTCTTTTTCTGCTAAAAATGTCTCCATTAATTTGGTGTTTAGTTTTGATAAACATCCATTTATTAATTTTTTATGAGATTCGTTTACCTCATTAATTCCCTTAAACAGCTAAAATGTAATTTCTAAACTGTATTAAGATGATTAAGTTAAAACGTCATTTAAATTTTTTAAAAGACTAATTATACCTTTATTTAAATCTTATTCATCCTATAAAATGGGGATTTATTGCAATAATAAAAGTTTATCCTAATAATTTTATAATATTTTAGTAAGTTGAACGGCAAATTCATCCATGATTTCTACCAAAAAAAATGACATAGGTCCAAAATCCTCTCTTTTTTTTTCGATACTTGGTTTGTAAAATACATTTTATTAGAAGATGTATCTCAAAGTTTGCTACTTAAAGACTTGCCTGAGATCTTAGACACCTTTCTTAATATCTTTACATAGACAAAAAGATGTTTATTAATCATTAATACCTTTATTTATTAAAGTAACCTTTTCCACTTTAAAGGTTAATTTACCAAAATTAAACAATCCAAAATCAACTATTTAATTAAGTTACGCTTGTTAAGTTTCTCCTTAAAGATTATCAAAATTAACAATGATATGATACTAACAATCTTTAAATTAAAGTAGAACCTTGAATAGAATTATTCTACTTATGTATTATTTAAGGCATAATTATCTATTTGTTATATTCCCTAAGGAGTATGGTGTATTAATAATATAAGAGGTTTTTGACTATTTCTGTAGTCTTACCATTTTTAAATATTCATTTTCCTCAATTACTTTTGTTTCTGAAAAATGAGCATAAAATGCATCCACTTCTTAGTGTGTAAATCCAAAAAAGAGTAATATCTTTTAATTCATCAATTTTTCTTTATTATATTAACCTTAAGATTCATTCTGAATGAATTATAGTTCTTTGTATATTTCAGTTATTTTATCTACTGGCTGTTGAACTTATTATTACATTAAATATTGCCCAATTTCCTAATAGATTTCTGCATTTGAATTGCTGTAATAGAATAAGCTTAGATATTATCGAATGATTCTTATAAAATCTGATTAAAATTTTCTCATTCTTTTGATGTACGGACAGTTTATTAGAAACAAATTTCAGCTCTATTAATGGATTCTTACTTGTATTCTTAAGTTCTAAAGTAATGAATAAAGAAATAATAAAAATTGTAATAGAATTATCTTACAAGCATTTAATTTTTATAATCATAAAAAAAAATTGCAAACTAATATACCATTTGAATTAGATAATTCATATAGCATATTTCTAAAATAACTATTATCATTTAAGAAGTGTGTAATTTATTAAGGTTGATAAAATTATAAGATTCACAATTTTTTCCTTATTTTTTATTATTATTCTATCAAAACTTACTCTAGAAATATAAGTTTTAGATTATAAAATAAGTGATGAAAAGGGGAATAAATATTATGTTATATGATGACATATTTGGAAGGAATAAACTTTATGAAGGGAATTGATTAAAGAATAAATTGGTTATCGATATGACGAGATTATTAAATATTATAAATTGTCTGTTAGAAGAAAAAAGAGATGTCTTCATTTTTAAAACCAGTACCAACCTCATCACCACCAAAATCGAGAAATACAATATCTCCAAATACATAATCCAAAAGTCCCCATTACACTGAGTTACAATAAGGTTCTAATTTGTTTTAATTTTAGGATCTACATTACAAAAATCACAATAGAGTCTGAGGAATTCCCATTACACAAGCAAGTTTGAGAAGAGCATTGATATGGATATGAAACAAAGCAATACCTTTATAAATCCAGAATTTGAGATTAAGAAATTGATGAATTTGGTAGAATTGCAATAACACGAAATCAACAACTGGAAACGTCGATATGAATAAGCAGAAGCAAGAGTACTATCTAATGTGCTAATTATTTTAGTGTATTTCGACTAATCAGACTTAAACAATGCTAGAATATGAGAAACATTTGGACTAATTAACTAAGGAATTGAAGAATTCTATATAATAGAATGATGAGCTCAATAGTAAATTGAGAGAAAAGGATACGCAATTGAGTCGTTTGAATAAATAAATAGATGTATAGAAACAATAACTGAATGATTTCTCATCTGAATTAAAGTATCTATAACACGAAAAACTGAATATGGATAAGGATGCTTCTATGCAATTATTTCAAAAGGATTAGAAATATAATTAAAATTTATAAGAGATCCAATAAGCACATTTAGAACAATTACAATTAATGGATGATCAAATTTAGAAATTATAAGATGAATTGGTGAGAAGAAATCAGGCCATTGAGTTTTAGAAATAAGAGATTGTATAATTGGATAAAATAGTAAATGAGATGAAGGTAGGAGAAAAGAATTTAATGCAGCAATTGGAAGCTCTAAAAGTGAAGTATTAGGATCTTTAAGAGGAAAAGAAAAGAGAAGTTAATAAACTCATATAATAAAATGAATAATAAGTTAAATCATAAGAGAAGGAGTTTCTAGATGAAAAGGAGTGTTTAGTGCATAGGATTAGTTAACTTTAATATGAGAATAATATTTTGAATCAATAAATACTAGAATAGCAGAGTAAATATTTAAAATATAATAATAGATTTAATTTAAGGCTTACAAGATGAGATATAATCACAAGTGGAATAGAATTGCAATTTACAAGAGCAGAATTAGTTGTGTTCCTAAGATTTAGATCAGAAATATAGAAAATCAGTTTCGGAAATAAAGATGGAATATTAATAATAGATTAATAAATTGTTGTAAGAGATTTAAAAAGTGAATTAACAATTGGATTAAACTTAAAAATAATTACAAGAAAATTAGTAATTGAATTAAGAATTGTAAATTTCACTAGAAAACTTGAATTAGCATAATTAAACTACAACATCTTAACTAAAATAAGTATAGAATGAATATGATTCGTTGCAATTACAATATGAGAATGATATTCAAGAGCAAAATTAAGAGATTGAACAACTAAATGATTAAGTTAATCAATTGACTGAACTATTAGAATAGAGATCAAATGAATATGATGAATGATTCTTAGACAACAGACTTAGTTAGCTTTAAGGAACAATGAGAATAATGTAATAATAAATTTAATGTTTAGTTATTGATACAAAGAATGTAAGTGGAGTTGGAGTGTCAAAAATAGAAATTGATTGAGATACAGAAATAGTAAGAGGTATCAGAATAGGTAAAGGAAGAAATCAAGAGGTCTCAGATTGAATAGATCAAGAGATAGATGGAATCATAAGTTGAAATTTTGGAGAGTGAGAATAGAACTCTGAGATACCAGATAGAGATGAAAAATAGAGAATGCGAGGAGTGGAAACAATAGTATACTAGAAATTAATGATTGTTTATATTATCAGTTACTGTTGATTTATATCTTTGAAATTTTGGAAATCAATTTCTGATAAAGTATTGAAATGAGTCCAATAATGTCAACTTGTGTCATCAAGGCTGCAATTATATAATCATCTATGTCTAATTCATGTTTCTAATATAATTATCAACTTCTTACTTCTCCATTGACAATAAGAAGTGTATCAATTATAATATGCATTCCATACAAGATGATGAGGAATGATAATATAAATAAAAATATGAGGGATAATTTGAAGTAGAGGAATAAGAATATGAATAGTAGAGTAGTGGTAATGACTATGCAGATTAAACCCTTGTTTAGATTGATCTCCGAGGTTGTAAAATATGAGTAAGTGATGAGGGAAATGATGATGCCAATTTGTAATGTAATCAATGAAAGGATGTGATTTGAGTACGTAGGATAATGATGTGTAGTGTAAATAAATATGTATGAGATGGAGAGGGTGAAACAACTATAACAGATATAATTATAGGGATGTTGTTTGGCTAATCTTGATTTACATATAAACTTACTTTTAAAAAGCTCATTAGCAAAAATATTACTAAGATCAATACAACCATAAATATCCAAAATAAGAATGGTCTGCAGCAAAAGGTATTCAATAATTGCAATTTAAGAATATGCTATCAATGTAGAGATGAAAGTGAATCCAATCTGAAATAACAATATCAAAAACACCTCATTAGGCAATATCTTACCTTTCTGATGAAACTTAATCTCGCATACTCTATTCTTTGTTGCTCGGTATCGATTATTTCAATATCGAATGCCTAATAATTATTCTATTCATAGTCCATTTTATTGATTAAATTATTTATTTATAAATGACTGAAGCATAACAACTAGAAGAATTTACAATATACGGGATTCAAAGTGAATTCAGTGCAAGAGGCCAAATCAAATATGAGGATCTAAGAATGCTGATATCGGATTATATGTAGATGTAGCCTATCTTTTTCCTGGTAGTTCAGATCCTTGAACAAGAACATTAAATTTAGATAGTGGAAAAGATTAAGATTGACATTTAAACCATCTTCTCAACTTTTAGATCCCTTTACTTTCTACAGGAAGTTCCAAGGGTATTTCACTTATTTTTTATTTCAGTTCCTAAATGGACGTTTAACACATTTTAATGTTCGTAACATCAAAGCAGCAATTTAACTTTATCATGATGGACTTCTTACGTAATCTCTTATTCTTTATCTAGAATGAAGGATATAAAAGATGCTTGTCTTATATTCCATCTTCGAGAGTAAGAGTTAATGAGTGAAGGAGTACCATGTAATGCAACTGAAATTAACAATTTATTATGGGTATACACTTTTATAACATATTCCTTATTTCAGGCAATAGGAAAAGCCATAAGCACCAGTGTTTTGGAAGAATGGATAAAACGATGCACAGACTTTCTCTAGATTAAGGGCTTCCTTTAAGAATTCGAGTTTCTCTACCTTATGGCAAATACAGTTGACAGATGGGCTTATTATGAGAAGATTCCTAAAACTAAGATGGATCTTACAAGAGATCCCAAAATGGTTTAATTATTAGACTACTTTAGGACAACCTCTATGTCGTAGATTAAACTGGATATAAAACTGCCAAGAATCCGGATGCAAAAATTCAACATTATATGAATTATCAATACAATATGGACAAGGCTGTCTTTAAGGGCAGATCCTTAAAGGATAGAAATGAATACTATATTTAAAAAAGGACTTAAAAACATCAATAATTCTTGAAAAATAAGGATGCTGGTATTGGGGAATTTAAAAAACTCTTAAGAGACCCTGAATTATATGTTGAAATTAAATCTAAATTAAAAAATGCTTAGCAAATTTTGAATCATTCTAAATTAAATGGGAAGATGCTCAGAGTATAATTATTAGAAGAGTTTGTTGGATCAAAGGAATTTCTATAATCTCAAGCCAATCAACACAATAAATAATTACAAAACGAGGAATCTAGGAAGAGCATACCGAATATTAAATAATTAAAGGAGCATCCTTAATTCTAAAAATAAACATAAAAAATTTAGATATCAGAAGCTATTGAAGATATCAGATAAGATGTTTAATAGCATAAGAAAATGATGCAAGATCCAGCTTTCATGACTGAATATTTATAAAGAGCATCAAGTGCAGTCAGTACAAAAGCATCAATGAGAAAAAATATAAGTGGCAAATTAGGAGTTTAATCTTAAACATCTTTAAGGCCATCAACTGCTATAGTGATGCCAACATAAATGAAAATGTCTAGGCCTATTACAGCAATTAGTAATCAGGAACACTAGAAACCACGATTATCATAAACAAATGTTAATTAATCTTAATATTTTAGATTCCTAAAATTTTAGAAGAAGAAATTGAAATATTCGAAAATGAACAACAAGAAAACAAAAATCAAAATACAGTATTTTATGGTTCTTCGAATTCTACTAAGCGTTTATATAACATAGACTTACCGTGGCATAAGTCGTCATTACAAATTTAATGATTTTATTTTAATTAATAAATGTAAAAAAGAGTATAAATATAGAGCAGAAAAGCATAAACAGTTTATCTTCCTCTAGCTGCATCCTCAATAACAATTCATTCTAGAATTACTTCTTAATCATAATCTTAAAATAATATTGTCAAAGTCGTTTAAAAACAATTAAAAGTGCGTAACCGATCATTAAAAACAAGAAACTAAATGCAAAAAGAAATATTATCATAAACTGATAGTTGTACTCAAAAAGTATCAACCGAGAGAAATTTAGAAATAGATAGTTCCATAATGGAACCATCAACAACAATTACTAATAAACAATTTCAACTTGTTTGGCAATCTCCTTATAGACCACACATTTATACTATTAACTTTCCATATCCATGTACATTAATATTATATTTTAGAATTGCTTCAACAAAAAAGAACTTAACAATTTTTAGTAGAGGAGATCAAAAAACCATTATTTTATAAGCTCTAAGGTTAGGTACCTTTCAAATGTGTATTAAATGCTTTTGAGGCTGCTGGATTCGAAAGGACTGATGATGATAATTGGTTACTTTATTGGGGATTGGCGAGCAAGGAAACTTTAAATGAAATGAAGAAGTATTAAAAAACTAATCATTTTCCTGGCTGTTGGAGTGTAGGGAGAAAAGATAACTTATGGATTCATCTCTCTAAAGTTAAAAGACGATTTCCAACTGAATACTCTTTTATTCCCAATACTTATTTATTACAATATGATTTCGAGAGATTCGAAAGAATTAGGGAATGTGCTCCCAAGAAAACTTTGTGGATTAAGAAACCAGTTGCATCTGCAAGAGGAAATGGTATCAAATTAATCAGCAAGAAATCTAAATTGACTGCTGATAAAAGATATTTAGTCATGGATTATATTTCCAATCCTCACTTAATTAATAATTTTAAATACGATCTAAGAGTTTATGTTTTAATTACTTCAACAGATCCATTGCGAGTTTATATGTATAAAGATGGATTGGTCAGATTTGCCACTTAAGAATATTCACTTAAAAGTTCAGATATCAAGAAGAGATTCATACATTTAACTAATTTTTCAGTCAATAAATAATCCCCTAATTTCATAGCCAATAATTAAGATATCGGAAAATAATTAAAAACCTCTAAGTGGTCACATAAGGAATACAAACAATAGTTGATGAACTAAGGAATTAACCACAAATTATTATTTAAATCAATCCAAGATGTAGTGTTAAAGACCTGTATTGCAGCTGACCCTCTTCTGCTTGAAAATAGAATAAGTAATTATATTCTTATTTATACTTCTTAGCATTGGAACATAAAAATAATTATTTTGAGTTATTTGGATTTGATATACTGATAGATGAAAAATTAAAGCCATGGTTACTCGAAGTTAATGTAAGTCCTTCCTTAAACTCATCTTCTGAGTTGGATGCTTAAATAAAATCTTAATTGATATCAGATATGTTACATTTGATTGGACTAGAATATCATACCAAAAAGGCTTTTAGGATACAGATAAAAAAGAAACTGTATGAAAGGAATATTAATGATATTCAGTCTATAAATTCAAGAAATTTTAAATAAAAAGTAAATTAAGAGGATCTAGATGTTATGATACAATCATTAGAAGAACAACTGAGACTGGGACAATTTAAATGCTTGTATCCAAATAAAAAAAATATTTTCGAATATGAATAATATTTTGAATATCCAAGATTTCACAATAAGCTGATATAAAAGTATTTCGAAGATGGATCTAATTGGGTCATATGAACATTAATTTTGTGTGAAAATATTAAATTTTTTGTTATATTTTAGAGGTTACAAATTATTGAAATTCCTTAGAAATTTATAATTCTCACTATATTAACATAATTACTACTAAATGAGAGAATAAAGTTCTACTCTAAATAACTATAATAAATTAATTAAATCAATATTAAAACAATTCATTCAATATTCTGATTCTTCTTTTTCAAATATTCCTCAAACTATTAATATATAATGATAGATTACATTCATTGCTCCAAATTGAGTAACAGGTTTAAGGGTAGGAATTAAAAAAGTGAGGGTATTCATATTGATTGGACTCAAAACATTGTCTGTTTAGATTCTTTAATATATATTTTGATTATCATGATTATTTTCTTCTATTGAAGGTTCATATATTTTAAAAAGATCAAAATATGATGAAATTTTGCGTTCAAAAAATCTAAAATACATTTTTGTAGCCTTTTCCTTAAGTGTCCATTTAGAAAAAAATTTAATCATCAGAAATCCTTACTTTTAATATTGTAGATTCAATTTTTCGAGTTTAGATATAACTTTATTAAAACAAGTCTAAAATTGCTCTTATTCAAAAGTTCTGAATTTTGATAATTTTTAAACACTTTGTTATGAAATTTATTTGATTTCTTCATCTGTTTCGCATTGATTGGAGGAGGATAAAGGACCAAAATTAGCTAAATGTGTATGATAATTATTTTATTCATATGATTTTCTTTCAGTTTCTTAAAATGTCTTGAAATTCTCATAATTGAGTCTAGGAGTAATTTTAATAGGAGATGTCTCATTTATAATTTGATGAATGTCTATTTGATGTAACAATCTTTATTTTGTCTCTTGAAATTAAAATGGTTCCTAAGATTCATCTGTTCGCAATCTAACTTTAGTATGTAATTGAGTGCTCTAATAGTTAAATGGCTATTTTGGCGATTATTTTTTATCAAATATTTTAATGATTTCAGAGTATTGCTTGGCCAATTTTTAATTCGATTTCCTCATTTTGAACTAATAAATCAAATCATCAATATTAAGGTTGCCCCTTTTTGAAGAGGATGACTATCCAATTGTCGAGATTTAGGAATACAGATCATGTTTGAGGTTTTATCTCCTCATAAATTAAATTCAAATTGTAATTATCGTTATAATATAAAAAATCAAAATGACCTATTATTATCATTAGTTCTTCGCTGTTGCGCTTATGCTTTCCCTCCTTTACCTTTAGGCTATTGTACTGGCTCTTCCTCTTCCTCTTCATAATAGCCGTCAGCTTTAATTAGGTGAAATAAGAGTACCCATATCTTCGCCCATTTCTTGCATATTTCTTAACTAATGATCTCTGTAAGCAACCAATCGCAGCACCAATTTATACACCTTTTTAATTGATCAAATGTACTTGTTATGGTTTGACAACATCAGGATCCAAAAATTCTTGATGCTCATTAAACAATGCCTCTACAATATCTTCAGGTTCAACTAAAAAGATCAAGTTATTCAAATGAATAGCATAGCACTTCTTCTTTTTCTTATTCACCTTCTTATTCTCAATAGGATGGTATAACAATCCAATAATGGGTGGATCAAATTTCAATACAAAACCCAAGGGTTGATAAGGTAATTTGTTCATTTTAAAATTATATAATAATCACTTATTTAATTTATAATTCACAATTTCTACTTAGGATTCATAGGAAAATCCTAGTTTATTTTTGAATTAGATTCATAAAGAGGGTATCTTATCATTTATGAGTATCCATTATTTTGAATTTAAAATTAACTTGATTTAGAATTCTCAACAATATAAATTAAGAACTCAATTTAGTCTCTAATAGATAAGGTTTTCTTAGATATCTCCCTCAGCATTATTTTTTATATGAATGATAGGTTCAGAAAAAGTAATACTCAAAAACCCAACCACTTAATGAAATTTAAATCTTAAGTTTAGCATAATAATAAAATGAATCAATATTGAATTTCTTAGTTAAAAGATATTTCTCTATTTTTAAAGAATGTAATTAATTGATTGAGTTAGTTTTATAGTTTTTGTTAATTTAATATGGTTATTCAAATGACATGTATAATAAAATGCATATCAAAAATCTATTTATTTCTATTCTGTTTTTTTTTTAAGTTTAGGATGCATTTGTATATTTGTTTCAGTTTACTTCCTTAATTTTCTCATTTTTGTAATTGTAAATTACAATAAAATAATTTAATTTATATTAAATATCTTGTTCGAACAAATAATAAATCTCATTTCTTCTCTAGAACTGGATATGAAGCAGATAGACAGACTCCACATGTATTTCCAGGTGCCAATCTAATATATCCGTTTTCACCCCATTTAGATCCCCATTAATGTCTCACTTTCCAAACTCCATTCTAATCAACACCTACCAAGATAGATCCAGATGTCAAATTTTGTTTGCAATTATTGAATATTCCTCCCTCTATAATAGATTTTATATAAAATGATTACTATAATATGCCCAATTGGATGCATCAACTCCAATAGAAAGAGCTTAATCTTGAATGGCAGTTTAGAGACCATTACAACCATCTACGTCTACGAACCCTGTAACGTATTTGAAATCTCTTTTAACTGAAGTTCTGCAGGTTTAGTCACTTCCAACGTATGGATAAACTGAACCATTTGCGATGCCGTGATCTCTGACGTATTCAAATCCTGAATCCATCCATCCACCAGAACATCCCTAATTTCCATATGGACCTGAACAATCCAACATATCCTACTCAGAAAGGGTGGTTTCTAATCCAAACTCGATGTTGCTGTTGATTTCCAATACACCTACTGCAGAAAATGCCCAAGAAGAACCACATGATGATCCTTAATCTTTAATGGGTGGCACCTTTCCTTCTTCAACCCAATCTCTAGCTTATCCATTTGGAACGTAATCGGTTGACTTGGATTTGTTTGTACTCTTGGGTCTAAAAGTTAGATATTTTTGTGCAAACTCTTATTCTGTCAAGTCTGCAAATTAGTTAGTTTCCATAGTATAGGTATACTTACCTGATTTATCATTGTTATGAGCTTCAATTAATTAAGCATTCTATTGGAACACTAAGTAACGATACCTAAAGTTGTAATTATCAATTATACATCTCCTCCTTTTCACTACTAAATTTTTTGTTGTATTAGATTTTCCAATCATTAAATTGTCTCACCTTCTATAACTCCCCTAATTCTTCTCCATTCTAATTTAGATACACGCCTGCACCAATTAGTAATAGGAGTCCAACTGTTATCAACGATTTTTCCATATGATACAAAAACTATATGAATAAATTAATTAAATTAAATCTTAAAAGACCCTCCTTTTATAGTTCCAAATTGATATTTCATTTCTTCCTATATGTAATTATTGTCAAATAAATGGAGGAGAATTAATTCCTTTTTTAATATACTTATATGATTGTTTATATTGATATAGATCATTCAGTGTTTACTACTTATGGCTCTTTCTCCTTCTGTTTACTTTTAGAATTGCGGCTCTTTTTTGATGACTTTTGACTTCCATCTTTGACAATATTCTCCAAAGCAAACCTCTTCTTGTTTTTTAGAGATATCGAAATAATGTTGGGAATCTTGGTAGGAAGTTCCAAATAATCAAGTGGAACAAACTTATCTACGTGAACCTTGTTTTTCTTTTCAAACTCATCTATGAATTTTTATGTCTCTGCACATTGTTTATACACCTTTGCCAATTGCTTGTAATGGACTGCTTATTTCTTATTTGGAGCTTGCATATATTCTAATTTTATTAATTTTCACATTTCTTAAAAGCCTGCTTTTATAGCTAAATTTGGTATGAAAAAGTTTTGATATAAAAATTTTATATTCCAAATTCAATTTTTTCCATGATATTTAAATATAAAACATCCTTTATTCTAATTTGTTTATATAAATAAAGTAATAAAATATAAGTAGGAGTAATTATTATTAATTATTTGAAACATTCAATTAAGAACATTAAATAAATATAATAAAATTTCATTTTTTAAACCATCCATGGTGGCCAGGAGGACCGTGGTGTCCATGTCCTGGACCATGATGAGGGGGATGATTAGCTCTATGTTCTAACCATTCTTTTCTTCTTTATTCCATTTCATTTAATTTATTTTATAAATCTTGCAATTATCTTTTAAGATCTTACTCTACTTATTATTTTTAAACTTTTTCAGTTTAAATCAGATTTTGTAGATTGTTTTATATTTAAAGAGACTTTTCACAATAATCCTTATATTGCTATTCCATTCCTTTTTTATCCTATTCTATAACATTTCTTAATTGCTATTCCATTTTTAATTATTGTTCATACCTAATTCTGTTTTCATACTCTTATGCATACATTTGTTCTTTTTATATTCTAATCTGTGATTCTGTATTCAATTATTGCTCTGCCTTAATTCTATTTTATTATTCTCTTAATTTTTCTTCATTAACTCTTTGTAACTCTATCTTTTTTTATAAAGTCTCTAAGAAATAAGAACATTTCTATTGAACTTATAAACAATGTTTTTCAAATGTTGAGTAGCCTGAAATGAATTCAGAGAAAAATGAAAAGAAATTGAAAATCTTTAGAAAATTCTAACTTTTTTCATGGATATCATTTTCAAAATGAAATGTTTAGGATAATTCTAATGAAACATTAATAAATTTGTTAAACCAATCTTCAGTATGTTCAGGTGTAGTTGATAGAATGTGCTATATAGAACCGATTAGACTTTGTAATAAAATGAATTATTCATCATTGATTTCCTTCAGTTTTTAGACTTAGATTATAATCCATTTATTTACAAATCAAATTTAATATTAAATTACTCTTTTCAGTAATATATGTACTGATTCTATCACTATATGGTAAAAATTAAGGTTAGAATGGTATTTCATTTACAGTAATTAATTCGAACCACAGTTTTTCTCTATTCTCTTCTGAGAAAACTTCATTCAATTTTTCTGGGCTATTAATTCTTCTAATAACGGAAATCCATTCATGTTTGACTGTTTCTACTTCTTTTAGTTGTTTTTAAACATTTATAATTAATTTTTCTTCCTTCATATTTTCATTAAAATGATTCAAAATAAGTGCAAGTTTAGAGATCTCCAAATTTTTCTCTTTAAAAACTGTTTTTATAAATTACTGTAATGCAATGCCTCTGCTAATAAAATTTGTTTATGGATGAAAGAGTACATATGCTATTTTTACATTGGATTTGGTAATAAATTTATAGAAAATCATCTAAATAATTAACTAACTTATTTCTCCACTCGTGTCATGAAATCCTGGGAAGTCAATCAATAAATGATTGAAGGTTTCATTGTAAAAATACTTTGGCTCTTTGGTAACAGATTTCATTCCGCTGCTCATCTCTGAATATTAATCTGATTTATCAGCCAAATCTAAATACTCCTCGTCATCGTTGATAACGTATTTGAATTTTGCTCCACAGAGAAAATTGAAGATTGTGCTTTTTCCTGATCCTGTATCACCAACAAGAATCAAGACTTACAAATTAGACTTCATCTTATACTCAAATTGATCTAATTATAAAGAAATCCTATCTATTGTTTCCAACAATGTTTTTTCATCAATATTTAGTTAGTCTGATTGAATCATTAATAATTATTAATGTTTTATGAAATCATAAAAATAAATATATATATATTTGTTGAATTCTATCATTATAAGTGAACAGCATTCTATAAAATTATTAGGAATTTAGTTATATATTGTTTAAATCAAGAATTAAAACTTTCATCAATTTTTAGGCAGGTTGATTCTAACAATCTTAGGATACTTTCTTATGACCTTTCTTTAGAGATTCTTTCATTAATAATTTCATTTTGAATTTTCTAATGCACATCTTCTATCATAGAGAAGATTTTCTATTCCGTTTCTTCTCTAACTGATTTTTCAATGGTCATCATTTCTTAGAATTTATTTAGTTCCAAATCCATTTGCTCAATTAAATGAGTCTAAGATTCAACTCTAAAATATATATTTATATAAAAACCTATTTTATTACTCATTTTCTATAGTAAATTTCAGATTACTCAATTAATTGGCAATATCTCCAATTTATCTATTTAATTTATCTTAATAGAGAGAGTTGTTCTTCCCCAACATGCTTTGCACAGTTTCAAATCTATCTTCAATTTATTTCAATAGTTATAATTCCACTCTCCGTTTGTTCTAATTTCATGCAATTCAATACATTTTTTTCTTCATCCATTTGTTTATTAATCTACTCTTCAAAGAGGAGTAATTGTTCTTGATATCGTAAGTAATGTTCCTTTCCAAATCTCTCATTATTGACCTATTCCGTGATTTTAAATAATTATTCTTTAATTGTCTATAATAAAACTTAGGAATTACTTTAAACTTTTCATCATCGTTAATTTTGTCATAACTTAATAAATTGTCTATTTTAAAAATGGATGTTTCTAAAATTTCTTTTTTTTCGAATTTCCCCTTATCAATTCCTGTCTTAAGTTAATTCCATCTATCTGCTAGTGCTTACATTTTTTAAAAAGAAGGAGATTCTGCTCTTATTTAAGAATTGTTCATAATTTATGATGATGAATATCGCATCAAAATTTGAAATTAAAACTTTTATGTTTGTTAAAAATATTTATAAATTTATGTTTTGATTATATATTATCAATGTGTCCTTTTTTCTTCATCATCTGAGTACAATCTAAGAATATGAAAATTAATACCTTGGGTCATTGTAATAGACATTCTTCTTTATAAGATTATCCAATTGTTCTTGAGTCAACTTACTAATTTCTGATTGGGTGGTAGTTGAATTGCTTGTCATGTCACTAGGTTTGGCAGAAACTTCAAAGATTTTCTAGGCTGATGAGTTTTAATTATTAAACATCATCATGGCAGCCAGACTCATGAAATCATTACCTTATCCTTCTTTTGCTTTAGGCACGACTACAACTTTTGATGATTTTAGAATGCTTGAGTATCCCTTCAAGTAATGTTATAAGAGTATATAATCCAAGACTCTTTTTTTGGATTGTTCTTTTAGAGTTTCGCTAATTTGATTTAAGGCCTTAGCTTCATTTTGAGAAACCAGTCTGACTGCTTCTGCATCTCCTTCTGCAATTTTGATCGATGCTGTTTTGGCACCTGTAGCAATATTGATTTCACTAATTTGTTTGCCTTCACTTTCTAAGATTTCTCTTCTTTTATTTCTCTCAGCCACCACCTGAGCTTGCATTGACACTCTGATTTCTTCAGGTATTTCAATTTATAATATTTCAACTCCCAAACTAGTGTAACCCCACTCTGCTGCAGCTTTGCTCAGACCAGTTTACAATGCTCGATTCAAGGCAGATCGCTCTTGTAGGAGTTGATCCAATTTCAATTTACCAATTTCAGATCTCAAAATGGTTTGACACAACAATTTAATAGCATTTTATGGCTCACTTACCTATTGAAATGAAAATGGTAAATACTTAATAAGAAGCCTTGAATGGATCAATGATACGAATGAATGCTATTCCATCAAGATGAATCGCAACATTATCCTTAGTAATCACCTATTACTTTTCAATCGGCAAGATTTCCTCCTTTAAGGATTGGGTATATGCTGCTCTGTCAATGAGTGGAATGAGGAAATTTAATCCAGGTTGCAAGGTTCTGTTGTATTTTCCCAATTGTTCCACAATGACAACAGACTTTTCTCTCACTATTGTGAAGAGTTTATATCCAAACATAATTTTAATCTAATATATATATAATCGATTATTATTTATTTTGAATTTGAATGAACCAGCCAAAGAATAATCACAGAAGAGCATTATCCAATAATGATTTCTAACAAATTTTAAATTCCAAAATTTCAGAATTGCTTGAAGAAAATAACACACACAAAATAATACATAAGAATCAAAGCTTTGGTAATGTGCTTTTCTAAATCCCCGAATAGACTGATATAGCATCATCCACTGAATAATCAATGCAATCAGCCAAAAAGACTCAACTATTCGACCAAAGTCATAAAAACAATCACTCCCAAGAATAGAAGGAAAACCTTAAAAACCAAGGGTCGTCATCAAATCTCATCTCGCATATCCAATATATGATTAAGGGCAATCATCCAATCAAAGAAATCACTCAAAAAACTTTAAATAGCGAAAGATAGGATAAAAATAAACATCTGAGTTTCACCAATGAATTGCAAAAGAAACACAGTCAAATCATATTATAATCAAATAATAACAATGACAGTTCTAGTCTAACACCAGATAGGAATAGAGCAGAGGAAAATGGCAGCAAATTGAATAGTCACAAAAATAAATCCGATCAATAGGAGAAATCCAAGATTGAGTTATCAAGCTCCTTATTCAATACGATACTCAAGGTGGATGGCAAAAGGAAGTTGAATGTCGAATAACAGGAATCTTACAGGAGAATTGAAGTACAAATGAATAAAATTTAAAAAGATATAAACAATATCAAAATGAGATAAGATTAATTGGATTAATTCAATAGAAATATACAAAATCAGCTTTGCGATTTCATGACTGAAAGCAAAATACAATAAGATGTAATATATACATCAAAGATTTTAGTATGGTCATCAATCTCTCCAAAAACTAGAATAATTGGAATAAATCACCAAAAGAAATGAAGAATCCATACAACTCATCAAACAACAACTAATACTAGATCAGTCTAAACAAATAAATAAAGGAAATGAAAATATCATCAATTTTGGGTATTATTCATATTTCTATATTTAAGGAATCTCACTTTTTATAAATAAGATAGTGACCAATTTAAAAAGTTTATTCATTTAAAGAGTAACAATATACTGTGATTTATACTGTGATTTCACTTATGTATTTTATCATTATTACAATTCTATAGATTTTTAATATTTAATGTAAGTTAATAGGAATCAATTCATTAAAGTATTTGACTTTCAAATTTATATCTAAGTTTTTAGTTGCTTCTGACAATCATCTTGGAGCAAATGAAAATGTGGGACCAAAATCCAACAGGTACTAGGATGCCTTTGAAGCCTTTGAGGAGGTTCTTCAAATAGCTACATAACAAAATGTTGACTTTGTGATTTTGGGAGGGTAATATTACTATTTAAATTTAAGAGATTTATTTCATGAAAAACATCCAACAGAACATTGTTTACTCAAATGCGTTGATATTCTTTAAAGACATGTCTTTGGAGATAATTTTGGCGGAATTTAACTGGAACTCAATTCACTCAATTATTAGCCTAATTTTAGTTGTTCTAATTTTAATGTACAATTACCAATTTTTATTATTAATGGTAATCATGATGATATTGTTACTGAAAGAAATGAAAGTGTGTCCATTTTAGATATACTTCATGAATCTAAATACTTAAATTATATAGGCAAAATCACTGATTAATCCTTTGTTTCTATTAAACCTGTAGTTCTTGTAAAAAATAATTAAAAGATTGCACTATATGGTTTAGGATACATGAAGGACTACTAATTACATAAGATTATTAATGATGGAAAATTAGTCTTGGAATCATTAGATGAAAATAATTTCAACATTCTGATCATTCATCAAAACAAATACAAAGGGAACCATTTTTAAGATGAAAAGAACTTTATTGATCCAATTTACTTTAAGAAGTATAAAATTGATCTATTGATTTGGGGTCATGAACATGAAGCGTATAATTTAATTTTAATTATGTAGAATTTATACTTTAGATACATGTGAACATTTTTAAGTGTTCTATCCTGGAAGTACTGTGGCAACATCAATCATTGAATATGAATCTCTAATTAAACAAGCAGGTTTATTTACACTTACTAAGAATCAAATGAAATTTGAAAGCATTAAATTAGAAAAGAGCTACAGACCTATGATTTATAAGAATATTGAATTAAGTGAATTGATAAAAACAACAGATAATAATTTACAGATTAGCAATCAGGAGTTAGCTGAAAAATTACTATTTGACTTTGTAGAAAAAGAACTAATTAATTATTATTAAACTAGCTCGTATAGACAGAAAAAACCATTGCTAAGAATTAAAGTGGAGTATTCTGGATTTGAATTAATGAGAATGAGATATATTGAAACTAAATTTGCAGACAGGGTCTCCAATCCAGATTAAATATTCAAATTTTGGGAGAAAAAAACAAATCTACAAGCATAGATACAAAAACGAAAGGAATAAGCATAGCAACTTAATCAATAGTTTGATAATATCTTACGAAATAAAGTGGAGATTAATTCCCAGAATCAAACCATGATGAATGAGTTCTCTAGCATGGTATCCATAGATATCCTATTTATAGCTATCACAAAAGTTGTTTCAGTAAAATTTCTAAATCGTTGAATAAGGAGATTTCTTAAACATACTTGATAATTTTTTATCTTCTACTAATAAGGAAAAGTCCAATTTATTTAATGATTTATACCCCAAGACCATTGAAAAATTTAGGGAAAATGTCATTCCATAGTATAGTAATAGAATACTGCAAATTGTGAAAAAGTAAAGAGAAAATTAGGACTCTTTGATATTTTAAATTCGTGATGCAATTATAAAAAACTTTGAAGGTAAATCTAAATAAGAATCATCTAATTGTGCTGATTTTGCTAATGATATAAACTAAGTATTTATTAAATTCCAAGAAGATTTCAGAATTGAAACATTCAGAACCAGTCTCAATTAAAATAATAAATTAAATGCTTCTTTTTAAACAATGGCTTCTAAATAGATTTAATAATCATCAAATCAATAAGGCATTAGTTAATAAGCTCCATTTTAAATAGAGGAAGATGATACTTTTCCTAGATATGGCTAGACATAAGCAAGTTTGTTTGATTAAGATTAATAAGAGGAAGAAGAGGAGGAAGAAAGGAAGGATAACAAAGGAAAGAAAGTTCCTAAGAAAAGAAAGCCAGCTAAGAAGGAGCAAGAAGTTGTGAATTTAGATAACAAACCGAAATAAAAAGTCTAATTGTAACCATATAAGATTGGAATGAATAAGTTTTTTTTTTGAATCTCTTTATAAATCAAAGAACTTTTATATAATATTATAATACTGGGTTCATTTTTTCATAAAGATAAAATTTCGATTAAAAGAAGCTGATTGAAAATATCCATATTTAACAATAATAATTGATTATCATTTTCCAAATCTATAAGGAATTTATGAAAGTGACTATCCTGAAACCATTTCAGCTTTTTTGTTTTAGAGACTTTATAAAACAATTTTTGATATATCTATATGAGTGGTTCCTTAAAATATGGTGAAATCGTACTTGGTGAACAACTAAGAATTCTGGCTTGATCATCCTCTTTGAAAGTTTAAGAGGCTTAAGGATTTGATGATTCAACTGAATTCCTTTGACTGGACTTTTTTAGCATATTCTCCAATTCAATTTTCTGGATCTGCAATATCTGAATCATTTTGCTTTGTTATAACTCTTTTTCCATCAATAATTTAATTTCTTTTTATGATTGTTCCATGTATTAGATTTTTTCTTCCTTAGATTGAACCAAAGCTAATGATAAATTATTGATTTTAGAGGTCAATAGATTGAGTTCAACCTATAGTTTTTTGTTTAATTTGTTTTACTCTATAATTTATTGCTCTTTATCTTCATTTTATAATTTTAATGAAATGACAAGCTCACTCAATTCTCTGTACTGTTTTTGCGTTTCTCTTAATTCATCATTTCCAGAAGGAGTGGTATTTTATTGTTTAATGGCCTTAAGTTCATCTTCGAGAAGCTAAATCTATTATCTATCGCACTTAAAATATAACATAACCTCATACTTTGATTTGCTCTAGTCTCGCCTCCTCTATGATCAGTATAGCATTCAGGACATCTTGAATGTCTGAATTGATGCCCAATTACAGGATTTCTTCAAAGTCTTCATTAAAAGATTTCGAGATCTGAATCCACAATCTTAGTAAAATTTGTTTGAATTCCTCGTGTTCTGATTTGGATGCAAGAGTGCTATTTTGTAACTCATAAAATTTAGAGTCGATGAGATTAGGCGTAGTAATCATAATTAACAAATATTAATTTATATATAATATAATTTTGTTCATAACTGCTAGAAACGAGACTCTTGAGGGAATTATCGATGTATAATCTTCTTTAACCTCTTCTTGGAATCAGAGTTCACACATAACATAGAGTAATACGCATTTTGCAAATAAGATCGACTCCTGTATTCCTTCAATTTTTACTTGCTCTGATTTTAGATCCCTGATATAAGGGCCAATATTACGAACTTTTTTGATTTAATTGTCAATCATTTAGATCTACTATTACGATTACTCATGAGCATGCGGACTTGCATTATTCATTATATTAGTAATGGCCATTTAACGATTCTTATTGATAACGTACAAACTGTAAGGTAATTTGACTCCATTTAGGTAAAAGGATGAGTTTGGATTCATTGGATTGATTTCACAATTATTTTCACCAATTAAGTGTTATTTCTTCACTCGATTAAGTGATTTTCTATTTAGAATATCATATAGTATATTACTTAAATTGACCGTAACTCTTATGCAACTCAGATAGTTCTTTGTCCTTGTGTTCTTTGCTTTTAGTCAATTTTGGAATCTTAGGGGAAACCTCTAAACTGTTCAAACTTACTTTACTTGCTTTTCTGCTTTTTTTAGGATTTTCACAAAAGGATTGCTAGATGGTAAGTTTTAAGTTACTTTTAATTAATTTAGTCTACTTGTCATGAAAACATCTGGCAATTGATACACCATTTTTGGTTTATGATCAAAATCGATTTTAATGAGGGGCTAGCTATGCATGGAGTTGCTGTGTAAACGCCACTTCTGGAGTGGGTGATTGTGATCATTGTAAGACAATGGGAAATAATTATCATTTTGATTCATATAAAATAATAATAATACAAAATAGTGTGTTTTTAATCAAACTTCGTGTCTTTCGAAGTTATGGTGGATTCTAATATTATCACGATTCTAAAAGTGAATATTTTCATGGGTCTTATGATGAATTTATGCAACCATTCGATTTCCCACTTCTCTTAAAATGAGAGGAGAAGTTAGAAAACTATTTTTATTTTGGTGAATATTGTGTTTGATACTCTCAAAATACTCTTGTTATTTAAGTGTTGGATCAGTTATTTGAATATCTATTTGATCAAGATATTAATTGATGCTGAATTCTTTTGCATTCATCTAATTTATGAAATAAGTTAATTAATGTGATCCAAATAATATGATAAATTCTTAATTAATTTTATTTAACTCATTATAAGTTGACATTAATAAGGATTATATATATAATTGACATTTAAAATAAATAAATATCGTACCAAAATTAAAACATTGTAAAAAAGAACAGGAGTGTGCTGAGGAATCTGTGGAAAATACGTAATAATAAATTACAAAGTGGTTAGTTATTTGCAAAGGATATATAATGAATATTATTATAGATCCAAAATAGCAATACTAAATATATAACCTTTATTTTTGAGAATTCTTATTCAGATTTAACATGACAGGGGTATTATTGATAATATGATTGAAAAGGCATTCAAAAATTAAGTATTTCAACACTTAATTATATTATTGATGCTTCAATTGTCAAAATATGACTCTTTTTGTTATACAAAGTGTATAGATCTTGGTATTGATCCATAAATGTAAATTCTGTGAATCAATTCATAATCTATTCTAATACAATAAAGGATCTACATGTCTCCATCTAAGCTAGAATTGTAAATTAATATTTTTCTGTTTTATACAAATTAATAATAAAGACGGAAAATGAAATTAAAGAACTACAATGAGGATATTAGATTCAAAGTAAGACAGCGATATACAACAATATCTGATTGGATGTCAAAAACTATTGATTCTGAAAGTGTACCTGAAGTGAAACCTAGATCTCATTATAGCACAGCAAATAAAATTAAACCGTCTGCTATGATTTCACTAAAGTACCCTTTTCATTTTATCATTAGGCCAAAGAGCATGGATACAGTTTTGAATTATCAACCAAGACTTTCCAAGTCTCAATAACCAACAAATTTACAATCATCAAAAATCTATAGGAAATTTATTGATCCAAATTATATTACTCGATCTATTGATTATTCGGAATTAGGAGATTCAAAAAATAACATAAAAAAGTAGAAACTCTATCAAAATTAAAGAGTAAATAAATAATTTTAGGCTGTTTTTAATAAAATGAGACTCATTTTAGATTCATACAATAATAGGGAAAGAGTCCTTTTATAATATATTTCTAAATTATAATAAGAAATAGTTACTTTAAAATAAGGGCATAATTAAACTCTTTGAATTATTAGCATTTTTTCTTTAATTTTTATTGTTGATAAATTTGTATTTGTATAATAATGTTTGTAACATATTCTAAATCAAAATATCATGAGTGTATCATTTATAATTATTACAGAGAAGATTAAAAGAATATTATATTATTCACAATCTAAATTTCAATTCTATTTGATTTGGCATTAATGAATGCTTAACTCAGTCAAATTAGATAGTTTTGATTCAAACTCCGCACTTTTTTCAACCTCTTGTTTTTATAGTTATCAAATATTCACATTTACCTACCAACTTATATTTTAATCCTAATCACAGTGCTCCTCTATAATTAATTATGATGATTTGATTATTATTATGATAACTTAGTATAGAGAATACAGAACATTGATTTAAAATACTTAGAATATTTTATGTTTATCAGAAAGTCAAGTTTAATAGAGTACTGTAACCAAAAAAATTCTACTTTATGAAATAATAAACAAACTTCGATTGCAATTTATAACATATGTTAGCTATGAGAATAAGATATAGGAATAATAAATTTAAGATAGTTTTCTAATTAAAGTAATTTATAATGATTATAATTAATTTTTTATTGGTACCTTAATGAAGAATGATCATTATAGAATTATACTCTAGTACTCTTAATTAACACTTGACTCTCTCACATTCCCATACTATCATGTGGACAAGGGTTGTCAATTCAACTTTTCTGAATTGGATTAACAGATATAAATTTAATTGAAGTAGGATGAATCAAAATACTTTAAATGTCCTGTCTGTCATGGACAGGGTCAACTTCTATTAGATTTTTAGTATATCAAAGAGGAATATTATAATAAAGAAAATTAATTTGCGATTAAGATGGAGGATCAATAGACATTCATATTGCAGAAATCAAGTTACTTCGATTCTATATTGAGTAAGGAATAGAAATTATTTGAATTATAAAAGCAATTTAATTCGAGAATACTTAGTGATAATCATAATCAAAATAAATTTACGTTGTAATTGATTGAGAATTTAAATGCTTAAGTAATATAGATTTCTAAATTAGAGAAATAATGAAATCTTTCAAATTTACCGTAAATCTCGTCAAGAATAATAACCTACTTTGATAGGAGTAATAAATTTCAAATTAATTCTATTTTATCATGCATTTAAAATTAAAATAGAATTGGATCTCTATGATGATACTAATAAAAATAATAGAATCAAACTTGCAGATTTTCAATATGGCCAAATGACTACTTATCAAGTCTCATTGATTAACAAAGTTATTTATTTGGTTGTTTAACAAGATAAATTGTATTAATTATATAGAGGAAACTTCAATCAAATCTTCGAAGGGAATTAGGATAAACCCATATTTAATGTGTCAATAATGCCTGGTTATACATTGTTGGGAGTATCGAGATTGTTTTAATTTAACAATCATATACTCATGATTGGAAGTATTTATCGATCATTATTAATTATATTAGGCAAAGCTGGTATAGTGGTGAAGGACAAGATTGATGAGAAAGTCGCTATGGATGGGTAATTAAAGATTCCAAAGTTAACTGAAAACTCTTAATTTGCTGCCATTAATAATAGATCAATATTGTTTGCGGGTAACAATTAAATAGATAAAAGTGTTGGAATCATCAAAGAATTATTCTTTTCAGAATCAAAAATCATTGAAACATAAGAGAATACTTTTAAAATTCCAAATTCTGAATTAGATTTCTCTTTGCTGATTGATGATGCTTATTATTTGTTGAGCAGTGAGAAACTGAATCAATAAAAGGTTAAAGTCATATAAATTACTGCAACAAAGGATAGGAATTTACTTACAAGGACCATGAAAATTATAAATCATCATAGCTATCTGAAAGTTAAAATCATACCTACTACCAATTTAAAAGTTGGAAGCGTTGTATGTGCCATGGTTGGATTGACGTTTGAAAATAGTTAAACCATACTTCCTGGTGTTTTGGTGTTTAATGATAAGGATAATATAATTGAGATTGAGCTTATATGAGAAACATTATATAATATTAATTAATCCGTTTTAAATGCCAATAAAGGCTCTAATATTTAGAATTATTCTAATTCCAGCCATAGTGCTAGCCTAATCCAATATGGAATTGAGTGAGATTGAAACCAATCCCATACCTACCATGGTTAATTTTGATAGCAATCAAAGAAATACTGATTAAGTATTATCACAGTAAGGATATTTTGATTTTGATGGCCATTTCATTTCTTCCAACACAGACATAACCTAAAACAATGAAATAAATAACTCTAATGAAGATCCAAATAATTTTATTTTAGACCATTTGAGTAATAACACTCCAAATTCAGAATTAGGTTAATTCTCAAATGATGAAAATTCACTACAAGTATATAATCTTGTAATAAAGAGGGTGCGAATGATATACCTTCACTAGACATGATAGATACTTAGAGTACTTAATCTATTACTTAATAAGATATTAACTAAAACTGTAATATAGTTTTATTTAATATTAGCAGAAACCGAAAATACTGTTTAAAATTCTGACTGCATAGTAATCTACTCATAATGTCATTTCAAAGGAGAATCACTACACCTTTGTGAATCTCAAAGAAACATTGAGTATAGATTGTAATAAACATAGTAATTTTGACCATGACATCAAATCCATTCAAATTCCCAAAGGATATTCAGTCAGACTTTATAATTAAGAAGATTTTTCTGGTGAAAAGATCATTTTGAAGGAAAGCCAAGAATGTATAAATTAACCGTTAGCACTTACATAGTTGTATGAGAAAAAATCTCACAAATTTTTGGTGTTGGCTTAGAACTTTAATTTAAGAGCAAGCTGATCGCGATGTTCTTTTATGATAAATTCATAATTATACAATTAATTTAATTGATATTATTCATATTTCTCAATATTGATAGTGTTATATACATTAACAGCATTAATAAAATAGATCATTTATATTAATATATAATTTGATTGTTGAAAGCACAGATCACACACTAAATAACAAAGTGTTATAATTACAGATTTTCAAGAAAGCAAAGAGATAATGGAAGAGCAGGACTCTAAAAAAAAGGGGATGTCATTGAAAATGATTTGGATTTTAAATCATTATAACATTATCAGATGAATTTCTGTTATATTAATTATTTAACAGTACGTAATGAAATATAGTCCAGCTTCTTAACAATATGGATAAGCGTACGGCTATCCTTAACCATAGCAATCTGCTCGACCCCCCTATGTATTCCATTTATTAATTAATTAAGCAATCCTATAAACCGAACGACAATGCTTAGAGTCACACAGTTACTCATCCTCATGTTAGAGAAATGTATCATCGAGAAGCACCAATCACTGTAGTTACTCGAGATGAGATTGAGAGTGTTTGGAAGGCCAAATGCTCACAATTGGAGTAGGCATTAACAGAATGCCAAACAGAAGTGATGAGACTCAGAGGAATTGGGGCTACTGAAAAGATCACTTATGTTGAAGACACTTTGAAGGTATGAGAATTCCAATCATTTCACCATAGATCAATTAATTGTATCTGGAAATTGATAGATTAAATAAGTGCTTGTTGGATATGTCTTTGGAATTGGATCAATATAAGCACAAATTATATATGGCTACTGACAAATAAGCAAGGTAATAAGCAGAAATAGATGTTGATAAGATGAGAGCAATCATGGTCGAGAATGAAGCCATGTTAAATGCCGAAATTGTTAGACTCAGAGATCAAAATGAAGAACTCTCTAAGAGATATCGCATTCTAGAGTTATCAATGGCTGACAGCAGACATCAATTGTCACTTAAGGAATATGAAGCCACTCTCTCTTAATTGAGATAAGAAATCGACAGAGCTCAATTCTCTGTAAATAGTCAAAGGGCTGAAACTGAAGAATGGAAGTTAAAATACCAAAGACTTGAAGCTTAATTGAGAGATTCTGCTTAGTATGAGGTTGAAATTAGAAGATTGAAGGAAATGGTCGATAATCGAAATAGGGAAATAGAATCACTTAAATTAAATTCTCAATTTGAAAATGATGGCAAACTTTAGAATTTAAAACTTGAAATAGAGAGGTTGCAGAATGAATTGAGATAAAAGAACGATGAAACTAATCGTCTCAGATCTCAAATCCAATAACAAGAATCAACCATCAAATATTTGAATAGTAAGATTTCAGAATTAGACAACAAAATTCTACAAATGAAATCAGAGTATGATTCTCTTAAAGCCAACCAACTCAGTTTTAAACCAACTATCTAATCCAATAACGATGACAAGGATCAAATTGATAGGCTCAGAAGTCAAATCTAATAATTGAATATAGAAATTGAAGATTGGAAATCGAGATATAATGAATTAGACAAAATGTATTAGGACCTTGAATACGAATATTAAAATAGCAATACAACCTATGAGGAAACTACCAAACTTACAAATGATGTTCAAATTTGGAAGAACAAGTTCTAAGAACTCAACAGAGAATATCATCAAGTCTAAGAAGAGTTGGTTGTGGCCACTGCTGAATTGGAGTCATTAAGGAAAAAATAGAACGAACTGTCCAAATCAGGAGTTCGATCTAATGCAGCATCTTATAGACCTGGATAGGTATTTATTGATAATCTAATCTTCTATAGTATCCTGATGTATTTCCATAGTAGCAGATTTGACAATGAATATTTTGAATATTTTATCAAATTTTACATAATATAATTTCACATGTTGAGTTTTACCCTTTTTTTGTTTCTTAGGACAACTAGTAAGTTATTTTGATAATAGTAATTAAACAGGTTGATTAGAATTGAAGTTTATGAAATAATAAAAAGTCATTATTATAGTAAGTAATAATTTTATTCTGTTCATGATAATTTGTGTTGCAATTCTTCTTTTTATGCTTTAGGATAAATATATTTTAAGTTTTTATTATAAAATCTCAAAAAGGCACCTTCAAACGATCATAAGTTGATAATTATTCAAAGTATTCCACTTGTTATTTATTTGTTAAATGAGCCTTCTTGTTATTTAAGAAGATTCTAATAATAATAATAGACTAAACTGTAAAACAATGGTTTAATACAATCTTAATTAATATAGAAACTTGGTTCATCAATAAATGTACAGCAAAAGGTTTTTCTGTGGTGGGTTCTACATTTGTCTCTTTAACAAAATTGTTTCTTAGGACTTCCCTCCCTAATTAGTAGAAATTTAAAAAAATGTTGAAATATAACTTTTACATTTAAATACTATAAGATAATTTATTATCTTTATGAATGATGATAATTTGTTGTAAATTATCATAATTTTGAATAGCATCTATTTTATAATTCTCTTTGACAAAGAGTATCCAAGAGTTTTATCATAATGTAAAACTTTTATGAAGATTTGTATTCTAATCTAGCATTACTTAAATAGTTATTAAGAATTTTACAGTTGTTTGGTTTATTCCTCATTTAATTATATTCAATAGAACATTTATTACAAAATAAGTTGCTCTATTTTATCAATACTTTTGTTTGATTTTCTTTTTTATTTTTTAGGCCTAGATAAAACTAATTATTTATTTATTTTTTATATTCCCATGAAATGAGGCTAAATTATAAGTATGAGCCAGCCATTCTAGAATGAGAGGCATACACCCAAGACTATTCTTTGTATTTTTAGTTCCTCATCAACATTTCTATACAAACCCTAATAGCAATACAATATTAAGTATAAATTCATAAAATGCATCACTAATTGACAATAGTTATATAAAATGATTTCACATATTAAATGACAAATCCAATTTTACTGCGAACAACAACCCAAATTTCATAGCGACCACTTTTTAGTGATTTGGTTAGCATTTGTGTTTTTAGTGTTCCTTTTCCCTTGATTTGTTGCTCATATATTATTTCTTTGTTTAATGGTCTTGGAAATAGGATTAATGGCAATTACTTGTGAACTTCTAAGTAGGTTCCACAGATTCCATGCAACTCCCATATCTGATCACATTTCACAATGAAAAGGGAATAGTTGAGTTCTATGATCATGTCAGGTCCTCCTTCAATGTAAGGAGAATCGCAAGTTTCACATCCACTTATCTTCATTGATATTTGGAAATATTCTGGGAATGACATGTCGACTATGTAATATGGTAGGAGTTGGGCATAGTATGTTTCATAGGTGATTTTGGAGTCCTAAAACAATAGATAGGTACCTCATTCATTCCAGAAGAAGAGGCAGACTGAGATCGAGCAAGTGCTATAAAAAATAGGAGCATTTTAATTATATAAGAATAAATTAATGAATTAAGGCAATTAGATGAGCATCGACGAATCCTTCAGGAAGATCATATGCAAGGATGTATAAGAATCAACCCTGACGGAGTTTTTGGAAAGACTGAATTAATTGAATTACGATGAAACTAGCAAATACTTATCAGGATTGGTGTATTGATTTGATTTCATTAAGTTAGCTATCTATTCACAAGAAAGAGATGGCCCCAACTTGGTGAGTATTTATTGAAGAAGTGTGCAGAACATATAGCATTTTATGAGATAGTAATTTCAAATTTCTCATTACTAGATCAAATGGTCTTATGAGGCTTATTCTTATAAAGAGAGACAGAGTGCTGAAAATAGTGTGGCTGTATTCGATTAAAAAATAGAAGAAGCTATGGTAAATCAAATTTCAGAGAATCAATTTCTAGAAAAGGAGAGCAGATCAAATTATGTGAATTCTATTCATAGATTTGTGACTTGTTTGACTGTTTTATCATTACATCTTAAGAATGTGCCTCTGAATGAGAGACAACTCTATTTGAGACGGAATCTCATTAAGGGAAATAGGGCTTTGGAGAGTTTTCGTCGTAATAATCCTGGTATTAAATACTGCAAAGGGATTATCCTACCATTTAAAGGCAGATCATAGATGGTTGTTCGTATTATTGATACTGAAGCACAATCATTTAATACAAAGAAGAGAGTACCATATAAATTGGTAGTTGAAACCGTAGATATGAACGAGTATGAATAACGCGAATAATCACTTGTCACTCTTTAAAAACAATTGTCAATTGATTCTTAAGCCTTTTTGGAATTTGATGTTCTGCATCAATTCGATTACACTGTCTTTGAAGATTTCTTGCAGGAAAACAAAGATAAGGTATTGATATGGGTTTTTTTATTTAGTTAGCAAGGTAATAAATTCTCCATTAAAATAAAAAGAGGTTTGATTAACAATTTCCACCTCTTAAAAAGGAATAGATTACGCGTAGAAGAAGTTGCATCGATCAAATCCAATCATATACCAATAAATAATTATACGAAAAAGATTTTAAAGATTTGTTTAAGCAAGAAGACAAATTAAAACACAGCGACAAAGAATTAGACAATGTTACATTTCTTGAGTAAATTGCCAACGGTATCTATATTATTTATATGTCTCAGAATATCCAAATAAAAAAGAGATCATCGAGAAGATTTAAAAGTAATTAAACGCCCCTAAGAACTTAGTCAAACAACAAGAAATTTAATAATTGCCATCTCCTAATGATTTGAAAAGTGGCCCATTTAGTGAGCAATGGGAAGATAAAAGATAGGTCATCCAATCTAACTCTCCTTATGGACAATTCAAATCCTATTGTTTGAGAAGCTTGTTGATCAAGGGAGGCGATGATTTGAGACAAGAACAAATGATGATGCAAATTATTAAGGTTTCTGAAGATGTAATCATTTAACTTAAACTCTCTTAGATCTTAACCTAAGTTGGACTGTATGTCAAATCCTATGATATCATAATCACTTCAGTAGACTCAGGTATTTTAGAATTCTGCAATGATACATTGTCCATGGATTAACTTAAGAAGTCTATGCCATCCATGACTCTCAAGGATATTTATAACAGCATCTTCGGGGACAACTTTGAAGAGGCTTAACTCAATTTTATATTGAGTTTAACATCTTATAGTTTACTCCAATACCTATTCTAAATTAAGGATAGACACAATGGAAACATTCTAATTGACAACCAAGGTCATATAATCCATATTGATTTTGGATTCATCTTGACGATTGCTCCTGGTGGAATCAAATTTGAATCAGCTCCATTCAAATTAACCAAAGAATACATCGAATTGCTGGATGGATAAGAGAGTTGCATGTTTCAATTATTCAAAAGCAAGTTATTATTAGGTTATTTGGAATTGAGAAAGCATGTGGACAAATTCGCCTTTATTTTGGAGGCCATGAAAATCGACAATGAATTGCCTTGCTTAGAAAAATTTGATATGAAAGTCTTCAAAGACAGATTCAAATTGGACCTTAACGAGTAACAACTTGAGGAACATGTATATAAACTAGTTACCCAAAGTGCCAACAATAAATATACAAAATACTATGACGATTTCTAAAAATTGACAAATGGCATTATTCCTTGATTATTATATTAATGAACAACAACAATAGTCATACAAAATTCGATATTCTTCCCACAATTATGAATTCACAACATAAATTGCTTGAACCTGCCTATCTCAGGAATACTCGAAGCAAATTTAGTCACAACGAAAGCAAGGTACTACCTCCGATCCAAAGAAGTTCCATCATCAAATAATTGGTTGTTCAAAGTAAAACAGACTATTTATCGAAGGACTTGTTCTCAGCCTCGATTTCAGTAACAGACATTTCGGAGCTGCTTGCGATAGAGGCTTTTAAGGTTTGTCTAAATTTCATTACTCCCAAAAATTCGGTCACTCTAGTGCACGATTAGAACCATTGAATAGAAATGTGGTCACTGAACTTACTGATACAGAGGACACAGAATCCATTCCAAAAGAGGATAGGACATATTTCAAGAAAATTTACAAATATCAAAAGATGCCCATACTTGCTTTAATAAAATCTTGCGAAATAGAGTGGATTAGGGAATTTGAAGGCGAAGTGAACAAGAAATCAACCAAGCCTCTTTAATTGACATTCTAAATGGCTCTGGCCATATTTAACACTCATTCAGATCCCTTGGATTTCTTTCAAAAAAACTTATAATTACTGGAGAGAAATACTGTAGCCTTAAAGTAGAAGGGACTCAATAGATTGAAGTATAAGGTTAAGCATTTCAATACAGAAGAGTTCCAAAGGGTGGTTGTGATCAAGAACTAATCCGGTTTGGGGTTCTTTAGAATTTATTTTCCAATAATTCAATTATACCATCAAGAATACTAATATATATAGACAATTGATTTGTCCCCCCAAAAACTATATGATATTGTTAAGAATAACTTCTTTGAGATGCATTCATTTGCAGAATAATTTGACAATCAAAACTTGCAATTATACCTCTAAAGCAAACTTGATCATGAACTCATTTTATAAGATTTAAATGAGCCGCAGTCTTAATAGCAAATATCATAATCAGATTTACTCATTAATCCTTAAGATAATGCAGTATCTAATTAAATTTAAACTGGGTTGCCAGTTAATAAAGAATTGGGGATTCTAATAATTGATTGTAAATTTATAATTAATTAATTTTTTAGAAAAACATGAATTTCCTGAAAAGATTTTATCACAAAGGTGGATAAAGAAAGTTACAAGTTTCGATAACAATTTTTATACTTGCGACTTTTTACCAACTTAAATATTAATAAGGGAGAAAATATCATAGCAAATTATTAAAATCTATTCTCCTACTCTCAAAGAATTGGATTCAATTATTGACTTATTGAATACAAAGAACATGCAGCAGATACTTGATGAACACGTTGTAACCATATTTGATTTACCTCCAGAAGCTTTTAATTATAAGGATTTTAAGAAGGGAACTAAGATTAAATTGAATTTACCTGAAATTACTGAATAACCAATTGAGATCACAGAAGAATAAATCAACAATGGTTTATTGAATTACTGGACGAAAGAGATTGAAATTAATAATAAAGATCTACAAATCATTATTGAGTAATTGTTTATATTATAATAAGACCTTGTATATTGGAAATATATGATTAGTTAAAGGCTAGTACTATTAAAAGAGTATGCACTTCAAAGGAACTAACTTAAATTTTATCCAAAAGATATTAAATTACATATAGATTGATATGAAATCAATTACATTTCTATTAATTCATATGTGTTTATCACAATCACATTGACATTGAAAATTTTTTATATACATTTCTTTAATGCAATGAGCAGAATGACAATCAGAGGAGCACTATCGACAGAGTATCTTATTGCATGTTTTGCATCTAATAAATATAAGTTTTATACTTAAACTAAATTTCATTTCTGTTTCTATCCTTATTGCAAATTGCTTATGTACAATTACCCAATAAGTTACAATAACATTTGAAATCTTATGTATCGTTTGATTCAATAAAAGTGTGATTCTTCTTAATGTTATTACTAAGAAATTAACTTTATGTCAATGAATCTGAACTAACTGTTATTGTTTCTTTATTCAAATTAAAATTATCACATTTAGAATGACAATATGTTACACATGTGCTGCATATTTGAAATTTATGTTTTAAGAAGAAAGAGTGAACTTTAGAACATTTTATACACTCATACATTTAACTCAAAATGACTTATTTCCCTTAGTTACATTTCGTGGTTCCATAATCTTATTATTTTTGTAATCCATTATTATGCATGATGATTGTTAATGTGTTATCTGTACCATAAAATTATAAAACAAATGAATTCAAAAATGGAAATATCTTAATTAATTCTCTTATCTATGCTTTTTAGAATATCCTGTCTAAACGTATAATTATTACTTTAACTAAATTGAGTGATTCTAAAATATGTAATAATTTTTCCAAGAACTCAACATTAGTATTATTACCCACCAGTGATAGTTGCACTCTCTCTAGATTTTTTAATTTAGATATATTATTCTTCAATTTTTCTTATACCATTCTATCGTAATTTGCAATGTGATCCATAATTAATGTTAAGTCTCTGAGTAATTATTTGGTTCCTAAATATTCAAGAAACAAACTAATTTCTGAATCTTTTGATTGCAAATTTGATAAATTGATGTAGAACTTCTTAAATTCAACTGTTCTTAAAGATGCAACTAGAAATGAAAATATCTAATGGATCCCACAATCTTCATAATCCAAGTACAATTCTTCCAAAGATTAATTGAATTACCATAATTAAGAGTTTTGAGTTAAAATTAATTTAATATGAGGTAATCTAAATTCAAGGGAAGTGCAATTATATCTGCTTAATTTCCACATAATAGTTCTATGATCCGATTCTGATATTTGAGATTGAAATATTAATTAAATTTTAGGGATGTGCTAAATTTTGTTAAGAAATTATATAATATTATTTGCTTAAGATTATTGAGTGTTAACAATAATCTTCAGTTATGTAATTGCTTAAAAGTTCATGCAAATGAGATTTTCGGACCACCTATAATTTTGATTATGATCATTACAATCATCAATTAATTCAAGGATCAATATTTGTATGTCATTAATTGGAGATAAATGAAGTTCTGGAGTTTAGTTATTGAGTTATAAATTTAATAATTTACAACTGTTAGGCAATTAGCATTTGCTTCGTTTTGAATTCGATTTTTGCCTTGTTTGTATGAGGCAAACATAATTCTAAAATTAGTATGAATTAATTAGATCTTCATAGCTGCAATAGAGAAAATCATCATATGGCTACTACTGTTCAGTAGGTAAAATTGTTTGAATTGCTGGGAAAGGTTGAGAGTAGCTCTCAGTGTAAGCTTTTTTACTTTCAATTACAGATTGATGGAATTTAGAGAATTGCCTCTGTTAGAAATTGGTTTGACTATGATTTGGGGAAACAGGAGCTTAGTAGAATTTTGGTTTGTTCTATTGAGTAATTTTAATGGGATTTGAGGAAGAGGTTTTCGAGAGTGTTGAATCCTTTAAATGCAAATTTTGAGTTGAAGAATTAGAGGGTGATTTTGAGGATTATATTTTCCTCGTTGATTCTGATAATAGATTGGCTTAAGATTTTTATTTTTTTGAGTTACTCAAATTAGAAGGTAGGTTTTTGACTGAATGTTATCTTTCCTCCTTATAAAAATTAGATCCTGTATTTCTCCCTCTCTTTAATACAGCATCAGGGGAAAGATAATCGAATTACAAAGGGGATCGTTTTGGGGATTCAAAAGATTCAAAGGTAGTTCCTTTGGATAGGTTAGTTAGTTGATTTTGAGATTCTTTTAGTTGTAGATAAATCTATTTCAATTATATAAAATCAGGTCGATTGATAGGATTGATTTACAACATTTTTTTGAGGATTGACAGAATTAGATTATCTTCAGCAGTAATTCTTTTAACAATCTTTAAATAAGCTGCAGTTATTTCCTCTTCAACTTGAGTATATCCTTTTTATCTTGAGTGTATTAATTAAAGAGTGACTATGTAGAGAAAACACAATCCCAAAGAGTAGACATCACTTTTAAAGGGGTTGTGTTTAAGTTTATGAGTTTCTGCATTCAACAACTCTGGAGCTAAGTAGGATTCTGTTCCGACAACGCTGATAGTTTAAATGGTTTCCACTTGGGAGCTGCAGCCAACATCGCATGCTTTGAGTTAAAATTGTTCCATAATTAGAATGTTGACTAATTTTATATCTCGATGAGCAATGTTTTTTTGTTGGAGATCCTCAAATATATTTATTAGTTATTCCAATATCCTGTGCAACTCCTCGACCTCTAGATATTGCTGCTCTCTCTGTTTAAGATATTGCTCTAGATTCTGCTAACCCTTTTCCATAAGCAAATATGCAAATTACTGACTTTAAGTGTATTTATCTTAATGGACTGTTTCTAATATCATATAATCAATCAGATTGATCACGTATGGGGAGTGAGATAATGATTGCATAATTTTGATTTCATTTTCAATGTTGCATGAATTCATTATTACTTACTTAATAAACAAGGATGCCTTACTTTTAATGCGTACATTTTCCCATTGAGTAAGACATTGTATACCATGTTGTTGCCCTGACCCAAGTGTCCATTGTCTATAAGATTCTTGCGAAAATCAAGACCTTTTATAAATTTCATCTAATTTAGTTGGGAACTCAGATCCATGTTATATTAATTAAATAAATCACTTAAGTGGATGAAATGACAATGATTCCTCATATACCATTTACTTTAGTATAGCTTCGGTAGGTTTGAAGCTGTCCCATCCCCAATCAAACGTGCATTCACAAATAGGTTCTTCCTCTGGATTGTGTAGACCCTCAAAATAAGGATGTGCCAAACACTCCTAAACTGTCAATCGCTTGTCTGGATTGAAAGTGACCATCTTATCCAACAGATCCAAGGCCAATGGCTAAGCATGAGGATACAAGTTCTTCCATTGTTGTTTAGGTTTCTTGGGCAAACTCTTCAAATAGGTGAGTGCATTCTTATTTCCAATGAATCGAACATCTTCATTGGTAGGAGTGCCCAATACTTGTATGATTCTTTGCACTTAATCGAGATAGTCCTCGCCAGGAAAGAGTGGTTGTCTTCCTAATAGTTCTGCCATTATGCACCCCAAGGCATAGATATCCACTGATTTGTTGTATTCAGAAGCATTCAAGATGACTTCTGGTGCTCTATACCATCGAGTAACTACATATCTAAATAAATCGATCATTAGTACTCAGTTTTAAATTCACTTTCATCCTCATAACCACGAGCCAATCCAAAATCACAGATTTTCAAATCGCAATTCTTGTTCAATAGCAGATTGCTTGGTTTGAGATCTCTGTGGATGATGTTGGCCGAGTGTATGTACAATAATCCTCTTAAGGCTTGATACAGAAAATATTGAATGTGCTCGTCTGTTAATTCTTGTTTAGAATATATTACTCTATGCAAATCTGTTTCCATCAGATCAGTAATGATGTAAATGTCTTTGTAATTTTGTGGATGTTCTGGTCTTTGTAAATCAAGCAATGAAACGATATTCTCATGATCAAAGAACTCTAATGAATCATACACATAGGCTATATACTTAGTAGTTTAATTTCACGCACTATTCTCTTAGCATCAATCAGATCAGAAAATGCATCTGTTATTTTCTTGATTGCCACTAATTGCTGACTCTTCTTATTTAAAGCTGAACACACCACTCCATATGCTCCATGTCCAATCTGCTTTATGAATTGGTATTTGTCATCAACTATGAATGTCTACCCATTGCAATCGAAAGCATGCTTCCCTTTGGGTATCACCTATTTAGACTTCATTAATATTATTTATTTTATAAAAATATTTGATCAGTGCGATTCCCATTTGAAATTAAGTAGCATAAATACAACGCGCTTGATCCTCACAATCCTTCCACTACTCATCATCTAGATAGCATCATTATTAGATATCATTTTGAATACCTCTCATGTATTATAATTATTATAATTATTTATTTTATTAATGACACACAAACCATCACATAACCCAGCTCTATTTGATTAGTATATTTAATACGATGGTCCTGAGGGAGAAGGATTTAGAATTGCGTAATCCGATAGCTCAACCGACATTTATATTGTTGATGATTATGGTGGTTGGGTAGACAAAGAATTAAATTACTATGACAGAGATGGAGAACCTGCTGGCTATTTCGATTAAGATTACAACTTCTATGATATGAATGGGTACAGAATCCCTGGTGGATACAAGGGAGGAAAAACCATTGAAAGAGAAATCAAGAAAAAGTAAAAATACCTAGATAGTGTTCCAGACAACTCTAAACAAAAGTTTGGTATTTTTTCACTTTATTATTACCCTAGTTGTTGAAATCCAAAATCTACCCCCAAATACAGTACCCATCCAAATCATTAATTATATTTTGGAAAGATGCAATTTGAAACAGGGTGAAATTGAAGAGTGCAAAAAAGTATAGAAATAAGCTACCAAAGGGTATGTGGTTGTTACTGGGGCAGACAAAGTCTAGAAATTGTTGATTTTGGAAGGCAGAAAATTTAGATTGCAAGAAAAAGTAATTCTTATTGTTCACAATAGGATGGCAAGTATACAAGCAATGAAATTCAAATCTTTGTCAGAGAGGCCAAATTCAATAACGGAAAGCAATTTTCAAATAATTCCAACTATTCCAAAAACAATCAACAGGAATAAGTAGAATAGGAAGATGATGGATATAAGATAGCCTTTGAAAATCTGGATTCTAAAAAAACTAATCAAGAATTCATCAATTGGATTGTTAGTCAAACCAACTGCAAAATCGACGAATTTGAATTAAAAAGACCCAACTAAAAACCTTCAGGGTAACTCCTTTTATAGAATGAAAATCTTATGTATTTAATTTTGAAGTAAAACGGAAGACAATTTGGCGATTCCCCTATTACCTTTAAACAAAGTAAAATATTGTTATTTAATATAGTATCTAAATAATGAGATTTTGAAGATTGAAAAGTCATGTGCACGTGTGATATATAATACAGATAAATAATAATTATAAAAATAATATCATAAGTACTTCTTTCTAAAATTCATATATACAATATTTTATAGAATTATATTTCTAAGTAGATAAAAGGAAGATTATGATTCTTATTCTTATCATATTTTCGTGAACAAAAAATTAGTAAAATAAATGAAAAGATATGCTTGAAACTGAAAGAGTAGATCATATCCTTTGCATTTTTGTTTTTAATAATATTATTTTATTTTTTAAGATAATTATTAATATAGTGTTAAAGTGAGGGCTCACTTAGAAATAAATTAAAGTAAAATAAAAATAATCCACTAGATAAAGCCTGTTTGTTTATTTAATATGAATTCATATTTATTTTAATTAAAGGGGGTCAAGAAATTAATATTTCTGAATTTTAAAATGTTGTTTAAGATCTTGTTTACTGTTACTTTAAGTGCTTTTGTAGTCAAAGGTATAAGTTTTGATTCGTCCAAACATTGCTCATGCAGTCTCCTAACATAAGCTGATTGTACTAACTAAAAATCATGGTGTCAATGGGATCCAAATGATAAAGAATGCATTGATATATATGCCATATGTGATAGTTACACAGAAGCCATTACATGCTAACAAGACCTGGGATGCTTTTGGAATAAGAATCTAGAGTGTGCTGAATTTACAAGTTGTTCAGAGTACACCGATAAGCAATGCCCATCAGGTCTATGTAAGGTTGTTAATGAGACATGCACTACCTTATAAGTAGAGAAATGCTCATCTAAGACAACAAAAGATGAGTGCAATGAAAGCTATGATTCAATGGATTCTCATTGTTAATGGAGTAAGGCGTCTACTTGTGATTCTTTACCAAACATTCCAAGTTGTGGAGGATTAGCAGATTTTGAAGAATAATGTCTAGAATCTGGTTGCTATTACGAGAATGGAAATTGCAGAGAAAAGAAATGTTCTGACTTTACATAGACTCAATGTTTTCTTACTTATGTGAGTGGAAGTGGAAATTAATACACATATTGTAGTTGGAATACTGATACTAATAAATGTGTAGAAGGGACTGATGCTTCAAAAATAGCATAGAGCAATTGCAACACATTCACTCTTCACAACTATAGATGGTCAGAAGATCAAAAATTATGCGTTGCATGTGATGAACTAGATGACAATGATCTTCCTAATAGTTATTCCATCTAATTAGGAGTCATATTGTTGTTGTTGACATTTATATTACATTGAAAATATTAAATTAAATATATTTTATTCTTTAATATCCCATAAATTATAGACTACTAAAGTAAGCTGATAATTCTCCAATTTATAGGTAATACTAATATGTACCTAAAATTATTTGAAGTTTATTTATCAGGATAGGATATATAAATATGGTTAAATCCATAAAATATCTTATGATTTAGTAACTTAAATTGAAGATCAATAAAGTGTTATTGATGTGATACTCAAATTACAATGATTTCTTAAAATAGTATTCTTACTTTTATATTCAATATATTATATAAAATGGATTAAAAAGAAAATAATAATAATGACAATCTATTCAAGAATATTATTTTTGGGAATCAAGTCTAAAATTCGTATGGCAATTTTAGATCATTCTGTGCAGCCATCGCACATTAGGACTAGATCAATATTATTATGGATTATATTAAAACCAATGAGAAATTCAGGAGATATAACAGATTCAGTTATGCATATAGAGTTTATGAACAGCAATAATTTTTTGTTACTCAAGATAAGCCAGGTCAAGAATAATAAGAAAATAGAATCATCGAAGGCTTCCATGAAGATGAAACTTTGGAAGGAAGTGGAGAAAAATTGTTGCATTTATTATAAAAATTTAGTAATGAAATCTAGCATAATTTGAATAGATGTTGAAAATGTGTTGATTATATCTGCAATTCAATAGTACAACCCATTGTATAGATTTGAACCGTCTCATTATAGAATCATTGTTGAAAGATCAAAAGACTTATTGAATAATTTGTATACTAAAGTAATTCAACAGGAGGAAGAAGAGTAGAAATAACAAGAAGCTTTACATCAATAGAGTTTAGCACAGGGCAAGATCATTAAAGTTTAAGCAAAGTTGCCAAAAACTCAAATAGAAATTCCATAATTTCATCAATAAGCTAAATTTTCAAAACCAGAAGACAGATTACAAAACAGACCTGGCCACTTTTATGCAGAAAATCCAGGATTCAAACCACCCAAGAAATCTCAATAACAACAATAACAATAAAGTTAGCTGCCTCCAATTTCAGAATAGAAGAAACTAAAAGACTTAAGTAAATAAATTGATTTATTGATTATAGACATGAGATTAAAAAACATAGCTTATTAGTTAGAAAAGATATTGGAGTCATTAACAGAAAAGGAGTATTTACAATTTAAATTTATTGCAAAATACGATTAAAATAAATTAGTGGAGAAGGTATTAGGGTTAATTATGCTTATATTTGATGTTGATAGTAGAGATTAATTGGCTACAGATTTTGATATTTAGAACAAGTTGTAAAATGCAACAGTTAATGATTTAACAGAAAAGAAAGTGAGGAAAATCAATGAAACGTTGAGAGGAGATAGGAGATTAAATGCCTATGGTTTGGCTAGTGTCAATCCGTTGATTTCTACTATTTTTGCATTTATTGTCCTCTTGATCCGAAGTTATGAAATAGGCAATGACATGCTCAAAATAACTCAAAGCATCGCAGTTCAAGAATCAGAGGAGAACCAACTCCTTGAAGATCCTATATGATTATGATTTCACATATAGATCAAGTTAACTATTATTGTATGTAATTACAATTTAATATGCTATTATAACATTAAAATTAAAATTGAATGGCGAAGAGAGGGGATCCAAAGACACTTGTACTAAACAACTTCGAGGAATTGAAATTTGTAGACAACATCTTCTGCCCCTAGAGAGGACAATTGCGACTGTTTCGATTCCATCCCTTTGCAAAGTACAAATGTACGTTCCTAACAGATATATGGTTTCGAAATTGGTGTGTTCTGTTCCTAGTTTACATAGTATGGTATGTCAACCAATAATAACAGTTACTCAAGCAATACAAGGAGCGTTGTAAGATCAAACAACCCCATATTTTCTATTCGATTGAAAGTGAAAGCCAAAAAACAATGAAACCCGGCTAATTTGGATAGACAGAAGTATTTTAGATTTTTGTTTTTTTTGAATATGGTCAATTAACTTTGCATGAATTAACAGAGAGAAGATAAGCAAAACGATATCTGGTACCTGAACCAGAAGTTTGGTGTCTTATTAAGGGAGTAATGCAAGCTATGCATTTCTTTTAAAATAATAATATTCCCCATGGAATGATCACCACCAAGACCATCTATTTTGATGAGGAGTACCTTCTTTATAGAGTTTATGATTAAGAATTAATTGGTGGTAGATGGGGCAATTTCATCAAATATTAACAAACAAAGGACCCTGAAATCTAAGTATTTCTGGCCCCAGAGACCAAACCATTTTTCAATTCAGAAGCCAGTCTATTAGAAACAGCATAAATTAATCCATTCAAAGTAGATGTCTTTGCTTTTGGGTAAGTACATTAATGATTATGTTATATAGGATTGTGCTCCTGCAATGTCTCACCTTGTTTTAAGCATTCGAAAACCCTCTGAAATGGCTAGATTAATTTTACTCCAAGAATTTGATGACCTTCATCACATAGTGCATATAGCCTGATCCCAATAAGCGTTAAGATTGGATTGGACTATATTAACTGCCACTAGAACCTAGCTAAGACCAAAAAATTAATGAACGAAATTCTATGATTCAATCTCACCTTGAGAATAGAGGCTAAAAATCATATAGATGAATTATATTAAATAATTATGAGTAGACAAATCTCTAATCAACTCATTCCAACCAGGACGAAGAAGTAGAGACAGGTTCAATAAAATCTACATGAGCAAACAGAGTCTGTTTGTAATCATGGAAATTTTTTGGATTTAATATGAAAATGTAGTAATCTGAATTAACTTCTTCTCTTTCAAATATAATCAAAATATTCAATTAGAATAAGACTAATCTTTTGATCATTTCTGTGGGATAGTTACTAAATTTTGAGAGCTTCTAGGAAAATTTATAGGAAAAAATAGAAATAGAACTAGGATTTATACAAATTCGAAAATTAGAAACGATATTAGCAAACTAAAGGTATATTTATTGATCAAAGCGTGGTTAATAATTTCGAGCTATTTCATTTACTTAATCATTATTTATATTTGATTCAATTTAATTCATAATTAATTTAGTTAAACTCTTGTCATTATACTATGTTTAATTTCGTTCATCAAAAGCACTTACGTCAAAAAGACGATAGATGTGAATGGCCATTTTTAAAACAGTTTTTAAGTAAATAAATTATTATTGTGATAAATCTGATTAGATACAAATGATAAAATTCATTCTAATCAATAGGAGTTAGAGTAATCAATTATGTATTGGAAAGTACTAAAGCATCTTGATGTTTACTTTATTTAGATTGTAAGGGTGGGATTTAAAATTCAATAAAACAATCAATTTATTATTAAATAATACAATATAAAATTTTAAGAAATAATCGTTTAAAAGTACAAATGACTATTCTCAAATATGACATATATATAATTTATAGTTGCAATGAAAAAGAATATGCACCTGATTTTTTACTTACAGATCGTTTATAATATCATATTCTGTTAAATGAGAACCTTAATAAAGAATTTTAAGTTCCATTTTCAGTTAGTCCAAATTTTAAAACTGTTGAAGTATTTACGTTACTTCTACTTTCTAGGTATTACCTATAAAGTGTTCGCCATTGTTCATATTAAATGAAGAGAATCACTTTGTTTTGGTTGGAATTAATGAAATTCATGATTAAGTTAAAGATTTGATATTTGTTATCATATTTTTCAAAATATCTTTTAACTCTGGGAAGAGCTCTGCAGTATCTACAATTTCATCGTCCTGCTTTATGATTGATTGGTTTTCCCTCAATAAACTTTCGAAATCCCTTGTATATTGGCAAAAATAAATACTTGCCCATAATTTGAACCCAACGATATCTCAAATGCTTATAGTAACGATTTTTGACAGCACTTAAGGACTTTTAAGGGAAGTAGGAGGAAATCACTTTGAATTTAGGACCTAATTTTATTACAGACGAGAGTATTAAGCGATCTTCGTTGAGAGAAAAGGTTTCTGACTGTTGAATTCGACCCCTACAGTTGCTAGCAGTACGTTTTGATCCAGAGAAAAGTCTTTTACGTTTGATTTTCTTCTTTATTGTTTACTTTCCTTTTTGATTTTTTGAAATAACATCTAATGAGTATTACTTCTCCCTTTTGATGAGAGATCTGGTAGAATGGAGGACAGGGAGAGTAGTTTTTGTTTGAGTTGAAATGACTGGCATATCACTTGAGATAGACATTAATGTTGAAATAATTAATAATTTAATTATTTTACATATCTATTTTGTTGGAATTATTTATAAAGATATTCATAAATAACATAGGATGATGATTTAATATATTTTATCATAATTATGATTTTGTCATTACTCTATTTTATTGGATTTGCAACAGCAGCCCCAGCAGAAGATTTAGTGGATGGATCCACATGGGCAAAGTTCAAAATTCCTTATTCCGGGAAGATGTAAGGGCTATGACTTATTTCCTAGGTATTCTGGGTATTTGCCAATTGATGAAGCTGGTGAAAAGCAATTCCATTATTTTGCATTCCCAGCATTTAGCTTAGCTGGACCATTAAAGGCTACCTTTCCCCTTATATTGTGGTTAAATGGTGGTCCTGGATGTTCATCCCTTTATGGGGCTATGGTTGAAAATGGGCCATTCACAGTAGAATTGGGTACAAATAATTTCAAATAAAATCTTTTCACCTGGTTGAATTTTGTAAAAATTAAGATATATTAGACAGGCTAACATGTTTTATTTGGAAAGTCCAGCAGGAGTAGGATTTTCTTTTGGAAATACAACTTCATCCGACGAGAGCACAGCAAAGGATAATTTGAAGGCAGTTCTTGAATTCTTTAAGAAATTCCCAGAATACAAGAGCATAGACTTTTATATTGCTGGAGAGAGTTGGGCTGGAGTCTACATTCCAACATTGGCAAACGAGATCATTGATTATAACGCCAAGGCAGCAACTGGTGACAAGATTAGATTGATTGGTTTGATGATTGGTAATGGATGTACAGATCCAACGGAATGTACACCTTTGGCTTTTCAATTCCCTGTGCATATTTACAAGTTCCTTCATGGTCATGGATTCATCAGTGAGAAATTAAACGATAAGATTGAAAATATGACAAGTTATTGTCACATGAAGACTATCCCCGAATGCATTTAAATCCAAGGAGAAGTCATTGGACAAATCTATGGAGCTGAGTATCACTTTTCAATTAATAATCTTAGCGACCTCTATATTAATCCTTATAATATATATGGAAAATGTTATTAAATACCATTTAAAAATCTGAAAGGAGAATAGGAGAAAGAGAAGAGATTCAAACTCAATCCAATGTAGGATGGAGCAGTTGGAGAGCTCAATAAATGTTCTGAAGCAGAAGCTTTGCTCCTATATCTAAACAATGCAGCATTTAGAAAAGTTTGATTATACATATTTATCAAGGCTTTGCATATTAGAGAAGATGCTGGGTATTGGAATGACTGCGCAAAACTTGATTACAGACCAGATCCAAGAGGCACCTATTATCTGTATCCTAAATTACTCAAGAGCGGACTTAGAATCTTGAAATTCAGTGGAGACGTCGATGCAGTAGTTCCAATCACCGGTACTCTGTATTGGATTGATAAACTATAGAAAGAACTAAGTCTATATTAATAACTATATTTTAGACTTACCTACCATTGAGGAATGGAGACCTTGGTTTATACCAGGAGAAAAAGGAACAGAACCACAAAATGCTGGAAATGTTTGGGAAATCGATGGATTGACCTTTGTTTCTGTCAGACATGCAGGACATATGGTTCCAATGGATCAACCTGAAGCTGCTAGTATAATGGCTAGTCATTTTGTGTTTGAGATACCTTTTCCATCAGATATACTCTGATGGATATATATACATTGTGTTGCATTTATATAATTAATTAAATGGGTGCATTGTGCCCTCGTTCAGATATTGAGGTCGTGCATATTGAGTAGAATGAGAATGAGATTAAGATCGATCCTCAAGTGGAAATAGACACTCTTATTAATCAAGAAACCAACTACAAACTTAGTTTAAGTCCTAATTTTTCACTCAATAATCCAACACTCTAAACTTGTGATTAAGTAATACAATCCATCCTCTCTATCTCACTTTCTTTCATGGTCAAAGATTTTTCAGAACAGATTAATTTCTTGAAACTGCAAATACATAAATAGATACAAGAACTCATTAATCATAAAATCGATTTTCAAGATGAATTACTGAAAATGCTTATCGATTATTATGAATTTCTTAGTTATGTTCAAGAGAATAGTGCTACCAAAGTAGTTACTTGGTGGACAGAACCAAAAACTGTTGTGGATCTCTAAAATGCAATTAAACATTGGTCTCAATAATTCTTTAAATTTGGAGGTCGTCTCAGGAGAGAAAAAGCAATCAGACAACTCAATTTTGAACCCAAGACTCCTGAGCGTTTTGTTAAAACCAGAGAATGGATCAAAAAACAAACAGAAGGTTAACAAGATCAACAAGATCAACAAGAACCTAAATAACCATAAACAATTGAGCGTAGTCTATAAGTGGAAGATGGCTTTGAAGAATTATGATAGTATATTTCATTATTAAAAATTAAAATGAACGCCAATAATATCTATGTATATATACATACATAACAAAACTCCTATTTTAGCCATCATTCGAAATGGACAGTGAATAACGTCAATACATCAAACTCAAATTTGTCATCCTCGAAAAAGATTGGCCTTATCCAAATTTCGAAATTGTTGTAGCTTACAATGATCCCCTCATGTTCATCAATAAGGAATTGCAAGATAGGCATGGCGGCATTACTGATATCAGATTATATTTGGATGCTGAAAAGCAAAATCAGTAAGTTATTCATTACATTAGATTACAATACATATTCAATAAAAAAATTGGAGACGCCCTATCAATCAAAGGATCAAATTCACAAGACACCGCTCCCATTGTTACTATCTATTACGATTTTAAAAATGCCATCAAATCACCCGTACAATTGTTTTGATCATTATAAAATATTATAAGCATCAATAATAAAATACATAATAAATTTAATCAATATCCTTCAATATCTGATTGCTAAGCAGAGATTTTGATTAACTCATGTTTTAATTAAAGCTACCATTAAATTACTATCTATTTCATTGCATCAATTTAATTATTATTTCTTCTTCTTATAGTTTTGTTTAAAAAATAGATTTACAAATATATTTATTAATTTTAGAATCAGACGTTCTTTGTATTAATTAAGTAAATAAAAGAGGATTAAGTTTACTTTAAAATATAGTGATACTAGATTAAGCATATATTTAATTTAAGATCACTTGATAAGTGAAATAATATTAAAATGTCAATATTCTCTCATAATTTTTATCATTCTTTGTGAGAATAATCATTATAATTGCATTTGATTTTATAAGTCTTAAATAGTTTGATGTAAAAATTAAGATAGATGCAATTAACAATAGATTGATAATTCTTAACTAAATATATGTAATTAATATTATGAAATCAGCGCTTTGATTTTGGTTACCATTACTCATTTTGAGATTCTTATTTCAACTCTGAATTGCTGGCTATTTCTGCAAATACCTCAGGATTTTGATTAAAGTTTTTCTATTCCAAATAAGCTTTCTTGTATTATTCTTCTCTAATTTTTCGTTGTTCATAAAATGCTAACATCATCTTTTCTTGTTATTCATCCCATTCTCTGGCTCTTTAAAAACGCAATTACTCCTCTTTATAGCTAGATATGAAATAAAAGCACTTACAATTGCTCAACCTGCTCTTCTGTGGGTGGTTATTCAATTCGTTTATATAGCCAATCATAATATGCTAAATCGTTTACTATTCTTTCCCGATCATCTTTAAAGCGAATCTAAGAATGTCAATTGCATGAATATTTACTTCTCTTTTAGTGGGTAATCCATAGTAGGAATAATATTGATAAAACTTATTACCCATACGATCTTGTCCCACACAGATTCTATTGAGCTTTTAGTCTTCCAATTCTTCTTTAAATTAGGCATATCTAAGATATAGTTTAGTAGATTTGAAGGCACGTTTGAGAGCTTGGTATCGTAAATATATTTTATATAAACTATTCATATGAATGAGAAGAAAGATGTTTTAAAAGAGAATACTTACCATAAATAAATTTACCTTTTTTTGTGTTATTCATCATGATGATCACTCATTTATGTTTCTTTTTGGATTTTTCTCTCTTTTTGTTCTTCTTGAATTCACTCTCATCTCTCTTCTTGTGTTTTTTGGCACTCTTAGATCGAGATCTGGGTTTTTTGGATGACTTGCCATCGTCTATAAGAAGATAGATCTAAAGAATTACCTTTTTTGGTTTTGCGTCTTTTGTCTTCCTCCTCTTTCTCGACCTAATCATCTTTGGTCTTCTTCAACAACTCTTCACTCCTTGACCTTCTCAATTCTCCCAATCCCCCACCAAGATAACGAGGTCTCCATTTAAGAATTGTTCTACCTCTTTCGATATCTACAACAACTTTGCGACCATCAACACGTTTATCCACTGCATATTTATAAGCTGATTTAACACTGTTCTTGCTCTCATACTCTTTTAATTTATGATCACCCCCTTACCAATGAATGCATAGCCTCTAGGTTTATCATGAGTTGAATCTCTCACAATCCTAACAGATTTGATAGGGCCATATTCTTCGAATTCTTTGCGCAATTTTTTATCAGTTGTAGCAAAATTCAATCGTCCAACAAACAAAGTTTTGTAGGGATCAGATGTGATGTTTGCATCTTCAAATGGATTCCATGTTTACAATCGTTTCCTGACTTCTTCACTATGTTATCTTCTCATCTCCTGCTTCTTCAAGATCTTCAATGGCAATCTTGATGGCTTAACGACACCTACATAATCATAACTATAAATACCTTTCTCTCTCTCCTCTCTTTCCATCTACTCATATTCATCTTCAAATTTATCCAGCATCCACTCAGCCTTTCTTCCAACCCCCAAAATGGGATCATAGGCCCTGCATTTTGGTTTCAATTGGGATTTGATATGAGCAATTTGAGGGATGACAAAGATTGGTTGCATCTAAGGATTAAACCCATAAAGTTACATCTGGGGGGAAATCAGGTTTGCGAATGTTGGCAGCTTATTGTACTTGGAGAGGGTTGTTCATCGCATGAGCCAGGGGCATCATAGGAGTAGGTGCCTAATAATACATATTTAATAATTTAAATAATGCAATGGGAATTATTGCCCAGCGATGTTAACGATTATTCTCCAAGGACTGGACATACAGTAATAGCATACAAAGAGTGCATTTATGTGTTTGGGGGAATTGATGAGCAAGATCGATAGAATGACATGTACAAATATCATAAAGGTTGGACAAAACTCAAATTGTCAGGTGAAATTCCATCAGCCAGATCTGGATCACTGGGGTGTGTCTATGAGGATCTGTTTTATTTTTTTGGAGGCTATACTTGGAAACATGGAGAATACTTTAATGATCTCTTTCGTTTCAATCCTGCAAACAATCAATGGGAAAAAATAACTCCAAAAACTTAACCACCTCCAGCCAGAGTGGATCATTCATTTACCATCTAAAAGAATTTATGTTTTATTTTTGGAGGATCCAATGGTTAAAAACGATTTAATGATTTGCATGAACTGAATCTCTGTACATTCGAATGGAGAGCTTTGAGTTAAGTAAGATAACTGAGTGCTCGTCTCGGACATACAATAACCTCATATTAAAATGAGCTCTACCTATTTGGAGGATGGGATGGCAATAATACATTGAATGATCTGTGGGTTTATTCGAACAGTAATGGCACCTTCCAAATGGTTAAATAATAAAACCCACCTGCTGGAAGATACCGACATACAGCCAATATTTACAAGGGATTTCTATTCATTTTTGGAGGAGTGGATTAGAATCAAGAAAGATTTAATGATTTGTAAAGATTTGATTTCCAAACTTCAATTTGGAGTAGAATTGTTGTTTAGAATCCCCCCTCTCCTCGTTCTTTCCATAAATGTGTTGTCTTGGGGAATCACTTGTACTTGGTAGGGGGATTCGACGGATAAAGAAGAAATGATGTTCATCGAATCAACTTGGATTCAGAGAATGGCAGATAGCAAATTGAATAATTTAAATAGGCTCCGCATCTAATGTGGATCTAATTGGATCTTAAAGATCGATTCACACCCAGAACTGGACACACTGCTTGTGTACTTTAAAATAAAATCTATCTGTTTGGAGGAGTGGATCAATCTGGTAATATCAATAATGACCTAAATTGTTTTGATGGCAATTCCTGGTCTGTCATTGTTACTTCAGGCTAAATACCATCAGCCAGATCTGGAGCTAAAATGGTTGCAGTTGATGATCAATTAATGTTGTTTGGAGGATATGTACAGACATAAAGCCAAATTTACTGTAATGATTTGTATCGATTCAATGTTAAGAACAATACTTTTGCTATGGAAACTTAATAAGGGGCCAACCCTGCAAAAAGAACTGACCATTCCTTAGTTGAATATTGCAATGGAATCTACATTTTTGGAGGCAAAGGGGAAAATAAGCAAATTTTCAACGACATCTGGAAATTTAAGGGTTAATGGATTGAATTGGACCATGATTAATAAATAACTGGAAGATTTGGTCATACAGCTGTCTCGTATTAAAATTCAATGTTCATTTTTGGTGGTTGGGATGGTACTAGTTGTTTGGATGAAATGTACGAATACTCTTTTGTTACAAACACCTTTTATGAAATCAGAAGGTGCAGTGGACAAAAACCCAAGGCCAGATATCGACATGAGGCTTTAGTTTACAATTAAAACATGTTTTTATTTGGCGGAGTTGATCATTTATAGATTAGATATAATGATTTACACTAATATAATTTTAAGAAGAGAGAATGGATTAAAATTAATACATCTGGAAATATCCCTTCAGCTAGGACATTTCATAAATTAGTTAATTTAGAAAATCAATTCTTTCTACTAGGGGGTTATGATGGACAAAGATTAAATGACATGTACACTATCTTTGTTACTAAAACAGAAAAAATCAATTTTACTTATCCTTAAGAGGATTCATCAATTCTCCAAGATGAAGAAGTTGTCACTCTCAAAGAATAGGTTAAGGAATTGACCAACAAAATCCAAAGGGAAGAAGAAAAGCACCTTTGTAAAATCTGTTTCATTAGACAAATTGATAGTGTACTAATGGAATGCTGCCATTTCATTCTTTGCTTTAATTGCACTGAAAATCTTAAGAATGTAAGCATTTCTCTTATATATATATAGTGTCCTATTTGTAGACAAGTAATCACGAGAGTAATTAAAACAAGCATGTTTTGATTTAACTATTTTATTTATATAAATTAAATGATAAGAGAAAAGAGGGAATTATTTAGAGTCTAAATCAGAAAGGAAAAAAATGAACAAATATTCACCAAAAAAAGAACCAACATCACTCAATCAATCCCCATAGATTTCCCAAAAGTTGATTATGATCAATTGATTTCTAAAACAAATCTCCCTCAATGTTTAGATAACATAGACTAATTCTTAACTTCAAAAACTAATATTGATCCTTAAATTATCTAGGCTCTAATGTACATTAATTATATAAAAAAGACCTGGAGCATAAATCACTTTTGATTTATTATAATATTTCCCATACGAGTGCTCTAAATTTTTAACTAATTTCACTTATCACATGAACAGAGAATAGATGATCTAATTGTTAACCCAAAGTCAAATCTTGAATCTGAATAATCTGTTGAATGGCAGTTCAGATGAATTAAAGGAGAATGTAATACCTTTATTCTTAAACTACTTTAGCTAACTAAAATCATATGCAATTTTATAGTCGAATTAAATTCAGAAGAAGCCTTAAAATTAGCTCAAAGTCTGTAGCTACTAAGCAATATATACTATAGTTATACTACTCATGGATGCAATGAAAGATTGAGTATGAATTACCTCAGAATCATTGCTCACCTTTTCTTCAATAACTATAAAGAACAAAATATGGAATATATATTAGAAATAATAGATAACATCTCTTAATCCACTGTAGATGATGACCTTAAATTGCAGTCTTTCAAAACGATGAGAGCTATTATCGGATCATATCATATCAACCAATTTGAGATTGTTAATCAATTTGATAAATTTTTAATCATCGAGGATGGCTTGTCTGCTTTCAATGCCGTCCTTTAAGAATAGAAAGTTACAGAATTAGGCATATAGGCCTTAAAAATGTTTAATGCAATGCTGCAAAAAAATAAGCAACTGATGAAGGTAAAGCATTTATCATATGAAGCTTCTTCTAGAAAAATATAGTCTATTAACATTTTATTGTAATGCCTTGTCTTCTAATCTTAATCTCGATAAAACAATAATTAAATTAATTTATGAAGGGTTCTTATTAATCATAGAAGATGATAATAATTTTGTTTTAAATGAGTAAGATCTATGTTTTGAAAAAATTGTGACTTAAGTTTAAGTCTATAATAAAAAAAATAAAGTAAAGAGTCTAGTTATTTTAGGAATTTCCATCCAATACTTGTAGCCTGATTACTTAACTGTTAAAATCGAGGTACAAAGAATAAACCATCATTGAGTTCCCAATCCTAAAATTGATTAGTGAATTCTATTAGAGTGAAAAGCAATTGATCACAATCGATGATTATTTGTTTATTGCATTTACAGTTCTATAAACTGGCGAAAGTATTAAATAGTTTAATAATTAGTGATTTACCCAGATCGATATGTTGGAGAATTTTTAAAGTACCAAGGGGAGTCCATCATTTAAGACATCTAAAAAAACACAAATGACTTTGAGCACATGTAACTAATTGATGAAATCATAAAAATGGCTGAGTATGATGAAGAGGTAGATTTTTATCATTGAATTTAATATATTTTGAAATGATGTATTTAACCAATTAATGAATTTAAAATGTTTCGATAAGAAACTTAAAGTTCTATATAATAACTTATATTGAAAATGAATTACTGAATAATAAATTAAGTATTATTTAGTAAAATATAGATTCGTATTTCTTATCAGTATTTTAAAAAATGGAATAATAATTATATCTTATTATATTCAATAGATATTTGATTATTATAATTAACAATACATCAATTTTATTTGTTTGCATGTGGGTGTGGGTCTTATTTAAAAATAAAAATTACTTTATATCAATGGATGATTGGCAGCCTATGATATATCAAATCTTTATTTAGGATCAATCACTAATATGGAATTTATAAAATCTTAGGCCACCTCTGTGACTTTTTAGGGGCCATTCTCATATTAAATAGTTTAATTCTTTTTATGCATTTAAAACATTTGCTCAAGTTCTTTAGGGTTTTTAGCATTGAATGGTACCTTTCCTATTTATTTCATGATTTCATACCATATAGCATTTCATAAAATACTATACCAAGTGCCCATAAATCTGTTTTAGAAGTATATTGATAATGAGAATATATTTCTGGTGCCATGTATAATGGGGTTCCTATTTATAAAATTTCTCTACATTTATTATATAAATACCTTGTTTGAGGTTGATTTAAGTCAACAGCAAATCCAAAATCTGCTAATTTGGGTATTTGATTTGAAACTAATATATTTTATGTCTTAATGTCTCTATGTACAATGTTTCTTTCCTTTAAATAAAGCAATGCTTTAATGAGATGTTTTAAAATCTTCACTGCATTGTGTTCTGGCAAGTATCCTTTTTTTTCTATTATAGATTGCAAATCACCTAAAATCCACTGACTAATTACCATCAGAACAAAATTCAGTTACGATATAGATATTATTCATTGTTTCAAGGTAATTGAATAATTTAAGCAAGCATTTATTCTCAACTGACTTGAGGATGTTGATTTCATTAACTAATAAATTTCGAAAAATTTAATTGTTTTAAATGCTTTTCCTATCAATAATCTTGATAGCCACTGTTTCATTTGTATTTTAATCCTGACCTTTATAGACTGAACTGAATTCTCCAGTCCCAATCACATCATTCAAATTATACACATATTAGCCAATCTCTTTCTAATTGTTAATCTGATTATTACCTGTATGCTTGGTGAATTCTACTATTGCTTATTCTCAAACTTGATCTTCCCATAAGGACTCATAGATGGACCCTCTATTTTTTTTATTTATTAAGGCTGTTATTTTAATTGTTATGGTTGCATTATAATATTAATAATATTGTATAAATATATATTTAACTAAAATATGTAGTGATCATTCTGTGATTTGCTAATTCATAGTATTATTGATTAACAACAGAATTTAATAGTATTAATTTAGAAAATACAAGTAAATCTAATTAGATTAATAATATATATCTAAACACTATTTAAAGTATCTAAATTCTTAACAATTATACATCCTAAATAAAAATACCTTTGTTTTTGGAAGCAGTCATTTTTGATTTCACCAAAAAGCTCTAATGCATCTTTAAAGATTTGATTTTCACCAATTTCACATTATTCAAAAACTATATAACTTTGTAAAAATATTAGGCTAAATAATTTGCAAATAAATTCCTTCTGCTAATGAAAGAAGGAGCTTTTTAACCTTTTAATTTATCAAATTAACTAGCAAATCTTTAACCTCCATAAAAATCATCCTAAATTACTTTTTCATTTAAATTATTATTTCAAAATTCTTGCTTCAAAAGTGGTTATAAATTTTGAATTTACGAAATCGACTTTACGTCTCTTCTAAATATATTCAACCTCACTTTTACTTTAAATGTAGTTTTTACTTGCATAAAATAAATAAAAATTTGAAACAAATTTTACTAAAAAGTACTAATTATAGTTATATAAAAGTTGTTGTTTCAGATGAATAAATAGACATATTTAAATATAAAAATTAACAATATTTCATGTAAAAATCTCATCAAGTATTTTCTTATACCATTGATTAAATGGAACACAATTATTTTTAAATTTTTCAAAAAGATAATCAAAGTTCATTGTAAATATATGGGCTTATCCCAAGTCTAACTTGACACACTGAGTAATCTAAAAATATTAAATTTTAGGAAGTACCAATTTAAAAAATTCATAATAGGGATCACATTGCTTCTGAGGTTTATTGTACAGAAGAGCCAAAGATTTAATTTTTTGTCTTGATTATAAGTCACATCCTGTATTGGTTGGATTGATAACTGTCATCGAATTCCGAATGGATGATATACTAGGTTAAATTTTTTCCCATTTGAAATTGATTTAATTATGTGAAATACAATTTGAATACAAACCTCTTTTTTCTTGAGGCTTAATTTCAATAGAGTCATCTTAACTATCCATTACAACATCATTATTTTGCTATATTTTAGTGTTGAAACTTGAATTTGTTTGTAAATTGGCCAACTATTCTGTCAAATTTGAAATTAAGAATTACTACTCCTCATATTTCTTTTAGAGTTGTTCGAATTATAATTACAGTTATCCCTTCTCTCTGGAGAGTTGAAGAATCTGTTTATCTATCTCTTCTTGCACACTTGTTAGGATTTAAATTTGATCTCTGTATTATTGATTCTGCTGATGAAGTTTTTTTCTGAGTTCAGCTTCGACTTATAGGATTTCTTTTTCAGATTTCTAGGTTTTCTTCTCAGAGCATTACAACTATAATTCTAATTATTAGCATATTTCAATCTGTCTTGTTAAATCTCCTTTTTGATCTTCGAGTTGATTTATTTATTTAGTATTTTGTAAGTGAAGCATGTCGATTTCAGTTTGCTTTGATTTCAATTCGAGACATATTTCACTTTTATAGTTTTACATTTCCTCTATGTATAGAACTAAGAATAATTCTTAAATTTACAGAAGGTGTCTATGAGTTCATGACATATCTATTCAAGTTGGCTTTGATCAAGCGTCTAATTTAGAAGGTCCTCATAATTTGTTAAAAGTTCAACAGCCTAAGAGTCAAAGGCTAGATTCATTAGTAAATGAAAAAAGATAGAGAAAAAATTAAGATGTATTAGATTCTTATAACACCATATATATATAGATTTATTTAATAATTCGATGGAAAAATAAAATGTAGAAATTAAAATCTTCCAAAATTATAATATACGATGAAATAAATATATGTCTAAAAAAAGAAGAAAATCTCATTGTCCTAATCGCTCAACTTGAGCTTAGATAAAATTTATGAAAGCCTCATTAGTCTGTTCTAATGTTTTAACTGGAGTAATTCTGAGCATGTTCAAGAACTCTAATCTTAGTTTCTTTAGTTCAATTATGCTCAATGCTCGTTTTAAAATAAGGGTGGATTTAGTACCCTAAAATTTTATGGATCCATTTCCAATTTAAATACACTCAACTTACTTATTTAAGATTTAATCTAGAATCTCCTAGACCCTCTTTTCTTGTTCATGTACAAAATTTCCCTCATTTTATTATTCCTATTTAAATATTATTAAAAATTAATTACTTTTTTTGTAGCAACAGGATCCTTAGCTGTTTTCTCTGCAAAAAATAGCACTTCTATCATCTCCTCAAATGGGGTTTTCTCTTAAAACCTAACCTCGAAATAAGGACATTCCCATCTATCCTTTTATTTAGGAACTTCCATTCTTTTGTATAAATCAATCAATAAGTTATCATTGAACTTATTCTCTCTTGTTTCATTATTTTTTTGGCATATCTCCAATGGCACATTTAAATATAACTAATTAAAATTGTAAGATTACTTGACAATTTGTAGTTTTGGCAGCTCTTGCTAAGCAATATAGTTCATATCTATATCCCTTAATATAATTAATAGAATCAAATATGACTAATTAGCCAGCTTAGATATATTTTTCAACATTAGATTTCAAAAATCCTCTTGTCATCTTTTCACTTGTATTGTCTTTGTAAGCATCATCCTTTATTAGATGTAAATTCTCTTCATTAATGATGATGGATTCTTTATTTAGCTTCTCCTTAACCAATTTCTGTATTTCTAATGCTCTTTGAGTTTTACCACTTGCTGGTGGACCACAAATTAATAATAAAGGCATGAAAGAATTAAATATTTTAAAATTTATATTACAATTTATATTAAATTTTCTAGTCATACCTTATAAAAAATTACTTAAATTTAACTTATTATTTTATATATTTAAAAGTACAAGTTATTTGGAAAATTGAATTTCATTTATTGATAATTTTCTAAGGTTATATATAAGGGAATAGCTTAGTTAACAATTTTGATCGTTTTGTTTTCTACGAGATTTGAGGTTGCTCATGTGTACTATGAATTGTAGTCAATCTATCCCCTTATTTGGACATAAAATCACACAGGGTTTGTTGAGTACTCTTTTAATGGAGAGAATGCTAATGCTAAGAATTTTAAGTCTTAACCTTTTATGCAACATAAGAATTAATTATATTAAAAGATTGCTTATTTACTAATGCTTTGATGAGATTTTTCTTCTTTTTTGACATAATTTTTAATTAATTTTTTTTTTCTTCAAAATAAACTCTTCTTTGATTCGATCTTAATGAATCCAAATATGGGGATCCCTCAATTTAGCTGTCTGATTCTGATTATGAAATTAGCTTTTCATTAATTTACTATTAAAATCTAATTAATTTTTCTTTTGAAAGTAGCATACTTCTTTTTGGAAGCTAAAAACATGTTTATCTTTTAACTGCTGCTTTCTTGGACATTATTAATTTAAAGATTTTTCTAATTAAACTATCCTCTAAAGGAAAGATGAGTCCTTCATAAGGTTCTCCAATAACTGTTTAAGCTCTTTTGTGTCTCATTTTGATTACAGGATTTAAAGGCAATGTTTTACTTCTAGTTTTTCTAACCTTATTATTCTTTTTCCCCAAAAACTCTATATACTAAGATGAACTTACTGTATTGCATTTTCATTCTTTGTATTTTCTTTTTCTTTGCTTTTACAGCCATAAGATATTGATATTTAATTACTGATTTTGGAGCTTTGTTGTTTAGACGCTTTTATTTCTCACTTACTAATTCATAATTACTCCATCTCCTCTGCAATTTATTAGTCACGATAGCGTTTTTTAATTATAAACTTGTCATTGAATTCTAACTTCTTGAAAAGACTTCTAAAACAGGCTTAGAAGAAGAACGGCGATTAGGACTCCTATCAATAGGTAATAATAATAGTGGTTAATTTTTGAAAGTAGAGTTGTGTGCTGTTTAAAATACATGTGGCTGAATTTCAAATCTGAAGCTTTTAGACTTGCAAATTTTCCTATTTTTCGTTTATTGTTTCTAATCTAAAGGAGATTTCAATAAAATCTTCTATTTTTGAATTAATCTTTCCAACTTATGGGCTGTGATATGATTTCCAAATACTACATTTTTGTGAATCATTTAATTTATCAAATTTATTACAAATATTGTTAATTGATTATTAATTATTGCTAATTCTTAGATATTATTAATAATATAAAAGACAATGTGTAATATAGATAAAATAATCAATCCTCTTCTTCTATTTCTGTTTAGATTTCAACCAAAATATTTTTTAGTTCTTAAGCATTCTCTTTGATAGATTCAAGCGAGGTAACAATATTTTTCTCCTCTTCATTTCCAAAGTCCTTCTTCAAACATAGGGCTCTAAAAATTACTTAATAAAACTTACTTATTCAAAGGGAACCATGTGATATCAACAGCATCCAATTTATCTGCAACATAACTCTCAATACCTGTATACTCAGTTGGATCCTTTTCTCTCAAGTAGGCAATATAAAATAGATAATACCATTAGTAATGTTCTTTCTTAATATGATCAGAGAAGTTTTGTAAATTGATTGATTCCTTCTCTATTGTTTCTTTGTCATAACCACAAATAAAGCATTAATTCTCCAAATCCTGATTGTATTCTTGCAATTGCTCTCTTAATTCACCGAAAGTGTCAATAATGATACCAGCAACAATGTTTAACATAACAATGATAACTAAAATGTTGAAGAAATTATCAAAAACGAATCTCAATACCAATTTAACCTCATCATCCGGATAAACTTCATATGGGTTTTTAAGGAAACCACCTATACCTTGATCATATTTGAATGCAGAGTCTAGTGTTGACAAAAAGCATATCCACATCGAGTCACAGAACCCAGCATTATAGCTTTCATAGAAGATTCTGTATGAAAAAACTGTAAATACAAACATGAAGATCAACAATAAGAGTCCTGTATACAAGATCATTTTTCTTGGATTCCATACAGACTTAACTACATTCAGTAACAATGGAAATCTAATCATCACTTCAAACAAGTGGAATGAAAAGAAAAAGTTGTGAACAAATCGACCCAATACTGCTGCTGTTCCATACATTATATAATACAAGGCAAAGAAGTCTGATAATAAGTAATAGACTGTTTTGAGCAACCTTATCAAATAAGCAAGGGGATTTAATTTCTCTTATCCAACACCACTCCAAGCCTTCTCTAATAGCAATGGGGCGTTTCTGCTTAAGAAGAAGGCAACAATCAAAATTGAGAGTACAATTGATAAAATTCCCAAGGCATCTATTACATCCTGATATTCAAAGCTATCTTCATCTGACCAATTTTCTGTTTCTGAAAGATCAGCATTTATTTCTGTTCCAATGTACTTCTTCTTATAAAATAGGAAAATAAATATATTAATTAATAATGCGATGATAAACTCTATGTCTCTGAGTAAATCTATATTCTCTATAATCACTTGAAGTGTTTTAATTTAATTTAAATAAACTTGAATTTTGTAATTCAACTTCATAGTTTTTATTATTTCTTCTGAACTTTCAACCAAAGATGTGACTTTAGCTTTGTTCGAATTCCTATTAGCAGTCTCATTAAAGTTTCTCTTGACATCATCATCAAGTTAACAGTAAGGGGGAATATAAAAGTATGTTTCCTCAACATTTTTGCTTTCCAACATTATTTCTATTTTAGCAGTCTTAGATAAAAAGAACTTATATGCTCTTGGAAATAGTTATTGTCTTGCCTATTGTAATTTATCCATCCTTTCTTTTGGAGTCTATTGCTCTGTTTTTTTATAGATCTTCGCCACCTGCAATGCACTATCTTACAAACTTTTAATTAAACTCTATACTAGTAGAAGTAACTTATAGAGGGGATTGTTTAATAACTATTAAGTCATATCATCAGTTTCCTCCTCCTCATTCTTACTCTATTATACAGTTTTGTTCTTTGTTTTTTAATGTATCTAGTAAATGAAAAATAGGTTGAACCCAGTTTCTATGATAAAACTGCAATTGGTTCTTTCCTCTTTGGTTTTGGGTAGAGTATTAGTAAAGTGACCAAACAATTTAAGGTCATAAATTTCATTCGAATATAATTGGAACATGTAAAATATATTACTGATGTTCTATTTCAAGTTTTCATTGCTTATGGATTTTTGAATTCTTTAAATAATTTCATCTCCTTCCCGATCCTCCAATAAGGATATCAAGGTAATAGAACATTTGTATTTGAGGAATGCAATCATCCATCTGGGCAAATGCTTTTACACATTGTATAGTTCCTGGTTATCGTCATCAAGGAACTCCTCATCCTCAATAATTTCATCTTGTATTTCTAAAGCTATTTCATCTATTTCATATAGTTTATTGGCTAGATCTAGGAAGTTAGCCTCAATAAGTGCTTTCTAATTAGTTCTACAAGGACCTTGAATAAATTCAGTTATTGTATCGAAGTTCTGGACCATATTGTCAAAATAATCAGGTTCTACAGCACTCATATAGGATTATAACAAGTCTATAAAATCTTAGATTAGATTATGTGAATGATGATTGAACTTTTGGAAGTTCATATATTCTTATAACTCACTATAATGTCCTTCTGCGAATAATTAGAGTAATCTTAAAATCTAATTGATTAAATCTGGTTGTTTTTAGAATCCGAATTACTATTACATTTCATCTGTTTTTTTCATATTCTTTATAGCTTTCTAAAATTCGTTATGTAATCTTAAAAATATGGTTTCACTCTCTGTAAAGTTCTAAAAATAATTCCAAATTGATTTTTAAATATCTTGATTTCCTCCATCTAGAAGATCGATTGCAAATTGTATTAATTCACTAAAGATCTTCTGGGAATTGATCGGATCTGAAATATCACTCAGCAATGTTAATGTCATCTACATAGCATTATTGCTATTTAAAAAGTTCTAATTATCTTTTTTTTGTCTCTATACAATATTCTTTTTTTCTTCTTCATCCATATCAGGAGTGAATTCTGATTCATCCTCAATATGAATAAAATTTCTTAATACATTCAATATTAGTTTAAATGTTGTGATGTTATCAGCTGAAGCTGAAGACTTTTCTAAAAATGCAATGAGTCTTTAAAAAATGATTTGTTTATTAATTTGTTGATGAACTATTTTATCTTTAATAAATATCTCTTCAACCTTTGAGATGGCTTAAGCAAAAGCCATCTATTCTTTATTGATAGCTTCCATTAATTCTTCACTATCCAAGAATTCAGTTAAAAATATATCCCATAATTCTTTCCAAATTTAATCCGTACTTAATTCTCTTTTTGATGTTTAAATCGTTTGTAACCTTTTTGGAGTCTTATATTATGAAGCCTATCTAGATCGATTCTTTTATCTCTCCTTCTCTTACTAATACCTTTAATCATCTTAATTTTATTTGTTTAATTCCTCCTTCATAATGATATTATCTTTAAAATACTGTAATAAGGTCTTTTAACGGTTGCTTAATTGAAGCCTAGAAGTAAATTAATCTGTTAAGAAGTTCCTCAATTCTTCAAGTTCCCTATAAAATTCGGTGGATTATTTCTATAGTTTAGAACCTTGCACTAATGCTTAGGATCCCAATTCTCTATTCAATACTTTAACCAATCCATTTAACACCAACATCAGATTACTAAAGAAATAATCATAAAATTATGGAATGAAGTTCTTGCATCTCATAATTCTATCCTTCTCATTTGCAATAAATTAGATGATCATGTCAAAACATGAAAACACTTCTTCAGATATCTTCTCTGATTCTAGATATGTATAAAATAGTAAATCTAATAAGGATGGTTTCAGCTTTGTAATCCCTTCCACTTTCGCTTAATTAAGTGGTATGATGCTGATTCCACTTTACAATTATGATCTTTACTTGTGAACTGGGATCTCAATAAATTATTTTTCAGATTCCAAGCCACTGGGAGGTTCAATGAATTCAGAAAATTCATCCTTTTCCAATAACAACTCCATCACATATTTAAAAGTAATTTAAGCCTTCAACTTATTTTCTGAACTAAGCAAACCTTCCTTACCTATCGTACATTAAGCACAAACTTCAATAAATTTTTAATGATAATCATATGGTTCATCTTTGTAATTTGGATTCTCATGTATTTTAGTTTCAAAATCAAATATTGGATGTTCATCAGTTTCAGCCTTTGGTAACATATAAAACAACTAAGTCTTGTACCTAGGGTCAATGAATAAATTTAAAACAGCCTTCTAATTTTGAGAGATATATTCAGTTTTGATTTACATTATCACTAAAAAGAATTCCAAATATCTAACCCTTCTTCCATTGGTAATAATTAATCTGACAAAATCATCGATGACCTCTTGAGAACGCTCATAACAAACTGTCTTATTATCTCTAAATATTTCACAGAGTAACTCAACCTAACCCAAATCTGTATTCAGTTTAGATATCAATGCTACTATGTGTTAAGCCATAACATTCTAATTGGTTAGGTTATTCATGCAAAAGTATTTTAAGAAAGTGAGACACACTTAAAACATCTTCTTCAACTTTAACTGCAATTCAGGATCAATATCTTCTTATTCTACCATAAAAACACTGTCCTTGATTAAATCAACTCCCAATTTGTCAACTTTCAGATGTCTCATCATATCTTATCTAATACTATCAACTTGTCCTTCATGTCCTTTTTCTAATTCTTAAGATTCATTCAAGTACGAACCTTTGAAAAGTAATTAAGTGAAAAATTCGAAGTGCTATTAGACTAATTCCAAAGTTTTCAAATTTTATGGTTCGTCTAAATTTTGTACCCAAGTTTCTGATTCATCTACACATTTGGCCAAAACTAATATTTTCTTTTTGGATTTTTTAAATATTGTAATATTAGTATCATCAAACAACAATAAGAGATTAGATGATAAATAAGCAAATTCATGTCTCTAATTATAGAATCTAGTCAAAATGTGGAGAATCTTTGATTCTAAATCGAGACTCTGATTTAGACAAAAAATAGATATCAAAGAAGGGAATATTGAAAACTGAATGATATTACTTAATTCTATAGCATCTAAAGATTTAACCTTTGTTTAATCTTCATCTGTGTTAACCAACTTGTTTGCAATATTGGCAATATTAGCTATATTCATAAGTCCAAAGATTTGATTTTCATCTTTCTTCTTAAAAATTTCATCATCTACCTTTGTTCCTGTTTTCATAATTGCCGGTAACATGTTATCAAGACTTTTCTTGATTGTGTCTCTGAATTGCTATTGAATTTTCTCTTTATGTTATTCATTGTCAATGTCCAAATCACCATTAAAAACATCATTAAATAGATTTAATTTGTTTACCGATTGTGAGAATTATAATTTCAAATTATTAAGATAAAAATCCATTTTGCTATCAAGATATAGATCTAATATTTCACAAACTTCTAATTTAATCAATGGATCATTGGGTAATTATTGTTGATACATGAATTGATTCATTCTCAATGAGAGGAATTCAACTTATTTTTAGAAGTTTTCAGCTTCGGATAAATCTTCAGCATCATCTTCACCTGAATACTATTACTTTACTTAACCTTATTCATCCTCTTTCTTTTTATTCTTATTTCCAAATCCTAAAAAATTTGCGCTATTCTTCTAATTTTCCTCTTCCTTTCTTTTAATTGACAAGATCTTTCTTACTTCTGGATAAGTTGAATTATACTCTAAAATGGCAGTTAATGCTCTGATATTAGAAAACAACTACTAATTTTTTTTGATCGTTCTTTCTTCATCTTCCTCAATGACAATAGAATATTTTCCAAATTAAATCAATAGTTTAAATAACTTAATCACTTCTAAAGTAAGTTCATTATATATTTCAGGGGCATTGTTGAAAACAATTCCTAACATTTAATGCCTTTCTGTTGGTCCTTTACTTAAATCCACAAGATCTGATTAGTTTTATACAAAAATCAACTAGTCAGCTAGATATCCATTTATCTTCTCTTGGACCTTAGGAATATCGACTGGATCAGTTTTAGTAACTTTGTTTTGCTATTTGCCTTCTGAAAGCATTGTATTATTGATATCATTTTTATTTTATTTCCTATTGGTTCTGACAATTTTACAAAGTTCTGGCCAAATGATTATTCTTCTTGGTTCTTGGTCAACATACAATTTGTTCAAGAGACTACAAATAATTGAACGAATTTCAACGTTATATTGATTGTTTTAAATATTTTCAATTAAACTTTCCACATTAAAGAAGTTTTCAGCAAACTTTTTCCAAGTATAGTTTCTGGAATTGCACATTCTCGAATACATTCTCATCAATTCCTAAACATAAGGAATAAAATTCAATAATCTTGGATCATTGTTGCTTGAATATTTATGATAATAATCAAGAAGAGTGCTTTCTTAATCCCCTCGGTAAACCTTCAATTAAGGACCATCACTCTTTAATCTTATAAGTATTTCATCTTCAAATACCCTTTATGATGAAAGTATATATTTATAAGCAGATTCCTGATTAATATTGATACCTTTTTCTTCAAAGCAAACTGATTCTTTTAAGAAGTACATAATTTCAATCTTTTTGTTAAATTTGAACTGATTGCTCTTCAACATTGTAGTGAAGAACATAAGTAAATCCCATGTTTGTAGTTGAACAGGAGTTGATTCCTTTATCTGTTTACACAAGATTTTATATTAGGCATTATAATCGATGATTGGTTTATTAATTTCATTTCTTCTTCTCTTCTTTTATTTATTTTGATTAATTGAAGGAGTCTTAATAGAGGCTGCCTTAAAAATTTATTATGGCATATCAAGTGGGTTATCATCTTTATTTAGATTCAATAGAAGTTCTTCAAAGTTATGAATGATTGAAATGATTGTACTAATGGCTCCATTCAAATACATGGCTTGCATTGAGAGAATAGGTAAATATTTAGAACAATATTCTTGATTTTAAATGTTATCGATGACCATAGCTTGTAATAATTTAAAGATCTTAGTGCAGATGATTTTTTTCTTCTCAACAAACCTAGCTATAATTTATTTTTCAAGATTCAGATCTACTTGTTTTTCTTCTGATAATAATTTAGTCACTTAAACCAATTCAACAGGCTCATCTGCCTTCTATAAACTCTCCTAAGTTGGGAAGCAAATCACAAGAATCTATATTAGAATTTCAAAGAAATATTATTCTTTGAGAAGATTTTATGTATGAGGATGTGGGAAGCCAAATTCTGAATCGAAAGACACAAAACCTTCTAATTTGTTATGGCAAAGTAGATATAAATCATCTAATACTTGTTCCAAGTGTTATGATCTCACAACCAACTTTTTGTAAATGTCTTGGAACTGAGAATTTTTAAAAAAGTTAGTATTATTCAAATCAACATCTAAATATTCTTTACTTCTTTTTAAGATTTTCATGCAAGATAATAAATACTTAATAAACCTAACTTCGTTTAAGGATGCGCAAGCCAAATTAAATACATGCTCATCCTTTTTATCTTAATTGAAAATAGGGATTGTAATATCTTCAATGAAATTGTCACCCTCAATTTTATAAATTTCATTAGGACCAACAGTATCTATCTTCAACCAAAATTAATTATCTGTGTCTCTTGACGACAATCTAAAATAGGAATCTTTAGTTAAGAATTCTTGATTCTCCTTTTTTATTATTGTAGAATGTATCATTCCAAATTTGAAAATAGATGACTCAGAAATACTTTCAACTGCAACCAATCTGAATGAACCGTGATTCTCAGTTATTTCTTCTAATTTCAGATAATAATTGGATGTTAAGTGTTTAAGTCTGTATTCATTAACCCATTCAACATAACCACCATTTAAAAAGTCTCCTTTTTCTGGATCAATATTCTCGATAACATACATTCCATTGCTGTCTCCTATAAATTAATTGATCTATTCTGAATCTTGCCCTTTTTCAAATTTCAAATATTTCTTCTTTTCATCTGGGGAATACTTTTGCACAATCATATTCAACTAATAACTCAATAGATTCATTTACATTAGTTTCGGAATAGTTGATCCAGATGACATCAAAGACTGACAAGTACCCCAATTCATCTTTCATAAACTTGGAGAATATATTGATTTTCCAAAAGGATCTCTTCTCAGGAGCAACATTCAACTCTCTCTTCTCTCTATCCTTCTTCTTATTGGAGGCATGCAATCCTGGCTCGACACTCATGTCCAAAACACTCACGATGTAGACAGTGTCTTCATCAAAAATTAAGCCTCCTGTCTCTTATTAGAATGAGAATGAAGCCTAAAATTTGAATTGAGTGTCTTCTCCATGTTCCTTCTTCAAAGTAGCTTTCCAACTATCACTTTCGTAATCACTTCCCTAATCCTTCAAATAACTCAAGTATTTGTTGCTTGCTTGATGAATGAATTGGATGGTTTGGCCAAAAAATATGGATTGTTCTTTCATCTTCTCAAGGGACTCCTTGTTCAACGATGATTCATCCTACATTAGCTTAATTTGCTTTGGAAATTCGAGTCTAGAGTCTATTCCATAATGGTAACTTCCTTACCTCTTTAATCAACATTAGTAACTTGGTTCAAAGTCTCTTTCTGATGGAATGCCTCCTTCCCCTTGTTATATTCCACAAACTAAAATGGAGGCACCACTTTAAATAGACATTAATTCAAGCGTCCCTATTCTTTAATCCTCGATGCCGGTAGTAATCTCAGTTTCATTGATGTAAAACCTTCGCAACATGCATAGTAGTTCTTTCCATCATCATCCTTATAACACAGAGTAACCGTGCATCCTATTTTGAGGGCTTTACTTAGTAATGCATCACTAGCTTCCATTATATATTTATTTTTAATATTTCATTTTTCTTTTATTTATTTACTCATCACTCTTTTACTCTTTCGATCCTTTTCTGTTAGTTTTCAATCTGATTCCCTTCACTCCTTCAATTTCTACTCGTTATTTTAATCCCCCCCCCTTCTTTTATTAACAGTCTTGTATTTATTAACTATTATAACTATAAATTGATTTCAAATTCACTTGTCCCGATCTAAGCAATATTTATGTCTATTGAATTTAATCATATTAAAGATCGAATAGTCTAGTATGGACTGGCAAATTTAAAAATCAAAAGATTTAAATTTTTCAATTTGTGATTGCCAATATAGACTTTAGAGTGTGAATTTGTGAAGCATTTACGGATTCTAGAAATAAATTAATAGTGGAAACAGCTTATAAAATTGGACTTATAAATAATATAATTAATGTAAGGAAACGAAGATATTAACAAAGTATACACTTTGGAGAAAACCTTGGGAGAGTATTGAAATTATATAAGTCAAGGGGAGCCTTTGGAATTGTGAAGAGAGCTGTCAAAAAGAGCACAGGTGAACATTTCGCCGTGAAAAATAATTAACAAGTATTTGATCCATATTGATTGAAGGGAAAACCTTATCAAACGAAGACCTGTTAGCCTTATAAACAGAAGTGGAAATCCTTACTCAAGTACAATTAATAAATATTTAGATTGATCATCCCAATGTTGTGAAATTGTATGAGATTTATGAAGATGACACATACTTCTATATGGTCTTGGAATTGATGACTGGCGGAGAGGTATTCAATATTCCATCATCACATTAAGCTATTTGAGAGAATAGTTGAAAAAGATCACTTTAGTGAGAAGGAAGCAGCTGCAACACTCAGACCAATTATTGATGCACTTGCTTATTGTCACAAAATGGGAATTGTGCATCGAGACCTCAAACCAGAAAATCTACTATACTCAACCATGGAACCTGGAGCCCTCTTAAAAGTTAGTGATTTCGGACTTGCTCGTTTCGTTGGTTCAGAAGAAGTCATGATGACTCAATGTGGTACTCCAGGTTATGTGGCTCCCGAAATCATCAATGGCAAAGGATACACAGAAGCCATCGATTTCTGGTCTGTCGGTGTTATTCTCTATATCATGTAAAAAGGTGAATATTTATTCAAGGTTGTGTGGATTTCCCCCTTTCTATGACGAAGATAACGACAAGCTCTTTTAAATGATCAAAACGGGAACCTTTGCTTTCCCATCACCCTACTGGGATCAAATTAGCAATGAAGGTTCAATCCTAATATCATGTTTATAGCCAAGGAGTTAATCAAAGGCCTTTTGACCATTGACCCAGCCAAAAGACTCACCACTGACAAAATCCTTAAACACCCCTGGCTCCTCAATAACACCCACAAATCTATTGTCAATCTTCAAGCCAAACTCAAAGATTATCGTGCCTCCAAGAAAATCAAAGTAATAATCTCCCTCTAATTCATCATAGAGAATCGCAAATGTCCTCACCATTGCTAGAGGATGGGGTAAGATGGCCTAAGTTAAGAAAAATTGATATCATTACAAATAAATAATTATATATATATAAATGTTCCTCATCAAACCATAAACACCCACCTTTGGAGATAAAAAACAATGTCGCAAACCCCAATTGCAAATTAACGAAATCACCAATAACTCTCGCTTCTATAGTGTTCCAACCCGTCAAACACAATAATAAAGTAGGAGTTCATCCATTCGAAAAAAGAATGACCTTTTAGTAAATTAAATCCCCCATCTATTTTGTAGATTAAAAAGTGGAAAGAACTCTATGAAGAATAGACCAGCTATTATATGCGCCTCCTTAAAGTTAATAACATACAAAATATTGAGCTTCCAAAATTTTAACTATAAAAATGATTTTATTATAGTATTATTACAATTATTATAATTATTACTGGGCTCTATATTTAATAAAGTGTTAATTTTAATATCTTAACCTTAAGACCTATATAATTAAATAAAATTGCATAACCAATACCCATTATCTTATCCCAAATTTAATCTTTTAAATTCCTAAATCAATTATTTAAACATAATTAATCATTTCCATAACTATCTTAACATTAATATACTGATGAAGCCAATAATGTGTCATCTGAATTATCAACCAGTCACTTCTTTGAAAACTCAAAACTTGGATTTCGACCTCCTGGAACTAGAGAAGATTAATTTTTCAGTTAAGAGAGAGCACATGGTTGTTCAACTCAACAGAGAATAAGAAATAAGTACTCCAACCTTCAAATATAAACACAATAAAATTTAAGGACCTGGAAAATAAATCAGAAATTAGTTTCGCCACTTAACATCCATTTCCCCAAAAAAATTAATTAAATCAACTCGAAATATATCTACTTCACAAAAAGAGCCATTAAACGATCTAAAAAATTGATAAATATATTTGTATTCAACGATTACTTTTCTTATTTTAATTTGCTCTAAGAAGATTTGCCAAGTATTATTTAAGACTAGTAAAACAAATGATATTTATTATATATAAACTTCTTATATTTTATACCTAATCACTTAATACCAAATTTATTACATACCAATAATTTTAGTACTGCGCAGTTAATTAATTTAAAAACATTAAGGTTGGATAAACTTACCACATAAAATAATGTTTGACTCAAAAGATGAAACTTATTTTTTTGGTGAAAATTGATTAAGCTTTGCAGTACTTCATTTATTAGCAGAATAAAATAAATAATTATTATAAAGTTTTATATATTAAACAGTATATAATGTTTTATAATAGACTTTTTAAAAAAATTTAGTTTTACATCATCAAAAAAATTATTTGTTAAGAGGATCGAATACTTTTTATAACATTATGTAATTATTAGTATTTAATTTTCCTTTGCCACTTCGAATAGATATAATCATATTTAATAAAATGCAACTTGATGTCAGTAGTTCGTTTAGACTATTTGAGCTCCTTTAATTTGCTATTTATCGAATACACATAATAATTTTGATAATATTAATAGAGAAATTTTTATTAAAATTTATTAAGATGAATATTAATAATTTTTAAATAAAAATTAAACTTACCCCTCTTAATTAGAAGTAATTTAGTTACCATTGAAATTTTATTGAATTTTATTCACCAAAACCTAGATAGAAGGGTCAAATTAAAGATTATGAACATTGGCTGTTCGTCTTTAAAAGTCCAAAATAAATATTGATTTTTTCAATATAAATATTCATGTAAATCAGATTGGAATTTAATTAATATATTTTATTCCACTCAAAATAATTTTAAAACATATGAAATAAATATAATAAATAGGTGTTAAGTCCATGACTAGCTCAAGTATTGATTTGATGTGAAATTAACATATTATTAGATTGAAATTTATAAATAAAAATGGAGAATTTTTATATTCTTTAAGAAACATAATAAATATTATAGATGAGTTATTGATAGATATTGATATTTTCTTGTAGAATCAATATATAATTATTGGGTGAAGAGGAATAGCAATTGTTAAGAATTTAAGTAAAGGACATATATGATATAAATTTATAGAATTCCTTGTTATTTATTTATTTATTCTTAATTATATAATGGAAGAGAAGGTTCAAAAATAATATATTGATTGTGTAAAAAAGCTGCAGAGATTCATCTAAAGTAGAGTGCATGAATAAATTAGACTACCCTGATAGAGTGCCAGCGAAGGTGTAACAAAAATTGCAAGTTCTATAAGCATCAATCGACAATCACAAGTTTGGGAAAGCGGAGTTATTGTCCGAAGAAGAGATTCATTAATTAATTAATCCATCGATTCCTGTTAAATTTCGAATGTATATCGACATCGTGAACTCATTTATCTATTCTGAAGATGAAGTATAGGGTCGTCTTGAAATGAAAAAAAAGTCAGGGTGGTTTTGGAATAATAAGATATTAAAGTTAAATATGATGGATCGTAAACTCATGATATCTAGGAATGATCCCAAGAAGAGAGACAAGTAATTGCCACTGTAAGATTTTTCTCTAAAATGGTATTATTATTCTCATATTTATAAAGGTGTGAATCGATGAAGACCAAGTATTGCTTTTAGCTGTGTGGAAAGGAGACATTCTTGTTTGGAAGTGAGGATTTCTAATAAGCAGAAAGATGGTTTAATTATTTGAGACAATGTTGTGCATTTATTGATGATGACTAATTAAAAAAAATAAAGTATGATAATAATATTATTAAACAAAGATAATAAAAATAATTTTAACGACAATCTGAAGATTTCAGTCAATCACTAAATTTATATCCTTAAAAGCGTTCAGAAATAGTACAATCTAAGCCTTAAAATATGATTGATGAAAAGTTGAAGACACATCACAAAACCTAATCCTAAGTGACAAAGCCAATAAATGAAAGTAGTGCTCAAAGGTCAAATGATTAGAAGTAATAAGTAATAGAGAAGGAATAATCAGTGTCTGTCATCTCTATCTAAAATGTAAAACAAGTTTCATAAATTATGCCCCAATCTGAAAACAAGGTTCCAACTCTTCTGCAAAATATACTACATAATAAGTAGCTCTTCTCATTAGATAGATTGATGGATGATTCAGAATATCAATTAATAAGTTTTAAAAACAAATTGAGGTATTGGTTTATGCTATAATACTAGACTATTGCAACATAAAACGTAGTAAGAAAAAATTAAAGGCGTTGTGAACATAACTAGTGATAACATAATACCAATTGTGTCAGCCTTGGTTTGTCCAGATGTCATGAAATAATGGAATACATAGATAGACTAGACTATAATTTTGGACATTATGCTTAACAACAATTCTATGATAATATCTGAGATGCGAAAGAAGTACGGTTTGCTTTATTTGAAACGATCTTATACATATTTAAGATATGTTTTCAAAGATAAAGATGCTTTTTTCATTGTCGATAAGAGTTTATCGTATCAAAATAACATATAGAATGGCTATCAATTTGAGGGATAAATTTAATTGAGTATAATAGCTGTAATTCCATAATAATAACAATAAGTGATGATAATTTGGGAAACAGAAACTAAGAATGGAGGATATGCAAATGATGCTTAACTGTCTTTACATTATGTCTCAGAATTATAGAACTTAGATTCTTATTTGATATAGAAGCAGTTTAAGATTCCAATTCCATAGATAGTAGAGGAGGCTACTAAGGAACCACTAAATGTAGAGATAATAGAATAATATTAACCTTAAAGAGTGATTGAAGTCTAGATGGATTCCTCGTTGTCTGACGTGGATTGCAAATAATTTTAGTCTCAAATAATCCTCGATGATGAACCAGAATTGATTAATAAAAATGACTATCTCTAATTGTTGGAGTTAGTATCAAAGAACCCTGGGATAATCTATTGGTCTGCAATTCATAATTATTAATTGACACCATTGGAACCGGATAATATTTATTATACAGAAACTGCAGAGCATAAAAATGTGATATTGCAAAGTGATTGGGAAATCCTAGAGAAAGGTGGTTTGAGATTTATAAATAAAAAGAAACTTGAAATCTAGAAAGAAGTCATTACATTTATGCTAAAGAAGTTGGGATCCAATTTATTGATGGGTAAATCTTTGATTAGCATTTCTTTGCCTGTTAATATATTCGAGAGAAGATCTAATCTGGAGAGAGCTTGTTATAGTATGGGTTATATATGGCTATTAGAAAAGGCAGGTGAATTATAGGACCCAGTTGAGTAAATGAAATTGGTAGCTTAATTCTCTCTTGCCTATAATATAATGTTTTTAAATATGGAGAAACCTTTCAACCCTATTTTGGGAGAAACCTTTTAGGGTTACATGAATGGAAATCTATTGTGTTGTGAACAGATTTCTCATCATCCACCAGTTCTAGGATTGTATGTGCTTGGTAGAAACTTTAAATTAACAGGCCATTTGGAATCGTAGGCAAACTTTAGTGCTAATTCAATTACAGGATAGAACTATGGGTATTTGTAAGTCACATTTGCAAATACCACATCAATCATATTCAATGTGATGCCAGGAGTTATCCAAGGGATGACAATCGGACATAGACAGTTCTATTATAATGGAGTTGGATGGTTAGTTGATTTGGAGAACAAGATTTTCTGTGATCTCACAGTCAATGCCTTTCCTGGAATGTTTAGTAAAAAGGTCACTCCTCAAGATTACATTGAAGGATATATTATCAAGGGATCTGTTAAGGATGTTTAAAAATTCAACCTAGAAACCTATCGCAAATATCAAGGAGTCAAGGCATTACCTTAACAGGATAAGCTGTCCAATATAACTGGTAGATGGACAACAGGAATGATAATTGACGGGGTGGAAGTGCTGAATTGGTTCAAGCATTTTCCTTATAAGTTGAAATACGAGGATTATCCTCTGGCATCTGATAGTAATTACAGAGAAGACTTGATTGCTTTGAAGACTGGAGATATGAATTTGGCTTAGGACAGAAAGGAGAAGATGGAAATTCACTAGAGACATGATAAGAAGATAAGACAAAAGAAAAAACATTGATTGTGTTTAGAATTTTTAGTATAATTTATTCAGGAGTATAAGACCCTAATCAAATTTCATCTGTTTATATAACATAAACATTTATAAAGATAGATAATGTTTATATATTTATACTATTCATTAAGTAAAATAATATCTTCTCTCCATCCAGAAGGCAGCTCTTTTCGTATGAGGCATCATTTGCATTTAGAGATGGTACTTTGATAATCAAGATAAATTTATTACATTTTTAGCCTTACGGTACTGATCTCTCACTTTGTCGTTGAGCATGTCCAAATAAAGGTCGTATTGATTCTTCTTGTTAGACCAAGGAATTGCTTAATGATACAGCAGTTGCTATACGCAATCATTGTTACCAGAGCGGATCCCAAAGAAGAGTGGAGTTCTTCCAAGCTGGATAATAGAATGATAAGTACAATATCTCTCCGATTCACATCAGCATGGTATTCCAAAAGCAATTCAACCATCTCAACATGATTACGAATGACTGCATGATGAAGAGGAGTCAATTTGGATGAATCAAATTCATACACCAAATACCTGTTCTCTTGCAACTCCCTATGTGTTAGTTCAAGCTTGTTGGATTTTACTAAATCAAAGAACAATTTGGCTCGTTCGTGACTATATGCTGTGAGAGGGTACACTCTATGATTAATGAGATCTTCAAGGTTGAGATGCAGATCATGTAATCTGAACAAGAGCATCTTTATCATGTTCAATATTTTTTGTCTTCTCAATCTTTTTTATTGTTCTGGGTTTGCAATCTCAGTTTTTGGAAATACTTCTAATAAGGACTAATCTAAATGGACTTATTTGTATTGATATTTGGAATTAATAGCTTTGGATTTGAAATCTACGTAGCATTTCCGATGATACTCTTAACGAGTGAGTTCATCAAATCTTTCAATTTCCTATCTCTATTTTATCAATTCTTGAGCAGTGTATTTTTCTGCCTCCTCAAGTTACTATTACTCTGAATACAATCAATAAATTACTTAGAATGATTTCCTCATCTTTTAACATATTGAATAAGGCAATATTTATGGGATGATTCTATGCTCTGTCCAAATCAGTATATTGGATATCTTCTATATGCAACTCCTTAAATATTAAATTCGGGTCTCGTTTCTGAGATTTCAACACCTTCAAACTATCATCTTGATAATATTTAGAAAAGCGAACTCTATTCGCATTAGTTAATTCGTAACGAGGGTTCGAAAGTTTTCTTGGAGGAGATCGTATTGATTCATGTTGTCTACTAATACTCTTCATTCTAAGCATGTGTTCACTCATTCCCTTTACTATACGCAACGGTTGCTTAAAAACAAACTACCTCTCTTTATTTTCTTAAGTTTCATTTTGTACCTTCTAAATTGGCACTGCTGCTGTCTTAGTTTTATCTATTAGCATCATCTATTCCCCATTGAATTTCTTTAGAAAGTTATTATAATTCGTAGCTGTTGCCATCTGTTTAATACGACTTGTTTAAACACGCTCGGTTACTGGTTGTTGTTAAGCAAGCAAAGATTTTTATTTTTCAAGCCACTTGACACGTTTATGTTAAGGCATAGCAAGCAAATCCACTGTCTTCTCTATGCTTCTGCTCGTGTTCCAAGTATGAGGCACCTCAGACAATGCTGTGTGATTCTTTCGCAGAAGAGGTTACTAAATTAGTTGCTGAACTTGCACTAAACTCATCTATTTGCTTTTCCTGTTAGTCATTTAGGTTTTGGGAGTTGCAGTTTGTGGCTAAGAATACTTCAGTCTCTCGAATGACTCATGTGTCTTGGCTTAACGAGTAGTCTTTTCATTACTCTCTATTAAACTTGATAGTAGGCACCTGTGAGTGGGTGCTTTCATTTTATAAAATAATTAACTCACTATTTATTTCATTTTTCGATAAAATATTTTCATTACCTACCAAAAAATGTTCAAATTACATCACTACTCAAAAAACAACGTAAAAGTAACTCTAAATCACAAGAATATTATTTCAATCAATTTGATATAAAAATAGAATCTGATATTTCAATTGTTAATAATTCTTATTAACAATTGATATGTGCCAAAAGGAACTTTACTTTCCTTTCCTTTACTTATTAACAAATATATTATTACTAATACAGAGAAGATATTATTTTAGATCATTTTCCTTAATTATTTTCTTCGTGAATTAAAAATTTTAAGATAATTAAACAGATAATATTAAATCAATTACATTTATACCCTTATCTTATTCAATGATTGGAAGTAGTTAGACATCCTAATACTTTAATAAAATATTATTTTATTTTTGCTCTCATGGATCTATTCGTTGTTAATGAAATAGGTCTCTCACCATATTCTATTTCACTAACAAACATAGATTGAGCAAAGCTTTTCTAATTTGTCAAGAAGATTGCCTCCTCTCTTTTTGCAGATACAAATGATTGTCTTAATTCTTCTTCATATTCAAGTATTACCTTTTTGCAATCCCCAACGAATTTTTAACTAATGTGATCCTTGTATTAATTTAACGTGTAAATAAGAGCTTCTGTAATCTTTTTTTATTCCTCAGCCTCACTTAATAATTTATATCTCTCAACACAATTATTGACATTTCTGCTTTTTTCTAATAGTTCTCTTAATAAAAAGATATGCGAATTTAAATTTTCTTTGATTTTTTCTTTGGCTTCGTCTTTTTACAATTATTGCACTCTTTTTTTTATTTACATTAACTCCTTTCTCTCCATCAAACTCTATGGATTTAATTTTGAGATCATCTCAGTTGCCTACTCATAATCTAATTCATTATTCGCTATTTATTTGTCTACATTCTCTAGGTATGATGTAAAATTACTCGATAACATTTAAGAAATTCTAATATTTACAAAATATTTCTGTATTATTTAGAAAATCAATTTCCTTTCTAATCAATTCTAAAACCAATTAAAAATTCAATGAGAATACAAACTACACCTCTGATAGACTAGAATTATCAGATTAAGAGATCATGCTTATGAAATTTCAAGAATTCATAGAAACAACATAGAATCAGCATTATAAACATAATCCTAAAAATAGTTAGATATTTATAATCAACAAGATTTTATATTTTCTATTAATTCTCTAAAATGAATATGTTTCTATGGATAATTATTGTTCAAGGTTATGAAAATTATTATTCAATCATTTTCTATTCAATTATAACAAGTTTCAAGAGAGCTATATTATTAATACTCATTAATCATATTTAATATATTGATCAGAAATGAATAATAAGAGAAAATTTTATGAAAACAACATAAATTTGTTAGTAATAATAAAAATGTTTACTAAATTATTTAGATTTTCATTTTCTGCCACAACTAAAAATCCAAAGGTTTTCTTCGATATCTCCATTAATAATGCCCCAAGCGGTAGAATCATCTTTGAAGTAAATTGAATGTTTTAAATTTAGTTATTCGCAGATGCCACACCCAAAACAGCAGAAAATTTTAGAAAATTGTGTATTGGTGATACTGTATCTAAGATATCTGGAAAAACTCTTCATTATAAGGGTTCATCATTCCATAGAATTATTCCATCATTTATGGTTTAAGGAGGAGATTTTACTAATCATAATGGCACAGGTGGAGAATCAATTTATGGAAGGACATTCCCAGATGAAAATTTCACATTAAAACACACTACACCAGGACTCTTATCAATGGCTAATGCTGGACCAAATACAAACGGATCTTAATTTTTCATCACCACAGTCCCATGTCCATGGTTGAATGGAAAACATACAGTTTTTGGAAAAGTTGCCTCCGGATTAGAAGTGTTAAATGCAATTGAATATTGTGGAACTTAATAAGGAAGACCTTCAAAAAAGGTTGAAATATATGATTGTGGTGAATTGCAATGAGTGATCTGATTACATAAAACAAAAAATTAATTATCTAATAATTATATATTAAACAATGATGTTATCAATTACTACATAAATTTTAAGTGGATATATGAAATATTGAACAACAATTAATTAGTATTTTATATTATAATCATATTAAATTTTAAGAATGCAAGATAATATTATTGCTGATCGTATGGCACCTTATCTTCAATTATAGATGTATGCTAAGTTTACATAATTGGCTGTGAAGAATTCATGCGTCAATATGGGATAAGGATTTCCGAATTTCCCACCACCTTAATTTTTAAGACAAGCAATTGCAGAAGAAGCTTTAACAGAGAGTTTGCAATATACAATGACAGCTGGTCACCCGAGATTAATGAAAGCAGCATCTGACTTTTTTGAAAAGCACATGGGAGTCAAAGTGGATAGTGCAAAAGAGATGGTTGCAAGTTCTGGTGCACAATCAGTTTTAGCATGTGTTTTCCAGGCTTTGCTTAATCCAAATGATGAAGTCATATGTTTTGACCCTGCTTTTGGTATTTATTAAAAAGATATCGAGATTTTTATCGACCTTTGATTGAATTCCAAGGTGCCAAACACGTTGGAGTTCCATTAAAACCAGGCCAATTAAATAGTAAGGCTAGCATATTGAACAGATTTGAGAATGGCAAAATTAAATTTTCCAAAGAGGACGAATGGCATTTGGACTATGAGTATCTTGAATAAAAGTTAAATGCTAAGACAAAAATGATAATTTTGAATTCACCATAAAATCCAATTGGAAAGTAATTTAATAATTGTTATTTATTTAGAGTGTTTTCAATTGAAGAATTAGATAGATTGGCAGAAATATTAGAAAAACATCCATAAATAATAGTGTGCGAAGATGCTGCATATCATCATGTTGTATTTGGTGGTTATTAGCCATTTTCATATCCTAGATGTATTACTCATCCAAAATTAAAATCTAAAACTGTATGTGTAACAAGTGCTGGTAAAATGTTCTCAGCTACAGGATTAAGAATTGGATTTGCAATGGGAGATGAAAAATATATCAAAGCAATCAAATCTGCGTAAACCTATCATAACTTTTGTTTGAATCCAGTATTATAAACTGCTACAGCAAAATGTTTAGAATAAACTATTGATGGCTAATACTTTACAGAAATCAGAGATTTATATGAAGAATAATCAACTATGTTACTAAAGGGTTTACTTGAGAGTAGATTGAATTTACATTGTTGGGTTCCATAAGGAGGATACTTTTTAGTTACTGACATCAGTGATGTAGAAATACCTGAGAAATATTTCAAAGATGATTAAGATGGTCATCAACTAACTAAAGATTTTGCTTTTGCATACTATACGGCATGTGAAATTGGAGTAGTGTGTATCCCTTGTTCTCCTTATTTTGAGAATAAGGAGTTGGGTTCTAGATTTGTGAGATGGGCATTTTGTAAGACAACAGAGACCATATAAGACGCATGTAATCGTTTAAAATGAGAGAAATGACATAATTTAATTTAGATTCAACAACAATCATCATTTTTTTTCTTTTTCTTTTATCCTAAACTTGTTTACAATTCTTTATCATCTTCTTCATCATTTCTGTAAAATGTGCCTAATTTAATACCTAAATTTTCATTGTTCTGATCGATTAATTTATTTTCTATCTTGTCATGGATTCGCATAGCCATTTATTAAAACACCTAGTCAACAAACTGTCCAGTTTTGGCTGATGTCTCAATATAGTGTATCCTATATTATTCTGCAAATTGTTTCCCTTCATCTGCCGAAACTTAGCGTCTATTTACATAATTGATTTACTCGCTCTCCAGGTCGATTTTATTGCCAACAATTACTATATCCACGGATTCATGAGCGCAATCCAATATTTCATTATACCATCTAACGATATTATGGAATGACTATCGATTTGTAATGTCGAAAACTAGTAAAACCCCTATTGAACTACACTTAACAATAAATTAACAAACCCCTTGTAATATGATCGCGTGATTGACCTAAAGGATTCTTAACCAGCCTATCTTTAAACTCAATATAGTACAGTGTCCCAGATTTATATTTTGAATTGCTTGTTCTTGTGTTTGAATCCTTAAGAGCCAAATTCTACTCCAATGGTAGCATCATGTTCCTCTTTAAATTTCCCTTCCGTGTAATTGAGCAAAAGACAACTCTTTCCAACACCTTGATTATTTAGCGATTATGAGAATTACTTGTATCTCCAACAATTATGAATTTAAAGAGATAGTGATATAAGTCCATTTATATTAATATGAAATAATAATAACTAAAAGAACCACACTTTAATGGGGAATTTGAAGATAGTGATAGTCAGACTGAAGATAACAATTCTAAGAAGAAGACAACCTTGATAATGAATGTATCAGGTTAATAAGTAGATTCCTAATTTTAGATACTCAATATGATGTTGTGAAATTTGTAGGCAAGAGGCTATTCAAATGGATTTTACAATACGAGTCTGATGCTACCAATTGGGATATGTTTTGGACAGACACAGCTGTTCAACCTGAGACTCTTGGGAAAATGCAACGTATTTTTATATATAAATCTTAAGCTTACCAAAAAATTAATCATTTTCCAGGAATGTATTCTCTTGCTCGTAAGAATCATCTCGGAAGAAATCTTATGAAAATGCGTAAACAATTCACTCAAGAATACAAATTCTTTCCTCAAACCTGGTTATTGCCAGCTGAATACGGTGACTTCAAAACCTAATTCGTGAAAGGGAAAGCTAGAACATTCATAATTAAACCTGAAGCGAGCTGTTAAGGGAGAGGGATATTCCTGACCAGAAATCTAAATGACATCAATCCAAATGATCATTATGTAGCATAAAGATATTTACTCAGGCCATTCCTGATAGAGGGTTTGAAATTTGATTTGAGAGTTTATGTTTTATTGGCTGGAACTGACCCTATGCGAATCTATGTCTATTAAGATGGCTTAGTCAGATTTGCCACTGAACCATATGTTCCCCCTAATACATCAAATTTAGATGATATGTGTATGCATTTAACCAATTATGCTATTAATAAAGAGAATCCAAATTTCGTATTTAATAAAGATGCAAGTAGGATGGACATTGGACATAAGAGATCCATTAAGGCAGTATTTGCTAAATTAGAAGAGGAAGGTCGTGACATTAAGAAACTCTGGTAAGATATGAATGAGATATTTATTAAAACCTTTTGTGCTGTGCAACCAATATTGAGTCATCATTATAGATCATGTCAACCAGATAATTATGCTAATAATATGTGTTTTGAAATCTTAGGATTTGATATCTTTTTGAATCACAAACTATAACCCATCTTGTTGGAAGTTAATCATACTCCTAGTTTCACTACAGATACTCCCCTTGATTCTATGATTAAGAAAAATCTTATTAGAGACACATTGAAATTAATGAATGTCAGTCTCAAAGCTAAAGAATAAATAATTGCATCTAGAAAGGAATCTCTCCAGCAGAGAGTATTGACAGGCAAAAAAGTGAAGTTGACAATGGAAGAGAAGATGTCACAAATGAAATAATAGGAATAGTAGAGGAATGACTATGAGAACTCACATTTAGGAGATTATGTTAAGATTTATCCACTCGAAGACTCTCAAGAGTATGATTAATATATTGAGTTTGCTTCATCACTATAAGACAGCTGGACTGGAACAAGTATTAATTTAATGTATCTTTTAGACATCAAGCGAAATTAGAAGAAGAATACCTAAACTCCTTAATAACAGTAATAGATTAAGAATAATGTGGTCAGAGCTCCATTCAAACCCAATACTCCTGCTAATAATCTTCCTAAGCTTCAAAAAATCCTGAGACCTGAAAGTATCAATGTTCACGGAGAGGATGAACAGGTTTGTGCCAAAGTCAACAAACTATCTAATATCAAGATGTAACCTAGACAATAGTCTGAACCTCCTGTTTTAAGATTCAAATAGACAGTCAAAAAGCAACTCCAATTGGTAATTCCTAAACCTTATTTACAACCTAAGTTGTTCGATATGGAATCAATAGGATAGGATAAATTTAATAACAAAAGACAATAATTTTAGGATATGATGTTCACTAAATGATAATATATTGTAATTTTTTATTATTTTCTACATCATGAAGGTAACATAACCAAGGGAATGCCTTGTTTCCAGCTTTGCAAATACTTATACACAAAATCTGCTGTGATGATCTATTTTTTACTAATTTAATTACAATTGAAATCATTTGAGCCACCATCACAAAATAGCCACTCAACCAAGGAGCCACACTTATGGTTGACTCATCTGAACTTCGATTGAGTTCCTCATAAGAATAAAACCAAAAGATCACGCAGATTACTTTGTTGAGAGCTTGAGTGATTACGAAATTAGATGTGTGATATTCAATTATTCCCTCTATATTATTGTTGAATTCTAACCTCTCTTTGTGAAAAGGTGTATCTGTGGCAATATTGCGAATGATTCCATATACAAAGCAAACACCCAAGAGATATCGCAAAATGAATGTGAATTCAATCCTGGATGCACATAATAGGCAGTCACCAACATCACAGGAGTGAAATAATACCATTGGAACAATTCTTATTTGTTATTTTTTATGCTGAATGCTGTCAAGATGCAAAAGATGAGCGACAAAATTTCGAATAATCTATACACATAATCACCTGTTGCATCTGAAGGCAAGTAACCCTAAATTACGCATAATCAATGTACTTCGAAAGTCAGAATTGAGAATAATCTAGCCAATAAAGCTTATGCACAACAAATAAAGGTCTATCTACTTAATCCACTTGTCTCTTTGGTTATTGAAATTGTCACAAATACTAATCCAAATCCAAAGCATTGTATTCCACAAGCCAGTGTTAATATGAAACTAAACTCCCCTGAACTGAAAAATAGGTAGATCAAAACAGTTGAAACCAGGAAACTAATCCAAAGCGTGTAATTTAGTTATTGTTTCATTAATAAAATTAATGGAAGAAAATCAAAATCTAGAGGAGAATACCTATTCATAAGAAGAAGTGGATCGTATTACCTAAGAATCAATTGAAAGTGTCTTAAAAGAAGTGCAATACGAGGAATCCAAAGTAAAATCTACATGTTGACTCTAGGTACAAGGGTGGATCAATGCAATTTGTGAAAAAGTTACACAATAATTAATTGAATTGGGAAAACCATACAAGTAAGAATGTGCTTAGAAGTTTAAGATATATAGTTCATTGCATGATTATGTAAAGAAACGGAGCAGGAGCATTTGTTACAACTTCATAATGGTGGGACACTGTAGCTGATGGATAAATTATCATATCCTGGCCCAAAGATAAACAAGCAAAACAAGAACAATAAAAAAATACTCTCCATTGCATTTGTAGTGTGTTTGCAGTAAGCATGATTTGAATTATTAATATTATTATTTATGAAATTAAATCTATAAGTCTCAAATATTAGGAAACACTACGATAAATTCGATTACATCCTATAAGAACTCATCAATGAAGATGTTGATATCTAAATTAATGTGGTTAAATTAACTCCTTAAACAGATGCTCTTATTTAAAAGTTAGAGTCTCACAGATTTTTAAATCTGGACCATTTTTATAAAATACCACTTCATCAATTCTCTGATATCCTCAAATACGACAAAGAACTTGAATACAAACTCAAAGAATTTGTTGCTTCAACATTTGATACTCAATTTAGCTGGTTTATACAAAATGAATATATTGTCACCCATCTAGATTGCTCATATTAGGTCGATTAATTTCTAAATAAGTTGTTCTATTCGTAGACTAACTTTAAACAATATGCAGATTATTTGAATGCTCAACATTAAATCAAAGTTTATGCAAGTCAAGATGATATTCCCTTAAAGGATTATAAGAAATATAATACAAGAAGAACTTATACGTTATATGGATTTAAGAGTCAGCTTAAATAGCAAAATGTCTTTGAGAAAAAAGTAGTCAGACATGAAAATGATGTTGCTATGCATAATGTATTTATTGAATACTATATTCCTATAATTAAATAATGGATTGAATAGCATTTATATACATATGTTGAAGTGCGGAGAGGTCATTAGATTGTAATAAATATACATTTAAAAATCTAAGATTGATTTATATGGACCACATCAACTAGTCACTAAAGCTGAAGAAATATTAATGAAGGAGTATACTGCCCTTAATTATTAATGTGGAATACTCAAATTTAAGGATCTTGATGATGAATCTATCTAACTCATGTAAATATAAGAAGTTTTAAATCAAAATTAGTATTACGATTATGAAGTGGCAAAACATAGTTCATTTGCTTTAGACTAATTAGAAAACTCATTGAAATCAGTTAAATGTAGAATCTTTTCTGCAATTTTGGTTATTGGTAATTCTATTTCACTCATTTTTACTTAGATTTTAGGAATGCTAAACTATGCAATAATGCCAAATATTATTTTAATTTCAATTAGGATAGAAAGAATATTGAGATTATTCTTGAAAATGAAGTTTATAAACTATCTAAAACCCACAGAGATGGAAAAGCTTTAAGCTATTTTGTCATCATCAATGGAAGATTCTAATAATCAGTATTTCTTAAGAAACTTAATGACGATCTGGATATTATTCATTAGAATATACACAATATAAACTAAACTAATTATTTAAGAAATTTGTCAGAAAAAGAGTTAAATAATCTTCTAAACACTTATTAGGTTAAATTAAAATTCAACTAGAATTGCATTGACGTATTAGGTAAATAACAATAAGTAGATCGTTTTTTATAATTCCTAATCAAATAAATTTCACCTCAAGCAGATGTGATTGACTTTCATTATTTCAGAAATTAATTTAATTATAATGTAATAATCAACAATTATAAGGATACGTTACAGGATATGCTTTAGTAATGTCAATGTTAAAGTAAAAAAATTTAACAAATTAATAGGCTCTTTTGAAGAAAAATCAATGATAATGAAAATTTTTAGTAGAGATTCAAGCAAGATACTTTAATTAAAAACATAATTAAGACTATTGGAGAACGATATTGAAAAATCTAAAAAAACCATTTAAATATAAATTGAAAAACCGTTAAATATACATTTACAGTAAACAATGAGTGTATTTAATTTAGTTCATTAATTCAATAAATTTCATCAAAATTTCCATCTGTTGTTATTACTATTGAAAAAAATAATGATTCTGGATTGAAACAGCTTTCATCTTTCACTAAAAAGTAATCAAAAATAAAAGTGTTTTATGGTTAACCCAATTTACTATATGATATTTAGAAGGATAGTCTAAATCTGAAAAATAGTATGATCTTAATACCAACGGAGAAAATACACGATTAACCCTAAACAACATAATTGTTATGGTTGAATGAACTAATTCAGCAAAATAATATTACTTTAATCAATCAGAAGGAAAATTCTTCTTTTGAATTGTTTTAGTATGAGCTAAATTTTCAACAAAAATTGACTGACTCCGATTCAATTTAGAAATATGTGTATGAAACGGTGGAGTTTTCTATTTATTATATTTATTATAGAGATCTATTGAAACCATAAAATTATATCCACTATTTTGACAAATAAAGTTTGCATAAATCTTATGATAAACTAATTGATGAAATTAAAACCTCAAACCCTACATCTATAATTATCACAAGTTTAGTTCAGAAAAATTGTTAAGACCTAAGACAATTAATTGAGTACATCAAATAAGCAGACTTGTATTTCGTATCAAATATAATTTAGTCCATCGATTTAAATTTCGTTAATGACAGATGAAAAAAATGACCTGACTGCACTCAAATCATTTCTAAATGAGAATTTTGAAGAGGAGTATTCAAATCAAGACAAATAAACTTATCATATATCTATAAAAGGTTGTTTTTAAGAAACCCTTAATTAAGTGATTAAAGAATTAAATGAGATATGACGAAAATACATCAATATTAGAAAATAAATATCAAAATGCAAACTAATCATTTTTTCATATTTCCCCTAATAAATGATTCTAGGTCTGCATCCTTTTCTACAGTAGTAACATTTTACGAATGAATTTTTTGAGTAGCATAATACTATCTTATCAACTCCTGTTTTCTTTATTTCAATTAATCCTATTCATATTCTAACCAGCAATGGCAAAATGTTATTCTAAATTTTATGTATGAATTTACATTCTCTTCTTCCATTCTCTTCAACACATCATATCTTTTATCAAGTTCGTATTTGATAAAATGTAAGATTTCAATTCGAGGGAAGAAACCTTTAACTAACTTTCGGAATAGACTTATACTTTCCATCTGTAGTATTACGAATATCTCTTTTCAATCTGTACCATCTTGTGAGCATTGCCTTAGCTTTTTCTGCATTTCTAGCCATCTTCTGATATAATTTAAGATTATATTATTGATTAAAATAATTATAATTATAATTCATGATGAAAATATTCTTTTTCTTTGGTCAACAAACAAAATAGATTGAAAGAATATAGAAACTCACATCTATTGCTCCTACTTATGCTAATTTTAAAAAGATGAATATCTCATTGGATGAATCACTCAGAGCATTTGATCATCTTCAAGTATTAAATCAGCATATTTTAGACCATTCATTCAAATTAATCAGCCAAAATAGTCAATAATCTACTAACTTATGTTCGTAAAGTACATAATAGAGCTATTTTAAGATCAAGATAAAATTTAATATCTCATATTCTTGAGAATATATCTGAACAAGACCATGACAACCTACCTGCATTGATGGCAAATATCACTTACACCTAGGATCCTGAGTTATTTATAAGTAAGGCTTGCGATCTGCTTATCAAAAAATCAGCTGAAATGAATATCAAGGCCCTTTCAAATTGCGCATATTCAATAGCTAAAGTTGCAAGAAAAAATATTTAGATGGATCTTTAAACTGAAAAATTGATAGCGTATAATGCAGCTTAACTTACATTGAAAAATCTAATGCCAATTATTCAATTAAAGATATCAGATTGTAATGATGAATAGATAATTATGGAAACTTTGGTTGCCTATTAAAAATTAGAAATTTATGATATGCATGAATTCCTCTATGAGTTGTTAAGTAAACTAGAATTCAAATATTTTGGCAGAGTTGAAGCGTAAATTATTCACACTTTAGCCAAATCTGATCTTGAATCTCCTACTAAACATCAAGTTATGAGATCTATTTACAATTGTTTTGAAGATGCTGTTCATTAAAAAAGGTTAAATTTATAATCTATGATCGTTGGTTTGCATGCATTATAGGCAACTGCTACTAATGATCTAGTGGAAATGTGCATGGAATTATATTGTGAAGACTATAGAACAGCAAATATCCAAGATTTATGTATGATGACTAGTGTGCTATTCAAAAAGGGAATAATGTCAGGACCATACTCAAGATAATTAACTGAATCATATGAGGCACTCAAACTAAGCATTGATATTAATGTTCTTGTGTACTTGATTCCAAATATGTCAACTATGATTAATCTTAAATTGTTAGAGAAGAAATTCATAAATTAGTTCTTGATTAGTGTTAAAGTAAATTAGTATATGGATAAATTAGATCCTAAATGAGAAGGGCAAAATAAATAGAAATTTCTATGAGAATTTTAAGAGAGAAGCTCATTAAATTGAAAATGAAGAGATCAAAGAAAAGTTTAAATAAATATTCCATTTAATTAGTAGAAAATGAGAGTATTAAACACTGTTTTGTTTATATCTGTTTACGAATCCAATATTGTCTTTAATCTAATGTTTTATTTATTCAGCTATTTTAATTTATAATCTTATGGTTTTCTTTCCATATTATATAGATTATTATAATGAAGTGTTATGATTGAGTGACAATTTCTGAATATATAATGATTAAATGTGTGGAATATATTATAAATACAATCATTTTTTGATTAAGTTGATTTAATAATTAAAATGCCACCTAAATAATAGAAAGTAACCCTTAGGAGACCATAACCTGTAAGTCATTAATTCTAATTGATAGAAAAAACAACCCAAAATAGCCAACTAGAATTTAAATCAATAAGAAGCTGAGCCAGATGGTGATGAATCAGAATATCAACATGAAGTTTTGAAATAAATAAATATTAATAGAGGGAAAGAGAAAGACCTTAATTGACAGAGAAAGAACTGAATGTAAGACATGCCATCTAAAATGTTGATTCCTAACAATCCTTAAGCACCAAAGAATATCACTCAATATGATTATTTATAAAGAAAAGTAACTACCCATCATTATGATAGTACAAAACTGACGAGTTGGTTGAATAATTGATTATTCACTTCAGGATGGATGGCGAAATCATTCACAAAGACTCAAATGAGTCCAGAATACAGGAGGAATTATGGGGAAACCAAATTGGCATTGATTAAAGAGGCTGAAAGAAATTAAGAAATGGAAGATCCTGGGGCATCAAAGGACAAAGAGGCAATTAAATAAACAATGAGAAATAAATTTAATTATAACGCGAGAGAAGCATAAACTGATGGAAGAGTCATTAGAGAAAGAGGTGTGTCAACAGAGCCTCCTCCAAGTGATACATTGAAAGGGCAAATCACTCAATGGGAAATATTCGATGCTTATATATAAAACAAAGCCAAGGAGGAAAGTCAAAAGAAAAAGGATCACACTTCAGATAATACAGTTTATAAGCCATCATTCAAGAGATGTCTAAAAATCATGGAAAGAACAGTGGTTCATAATGATCAGAAGGAGAAATACAATGATTACAAATATTATTGGAATCAAGGTGAAGTAGTTGAGACATCAAAAAATGAAGGGTAAAGCTTTATTACATAATTAGACATTTATTGCCTATTTGGAAATTTTCAAACGAAAAACAAAAGAAGAAACATGTAACATCATTGTGTTGGAATCCAAGATATATGGATCTATTTGCTGTCAGTTTTGGTAGCTACGAATTTTCAAAATAAAGAATGGGTCTAATTTGTTTATATTCTCTCAAAAACACCAACTCATCCAGAATATGCTTTTACATGTGAAGCCGGTGTGATGTGTCTAGATTTCCATCCTCAAAGTCCAGCATTATTAGCTGTAGGATTATATGATGGAACAGTGCTAGTTTATGATATCAGAAATAAACATAAAAAACCAATTTATCAATCAACAGTAAGAACTTAGAAACACACAGACCCAGTTTGGTAAGTTAGATGGAATCCAGATATCTCTAAAAATTATAATTTCTATTCAATTTCATCAGATGGTAGAGTTATGAATTGGGTGTTGATGAAAAATAAATTAGAGCCTGAAGAAGTTATTAGATTAAGATTGGTTGGTAAGAATGAAGAGGAAAGCACTTTGATTGGTTTAGCTTGTGGTTTGTGTTTTGATTTCAACAAATTTGAACCTCATATCTTCTTGGTTGGTACTGAAGAAGGAAAAATACATAAATGTTCAAGAGCATATTCAGGATAATATCAAGAAACATACATTGTATTTATATAATATCTATAATCAGGGTCATAATTTGGCAGTATATAAAGTTAAATGGAATAATTTCCATCCAAGAACTTTCATTTCTGCATCTGCTGATTGGACAGTTAAAATTTGGGATTCTAAAATCTCTACTCAAATTATGAGTTTTGAATAGGGAATGTAAGTGGTTGATGCTATGTGGGCACCTTACAGTTCTACAGGTATTAATAATTGACTATTTTTAGTTTTCGCTTGTGCCACTTAAGATAAAATCTTTGTTTACGATTTGAATGTTGATAAAATTGGAAAATTAGCAGAATAAAAACCCTCTAAATAACCAAGATTGACAAATATTGCATTTAATCAAAGAGATCCAATTATTTTAGTTGGTGATACTCATGGTGGAATTACATTACTTAAATTAAGTCCTAATCTAACAAAATGTATAATTGCACAATCAACATTATAGCTGGAGTTAAGGCATCAAATTTCCCTGATAGCAAAGTACCTAAAGAATTCGAGAACATGCCATTAGAATGAATATGAAAAATAAAAAATGGAAAATCTATTGCAAGTGGTTTCAAAATGGGAAAGGGAAGATTCCTGAAATCATAAAATTATACAAAATATTTTATTATCAATATTCAATGCATATTCATATCTAAAATATAACATTAAATAAAGAAAAAGTCACCAATATATATTTTATCCAGAAGCATCTGTAAGCATCATAACCTTACTCAATAATTCATCATCTCTTATTTCAGTTGGATGACCTTGGGCTCCACGAGCATCAACTCCAGATTAACCTCTTGGTCTATATTTCTCTTAGGACTATTAAGCGAATCTATCTTATCTGGTTTATCTTTCTTATCTATCTTGCTTATCTTATTTATCATATCTATCTAATCTTGTATCAGTATGAATCATTTATTATTATTATTGTCTTTATTGAACAGTTTCATTTCCCTACTATTAAAAAGAGTCTTATTTAAATGGAGATTAAGAGTGAGCATGCAAACCAAAATTAGATCTATCAATATCTTAAGCAGGTGGTTACGAGTGTTTTCTTTATAATGATTTCTCTAAGATAGTATTTTTCATAGAGAGTTCAAGTATTTTTTCATTGGCTATCTTAAGCTTTTTATTTAATTTTTTATTTTTAGAAATTAAAGACCTGTTTTCTTCAGTAATTTATTATAGAGATTATTTCTAAGCTTACATTTATTATTAATTTTAAGGATCATTTTCTGATTAAACTGGAGTTGATTATTTAATTGGTTTAGTGGTCTCAAACTGTTCTTGCTACACAAATTAAGGAACTTAAGTAACTGTAGGAATTTAAGATTAATTCATAATAGGCTGAGTTTAAACTGGCGTAGGAATAGGATTCACTTCAATTAACTAAATTCTATGTTGAAGTTCTCTATTTCTTCTTTTGATTGTTTCATTCTCATTTTCTATATCATGAAGTTATTCTTCTTTATTTTTATTTGATCTTTCTAAATCTCCAATTTCTTTTGTTTGTTAAGATACAGTCTTCTTCAACTTTTCAATTTCTTCATTCTATACCCTGATTGAATCTTTATTTTCTATGTTTTCTTTTTGATATCTATCCCTCAACACTTTATAATCATCCTAAAGATCACTAAATCTTTTTTTTAAGTTATCAACATCCTTTTAAAGTGTAACTGCCTTATTTCTCTCTTGTAAATACTTATCATGTTCATCCTAATACAAACGTGTTAATTTATCTTAAACCTTCTGTTCTTACTCCACTTGCTCCTCCTCCATATCAGTAATTTTTCTTTATAGATAATGGATTGTATCATCTTTTTTTCTTAAATCAGTTAACAGTTAATCTTTTTCTGTTTTTAAAATTTCAAAATCGGTTGCAACTTATTCTCTTCTTTATTTTTCTTTTCTAAACTCATCCTCTAAGAATCTAGTTCTCACTTATAATTTATCAAAATCACTTTTAAATTGTCTTTTATCATTTCTCTCTGAATCAAGCTATCTGGCAAATTTAATCATGATATCATTCTTCTCCTCTCTAATTTTATCTCTTTCATTTCTTAATTCTTCATTTTCAGTATCAGTAGCACTAAATTTTAGTTTATATTCTTCCAAGTCTTTTCTTAATCTTCTGATTGTGTCTCTATCTTTGTTGTCTTCCACTTATCTTGTTAAATCTGAGATTTGATGTTAAAGATCTGCCAAATCTAATTTGTGTTTTTCTGACAGCAATTTCATTTCCTTATCCTTATCTATTTATATGGTCTCTACTCTTGAGATTTCCAAATCAATCTTTCTTTTTAATTGATAAATAATTTCATTTAACTTTTCAATCTCTAATTACTTTTATTCCAATTATTATCTATGTGGTAAATCTAATTCATTGAGCAATTTAATTCTCATCATATCTTAATCAAATGCAGGTGTCAATCTACTTTAGATCTCCTCAATTTCTCTTTGCTTTTATTCAATTAATAGTTTCCAATTTTTAGTTGCATTGTCAAATTGCTATTCTGTTTATTTTTTATCATGCAAAGCTATCCTATACTTCTGTAGTAAATCCTAGTTCTCCAATCTCATCTTATCAAGATTCGATTTCAATTCCTCATTTATTGCCTGAAGAGTCTCGTATTCGTCTTGTATTATAATAAATTTAAATTACTAATCTTTCTACTTATCACAGCCTTCGAAGAAATGATGGCTTTCTTCAATTAAGTGTTCTCTTCTATCAAACCTTCGTATTATTATTACATAATTAGTTTAAATTAATTCGTTAAAATAATTTAAATTGCATTTATTTTCAATGGAAAATATAAGAGTGTTGGTCAGAGTTAGACCGCTAAACTATAGAGAAACCCATTTGGGAGCCAATTCTTGTGTTACGACCTCAAATAATTCAGTTATCCTAGATAGTAAGAAGGAATACAATTATGACCATGTATTGGGAACCAACTCAACACAAGAACAAGTCTTTGATAAAATTGGAATGTCTACACTTGAATCATTTTTGAATGGATTAAATTGCTGTATCTTTGCCTATGGCTAGACTGGAGCAGGCAAAACCTACACAATGTAAGGCAAAGGATTAGATGATGTACAAAACGATGAAACTCATCTGGGATTACAGCCTAGATTGATTTAAAAACTCTTCCTCGACTTACCCAAAGAAAATACTTGGACCATCAAATGTACCTACTTGGAAATTTATAATGAATAATTGATTGATCTATTAAATGATACAAAGCCATTGCCTCTCACAATCAGAGAAGACTCAAAGAGAGTATATGTTGAGAATCTCACTGAAATTGCAGCTAGTTCCTACAACGATGTTCTGTCTTTACTATAAAAGGGAATTAACAATAGACATGTTTCAGCTACTTAAATGAATCTGGAGAGTTCGAGAAGTCATTCTGTTTTTACAATCTAATTTGAACAAAGAACTAAGGGAATGTACACCAGAAGGAGCAAATTAAATTTTGTTGATTTAGCTGGTAGTGAAAGATAAAAATTAACTGCTGCAACTGGTGAAAGACTTAAAGAAGCAGCTAACATCAATAAGTCTTTAACAGTTTTAGGATTAGTTATTAATTCCCTTGCTGAGAACCCAAAGAGATTTATACCATACAGAGATAGTAAGTTAACGTTTTTGTTAAGAGAAAGTTTGGGAGGGAATTCTAAAACAGTTATGATTGCAACGATCTCTGAAGCAAGTAGTTCCTTTTAAGAAACTTTGGGAACTTTAAAATTTGCTTCGAGGGCCAAGAATATTAGAAATCAAGCAATTGTTAACGAAGAAGTGGGAGGAAATGTAGAAAGTCTCAAGGCAGAAATCAAGAGATTAAAAAATGAACTTCAATAATAGAATTCCAATTCAGAGATATTCCCTAAAAAGTAAAAGGAAGTAGAATTGATTTCACAGATATCCAGTCTTAATAGTTAACTCAATGAAAGTGAGTTATTCTAAGAATAATTGAGTAAAGAATTAAAGTAAATGAAGGAGTATTATGAGTCGAGAATAGTAGAATTAGAAGAGAATAATGAAAAGAATACTGAATCAATTAAAATTGATCATTCAAACAGGGACATTTAATTGCAACAAGCTATTGAAACTCAAAAAGAACTAAGACATAAAAATGAGATCTTAAATTAGAGAATACTTGAATTGTCTTAAGAAGATACAATCTTAAAGCATAGAAGAAATGAATAATAATTAATTATTACTTAATTAGAATAAACACTTAAAGAGGTTCACAAAGATAAAGAATTATTGGTTGCTGAAATAGAGAACCAATAATCACTTATTGAAAAGTATGAGAATCAATTAGATACATTCCAAGAAGATAAATCACAATAAATCTAAGACTTAGAGAATAAAATTGCAGAATTAAACGATTAATTATAATTGTATAAGGATTAAATGGATACAGATGCATAAACTATTGAGTTTTAGAGTGATGAAATATCAAGATTACAATTGGAAATTGATTAAATCAAAGTTGAATTGGAGAATCTCCAATCGAATTTGAAATCCTTATAGGAATAATCAAAAGATAAAGATAATTTAATTGAAGAATAGGTAAAAGAACTCATCAAATATAGAAAATTAAGCAACGTTAAATCTAAAAAGTTTTTAAAGTGCTTGAAAGTACTCAAAAAAGAGAAAGAAAATTATCATCATTTAGAGCTAAGATAACTTGATTTTCTCTAAGAACTTAATTAACAAATGGAACTTGAATAAACTGTTCCCACTAATGAGTCTATATAAGTTGCCGTAAAACAAAAGTTTGAAAATATACAAAACTTACTAAATAATGAAGTGTAAGCGACCATTTAGTTAAATAAAGAAAAGGAGAATTATTTGAATTTATATAATCAAACCTAAGGATCTTTAGATAATATATCTAAAGAAAATGAGATCTTGAAGTCAGAACTAGAGAAAAACAAAGTGAATAAAGAGGCAGTCTAAAGATACATGCAATTGAAAGATGAGTTTTTATATTAGAAAGAAAAATTAGGTAAGTTCTTAGATAGTTTTGATATTATCAATTAAAAGCTTATAATGAAAGAAAATGAGATTAGTAAACTCAAATCTGAACTGAATTTAGAATAAACTTAGAGAACTAAAGCATTAGAAGAAATTGACAAGTAATTATTATCTATATATGATAAGGCTTCGTACTGCTAAAATAGAATTGTCCAATACTAAAAATGAGTTACAATAAACAATTTAATAAATGTAAATGAATATTTAGAATGAGTTGGATGAAATTAAATAAAAAAAATTATCTGATAATGTATTATTCTTATAAAAGGCAAACTAAAAGTTGAATGCTGATTTGTCAACACTCTAAAAATGTTATAAGCAATTATTAGATGAGAAGGAAATTATGTAAAAAAAATATGAAGAAAAACTAATTTATTCTGTTGATCTTACTAAAATGAGAAAAGACATTAATATCACTAATCAACTTAAAGAATAATTAGAAAAGAAAGAAAAGGACTATCAATCGCTTTTAAAGGAATTAGAATTATTGGATGAGTTTTTCAAAAGTATCAATGTTAAAAGATTTTGCAACTCTTAGACTTTGAATGAAGGATCTACAAGCGAAAAAGTCAAATAATATTTTTAATATTTGAATGTAAATATTAGATCAATTATCATAGTAATGCGAATAAGAATTTGAATTCCGTCAATATCAATTAAGAACCAATCTACAATTGCTAAATATAGAATAAGCTAGCTGCAATATGATTAAAGAGGAAAATAGAATGCTAAAGATGTAACTAAGATAATGATATTACTAATTAATTATATACATAACTTCAAACAATTATAAAGGTATTCTTAGTTTTAGACAAAATTGTAAATTTTTATTAATAAATTAAATTATAATAATTATGCAATTGAAATCTATAACCAGTGATAAATAGGGAAACAAAACAACTGGGTTGGGTTCAAGTAGAATTGATTATTAAAGACTTAACACAGCTAAGTTGAAATCTTTGGAATCTATCATTTCAGATAAAAACAATAAATAAGTTTTGTAACCATTAAGCAGAAAAGATGTATTATTAAATGATACATTTAGCACAGTAAATAAAAATGTTATAGGTCTATTTAAATGAAAAAATAAATGAATACTCATAGGTTGAAAAAAAAATAGAACTATACAGAAAGGAAGGAGATCAAATGAATGATTATGTTGAAGATATTATTAAAGAGTACTGTCTTCAACTAGTGCGTTAAAATAATAAGGAGAACCCAAGCACTGACTAAATTAAAGAATTGCAAGAGAAGAAATAAAAATTGAAATAGGAAACTATACAATTACATAATATGAATAAAGTATAATATTTCGAATTGGAGGTTTAATAAGGATTGAGCTTAAAGTTGAATGCTTAAAAATAACAATCAAAGAAAAAAATTTAACTTTTTGAAGAATATTATAAAAAGACTGAGTAAAAGATGAGGTAAAAGCAACCCAACCTTGATTTTAATGAAATGCCTAAAGCATAAAGAAATAAGTAAAAACCAAATGCTGTAGCAATAATTTAAAAGACTCCTGATGAAATTTTATAAGAAAAAACCATATTAATTGATGAATATACTAAAAAGATAGAATAGTTGACATTCTAAATATAAGAAATAACAAGAACTTGTATTTTGGAGAAATAAGAATTAATAAAAAAGATATAAGACACCAAAGAAGAGTAACTAAAATTAAGTGATAAAATCTTGAACTTAAGATTGAGATTGAACAAGTTTGATAAACTAGAACAGTCTCTATCCAGTGACAAGTGTATTTCTGATATAATGTCTAATGACACGGAACATTCATTATAACAATAATAGGAGTTGATCATATGAATTTTATATATTTAAATTAATAATGGACTAATAAATTGCACTTTATCTGAAAATGATTTCCTATTATGAACAGAAATTATAAACGATCAAATAAACTCTATACTCTAATAATATTGACAATATACATCGATCTTTTGAGTTGCTGTCGAATAGCGAAGATACTATTACTAAAAATAATTTGTTAAACTTTTTTGTTTAGAATCTCTAACCTATAAATTACAAAGATATTATTGAATTTATATGGTTCATAGGTGACAAAGATAGATTCACTATCAGCAAATAACAATTTCAGGTAATTGTTAATTTTAAAAAGGTTAGAATTACTTAACGAAACTTTTATTACACAAGTCAAACACTATAATTGATCATACGAATAGTGACCTTTAAGTTCAGCTCCTAAAACTCCTCATCCAATAAATAAGAGTGATCAAACAAATCAAGGATAGCAAATTGTAAATAATTAACAATGAGGAGTTCAATATATTAAAAGTAATCTTTTAAATCTCTATTATAGATCTTTTAAAATCTTAGTGGCAATAATGAAACCATTAATTGTGCTAGTCTTATGAATTATATGAAAAACAATAAAGTTCAATTTAACAACTTTGATTTTGATTTACTCACATTTGCTACATTTGGTAAGAAATGTAATATAAGTTTCGATCAATTTTAAGAAAGTTCTTTGTTTTCAATCAACATATCAAATAAATAGTATATTAAATCAAGAGAAATACCAGAAGAAAAATAGATGACTCATTCTTACATCGTTAATCTAAGCAAATCCATAATCCAATAATAATAATTAATGCCAGTTAGTGAAGCAAGCAGTATTATTGAATTCAAAGCATCAGAACTCAAACCAAAAACTAAAAGATATTAAGAATAAACTAATGTACCAAGACCATATTGATTAATTTTTATTATTAACATGATTAAAATTTAAAGTCTTTTTAATATTATTGATCAAATTTAATAAAAACAATTATAATATTTAGTTTCTTTTTATAATAAAGTTGTATAAAATTTCCCAATAACTTCTATTCTTTTATTTAGTTTATTAGATTTACGAAATCAATATTAGTTAATAAGTGGTCTTTAAAGGAAATTTGATTCTACTTTCACGATCTTCTATTTTAATTTAAGGATTTAAGAGAATAAAGAATTAAAAATTAGTTATAATAAAATTTCATTATATTATTTGTCTCTCTAATCATTTTACACATTGAATCTCCTGTTATAAACCTATAACATATATGGCATTCTCGGCAATATTTTAATGCTACCTTAATTAACGAAAGAGAATAAAAAAGATTTTTTGTTTCTTCGAATATAATGAAAAATTACTATCTTTTATTTCGAGAATAAGAAATTATAAAGAAATAAAACCTTGAAGTCAATTTATAAAATAATGCGAATTATTAGTTGAATACAAATAGAAGTAAATCTTACGTTAAAGAAATATTAATTAAGAAAGTAAAAGCAACATCGATTTAAGTTCCATATAAATTGGAAAAGAAAATTGAAAATTATTATTAATAAATTTAAATAATAAGAAAAAATGGCTCAAGCAGATAGAAAAGCAGTTGTTAAAAATGCTGATATGTCAGAAGAAATGTAATAAGATGCAATTGATTGTGCAAATTAAGCATTGGAAAAATTCAACATCGAAAAAGATATAGCTGTATACAATTTTTAATCTTAGGCATTCATCAAAAAAGAGTTTGACAAAAAATATAATCCAACTTGGCATTGTATTGTTGGTAGAAACTTCGGTTCATACGTCACACATGAAACAAAGCATTTCATTTATTTCTATATGGGATAAGTTGCCATTCTCCTCTTCAAAAGTGGATGAAAATAATATATTCATATATAAAACCATATATGCATGCCGTGTCTTTTCTATTCGATGTTCTAGAAAATAAGAATAATAATTAATAATACATAAGTTTCATTCTTTAATTTTTCTGTTATATAAAATTATTTTGGAAATTTAAATTGAAATAAATCATAAAAACTTAAAGTGTTTTATAAAAGAATCATGAAATCAGGATATTAGAATCCGATTCGGTCAAAGTATGACAGGTTTTTAATCAAAGTGCTAAATCTATATTTATTATATATTGCATTACTTTATTCTGAAATAAGAATCCAATAGCAGAGACACCAATAATGTTATGAACACTTAAAGTGATATAACTAATTAATCTGTGGAACTTTAATTTAAGTATAAAATTAACAAATTATTAATGAATAAAAGGATTAAGAAACCTTCACTTATAGCATAATTGTATTTTGATTTGATTCAAGAGATGGATAATGTATGAATAAACATAAATTAGAGAGCATAATCGACAATGATATAGATTAGTCGTAAATACTTAATTAAGATGATGCATCATTATAATTCAATATAATATAGCTCTTTAAGTCAATTGATTAGATGCGTCAATAATTGCAGTCATAATTAAATGAGCATATAAAGAATGACTATGAAACCATAATCTAAAATTTAGAAGCCTCTGTTAGAAAGCATATTAGAACACAATATTAACTGAATCTTCAGATTGAAATACTAAATAGCAAAGTAGAGGAACTGATGAAAGATAAAGAAATCTAAGTCAAATAATTTGAGGAAAAAATACATAAGCTGTAATTGCAATTACAAGATAAACATACTGAAAGTACAGGAAATTTGTAAAATAATTTTCTGAATCATTTTTCTCAATTAGATTTAAACACACAAAAGAAAACACCATCAGCTTATGAGAAGATCAACAAGTTAATGTCAAACAAGTCTTAATAGAATATACTTAGTACAAATGGTTTCTTAAATTAAGATGAGCGTTCACTTTCTTAAAGAAAAACGTCTTATCCTTTGAGGAAATCAATCGATACTAAAATACTACAATAAGACAATAAAAAGAGATAAATTTGCTTCCAAAAAAGCAGGCTTTAACAATCTATTATAAAACAAGATTATTCGTGCTCACAAACTCAGAGAGACGAATAAGTAAGTGTTGATCAGAGGAAGACTAAGAAGATTATATTACAATTAAAAGGGTCAATCCCTTAGTATAGTAATATTCACTTAACTAGATCTGGTTTGCAATTTTGATTAATTAATATATATATATGCAAGGTTATACTATAAAGTAGCTATTGTTGGATATTGCAGAAGTAATAGACAATGTAATATATCTTCTTTGAAGTAGGACATCATTGATACATATGAACAAATCAACAAAGTTAGCGTAAAGTAAATTAGCGAGTAATCGGAAAAGTAATAATATGACAATATCCTCTAAATCGTTGCGTATTTAAATAGGTAACATTCTTACTGCTATGCAAAAGAGTCAAAACTGTATTTGAAGAATAATTGGAAGAACATATAAACAATGATTATGAGACAATAATCTAAAAACTTGAAGCATCCATTAGAACTCACATCAGGATAGAACAACAATAGAAATTGCAAATTGATGCTTTAATACAGAAGATAGATGAAGTCTCTGCTGAAAAGGATATTATTATTATATAATAGTAGGAAAAAATAAAATCTTTAGAATAAGCCATTAAAGTAAGTTAATATTATAATCATAGGATCAACATAAAAAAATATTTGATAGTTCACCCAAAGAAATACTTCATAAAAAGACTCCCTCCGCTTTTGAGAGATTGAGTAAATTAGTCTCTAACAAATCCCAAAAAAGCTTATAAAACTCGAATAATGAAGCTAATTTCAAAGCTTTGTTAAAAATATGCAATACTGAAAAGGACCGTTCTCTTTCTAAGGGTAGAAAGCAGGTTACAGTTAAATAGGAAAGTGGTAATTAAAGAACAAATGATGAAACTCAGTAATGTTATGAATCTATAAAGAAATCTAGAGCCTAAACTGACAGAAACAGAAAGACTAAAAGATTCAAAAGGTGATAAAAGACATCGCCTCTAAAAATCAGAAAAGCTAACTGAGCAATCACAATAATCGTTAAGTACAGAGAAATTGCATAAGTATAATAAAACGAAAAAAGAATCGCCATTAATTAGAGTATTTTTACATTTTTATCATTAAAAGTAAGAATAAACAATGGGCAGCCAAAGTTTTGATTAAGTTGGTAAAAGCTTATAAGCATTGTAGAGACAGATTTCAAACTCTCGCTTGTAAAATAATCAAAGTTCACAATTACTCAAATTCTTGTAGAAGAAATGATTTCATATATAAAACAGTAATCAGGCCTTTTTCTAACTATCTCTAATTTAGCTTTGGTCTTAATTTTTTTTCAATTTATTTATACTTATTAAGTTCAACAGGAACAAAATTTTCCAGTCTCAATTCTATTTTATTCGCTAAATTCAATAATAGTATAATTTTTTGTTTAATCAACACTTGAAGTCTACTAATATTTGATAATTATTTTCTAGTTTAATATTACTCTTTGAGTTTTTTGTTATTTCTTCGACTATATTTCTAAATTATTAATAACTTCTCTTCAATCTCTCATCAAGTAATCATCTAATATATTTTAAAGTCTCTCCTTTTCTGCCTCATTAGAGTTTGAGTATCTCAATAGCATTTATTCTATGTTTTTCTAATAATAAGAGAGTTCTATTTCAATTTTTGGATGATAAACTCTTTGTTTAAATCAATTTCAATTCAAGCTCATTTATCCAACCCGATTACCTTTGAAATGGAACTAGGTTGTACTTATTTCATTTTCAAATTACAATCAAAAGGCATTTTCTTTAAGTGATTCTAATTACAGATTATCATAAAATTAATAATGGGATTTGTGTTTTCTAAAATATTCAATTCACTAGTAGGGCAAAAGGAGATGCGTATTTTAATTTTAGGGTTAGATAACTCTGGAAAGACAACTATTTTATGTACTCATATTGAATCTATTTTAAGATAAATTGCATTTGAATGAGGTGATCTAGACAGCACCAAGTAAATAAATAATAATAATAATAAGCCATGGGATTTAATGTAGAAACACTTACTTATAAAAATCTAAAGTTTCAAGTTTGGGATTTGGGTGGTCAAAATGCGATTAGGTAATCAACCAAATGTATACGTGTAGATTATATTGGAGATCATACTACCCAAATACAAATGGAATTATTTATGTGATTGACTCTTTTGATGAGGGTAGACTCAAAACATCAAAAGAAGAGTTGATGACATTATTATAAGAGGAAGAACTTAAAAATGTTCCATTACTGATTTTAGCAAATAAACAAGTTTTAATTTGTTTATAATTATAATTTTGCAGGATATGTAAGGAGCGTTGAGCGAAACTGAAATTTGTGAGTTCCTGAAATTAGAAGAAGAGAAAACAAGAAATTGGACAATGTATGTCTATAATATTACATTTAAAATTAGAGTTAAATGTAGCGCTTTAACAGGTTTGGGTTTAAGTGAAGGAATGGAATGGATGGCAAATGCTATGAAGAAATGATTAGGTTTGTTTAATATAGATATTTAATCATAAGTATTATATATATATATAAACAATGAAGTTTAAAAACAAGAGCGAATATCTTATAAATCTAAATAAATAATACTTGATCATTATTATTAGATCAATTGCTCATTTTCATTTTCATCTTCTTCATCCTCTCCATCTAATTTTCCATCTATATCATAGAAGAATTCTTATGAATCTTTATCCAATACCCACCATCCCTTTGGAACAAAATCACGCGAATAGTAGCATCCATTTGGCTCAAAGAATCTATTGTCAAGCAAAGTGAAACTCACCCTTCTTCATAATCCAACTCATAAACAGTATTTTCTCCTTTGATCATAAAACCAACTTCATGGCCGTCTTCGTAAACGGGATCTATACTTTTACTTTGGCTTGCTTCAATGAATTTTTCTGGCTTATGTTTCGGTAGGAGATTGATATTGATTTTCGATGGAATTTCATCAAAAATAGGTTGTGGTTCAATCTAATCCATATATAAATGATTAATTTTTGTAAAGAATTTTTAAAAAAGAAATAAGGGTAATTATAATTTAATTATAATATTAATACATTAATGTTGTAATAAAAAAAAGAGCAATTTAGACAAGAAATTAGAAAATAAGGTTTAGATAAAATTTTGAATTAAAGGAGACAGATATTACTGTCAGAAAATGCTGCTCAGTAGTTTTAGGATGGGATAAATGATTAAATAATTCTATTATACAATTAGATTGAGGTAGATAATAGTTTCGACATTTATAAATCTCCTCTTCTAAAACCAATCTTAGAAGGGGATCTAACAAATTAATTAATCCTATTGCTATAATTGATAGTGAAGAAATGCAGAGATGCTAACTAAATAGAATATTTAGAGACCTTTTTTGAGGATTCATTTTTAGGATCAAGATTGTTGAGTAAGTGTGAAAATGAGAAGAGTCTGGTTTTTTTAGATGAATAATTATATCTGCTTGGATAGTTGTCACAATCTTCACTTCTTTGCCAATCTACACTAATACAATTAAATATTGGCCAAACTCTTAAAAAGATATTAGATCTAGAGTTTGAGTCAGATGACTACTTAATGTCAACTTTTATGTATCTTATTACCACATTCATCGAACCTAATAGCGGAATCCACTTTTAGGATGTCTAAGAATTTATGTCAATTTTAGATTAATTATGTAAAAAATTGCGAGGGATAAATTATTTAATAATAGAATTAGATTTAGAAAAAAAAGATAAATATACTGAGACAAAAAATTCTTTATTAAATAGAATTCTTCTATTTGCTCGCTACTTTATTGACAAATCTCAATTCACTGTTAATCTCACACTCTACCCAAACTTTTGGGTTATACTTACTAATTTAGCATTTGTTGTTCAAGAATAATCTTAATTAAGGTAAATTGCCTTACAAGTTATATCTGATTCAATAAAATTGAATGACCAAAAGTTGAAATTTGACATCATTGAAAAATATCCAGACATATTCTGTTCATTACTCAATATTATTGATCATAATTATAAATCTAATGGTAAATTTATAAGAACTCAAGCATCCATCATTATGAAACAATTGTTTAGTGAATAATCTTAATACATAATCTAGAATATTCATTTGAATTAAATTCCACTATAATTGATGATAATAATTGCAAGCGAAAGTAATTAAATTATTTATTTTAGATGATCGCCAAGTCCTATATCATTAATTAGAGTGTTTATTTCTTTTATGCTCGAACAGCTCCTTTGAGTAATGCACTGATCTATACAACAATGGATTGCTTACTCTTTTAATATCTAAATATTAAGAAATTAAGGAGTGCCAAGATTATGTCTTAAGCAAATGGTTATTACAATGTAATATATTAATTAATAAGTTAGTGACCTTAGCTGTTTTGTAACACAATTCTAGTGGTAACTCCATTTTGAATTTGTTAAAGCAATATTAAATAACTTCATATTTAAAAGATATAGCAATTAATTGTAAAAATGAAAACACAAGTAAAAGAGCCAATTAATTACTCAAATATATAAATTGATATAATTGCATATTAATGAATGTTTTAATTTAGAATAATTTGCAATACTTAATTATATTGTATTTTAGTCTTTAATTATAATAATTTAATATGGATTTAATTTCAAAGTGAGATTTTAGATTTCAAATTCAAACTTAAACTAAATATGATATAATCATTAACTTTTAGCTAATCTAATAAAAGTCATAAAAAGTATTTTTAATGAAGGTAGCTTTATCACTTAAATTACCTAATTACTTTGTTTGTAAAATTCACTGCTTCTTGGCCTGTATTGATAGATTGAATTGGATTGCTTTTTGAAAAATGCAATTTAACAAGATCTCTTATTTTTGCATATGCAAAATCCTTTTTATAAATTATATAAATTAAATTAATGTTTTATATTATTAAACTACAATATATCTTTTAATAATATTCTTCATATATTATATACTCCTAGAATTCCTAAATGGTCACTTGGATATACTCCTTCTTAAATTTTATCTGATCCGAATAGAGTGCATTCCTTGACTTCTATATTATTACCTCTTATCCATATGTAATCAAAGGTTCCAGCTGGATCAGTGTCCATAAATGGTCCTGTCAAACCTGTTGGAAATGTTATTTCAGGTTCTTTTTGATTAGCCAATGTGTAAGATGATTTAAAATAATGAGTCATTTTTTTGTATTCTTAAGATTCAGGGGTCAAGTTGAAATCTCCCATTAGAAAAATCCTTTCATTCATTTATCCCAATAGATAGGTGAGGATGTTATCTATTTGATGACTTCGAACTTGATCGTCTCCAATCACATGATGCAAATGAGTGTTGTAAATATGCACATCTCCTATTACAATGTGTTATATGTTTCTAAACACACTGATATGAACATATTCATGTAATTTAACTTCGAGCCCTTTCCGAACTAAGATAGCATTTCCATCTATTCTAAATTCTGGATCTGGATGTAAGGGAAATTATAATTGAATTGGGGCAAAGAATTTCTAGTAATCCCCTGCCAAATAATCCAACTCTGGAAGGGCCACCTCCTGAAGAGAGATCACATCAGCATTCAATCCTTAGATGATACTCTGTAGGATCTCTCTTCTCTTAAGATATTAATCCTGAGTATTTCTAATATTGTATGTAGCAATTCTCATTAAATTTTAATAATGTTGATTAGAAGAGCCATCTTTAGATTTTCAAAAGAAAAGATAAACAAAATTCTAGATCACGAAGAGTATCTGACTGAACAAATTGACAAGATGGCTGCTGCCTTTAATCCTCAGAACAATAAAATATTCAATAATTATACAGTTTTCCAAAACAAACTAAATGTCGATGGTACTTAGAATTTGCTTAAAAAAAAGGATTTTCTACGAAATTGAATAGATCTGCTACTATATATATTACTGTATGGAGTATGGTAGGTGGACTTTCGTATTTGTATATAAATCCTTGGGTTACATTGATTCCCGTCTTTTTTTCAATTTAAACAATATCATCGTATATAAAGGGCAGAAAGTACTTGGGAAAATTAGTTTAATCAATAACATTGGAGAAGGATTAGAGGCAATGTTTGATTGAATTAGGGAACAAGAATGTGTTGAAAGTAAATGTTACAGACAATGAATTATTGAATATTAGCGATGTGATATCAGTTTCAAACAATAAGATAGAGGAAGAAGTGGTAACTAATAAAGTATTATTAAGAATCAAAAATATAGATAATCAAATTATGTTATATAATTTGAGACAAAATACGATAATAGACTATACGAAGATCTGAGAGTACTAGTGACGAAGGACAATGCTGAAATTCCAAATATAAAGTTGCTCTAGGACATTATTACAGGAGAAGATGTGAGTGGATACATTTATGAGGAAATAGTCTAAAATTAGGAAGAAGTAGTAAGAAAGGAGACTGATGAGGAATTGGAGAAGAGGTTGAAAGATGAATTGAAAATATGAATTTTAATATGTGATAATAAATTAAACTATAGAATGTCAGAGGATCCAAATGAGAAATGGAAGAAAATTCTTTTGAATCCTTATGGAAAAAGCAAAGATGATGTACAGAATGAAATAAGAGCCATGCATAAAGAATAGCAAATGATTGACGAAGCAATAACCAGAGAGGCTTTGCTATAAACAATAAAGGCTAAAAAGACATATCGAAATTTAACAAATCCTAATACTAATGCTGATAAATCTAAATAAGTGCCAGTGGATGGTGATTTGAAATAAGGAGCAAAAGTATTTATGCGTGCATGTGCTTCTTGTCACTCTTTGGAAATATTCACAGGAAAACCATATGCAGCAGATTTTTCATTTTAAGAATCCAGTGGACCATCTTTGGCTCAAATCTACAATAAACCAGCAGCTAGTTAGAGAGTATATGAAGAATATACAATGGCCTTGTTGGATTCTAAAATATTTTGGAATAGTTATAATCTATTTATGTGGGCTAAAGATCCGTAAGCAATGTGCAAGGGGACAAAATGTTTATAAAGAGGAGAACTATTGGAGAGTGCAGAAGAAAGGTATTTAGGCCTAAATTATACGTAGAGCTGACTTAGTAAAGTTTTTGAAAGGGTTTGCAAAGGCTACTTCTGATTTGTACAGAAGGTCATTCACAAAATATCATGGATATGAATGGCAAAATTATAGAGAATAGGGACTGGCCAAAGCAAGAGAGGTTGCTCATTAGAGATAAGGATATGAACCAGAGAAGAAGTGATTTAATATTAATTATATCGTTTTTGTTTTCAATCATGAAGTATTTACTAGTGATTGTATTGGTGTTTGTAATAACAGCCAAGGAGTTTAGTTATATGTAAACAGGTAAACAAAGAAATCGAATTTAGATTGTTTGCCTGCAACTGATTTGAATGGTCAAAAACATGATCCGACAAATGCAGAACAAGCAAGAAAACATTTGACCAAATATGCTGAGTAATCTACTGAAGATATGAGAAAGTATTCAGGTAGACAACCATATCCAAATCTGAATACTTATTCTGAATAAAACTGCGCTGGAAGTGGGGCAGATTTACCTAAAAGAGATAGAAGATTTAGAAGAGCAGGATGATTATAATCATTAATCAATTTACCATTATAGAATAATTAAAATATCGTAAACTCAAGCAATCATCCGTTTATCAAATAATCCTTATAGTCAAACTGTTCCTCAGGATAAAAAGAAGTAACAACAGTCCTCTTATTATATGTGCGACCTGCAAGATGAAATTTAGCTTTCTTAGCTGGAATTTAATAATAAAACTTCACAAAGATCTTTCCTACTGCTGGATTACAAAAGCTATACTCATATTTAATTGTTTATTACCCTGATTCCTTATCTGGTCTTGGTATTTCTATTTTCTCTATTTAACCAAAACGAATGCATTCACTTCTAATATCTTCCATCAATTCTTCGTATAGATCATCTTCATACAGATCTTCAACTGAGCACTTTAATTATAATATTTAATTGTTACCATATTCAAAAATTGCACAACCTTACTTGGAATCAAAGCAGACTAAGGGATTGTTAACATCTATTATATTTAAGGCAATCGCAATAAATCACACGAAGCCAAAAATGAACCTGCATAATTAGAAGGCTATTCTCTTCCATTAATTTTTTTATTTTATTAAGGTTCCCCTTGGACCTTACAAATTTTCAATTTCTTGTCTCCTATCTATAAATTATTGAGTGCTTTCAAAGCCTTTGCAGTGGAGCCAGTGTTTTCATATTCAAAAAAACAATAACCTTTTGAAATCTCAGTATTGGATGTAGTATCCTTTACTAAATTGAAATATTTAGTTGTTCCAAATGATTGTATGAGTTTCATCACATCCTCATCTCTCAGATATGTTGGTAATCCTCCCAAATACAATCTAGTGTTGTCTTCTTATTTTTATTCAGCACTCAGTTCCCCTTCCCTTGCTTATGGATTTAAAATTCTTTCTAAAAATTTTCTTGGTCTCTCTACTTTTATTTTACAATTATTAACGAATTGAACCTAATCTTAAGTGACTAATGCTCTTTTAGCTTCCTTTGAACTGCATTCCAAAACTACCCAAGACTTTGTGGCCCCATATTCAATAGCCTTGATAGGTCTTTCGGCTAATATATAATTTATCAATACTGATTTTTGGGTCAAGTGAAGTGATAAGGGTATTAAAATATTCCTCCAATTCCTTCAATTACACATTCAGGGGTACATTTGACACTATCATCATATAAGGATTATTCTCATAAATTGCATATTTTTCTTTAATGTGCTGAGGTAAATCAGGGTCTTGCAATATCTTAGACATCTTCACTTTATTCTACCAATCATCATCAAAATCAGTCATAATTTCCTCTAATATTTCATTTCTAGATACCTTCTTCTCCCCATTTCTTCTTCTTTTTATTTTTCTTCTTCTTTTTCTTCTACTCTTATTGTAATATCTATTCCTTTTTATCATTCTTCTCATTGTCATCAGACTCTTATTCAATTTGGTCTTTCTAATCCTTAACTTCCTTGTTTTCCACTTCTTAATTCATATAATTAAATAATTAATTATTTTATTTTATTCATCTATTAAACTAATTATTTATTTCTGTATTTATTTTTAATTAAATGATTTAAATATATATATATAGAATTAATATGTAGTAATGTCACTTTTTTTTATTACTTTGATGATGAATTGAATTCAAATAAAAAAATGAGCTTAATTAATAGGCATCAAATATATTTCCTTTAGATTTTCTTCAATTTCATTATAATTACTCAGATCTCAATATTAACACATTTGAACAATTACAATTATGCTAGTTAATCTTTAATACCCCATTAAAACAATATTTTAGATAAAAATTCGAAAATTGATTTCCATTTAATCATATTTCTGATTTACTATTAAAATTAGAATTCAAAAAAAATAAAAAGATATAGTATGATCATTAACATAATATAAAGAGAAAGTAATATAAAATCAAAAGTTTATTACATCTTGGACATTTGACAGGATCTAATCAAAGAGATTATCCATTGATTATTTCCAAACTGGCTTTGAATTTTCAATTGATTAAATTTGGTCTTATTCTAATAGTCCTTCGAGGACTTCGTTATTATCACCAGTGTTGCCTGCAATGCTAATTTCATTGCAAAATAAACCATTTTCTAAATATTATATACTCAATTTTTTATTGACCATATAACCATTAGGATTCTTTACTTTTTTCATGTTTTAAAATCTATTTACAAATTATCGATGTAAGAGACTTGCAATTATTACTATTATCTATTAAGTATAGATTTTGTGATTTTGGCTGTAAGTTGGTAAACCATTAACTATTTGTAGTAACTTTGGAATTACTATTTAAAATAGTAAGTATTCCATAGCTATTGCTAATTTTTATTCTCTAGTAAGTTAGATTCTATTTGCTTAATAGAAATGACATCTTTCTCCTACGAAAAATGAAGTCTATTATTTCGAAGTTTTATAAAGACTGGTGATCAATTAGCATTTCAATAGTTCTGGGAAATTGCATTCTCTGGTGAGTAATTCCAGATTTTAGTAAATTAATTTTGAAAAGCTTTGAACTCTAAGTTTTTTCCAATCCATACTTTATACTGGATTAGATACATCGTCATTCTAATTGCATTCATTGATATAAGTTTGGTTGTTTAGATAGTGAATAACCTTATTTGAAACAATTTAGACGAATTATTATTATTGCTCTTCAACTTATCTAATTCCAATTTGGTTTATTACTTTCTAGCAACTTTAAAGTTTACAATTTAAGATGGTAATTATTTACTTTTCTTCTTGTTTAAATAATCTGTACTTTTTTGAAATCACCATGGAGAAAAAAACACTAAGAAATACCTTCTTAAGTGTTCTTTTAGAATTCTCAATTCTTTTTGAAATCATTTCGATAGTATTTGTTTTTTGTTAATAGCCATAATCTATGTTTGAAAACTGTACATCATTGTTATTTTACTTGAATTAGTTTTCTCTTATAATATAATTTCTTCCAGAAGAATATTTTTGACTTTCATTTAATTTGTCTAAATTTTGTACGTTTTTTTTTTAAAGGCTTAAATTTCTCACTTCTCTTATATTTTCTCTAGTATTGGTTTTTTTAACTTCCATTCTTCTTTAAGTAGTAATTGCCTTGTTTTAATAATACTTCTCAAGGATATCGTAGTTAGTGGTGTCTTGACTATTTTCTCCTTAGACAATTTGCATTTAAGTTGGTCTTTTGTTATTCTCTTAAGAAAATTATTGGTTATTTTCATCATAATCTCCAATTACTGAGATTGTGTTGGGTTTAAATCCAATAACTCCATAATTTCCAAATGTGCTCTTTGTAGATACCATTGGTAAGTTAAAATAATCATTCATTAGCACTTCTCCATTGGAATGGCTGATTGAGCTCAATCTTCTATAACTTTTTGGTGTTGATCTCTAAGAATTAGCTGAGGGAGTCAGTTTGAACATTTTTTAATCAAAATATGTTTTGTAAATTAATTATTAAAAATCAGGATTAATAGACTACTTTAATAGTATAAATCTATTAATAGAATTCAAATTCACAAAATTTCGTACAGTCGATCTATCAATTTCTCGTTTATGTTATAACAAAAGGCTCTCAAACTAGTTTCATCTTAAATCATAAAATCAACACAATTTAAAACGAATATAAAAAATTACTTTCATACTAATTTTAATAGCTCAAATTTAAATAGTGATTTAAGTATTAGATACTTCAAGGATATAATTTTCAATAGATTTGGAAATATATATATTGAAGTGCACTAGTAGACCTTAATTTTAGTGCTTAACCTCTTAATCAGAAAATGCGCTTATTCTAATAAGGATTTAAGGTTTGGGGTTTGAGTAAGGTTTTCTCATATTTTTGGGTTGTTAATTAATATTAATTAGCATAAAAATAAACTAAATAATTCGTTAGTATTTTAATTATAATAATTATAATATTTATAAATAAATACAGAAATCATAGTTTAACTCATTTTATTTTGTGTCTATTATTTCTAAATATATTAAAACGGATTAATTAATTCTTGTATTGAAAATAATATAAATTAATTTTTCCAAAAATTTTCCTTTTCATAAATTTAGTATGCAAATAATCTTGGATGACATGATAATGAATAACTCAGGTTAAAAATTAAGTTTGACAGAAAATTAAAAGATTGAATCAATTTGTCAACAGTTGAAGAATATTTGCACTGTTTCTTCAAAGCTCTTGACCCCTCAACCAATATACAAAAGAATAAAGAAGTAGAGAGTATTAAAAAAAATGTCCAAAACTCAGTCGTCAGAAGAAGAGTCATGTGAGATTCAACAAAAAAAGAGGACTCCAAATTGTTCTGAACTCTCTAGAAAAGAATTGGAAGAGAAGATTGCATTAATTAATGGATTATAGCAATAAATACAGTAACTTAAATGCATGATGTCTTAAATATAGGAAGTGATATGAGTTATGATATGATCATTTTTCTTAAATTGTATATAAATAAGAATGAATTTCTCAACGATTCCTCATATTATAAATTGTATGATGTCACAAGTCTTAGATATCATAACTATATAATTTATCAAAGTCTCCAAAAAAGTAACTTTGGTGGAGCAATGGATGATAATGAAAAGTAAAATGATTTAACTGATTTAGATTTGATTATTATTAAATTTAAATTCTTCAATAAATTATGTATGCAATCATTTAAGTGAATTTATGAAATGCAGCATAAGAGCAATTTTCTTAGGAGGTAAACTTAGAAAAATAGTGATACTTTGAGTTGGGCATTTTTCGTCTCCAAAATAAAGTCGCTTGCTCATTAATTTAAAAATTGCATATATATATTATTAAAATATAGTTGACTTTAATAAATATTTATTCATAAATTAGAATATAAATACAATAGTGAGGGTTTCACTAAATAATACAACATTCTTTTCCTTTTCCTTTTTTCTTATTTTATTCGAAATTATAACTCAGCATCTTCAAAAACGCTTCCTCCTTCGAATTGAGTTCTAGACTTCTAGAAGTCCTAAGGTTAGTTTTAGAACAACTCTCTGTGTTTTCATATTTCGAGGAATTGGATAAGTCTAGATTAGCGATTTCATTATCATTATCATTAAGAGTGAAAAATTAGGCCTTGTCATTGATTGTGATCTCATATTTTGAACCTTATTTAATTTCTTGCCCCTTTCTATCAAACCTTTTAACTTAAGTTATTTTGATCTTAAATACTCTAATTTCCTTTTTTAATTTCTTTTTTTAGTGCACTTTTAGGTTAATTTTTATCATGGATTCTGCTCTATTCTTTATTCATTCTAGTGTTTTTCGTTATTTCAATAAATTGATATATTTTTGATGATATTATTTAAAAAGAAACATAAATTTTGATATATTTTATTCATTTAATTCATTGAGAGCTTTGAATACCAATTAATAAATATATTTTTACCATTAATATCCTTTAAACAATATCGCCATTATTACTTTTGTAACTTAATCACTGGGACTAAAGTTTCTCGAGATTGTTGTATGTTTTACTTACAAAAATAGTAATTATTAAAGGAATTTACTTAAAAAAGTATGAATCCTAAAAAAATTATTAATGAGTAACTTAAAATAATTTATAATTGCTTTTAACAAACTAAAAAATATTGAGTTAAGATTTATATTACATTAATACTTTAATAGTTTAATAAATACAAAAAGAATGAAGATTATTTGTAGATTATAAACTGATATTATTGAATTTATTATTAGATAAGACTAATTTAAATGTGATTTTATATGATGAATTAGATTTTTATTTTATTATGCTTAATTTGATTGGGATAATAAATTAAAGATCTAAATAAAGGTATGATGTTGCTTAACTGTAAAATGAGTATCCTGAATTTAGATGTTTTAGATTTTGAACCTCTCAATCCATTTAATGAAATAACTAATTTTGAGAATATATTATTCTAGCCGGAAATTTAGTAAAATTTTAATGAATGAAGGATAGAAATGAAGGCAAGAAGCTCTTGAGATTGGTGATTTTAATTTGGAATGGAGTTTGAATCTTTGAATTTTAAATAAAATAAAACACATCAATATAATTTATCTTCCTCCACTTCCCTGAAAAATACTTGCTTCTCAAGCCATTGTGCAAGCATTTTTGGCTATTATTTGAGAACCTCGTCAAATTTAAACCATTTCTTTTCTCCGTTCTTCATTTTAACAAGTATGTTGTCTTTTTAATGTTAACACACTTCAATTATTTCTGAGTTCATTTTTAAATTAAATTTATAATCTAATTTTTGCAGCTAAATCAAGTTTTAAATAGTTAATTAAAATTAGCAGTCTCAATTTGAATGATTTAAGTTATATAAGTTTGTTAAAGATATCTGGTTGTATCATATATATCTTTACTGATAATAATGTTGAATAATTTGTAGTTGATATCAAAATGAGTACATTAATTCATTAGAGTAAGTTTATCGAATTTATAAGCATATTAATAAACAGAGTGGAAAACGGATTTTTATTGTTAATTATATATTAAATATGAAACGAGCCTTGCTTCTTGTATTGGTGATTGTGGGCTGTCTAGCAACAGAATTTGATCAATAAATAGCTGAACTAGAAGAAACATAATTTGGATAAACAATTTTACAAACAATTCAGATGGAGATGTAAACAGATGATCCAGTAGTCTCTAATTTGGTTGATATAATGCAACACTTAGAACAAACATTGGAAGGAGAGCAAAAAAGAGATGATGAGAGAATTGTAAGATTCAAATAGAACTGTGATATTGCTTTGAGCTAATTGACAGAAATTATTAACACAAGCACTGTCACTTCCCTTACTTTGAAGAGTGATTTAGATTCATTGAACCCATAGAAAGTATAAGCAGTGGCTAGTTTGGAGAGAAAGAATCTAGAAATCGCAGATTTGAAGGCAGAAGTAGATTATTAGACATTGAAGAGACAAAAGGAATCAGCCACCTACTAAACAATTCTGGACAATCTTGAATAAGCATTATTCGGAGTTAATTAAGTCAAAGGATACTTCAATAAATACTTGGATGTGTTGGTAAAGAACAGAAATAGATTCTAATAACCATAACCATCATTCCTTTAAGAAGATTTCAGTTTCTAATACAATGATGAAGATGTCGAAGAAGATATTGATTCTAAGGGAATTTCCTCATTTGCTTAAGTGGCTCAAAAAGTCAATAAATTAAAACATCATGTAAACTATAACAATACAATTCAAGGTTCATTTGGAAGGCTATAAATCCATAATTGAAATTCTGAGTCAATTGGCTAGTTAGGCTTAAACTTCAGCAGATGAACCAAGTCAATGTGAAGTGTTGACTAGAAAGGTCTTGTCAATTCTTAAACAAATTGAAAATTACATTTAATCAGAAAGAATCAGAGAGGATTAAGCTGAAAATCTCAGATAAAGCTCATATGAAGATTTGAGAACTCTCTTATCTGATCAATTGGTTAAAGCCAATCAAGATAAAACTTATATGGAAGGTATAATGTTGATTTAATTATTTATTCAGGATTGATTGATTCCTTATCAAACAGAATCCAATAAGCCAAAAATGAAAAATTCGAAGTTGATCAAAAGATTTCCATCAAATCAAAAGAGAAAGAAAACAGAGATAATGATTGTAGATTGAAGAGATAAGAATACGAAACTGATACTGCCAGCAGGTATTCATATTATAGATAAACCTAGAATCAAATAAAAGAGATCCGTTGCTGTAGCTGTAGATTTGATATCCTCCAAATTAGGATAACTCAAGAGAAAACTAATAGCAAATTGATTAGAATCATTATTAAAATACAGTTTACATTATTTTTCTTTCTTAAATATGAATACAAATTTAACTAAACCACAAACATCTATTCAAATTTGATTCACAACACATTCAAAAACCTTCTCATAAGCTAATCTAAATCTCCTTCCATTTATCAATTTAATTGGTTCACTAACTTATGAAGGAACACTCAATCTCAACCAAGTACCATTTCTACTACCTTGATCTTCAATAACTAATCCATCATCGATGAATTGAAATTGTGCATGTATATTGCTCAAATTCTATCTATGTGAAACTCAAATAATTACAGGATCCATAGCAAACAACTACTAATTCCGGCCGAATAATAAACTCGACTAATTTTTTATTAATTCAAAACAAAATGTAAACCCTAATCTATTGCCTTCAACAATCTTCATCTGTACTGAACATTTCACACCTTGGATATCTAGTCTCTCTATTCTATATTAAGCAGATCCCATTTATATGATAAATTATTCTTATAACAAAGTTGGATAAATGAGTAAAATGTAGGTTCCTGATGTAGAACCCAAATCTTGTAGATAAAATGCTTGGTTGTTTGAATTCCATGTTATTTTACAATGTTGTCTGCTTATGTAATCTTCAGATAAAACGATTGTATTATCGTAGTTTCTTCCTATTGTTATTTCTTAATTAAGAAAATGGTATTATTTTGGAGGATCTTGATATAAAATTAAGATGAGTCCATTCAGATTTTATTCATATTTTTGACTCACCTATTAAAATGGTTACACCTCGTTAATTGCACCTTCCTCTTAATAGAAAGTAACAACCTTTTAAATAGTTTTCTCATAATTCTACGATGCTATCAATGAAGAACGCTAGCATTTTGTTATGCTCAGATCATCTTCTGTTGTTCCCTAAAGGATATACTCTTAATGCAGTTTATCTTTAAGAAAATATGAGTAATCTTTTAGACCTTATTTAATCCCTACTTATGTATTCAATTTCTACATTGGATTAAAATTGGGAATTTTTCAGATTTCTCATCTATTCCTATTTCAATCAGGTCGCTTTCTTCAAGGGCCGATAAGAGAGCACCATCTATTTAATTTGAAACGAATTTGAATTAAAATTCTGAGAGTCCAGTTATTGCCAACCAAGTTTCTACTTCTTACAATCCCCATTTTTGAGGGTACTTTTTAATTCTCGTGTACAATTTATCATAATCCATTTTGTAATTATTTAATATTCTAATACTTATTATGAATATTTGTCCTCATATAAATAAATTATATTTGAAACAATTCTCTTTGTTTAGCGATTTTATATTTTCAAAAGAAATATATAATAGGAATATTTTAGAAAAAGTAAGTGTGCAATCATTCTCAAATTAATTAATAGTTATAGTAAAAAATTAGTATGTTGAGTGAAAAAGAGCAAATCGAGTTCTTGGGGAAAAAACCGCCATTGTGTACCAAAAGCACAATAGAGACCCTTATGATGAACTTTTAACAGATTTCCAAAAATATTGATCATTTAGATTAGGATTTAAATCTGTTGGCTAAACGTCTTGATTATTTAGAAGTAAGTCAAAATCGATGAGTTATTTTAGGAATCAATCACAGAACATTACACCCTCGTTTAACCATAAAAATAAGAAACCAAAAAAAAACGTAGAACTGCCAACCTCATCAAAAGAGATTTTTAAGTACATTTTATTCTATGCTCAAATAGTGTCCTTATGAAAAATGTGACAAAGTCTATGGGACTGACATTTCATTGAATTTACATATTAGACTCAAACATAATGGAGGATCAAAAATTGAAAGAGAAGAATTGGCAGTAATCTAATTGTGTTTAATCATAGAAAAAAATATTAGATGCTAAATTTTAAGATGAAGTCGAGCCACAACATAATTTCAATCTACCTCCCAACTTTATCGAAGATTTCTAAATCCACCATCAAGAATATATACACAATTTAGAAAAAACTTATAACAAGAGAATACTACTTTGATTATTATTATAGATGTTAATAATTGTAATTAGTGATCCTCAAACAATATATCAGTACAGTTAAGTATTAATATTCATACATTAATGCTCAATCAACTTATATAATTTTTAAAAATTAAATGACGAAGAAGTTTTAAATTTTTATAATTAAATTTTTCTACTACTATTCTTAAAATATTGATAAAAAATTAAAAAATTTATTTCCTTAAACTAAGAACAATTAATCAAAAAAGTCATAATTTTAATAGAGAATCTATATATTTTAATAATATTATTCTAATATATATAGATTTAATTCATTCTGTTAGAGGAATTCAAATTCATAATGGTTATATATTAGGTTTTTATCAAAATATATCAATATATATATATAATATCATTTAGTAATAGCAAATTATAATTAATCTTCTTTTTGAGTTTCATTACAAAGCTAATCTAAAGAAAATGAACTTAATGGACTTAATTCCTCCATAATGGATCTTTGTTTTGGTAATTCAGGTGTACTGGCTTTTGGAGCATATATTGGAGTTCTAGTGACTATAGATAATTTTTTGCTATCTTTGTTCATTAATTTTTGATCAGGACTGTTGTAAGTATCAAGATAATGATCGAAAGAAACCTTAGTTGGACTATCTTATCTAAGACACATAATCAAAAGAGTATTACATTTTTAGTTTTAATTATGGAGCAACATCATTTTAAAAGTAGACATGATTAAGACATTGATATGCTGTAAATCGTTGATCAGGATCTTAGAGTATCATTTTAAATCTAATATAATAGAATTTAAGTTTACAATAGGTCTCTGGCATCAGAGTCTAATTGTTGGTATTTATTTCTTCCTAAATCCACTTAGAATTGTTTATTCATCCTCAAAATCTCTTGGTGACCATTTCCAATAAATAGACCTTCTCCCAAAAGTAAAATGTGAAAAATAACACCGGCAGAGAAAATATCACATGCTGTTGTGTAAGATGAGGTTTTATCTATCAAATTAACCACTTCTGGGGCTACAAAGCCTGGAGTTCCACATTTGGGATATAGGTATGGGTAAGAATCAACTTTTACTGACAAACCAAAATCAGCAATAGTCAACGTGTTTACGTTCCCCTTTTCTTTGAAGAGGATGTTCTCTGGCTTGAGATCTCTATGCATTATTCCTTTCGAATGAATGTATTATAAGCCAGATAATATCTAATACATAATCTTATCTTAAATTATAATATTTACTTTCTAGACTTCTTTTCTACTGTAGAGAGTCAACTTATTCTTCATTTCCTTGTATAAACTTCCGCCCTGGGCTAAATCCATTATGAGATATATGTTATTATCTCCTTCGTAGACTTCAATCAAATTAATGAGTTATTCATGGGGACTTAAAATTCTCATTATTTGGATTTCATTCAACACGGATTCCTTTACAAGTTAAATACATTAATTACCATTCCTTACTCTATTGTCTATAGTTTTTTTTTATCTATGCATTTGGAGGCGAATTTTTGATTTGAGTGTAAATGTTATAATTCAAGAACCTAATAATAATGAGTTTAATTAGTACTAGAGCATAGTTTCCTTATCCAATCACTTACATAGCCACATATTCTTCCTGTACTTTGGCTTAAAAGAATAACTTGGAGATATGTTTTTTTAATTCACGAAGTACATCTTCATCTCCAAAGTATTCTTGTGGTTAGTTTCCATTGTCAAATATGATTCCTTTCATTTTTATTGGTTATTCTGTAGTGTATTTCCAAACTATTCTCTTAGTATTTTCCACATTAAAAACACGATCTGCTCTTTTGCGATTAGACTCCTATAAACCCATTTCATTCACTATTTTACCTTATTCACAACAGCTTTGTCCAAAAAGATATAAAAATATCTAGGAGAGCTTCCAAGAAACTTTTTTTTGTAGAGTCGACATTGATATAATTCATCACAAGATTTAGGAAACATTATAATTAATGATTATATCTTAGCTTTTTGCAGCAAACAATTAAAGCATGTCTTACTACAAAATTAAGGATTCCATAATTGTTCCATTCATTTAAACAAGTAGTCTATAAACTTATTTCATTCTAAGTAAAGAACAGACTTTCTATATATTAAATGGTTATATTATTTATATTTTTCATTTCAAACTACAGGTTCTAACAATCCAAGAATAGGAACAAGAATGAATCCCCCAAGATACCCATTTCTCTTTCGAAGAATACATAATTTGAGTTTTCATTACGAAGTTTTACTTGTAATGTTATGAATATTTTACTTCAATTAAATTCAGTGTTTTTCTGTATTATTAATATAAGTAATTGGTTGTGTAAATATTACCATAAAATTATTTTTATTATTTCTTTTTTGCTTATTGGTTGCTAATTCAGTGCTTTCTTTCCAATTATTCTAAAATTTAGGAAATTGTAAATATAATAAGCAATATGTAAATAAAATGGGTGACCAAATAAATGATTAATTGAAATAAATTAACAAAATATCAATAATTACCTAACTGTTAAAGAGCAGCTTAAGATATGTAGTAAACTTATGTAAGAATGAATTTAAATTCTATTGAGTAAGGATAACCTTAAAATTGTTGAATATGTAACTCTATTTTATTTAGCTTATATTATTTTAAAATATATAACTTGATTAAAAATTTATTGATTACTTTAATAATTGAATTAATTCATTATAAATTAAACAAATTTTAACATCACTTGCATTCGCTTTGATTTAAAAATAATAGTTTAGATTAACCCAATTATTACCAAATTCAATTAAGTAAGTATTATTTTAGTAACAATTTATATTAAATATATTGATGACCTAATCATATTGCAATAGATTACAATAAATGATTGGAGAAATTGCTTATTTAATTTATACAAAATTTACTTTGAAAAATATATTATTTATTTATAAATTATCATTTATACTATTAATGCATAATTATTATGAACAAGTCGATTTTTTAAACGGAGGGAAAGTGGCTCACTAATAAGAGGTTCGGTATTAGGACCAAGATTAATTACCTTAAGAAACAGAGAAAACTCTAAAGATATTGGATCAAGAATTGGCTGTTGATGAAGAATACAAAGAAGCATTTGAAATAGCGAGAAGACTATTGAAATTTTATAAAAGTGAGAATGCAATTAGGAATGGATAGTATTTTGCTGGAGCAGGTATCCAATTTATAATTTACCAAAGCACTATATTTTGGATTTAGATGCAAAAATGCCCCATATCTACTAATAGAAATTTCAGAATTTATAAAAAAGGACTCTGCCACAAAGGTGGCCAAATGTTATTTAAAACTTTTAAAATTTGTAAAGGCAGATGCCAAAGCTCCCCAAATAGTTCAATTAGCAAAAAGCTTATAATATTTAGATCCCTCTATCTACATACCAAAGTTCGTAAGACTATTAGAAATAAGGTAATTGAATTATCGTAATTCTAAGCCGAGATAAATACAAGGCGATTGTTGACACAGCAATGAAATTAATTAAAAGAATGATGTTAGATTGGATGGCTTATGGGAGAAGACCGTCATCACTTTGTGGAGCTGCATTACTCATTTCAGCTAGATTCCATGGAGAAAATGTGCCTACTTCTTAGGTCTGCAAAACTGTACAGGTTTGTGATGAAACAATTAGAAAAAGATTGGCAGAGTTTAACTAAACAGGGTTATCGTAGTTGACAAGAGAGCAATTTGAATAGATTGAAAATATAGAGACTGGTATTCCAGGACCAGTAAATGATCCACCTTCTTATAGAAGAATTAAATAATAAGAAGAAGAAATGAGGAAAGGATTGACAGAAGAATAAATTAAACAATTAGAAGAAAGCACTTTAAAAAAAGCCTTAGAAATGATCGAATTACTTAAGGTCTAGCCTGAAGTCTTTAAACAAGAAGACAATTTAAAATAAGAATATCCTATTCCTGTTAAAGAGCCAATCAAAGAATAAAAAGATAACGAAATCTTATCCTCTTTAAGTGAAATAGATGAATAAGAATATATCTTAAATGAATAGGAAAAGGCAAATAAACAAATTGTCTGGTCAGCATTAAATAAAGAATACATTTATGATATTGAACTTAAAAATCAAAAGAAGAAAGCCTAATAAGAAAAAAATCTGTTAAGTGGAAATAAATAATAGACCTAAAAAGCAAGGAAATAAGCAAAAGTAGAGAAATCTTTTCCAACACCTTAAGAATCTGTGGCTAAAAATTATGAAAATGATGGCATAAATCCATAGGCTGTAAAGAATTTATTCTCAAAAGAAGAGGCATTTTTTGCATAACTTAGTTGATTATATCTAAATTTAATATCAATTTAAATCTACTCCTAAAAATTAAAATCAATATCATAAAGATATTCAAATTATAATTTTAATAATTTTACAATTCAGATGACACAAATTTTTAATTTCATACATTAATAATTTGATAATGAAATATCTTCTAAAATTTGGAAAAATGAATTTATTTTTGAACTTTATTTCTCAATTTTAGAGCTTTTAAAATTCAAATTTATTAGAACTTAAAACTATAATTTATTGTACCAAATCAATAAAATTAAGGCTTCATAACGATATTTTGGAGATAGAATATAGATATATTTATTTGGTAAACATTTCAAACACCAAGAATTAAATCTAAGTTTCATAACATTATAAAAAAATTTGAATTTCAATTTATGAAAAGTTCTGGGTTTCTCATGTGATAATAAGGTTTTGTTATTTTCATTGATCCATGCAACATCACAAAGATGTAAAGTGGTCTCAAAAGATATCTGATAAAGTAAAATAATTAATAAAAAAAACTGGACCAATTCTCTTTAATTCCTTCGGATATAGCTGCATTTGATTTCGTATTGGTTATGAAGATAGCTACTCTTTCAATTACAACTAAAATAAGCATACCCCCACTAACCACAAAGACATATAAGAAATCTCTAAAATATGATAACTTGGAATACCGTATTAAAAGTTTAATCATTCCAAGTTTTAGTGGCTAAGTCTACCACATCAAAGTACAGAATAGCACAAAAATTATTCCAGTTACTATTATGTGAACTGAGCTCATCCATAAAATTTAGGTCTATCCTTCTTTATTGTCTTAAGATATTTGATTCATAGTAGTTGGCTCGATGAAGGATGACCAAATTAAGTCGAATATCAAGAACACATAGAAAATGCCCAGTTTTACATAAAGGGTTCTCAATTCTGATTGTAAACTAAATTTAGAAATGTAGTTACTCTCTCATAATTTAATTGAAATAAAAATATTATGTTAAATTGATCATGCCTTAAATAAAATTTCATAAACTATAGTTGGATCAGCTATTCCTATGAATAACGACTCTTCATCTTCATCATCTCTTAAATCAATATTCTTAAAATATAAAACAATCTAATTAATTAGAATTTATTCTTTACATTCTAATGATTTGCCTTACTTTTGTTAATAACCTAATCACTGAGATCCTATTTCAAAACTGATTTCAGCACCAGTTTCCTTAATCTTTTGATAAGCCCTTATTATTCATTTGGATGATAGGTGACTTTGCAATCTAGTTTTGCAATTTTTTTATCTTATTCTGTTTTCCCGATGATGGTAACTGATAATTTAGACCCATTTGTGTTATTTTAACCTGGTACACGATTCATCAGTTATTCTTCTCTAGCTATTTTTTATTTTCTGACGTAATCCAATAATTGCTTAAACTTTTATTCATCATAAATGTTATCCTTGAACTAATCGTAAGAGATGGTTCCATTGAAGGTTTCCTAAACTAAATGAACAAGTCCTTGTTTCTATTCAAATTTTTGATTCTTCCTTTTTTTTTTATTATTTTCAACCAGAAGATTTTATAAATCATTGAAATCAATGCTACTTCCAAATAGTTTTTTTAAGCGATCCAAAATGATTTAATCAGCTTATGAGAATTATGGGAACAGCATATCAACTATGGATTATAAATAGGGATCCTTCCTAATTGTGCTTTTTGTTATTTAAATATTAGGACATTTGGGACAGTACATTTTATTCGAAATGCAAACGAAACAAACTTCGAATATCTAAATTTATACATGTATGACCACATTCTGATAGAGTATGTGCAAATCGAAAATATCCATTGCATACAGAGCAAACTAAAATAGGGTTAAGTGCAGAAAGTTTAAATTTCTAATATATAACTGGCATGTTACCTCAAACTCTTGGATCATTTATAATAAATGTATTATCAAGTTTTATTAATGATTATGTATAAATGATTATTATTAATTAACCAAAAGGAATTAATTCCATTTCTAAAGATATCAAGTAATTATTTTTATTTGCCAAACAATATTTGCGTAATCTAATCATTCTTAAGTTTTCCCTAATACTTTCGATAATAAATATTAAAAATCTAAGACTTTTTTTTGCATATTTACTCATGATATATTAAATATTAATTATATAAATATTCTGAGTAGAAGTCTTAGGAAATTTTGATAAGAATGTTAGTTATTTAAGAGTGTTGAATACTTTACATTCTAGAAATATCACTTTAGGAGGTACACAATTATCCTTAATCAGAAAATCAACTTATTATAAATAAATATATAATATTTTTTTGTAAAATTTAATTCTAATTTTAATATGCAACCTAAAAAACACAATTCAAATTTAAGCAACTCTAAAATAGAAAAAAAGTAATTGGAAGAAAAAGTCAATTAATTTATTTAAGAGAATGATGGGTTAAACTCTAGTGATTTAATAAACAAAGCATCAATGGTTAAAAAATCTGATTAAAAATCTACTAGTTAAAATAAAAAGCTTCCTATTGCGAAATAATAAGAATAGAAAATAGGAAAGCCACCAACAAACAAAGAAACTGAAAAATAAATAATTTAATAAAAACCTGCTTAGATAAAAAAAGAAGAAGCAATTTAACTAAACAATGTTTCTTAGACAGAATCAATGAAAACTACTAGTACGATAAATGAAAGATAGTTACAAGTTAAATTAAAGGAAAAATAAAGGGAGATGCAACTATTAAATGACAAAGTGAAAAACTTAGAATCTGACATAATGTTATTGAAAAACTAGAATAAGGAATATTAAGAGTATGAATATTATTATTCAAATAGGTTATTGAATGAGAAAACAATGAAAACGACTTTACATTATAATCAAAGACGCTATTTAGTCTTGTCTTAAAATATATTAAGCAAGCAATAACAAATTTTCAGAATGACTTAGATCGTCTAATTAACAAGACAGATATAATATGAATTGGAAAATCAAGTATAACAGTTTATAACAAGCTTATCAATTTGAGAGAAACAATGGAGAGCATTTAGGATACCTACGATGGAGCTTATAAAATTAGTACCTTTTGCGATAAACAATTGGAACGACTAAGATACATTTAATCATAATAATTGCATGAGTAGGAGGTGCAATTCGAATAAAAAAATAACTCTTAGAAGCACATTTTATTAACACTTTCTAAAGTGGATGCTTGTATCTCGGAAGTAGTCAATTTATTTGATAGTAATAGATAATAGTATGTAAGTAGTTATTTCTATTTAGAATTTTATAGATGAATAATTGATATCAAAATTAGATGCCTTATCAATTAATCTAAACCGAGTGATTCAATGCAAAGAATTGCCAAACATCAATCTTAAACCCAATTTAGTAATTTTATAAGAGGAATTTCATAGAATTCAAGGAACTTTCAATAGTATATTTCCTCATTACAATAGTGTGAGTGAATTAATAAAAAAGTAAATACAAAATGATTTAATTTATTCATAACTTGAGGATATTTCAAAAGAGTCAAAAGAATTAAAGAACTGTCCCTTAGCTATTCGATAAATAAATATTCTACGATCATTGGTCATCCATTGTCTCCTCTCAATTCATACATTCAATTTCAGACCCACTTTTAAACCATTTTTTGAGATAATTTAACCATTTCTATAGGATTGCTAAGGGATTTTCGATTAATATTAGGATAATAACTAGTAGATGGGACAATAGATCATATGGGAATTATGGAAGTCTAGTAACAAAAATCTCTAATAATGTACAGAGTAATAAATTTGAATGATTTTAGGAATATTGCAAAGGAGATAAATTAGATGAAATAGGAATACTCTGGGTATTGGAATCACAAAATATTTGATCTTTAGTAGAAATGAAAATTAATATTAATAGTTATTTCACAATTTGACAGGATTAAATTATAAAGATTCGTCATAAACCATTTTTTATAGAGTTTCTTTTTTTAATTCAAAGTTATCCCAACTCCAATCGAAAACCTTGTCACATCTTGGTTCAGCTTCTGGATTATGTAATCCATCAAAATAATCATGTTCCAAACATTATTCAACAGTGTATCTTTTATCTGGATTAAATGTAATCATCTTAGTCAATAATTCGCAAACCTTAGGATTGGCTTTGGGATAGAGTTGAGTGAATGACTACTTTGTTCTTTTAGGCAGACTTTTGATGTAATTTATAGCATTTGGATTTCCAATGTATTTCATATCATCAGGAGTCGGTGTTCCTAAGACTGAAATAATCCTCTAAACTTAATCTAAATAGTCCTCACCTTTGATAATCAATTGAATTATTACCTGGAAATAATGGAGTACGACCTAAAAGTTCTGCTATTATACATCCTGCCGCGTAAATATCAACTGCTTATGGTGTATTCAGATGCATTCAAAATAACTTCTGGTGCTCTGTACCATCTTGTTATCACATATTCGGTTTTGAATTCCTCCTCAGATTCATAACCTCTAGCTAATCCTAAATCACAGATTTTTAAGTCGCAATCCTTATTCAAAAGGATATTGCTAGGCTTCAAATCTCTATGTATCACATTTGCTGTATGGATATAGAGTAGTCCTCTTAACATTTGATACGCAAAATATTAAATGTGTTCATCTGTCAAAGCTTATGATGAATAAATGACTTTATGCAAATCTGTGCCCATTAAGTCTGTTATTATATAAATATCATTGAATCCTGTTTTTGCATCTGGTCTAGGCAAATCAACTAAAGAAATAATGTTCTCATGATCAAAAAACTCTAGCAATAACATATTTGAAATTACTTAGTAATTTGATCTCCCTCACTATTCTTTTAGCATCCACTAAATCCTCAAATGCATTTGGAATCTTAACGTAATTCATATTAATACTTTCTTAACTGCTACCATCTAACCATTCTTTTTATTCTTTGCAGAGCACACTACTCCATAAGCTCCTTACCCTATTTGCTTAATGAATTCGTATTTCTCATCCACAACAAATGTCTGACCTAACTTTTTAGCTAATACATTAACCTCCACATTCAAAAGCATGTTTACCCTTTGCAACTGGAATTTTTGATTTTATAGGATGTTTATCATTTTATTTCATTATTTATTTATACTACATTTCGAGCAATTTTTGTGCTTATTTATACAAATTGTAGAGCTCTAACTTATATTTAATTGTTTTTGAAATCATTTCATAAAACTAATCATTGCTTGAATATCATACATTACTAAAATTAAGAGGAAACTTAAATTTAAATTTATCACAAATAACTCAATAATTAACTATTTTATACTTTTCAATAATTATTTTTTAAATTATTCAAATGTGTTATCAAATTTTATTATTAATTTTATTCAATAATATTCGAACAAGAGAAATCCTTACTCTATACGAGTTTAGATACTTTACCATATATAAATTAATATGGTAGGATAATTTCTAAATTATCATTTACTAATCTAACACAAGCTGAAAATTTGATTAAGCTTAATTTATAAGTAGGAGTGTATGAAAACCTGAACACTTTTCTAACATCTACTTAGATTGCGGTGTGGAATCAACACCAAATCATAATTTATCATCAAAGGAGTCTTAAAAAGTACCAATTAATACCATATTATATAGATTTGAAATAAAGGACTCATTTAAGCTTTAATCAAACTTCAATGCTTGTGCTAGCTTAGTGCAAGATATATTTTGAGAGAATCCACCATTTTAATGGAGAATTGTGACGATGAACATTTATATATTCTATTTTCATAATTCTATACAATCTTATTTTAAAGTATGCAATTACTATTTAAAATGCAAATCTTGTACTCTAAAAGGAATTTTCATTAGAAAAATTCTACACCCAAGGATAAATTATTATTATATGGAATAGTACTAATAGAATTTTTTTTTTATGAAAGTCAATGATCATATCATATTGTGTTATTTTATTATACGTATTTATTATAAATTGTAAAATAAAAAAAAAAAACAGCATAATCTATTTTGAATTTTATCTTTAGCAACCTATTTTTATGTATGTTGATTATTTTCTAATTTACACATCAAATAGTGGTGCGAATTTCTATCTACTAAATCCTTTTTTCCATTTTTAATAAAGTTAATCCTTATATAAAATTTAATAGGAAATTAAATAAATTATGTAAATCATATCTAATTTGATATAGTTAGGCAAAGTTCATTCTAAATTGAAATTATGAAATGTTTTGGTAGTTTGCAATCTCATTTCTATAAAAAGAAAGAATTTTTTAGGGGATATGTATTGTTAATCATCTAAAATTTACAAAAGATTAGATTCAAAAGTAATGAGTTAACTAATATCTATGATTCAACTGTAATATCAAGTTAATGTATAAAAACCTACAGTACGGATATGCTTTAAATATTCTTATGACAAAGATTATAGGTATTTTTTAAATTAAATATACTCATCATTCATTTTTAAAATTATCGTACCATAATTGATTCATTTGAATATTTCAAATTTGATTATTAGTCTCTATTAAATGAAATGCTTTTTATCCAAATTGTAAATTTTAGGCATGGGTAAATTTTGAACGTAGTTATATTAACTGACCATCTCAAAAGCCAACAATTTAATTCCCAAAATAATCAAAAAGGTAGAATATATAATAAATTACAAAAGATGTCAAACAAAAATAATTATTTTGCAAACGACTTCTAATGTAATCTCTTCAATAGATTAACTTATAAGGAATTAAAATCTGATCTTTCAAAATTTGTATGTTTTGTATGGTAATATTTTAGATGCACGATATCAATGAATACTATTCAAATAAATAAGACTTTTATGAGGCCTTTCAGATTTATGTCCTTGCTAGAGAAAAATTAATGGGCACAAAGAGTATTAATTAAGTAAGAAATTCTTAATTATTTTTATAAGGAGGAGCTTACTGATTTAATATAACAACTGGACAACAATGAGGGAATGATTAAATTTTATGATTTCTACAGAGACTGTAAATAATATTTTCAGTAAAATATATAGAAAACTTTCCACCAAAGCCTCAAGCATTAAAGAATTTGCTAACACATTTCTAAAGAGAGAAAACAAAATTTTAAGAATTACTATCTCCTTAAAATGAGAATAAATAGACAATAATATTTGTTTCGGCTTAAGAAACAAATTTTTAATAAACTGAAAATCAATAAATTCTTTCAGAAATTCAACTTGGTCCTTGCTGTCAAGAACTTTATAATATGGTACTAAACTATGATAACGACTCAATGCTGGATAAAGTATTTTAATCGTATCTATTTTAGGCATACAAAACGATATAATTAATTGATAAAACCCAACTTTCTTTGGATCAAATCACAAGGCTATCTGTAATTGAGAATTCATACGAATTCATGATTAAAAATTTAATGGAACTGGATTCAAATGGATGGACATTGGATAAAAGTAGTCATGGGATTAGTGTTTCCTATAAATTTCCACCAAAATCATCAACAGTATCGTTGCTTATGGAAGCAGAGGTTGAGGCTGATTGCGCTAAGCTGATGTCTTTGATCACCGAAGTGGAACTCTTTTCGGAGTATGTTCCTTTTTGTAATTATGCAACAACCATAAAGCTGCTTTCAAAGACATAGAAAGTTTGTGTGAGTTAACTTTATTTTCCAGTTATTTCTAATAGAGAAACCGTATTCTTCGGTCAAGGTATCGATAGATTAGAAGAGAATGGAACTATTGTGTTTTTATGTAAATCTATAGATCAAGATCAATAATTTCTTGATTACTATGATTTATAACTTCATAAATCAAAGAATGTAAGGTTGTAATTAAATTATTACATTTTTTAAATAACTCCCATTACTAAAACTAAATGTAAGATTAAAGCTGTTAATAATTGTGATCCATAATTATCTCTTGTTCCAACCTGGTTAGTAGCATTAATTGCAAGAAAAGTATTTTTTTATAATATAAAGTTTGCTTTTTAACTGATAGAAAAGATTGTAAAATATACTAAAAACTTTGAAAAATACCCATGGTATAAAAAAACTTAGGAGAATCCAGAATTTTATTAATGGTTATAAAATAAAATTGACAATTATTTTGCTTAATAGTTTAATTCTAAATGAACTAGAAAATATGAATTTAACAATATTTAATATAATTTTAATTTATAGAATATTACATGTATTAACTAATGATTCTTTAGGATATACTGTTTACTATAATTTTGGATCTCCTGAGATGTCTTAATATATTTATTATTTCATTCAAACCAATTTACATCTCATTGAACTTCAATCTTAGATATATAATATTAATTCATTGAAGTTAATTTATGATGTAGGACAATTATTCAATTTTATTTGTAATATATAATTCCTAAGTAGAATCAATTGAGATGATAGACTAATACACATCTATTCTATTTATATCCTGTGTATTATTTATAGGTCTTTATTAAAATATAAATATTTTGTTTATAATGGGAAACAAGTGCTTGAAACCTCATCATAGTGAAATGGAATGCAGAAACACTTTTGTTGATGAGTTTTATGCATTTAAGTAGTTGAATGATCAGAACACAGAACCAATTCTTAATCAAGCTAGTATTAAGGACTATCAATTGCTCAAAGTACTCGGAAGGGGTGGATTTGGAAAAGTCATGTTAGTCTAACATAAAAAGAACAGTAAATAATATATTAATGAATATATAGACTAACTATACGCTATGAAGATCATTAACAAGAAAAATCTGACTTCCGAATGGATGAGAAGAAGTGCAAAAACAGAAAGATAATTGTTAGAAATTTTGGATAGTCCATTCATTGTTAAATTGATAGAGGCTTTTCAAACTCAATAGAAACTTTATCTAGTTGTCGAATATATGAGTGGAGGAGAACTATTTTAGTATTTAAAACATTATGGAAAATTTTCAGAGGAAGTAGCCAAGTTTTATGCTGCCTAGATCTTGCTTTCTTTGGAATATCTCCATTCCAATGGCATAAAGTATAGAGATCTCAAACCTCAAAATATCTTATTGGAGAAAGGATACATCAAACTCACCGATTTTGGTTTATCGACTAGAAATGATGGACTTTAATTCTCACAATGTGGAACCATTGATTATTTAGCACCAGAAGTTTTAGGGAATCAAGGATATACTAACAAATGCGATATATGGAGTTTCGGTGTTGTACTCTATTAAATGTTAATTGGGTGTGATACAGAACAAATTGAATTTGAAAATACCTCAATCTCCACTCAAGCCAAGGATCTACTATCACATTTGCTTGATGTGAATGTTAACACCAGATACAACCTTTAATAAGCATAAAAACATGTCTTCTTTGAGGATATTGACTTCGAGGCATTGTCCAAGAAAAAGATTACACCCCAATCTATGTTTTTGGAACATAGTGTATTAAAATTCATTAATCTCTTAGAGATTCAAGTTCTTCTCCAAGAGTTGCTTGGAATAATCAGCTGTTGACACTGAAGAATCTGAATGTGCTAGTCAAGTGAGTTAGTTCACATATAATCAATATAAATCCAAAATTTCACGAGCTGATACATTATGCAGTTCATATGGAGTGCCTAAGTCTTTTTGAGAAAGGGAACATGGCATTAATGATGATGTAACAAATTTAAATAAGTAATAATTAGTTATTACTATTTTATTCATTTTTCATATTTAAGCAAACAAATTCGATTTATCTGTTTGTTTACTAAATTTATAATACTCACTGTATCTAATATCAATATCAAAAATTTTGATCATGCTTTAACTCAAGCGTTACTCCTTGCAAAGTGTTCTCTAATTAAACTACTCTTTTTAATAATTATTGTTGCTTCTCTTCCATAAGTTATTTAGCCTTAACTAATCTTGAGTATTCTTTCGACAATCTGTATTGTTCTTCTATGAATTATACATTATCCTCTTTAAGCAATTTATATTTTTAGTTCATAGACTCTCTAAAATTATTTTGTAATTGATTTAATTCAAATTCACATTTGGAAGTAATAGTCGACATCTCCAACCGTATTCTATTTGACTAATCCCGCAGTTATGCTATATTCTTTTTACTCTCTGCAATGTAACTCTGAATTAATATTTGATTACATTAAGATGTTTCATTGGATGCTCATAAACTTCCAAAAAATGAATTTAAGAATTCTAATTCTGTTGTTCATCGACATTAAATCCATATCTAAAGTTATTTGCTGGTGTTTAAGTTTAGAGTGTTGTAAGTCTAAAATCACTTTGAGCAGTTGATCTCAATTTATTGAGCCTATGTTGCATAGTTTTAACCACCCGAAGGGATTATTAACTTGGGTCTAAACAATTATAATGAAACAATACTGGGATTAAGAGATTTGTAATAAAGCAGTTGTCTTATGTTGATCTCTGAACTCATATTTTGTTATAATGAAAGTAATAATATATTTATATAAACTTAGTTTTTCAACAGATTTAAGACTCAAGTAATGCTCTTTTTCAATTATAATCATCAGACTATAAATTTGTAAATGTCCAAATGACTAAAATCAATTGCTATTAATGAGCATGTTTCCTTTTCCAAGAAAATAATTGATTACCTATGATATGTATGTTTGGTACTTCAAGGAAGTCTATAAAGCTATTTTTCAGAATGAATTATAGATATCATTATTTTACACTCTTCTCTTGTGGCTGATTTTCTAAATGATCCAAATGGGTAGCATAGTTTGGGTTTTTGATTGGTTCTTTATAGGATTTTCCTAAAATTAACTATTAAAACCCTCTTTATTGAGGTTACTTTGGTGAGTCATCTTCAACAAAGGTCGTTTTACATTTTGAATTAATTTGATAGAAATTGTTGTAGACTAAAAGAATATTCACTGATCTTATAGTATTGTACTTTTTGAATAGAACACATTCACACTTTCATTGAAGGTAAAATTCTTTTTTGTAGATTTCTAAAAATAAATTTGAATTTTCAGTTTAACATAAGTCTTCGCCAAAATTAAAAAAGTTCTTTCTGGAATAGATTTTATTTCATTTTTTAAAGTTCTTAATAGAATAAAATTAATAATAGAATTACATTTTTGATGTATACATTTATATTATTAAACAACTTTCTTTTCTTATATTTTTTATAGATTTATGTGAGAATTTATGAAATGAATAATGAACTCAAATTTATTACGTTATGAATATTAATTCAAAGCTTCTTTAAATGAGAGAAACTTTTAGGATTTTTTATTCCTTTATATATTTATTATCTATATCTAATATGCCAATTGTGCTATACAATTTTCGAATTATAAATATAATTAATTGCGTATTTTTTTATAAAGATTTGACTTATTTTAATAGAAATATATACCTTATAATTCTAAATGTTCGATTGAATTCTTCTTAAAAAGGATCATCACATTATTACAATAATGCACTGAAAACTCGAATATTAAGTAATTTCTTCTTCTAATTTGATAAGAAATCTGTAAATCTGGCAACTTTTAATTCATCTCCAAGTATTTGTAAGCATAATTATTGATTTTTTTATGCAAAAGTGATTATAGCTTTACAGTAATTCTTCGGTATATTTTTAGAGTCTTTTTGATCTTGAACAGAAAAAGCAATCCTTTTTTATACAGAGTACTTTTAGGGGAGTGTGGGTTTTTTCTATATCTGCTTTATTTTTTTGAATTAATAACTATAGGAATCTTATGGCTAAGATAATTAGACTTAGTGTCTGCCTAGATGGACCTACTCAATATATTTAAAATTTACAATTATCTCATTGAAAGAGAATTAAAAGACAAAAGGATATCTTGGATTGACAGAATTTTACTCTTTGTATTGAGCTTCCTATAATCTTGCCAACGCTTTATAAAATTTTTCTGAAGTTTTTGTTAATTTTTGTAAAAAAATAGGACTTAAAGAATTTTAATCCTTTATCTATCTCATTTAAGAAAATTACCAAGTCTGCTACTTGATGGGACTCTGGGATTTGCTATCCTTCTTCTTCTTTAGCCACAATATGATTTAACATTATTACAATCTACTATTGATAATGAAATAAATTTAATTGTATAAGGTATGAGTGAAATCAATATTAAATAATATTATAATTTTGTGATAGAAAGCAATAAACCTCCTAAAATTGATGTTAATAAATCAAGAGTAGGTAAGTGAAAAGGAAGTATGTTAAATTTTTATCTCAATTTGATTGATTAATCTACATTTAATAGAATTTTTTATATATTTCAGAAATAATTTCTTCTCATTCAAAATGAATATAAAATAGGAATTGCAGATTTTATAAATTAATTTATCATCAATAATTTCTTTTTAACTTAAATTCAACTCCAAAATTTAAATTTAAAAATATATTCTAAACTTGCTTAGTGTTAAGGAAGGTATAAGTTAAAGGTTGTAGTGAGTAGTAAATAAAATTGTAATTAATCCATCCAATAAGTCATGATGTATGTAAAATAGGATTCATTATCTATGTCCTAAATTGATAAATGTGAAATATTTAGTGCTTCATAAGGTTAGAGAGCAATTCTAAAGCGTAGATTATTGTATTTCAATTTAAAATCAAATCATTTATGAGTTTAACCAATTAATCTTAAAAGATTGACTAGGGAATTAATGCAGATATAATAATCTCTTGGGATCCTAAGAGCTGATACTTAACTGATGTATTTATTGTTAAAACACCCTGGATTATTCATTTTTATTTGATTTTTCTATTAAAAATAAACATAGAGTTAGGAATGATAAAAAAGATTATGTAAATTTCAAAAGAGATATATTAACAAAAATTAATGCCAGATAATAAGTGGCTTATAGGAATTTCAATGTGAGATTGATCAACTTTAATTATAGAGCGACTTTTATCAAAAACGAAATTGATTCAGATGGAATTAGTAATCAATATTACATCATTCGAAGGAGATGATTAATATTTATGCATCCTTTCTTCCAACTAGTCTTTCTAATAAGATAGCAAAGAATTTTAATTTAAATTATCAATAATAATGATTATTTTTTTTATTTTAATATAATGAGTGAAGATGTAATAGTTAAAAAACTTAAATTATCAAATGGTATTTAAATGTACCAACTTAATTTATAGCCAATTTTGTTTTGTAATATGGTGAACCAAAATTTGATACAAAATACTTGATGCAAAGTGACGCTCAAAGAATTTTTAATTAATATTCCTAAATTGTTAAAGATGAGAAACGACCTCAAGTTTTCGGGTTTATAAACCAACAAACAAATGCCTTTTTAAAACGAATGGAAGAGCATCGTTAAATTCTCAAATAATAAATTGAACTGCAACTGAAGATCTGTCAAGGGAATATTCTTTTATAAAAAGCTTTGCTTAGTTATGAATTGAAGAAAATGAATTGATGATAATATTTGATATATTTATAGATAATTTATTCATACTCATTCAAACAATAATTTTGGCAATTCATTGAATCTAAGATATAAATTCAAAATTAATGGTAATCCTTGAATGATTCCCCACCAAAAGAATAGATTACCAAATTTCGTTCCCTTAATCCTCTTAGTACATAACATCACTGGTATTTGGATCATCATAAACATAATCATAATTGGAGTAATCTATTTCAAACTTACAGCCAGTGTGTACTCATGCAAAATTGCAGAGAACAGAAAAGTAGCCAATTGGGCCTTCTTAACTCCAAAACCAAATTCAAAAATGAGTTCCAAATACACATGACGATACAGAAATTCATAAACTGGTCTATTCCAATTCCTATTAAACTCTTCATAATCTGTTGAATTCCACCAATCGGTGTAAAATTGACGATCTCCAAAATGCGTAAGTTCAGCCCAAAAGTTGCAATAATTCTCGAAGATCATGTTAAATAAGGTCAAACATAAAAATATCAAAGGTAGAGTCATTTAGAATATTGAATCAACTAGAGTTAAGGCATTTACATTCAAAATTATTGGATAAATGTGATTGGAAACAATCATATATCCCATAATTAACATCGAAATCGTGTTTATAAATTTAACAATCACATACCACCATCTTATCTTACCTGAGGAGGGATACTAAGGCTCATAAACCAATACAGGAGTCATGATAAACTTGGTGAAATTCTTAAAGTTTATGTTATTTGGATAACTGAAAGGATCATTGCTTTTGGGACAACCTTAATCAATCCATTCTCTTCTCATTTTGTAATTTGTCATAGTGTATGAATGCATTTTGAAGAAGAACACACATGATTAAAATGTTACAAAGGCACCTTGGGGTAAGTACCAATCTCTGGTTAGAACCAAATATTGAGCATATACAAACATAAAAATCTGACTGACATGTTGTATTATGAAAATCAGCACCTTTGGGATGTTCATCATTGCTAAATATTGAATCAACAAGGCTATGTGACTCCAAGCATAGAACTGTTTCATAATGATAAATCTATTACCAAAGGCCATGTTACAATACACATGAACAGATCTCGACGCATTTAATTGTACAATGAAGTCTCGATCCATTCGCCACTCTTCCAATATGTCATGATAGGATTTATGATAAAGTAATAGAAGGCCACAACATATAGCATATTGTAAAACCCTACCAATCTATTTTTATTCAATTCTGAATCCTTATCCATATCATCAAGGAATGAAATCCGATTGACAAACGCATGCTTTCTCAAGTGTTTTATTTTGGCTTATTTTTAGACACTTTTCTCATCTGGAGTTGAATAACCTGAACTAGCTGTTTCTTGCTCCTGTGGATCAATTTTACGATGTTTCATAACCAATTTTAGATAATATTATATTTAATTCAAAAATCAAATGAACCATAAACAAATAGTTGATAATTAATTTTATATTGCACACCAGATGTTTATCTAATTATTATATAATATTTTAGATGCTTTTTGAAATCAAAAAATGTTCCAGTCTAATGTGTCTGTCTGTTTTGACTAATATCATTCCTGATTATTCAATTATATCACAAAATGAGTATGTAACATTCTTATCTACTTTTTTGATAGACTGCAAGTACAAATATAGAATCATTCAGTTTTGCAGAGATTATAAATGATCATCCCCCTTCAATACTAAATTTAATAGTATACGTACATACCTGACTGTCCTAGATAGTTTCTATCTCTTCATAAAATGGCTATAGTTTTAGTATGATCAAGAATTGTAGCCAGAGAACCTCCACAAACGGATCCGTTCATATCAATTAATTCTTGGGAAACCTTGTATCTCAAAATCAAATGGTTAGAGAGTTTCTCTCTAAAGCATGTCCAGGTAGAAATTAAAAGGTTATTCTGCACAGTTATTGTAAAGAATAGGAATTTGTATGAATCTTATAAAGACGTCATCCAATTCCTTATGTACCACATTATATCCAAAATTATTATAAAATAATCACGCTTCATTTCTACAAATAGTTATACTTTTTAAATCTCTGCATATCAGAAGTTAAAATATATAGATTTATCTTTGGATTATAATACATCATACATTGATTTTGTAATTATTAATATTATTAATATGAGTGATCAATATAAAAATGAAATTGATCGAATTTAGAAACTAATTGTATCTATTAAAACTGATATCAATAAACGAGAACAAAAAAAGAAGGCTGGATAATAGTTTACCATTATAGAAGGGGAAATTCGAGGTTAATTGACAACTTTGGGTACGAATCTCTTCTTAGATTTAAGATCGCGAAATAGTGCTTCTGGGGGATCTGATGAAACTTTAAGAGAATACCTTGATGCAGAAGGAATAGGAGAAACGCAGGAATTAATTATAAGAGTTTAAGAATTAGAGGGATCTGATCTCCGAGCAATTCAAGAAAGCTGTTCTTGAAACCAAATAAGAGTAGCAAGCAGCTCCTAAATAAATGGCTGAATTAAGCAATATGTCAAATAGAGAACTTTTCAAGAATCAAAAAGATCTCTAACAAGAATAAGATAAATTACTAGATTAGACCAATGAACAAGTAATTTTATGTTTTTATCATAAGGCAATGGTTTTAAAGTATTCAGGATAGAATATAAATCAAACCATAAATCAATAGATCAGGGATCTTAGTAAATTAAATGACGATGTGGACAAAACCAATAAAGACATGACATTCGTTAATTCCAAATTTGCATCAATCATCTCAAAGTCTTCAAATTGTTGGCTCATAATAATAATTGTGATTGAAGTTGTTTTGCTCCTCTGTTTTATCCTTTTCCTTTGAAATTTGAAGTCATTTATTGTGTATGATGCACTTTAACTATAAATAAATTCATTAATTAATACTATTTTTGTTTTTATTGATTACATATAATACTCCATAAAAATAATAATCAATAATATAAATTATATAGACTTAAAGGTAGTATATTTATTTTTATAGCAATATCTATATTATATCTTAATATCAAACTCAAATTTGTAATTTTAGAATATTTTGCTTTAAGAAATAGTTTAAAAATTAAACATATTTGAATGTCCAATCTTATCTAAGATGTATTAGAATAGTTATCTAGTATTGAATGGGTTATCCTATATTCATGTGCATAATTTAAATAGTTGGATATTTTCAAAAATTAAAGATTATGATTAATTGATATAAATTGAGATTTTTTAAAGCTTTTCTAAATAAATAGTAGAGTAGTGATGAGTTATGCAAAATCTTTGAAATGATTGATAATCCATAACAAAAACAATACACATAATCTAATAGAAAACTTAATTCAGTAAATTTCATGACCTATTACATAAATGTAAGGATATAAGAGAAAGGTTTAATAAATACAAGATTAAATAAGATAATCTTTGTTTTATATTCTAATAGAATGAATGATATTCAATACCCTAACTAATAGTCATAAATGAGTTATATTGAAGAAGTTTGTAATTGTTTGTTAATTCATATAGTAAGACCTAAAAATTTTATAATTTATATCATGAATCATTTTTCATTTTAATCAATTGTGTTATAATCTTTTTAAATTACAGATTAATTTCCTTTTCTTTTTATTTTATTATCAAATTTCTTGCTTGTTTAGAATCCATAGATTCCAAATCTAATTCTATTTCCATTTATGATTTTATATTAATTGCCAGATCATTTGATTTAGATACACACAACAGGACTAGTGAACATTATCTCATAGAATCCTCGCTCATTAACCATTTTATCAACTTTCTGTGTTCGTTCAATTAAAATTGATCTTGAGTGTGCTCGAAAACATATAACACTCCCTCAAATTCTATATTTAAAATTATAGATTCAACTGTTTGCTGTAGTACTTAAGAGTATTTTGGACACCATAATAATTGATTAGGTTTCTCACTACTGTTTTTGTACAATGTAAAATCTTGACACGAATTTACTATAAAAATAAAGAGTTTATTAGTACTTTAATCCTTTTACCATTCAGAACCCATAAGCTTCTCATCAAGTAGCAAGTTGACTCCAAAAACAATAATATTTTAGCTTAGTTTTGCATTCGAATTTTCTTATCCCATTAAAAATCAATTATAAATTGAAGAATTATTAATACAAAAGGACCTAGCAAGACTTAGTTAAATTAATTCTTAGCTAAGTCTTTAAACGTTAGAATAATTATATATGATAGAAAATTACAATTATAGAAATTCAACATGGCAAAACGTTGTTCAGTTCCATTTTTTGTTTCTTCAGAACTTAATTTTTGTTAACCATGTCTCTAACTTTTTTAGTTTTTGGATGACTGAAATCTCCAAGTTATGGTGTCCAATTTTACTAATCAATAGGTTGAGGATCATCAATGAAATAAGCCTAATGTTGATCCTATATCTAGGAAGGTTTGATTGGTAAGCAAATGGGATTTGATTATGTATTCATTTCTTGGATTTGATGTACTTGTTCAGTTGAATCATTATCATTCTTAATCAAGTCAGTAAATTGTTATTAGGCTTCTGCCTCTGATATTTTATCAAATGCTTATTCAGAAATACTTTCCAATCCTTGTTCTTACATATCAGGCAAAGTTGACTGCTAACTCTAACTTTCAATGTCTAATTTTAGATGTCTCAAAGAGGTACTTTTCGATATAGCCAAATTGTACTTGGAAGGATCCTAGAAATAATTATAACTCTTAATAATACCTTAATTCTCATAAGCATTCTTTATTAGACTCTATGATCTTATAATTTAAAATCGTCAGCGATCATATTGTCTATTTTGATCTTTTCATCAATTGCAGCTGTCATCATCTATTAAACCTGCTTATTGCTGTCCATCTGCTAGATATATTAGATGTTGTTCTTGATTTATTCTTTCTGTGCATTCTGCTATTGAACTTGTTTTTATTCCTATTTGGCCTCCGATCCCAAGATTTTATTTACGTAGGGTTTCATTAATAAAGTTTGAATTTTATTTGTAAATACAGTATATCTTTCCGATTTCATCGAAGAATAATACTCAACAGCTTACTAAATAGATTAGGAGAAATTGATTACACTATAGAGTTATAATAGTTCTTGAATCTCATCCTTTGAAGCAGCATTAGAGTCAACATCCAATTCTAAATTTAAGACCTTCTCCGCAAATTAGGCTGGTAATTTAAGCTGTTGTGCTGGCTGTTAAGCTTTATTAAATAACCAAGACATAAATATAAATTAAATCAAAGCTTCTAATTAAGTAGTATATAAATGCATTCTTTCTATATTATTTACTATTTTGCTTTAAGGTCTTTCAACTGTTGTTATCATAAATGATTCCTAAAATTCTGATCACCATTCAAATTAAACTCTTTAAATATTTTAACATATTCTATTTTAAAAACCCCTTTAAATACTACTTTAACTTTTCTTGAGGCACAAGCTTCCCCTAATTCATTGATAAAATTACGTTTTGTTTAACTTTTTAGAGTTTCTATAGAATTTACGAGACATGATGAACAATTAAAATAAATTTAAGAATTGCTAGTTATCATTCTGAAACGCAGACTTATAACTTGCCTTCTGTTTTTCTTTCATTAGAATTGAATTACCGTCTGTTTCACAAAAAATATAGTCTAATTCACTCTTCGTTCTTGAGTAAAGCGATTGACTTCCTTACCTAAATTATTTTTAACTATCCAAAAATTTGATAATGGTTTTTAACTGAGTTTCTTGCATTCTTACGATTTAAAAGCAATTAACTAATTAGAAATCATAGCCAATATCATTTATTTATAAATTTAGAAATTTAGAAAAACAATTTTGGTATCTAAACAGAGCATGTCAACATCAAAAGTAGGTACATACTCTATAATGAACTTCATTTTGTATTTTTATCAATATATTTATTTATTATTTGTACTGAGATCCAATCATTTTTATTTTTTAATTTAAAAATTGAAACCTAGGTTTAATATGTAGAATTAAATTGAATTTTTATTAAAAAAATATGTATAAATTACCTTTTTAATATGATTTAGATCTTTTATTGTCTAATAAAAGATATGTAATATAATCAAAGGCTATGAGTAAATTACTTTACACAAACAATTTTCTACTTGAATTATTAAATTTTAGCATTTTTTTAAAATAGATAGGCCCATTCTAAACTATTTCTTTAAATATCATATGAAACATACTGATATTTATAAATTGCGTAAAATAATAAACAAAAAATAGTTTTTAATATCTTAAAGCTATTTTATTTCTATTACTATCCAACTTCTAGATGGTTGATATTCTTTTTCTTCTGCTTTCTTGAAAGGTAAATGGGGCAAATGGGAATTGGAAATATTTACATTTATTGGGTGATAGAGCTGAGTCCAGGAGAATATCTTAATTTTAGGTCTTAATGACGAGATGATATTAATATTTATGGTGGAGATGAGTTTTTGAATGTGAATAATAAATAATATTAAATCAAAAAAAATACAAGAATAAATGACAACTACCCTTCCTTTTATATCGAAGAACAAGAACTAGTAAATAATCATTATATTTATAGTGTGGAAATGAAAGCTGTTACTTGGCAAAAAGATTCTCATGGATTGTTTGATTATGAGACTAAATCTTTAAGCGTTAAAAAACATAGGGTTGAAGGATCATGCAAAGTTAGCAGAGAAGGTTTGAAAGGGTTAATTTATTATAGAGAATGAAATAGTTATATAAGATGGAAAGGCCAAGGATGAGGCGCACTTACCTCTAACATCCATTTAAGCCCAAGGAGGTATAATTCTTATTAACATTCAGACTAATATTTTATTCAACCGAATTAAAACTCAACAGAAAACGAAAATTATTTAATCGTTCGTAGTTTAAAAAATGCTGATGGTGTTTAAAAGGTATTAATATTTATTACAGTATAGGGTTATACATTATAAGAGGGGGATCTTCTAAAATTAGGCAGGGTTGAATACCATGTGATCGAAATCAGAGACAGTAAGGGACAAATAAGAACAGTGAAGGATGTTTTCTAGTCAGAAGCTAAAATTACACCTTCCTTGGATGGGAATGTAACATAGTAGTGCAAAATATGTTTAAATGAAGAAGAAACCCCAGAAGATCCTTTTATCACTCCTTGTAAATGCAATGGAAGTTGTGCCTATGTGCATTTTAATTGTTTAAAGCAATGGTTAGAAAGCAGGGGTTATAAAAAAGAATCTGGCAATACAATTTCCTATAGATGGAAGAAGTATCAATACTGATATCCTGTAGATTAGAGTGCGAAGTATGCTAGGAATTGTTGCCTCAATAAATTAGATTCTAAGGAAAAGTGCTCGACTTGGCAGCCTTGGAAAGACCCAACCAACCATATATAATTCTTGAAAACACATAAATCTCTGAAAAGGATAAGAAGGCCTAGAGAGGAATATACCTTATCAAAGGAACTCCTGATGATTAAATCAAATTAGGTCGAGGACATTAATGCGAAATTAGAATCTCAGATATCTCAGTATCGCGACTACATGCCTTTATCAAATATGAGAAGGGAAATTTTGTTATAGTTGATAATAATAGTAAATTCGGAACTTTAGTTCGTCTCTAAACTCCATATCTTATATGCATGGATAAAATTGCAATATAAGTAATTTAAATAGCAATTAAATTTTCAGGTTGGAAGAACAGTTTTGACATTTGTTATGAAATCCTTTTAGAGTATTAATCCTAATATTCATGCTGCTGGTGTTCAGACTCTGCATATGAATCATATTAGTGATTAATAAAGAGCTGCCATTTAAGGTCAGGGCTAAACTGGATTTTATTAAGGGGCAAACAAAACTTAAACAAATAATAATAATAATAATAACAATAATAACAATAACAATAACAATAACAATAACTAGAAAAAGAATGAAAAACATTCGGGTTGAATGAAAATATATAAATTTATTCCATTTTACAAATACACTATAAGAAGATATTAATATTTTTTCTTTTGCTTAATGAACCTACATCTTAGGTTATTTCAATTCAAAATAATTAAATCAATATAAATAACTTTAAATATCAAAAAATTATCATTATCAATTTAGAGAATAATATTTTAGAGGGTTTATATCTTACAGAGCATTTTATTTATTAATAAAGAATATGATTGATTTAATTCTCCAAAATTTTAAGGAAGGAAGACTTGTTTAAATAAGCATAAGAATAATATTTTTAAGTCATACTAAATGAAGTAAACAAAATTCATAAGAAGAAGCTAAGATTATTAATTTATTTCAATAATTCATACTAGAGTAAATAAATTAAAATGTAAAATAAGTTTATTTTACTTTTTATTGAGAATCCAAAATATGAATAATTAATCAGATGAGACTGATAATATTAATTATTTGAATAGATTTAATTTAGATAAGATCAAGTGAATCAGAATTTATTTATTAAAATGCTATGAAATTCAGCAAAAAAAGAAGCAGATAGTAGATTAAAAGAAAAAATAAAAACATAAATCAACAGATTCATTCAATTACAAAATTAGCATCAGATTCAAGCAAGGAAATATATGAAGAGATTAATGAAAGTACAATACTGCCTTATATCGTATGATTATTTCACATTAAAATCTAATTTTTAACGAATATTTATAAATTAAAATTGATAGTTATCAATGCAAGAAATTGATGTGCTAAGGCTACACAAAGAAACTATAAAGTATTTAGAAATTGAGAACATCTTCAAACGTCTTACTAGTACCTTCCTAGATCGGATATATCATCTCATAAAAGATATATTCGCCGAAGAACACAAATTTACTATTTAAGTACATAACAGATATAACTAGGAATTACTAAAATTAGCAAACCAAAAGGAAATTTCTATGAAAGAATTCAAACTAGCAGAACATTATAAGTTAAATTCTGAGATATTTAAGACAAATCTTTAAGCTATATTTACCATTGTAATAGATGATCTCTAAAATTCATTTAACAAATAAGTGTTGATTGAAGAACGAGCGATCTTGGAACCTCGACTACTCACTCAAATTGATGAAGAATCTCAAATTTGTCTTACTGAAAACATTAACGAAGTCTCTTAAGATTACCCGAAAACAACCAGAGATGAGGTCAAAACTGAAGAAACTCCTATGGTTAACAAAGAATTTAAATAATCTCAGTCAAAAAATCCTTTAACTAAGCTTTTATAGTTAAATAAATCTTCTTGCCTGTCTATTGTCAGTTCGCCTAGACACTCAAGAGATAATAGCATAAATAATAGCACATTCAAATAATCTAATAAACAAATTTAATAACTTGTGCTGAATAATAAGATGTAAATTAAAGAAAGATCAATAATAAAGAACAAAAGCTTTGAACTAAATCAAATTGCAGAAAGTCTATTAGCTCAAACCAAAAGCCCTAAAGCAAATTAAACTATGATATTAAACAACCTAATGTCAAAAATGGTAAACCTTAAAGAAAATGCTTTAAAGTGATTATTTAATTATTAAACTATAAGTTTCTAGTAATAATATTCTCTTATTGAAACAGCAATAATCGAATTGATTCAATGAGTTTTCCATTCAGTTAGTATTCTTCATTTACTCATGACCATTACTTGGGCCTTCTCAATCTTAATAGATCAAAATTTATAGGATACCTTAAATAAATCCTTAATCCATTCTTTCAAGATAATTTCAAATCTATTTAATTAATAAATTGTTTTCTTAAACAGTTTGAATTTATTGATATCATCAAATTATATGCATGATTTCACCCTTCCTTTTATTGAATATCTTTAAGTTTATAAAATTATTATCACTGGTAAATTCAAAATAAATTTGAAATCTAAATTTACACTCAAGATAGACTTTAATACTTAATCAAAGCACTTATAGAAATTCCTTCCTCACAAACTTTAACAAATGTTAATTAATAATAATTTTTCAATTAGTAATTATTTTATTTAATAATTTTTACATTAATGAATACTATATTTAATCATCAACATTAACCTCCAGATTTCATTGTTATATGTCTTGTTGTTCTTATTGTTTTAATTCCTGTTTTTCTTCACTTGCTTCTTACTTCTAATAATAAATCGATTTTTCTCCAAAATTTCTTTTAAATCTATGATCAATAGCCCATTCTTTAGGTAAATTTTAAGGATCCATCGGATAATAAGAAGTGTTTTCTGAAAATCATTATAAATTCTTCAATTTTCTCATCTGTATCTAATTACTTAACAACAGTTTCTCCATGCGTATTCTTTAAATCTTTTTTCAAATTTTCATTAATTTAAGTTAGCTCCTCTTTGTTAAATTCGGCAGGCAATTAAACTACGTCTTTAAATTAATTTCTGATCTCTTGATATTAAACAAAATCAAATGGTTTTCCTGCTTTGGTAAGATTATCATATTTTTTAAGGATGTAATTCAATTTATCAACTACTTTCTTCTCCTCCCCATAATATTACAAAGGAACTCCATACAACTAAGCAAACTTCAGCCCTTTTCTTATCTTGGAGGGCAGATGCTTTTTCGTGACAACGAGCACATATGATCACAACATCATGAGCCCTGTGAGATTTATAATGGTTAGGTAAATTGTGCTTGTACATGTATGGGATGATTTAATATTTTAATATATTAGAAGAGGCACCACAAACAACACATCGATTTGCCCTTTCTTCATTATAAAATTTCATTTCTTTTTCATCAAATTCGCAAACAGGATCAAAACTTAACTTGATGCTCTTTTCATCCATATATTCTCCTAACCCATTCTTTACATACCATTCAATTTTCTTTTAATCACAAAAGCATAGCTATTATCCACTCAAACTAAATATACGGCAATTACTATAAACAGGTTTATGAGTTGTAAATTTTTCTTAAAAGTGTAAAAACCTTTGTTTTTTCTATTCCTTGTAATCTTCGTGATGTTTTTTAGTTAATTATTCGATCAAACCAATCACCTTCTAATCGTCTGTTTAAAAAGGATCTTGAAATTTGATATGCCTATAAATCTTTTAAGGTAAAAGAACATCTTCATTGTCAACCAATTATTTCTTTAAATATCTCAATAGTTTAGGTTCTTTGAGGTCTGTGGAGAAATGTATAAATTTCTTTTCCTCCTCCGTGTATTATTACAATAAAATATCCCTTAACATAATAAGATGTTTGCAATCAAGAGCAGCATAGAATAATTGTTCTTAAGATAATGGTCTTGCAAACCAATCACTTCTTTATAATCTTTTCTTGTCGTCTCTTTCAAATTAGACTCCACAATACTTCTTCCATAATGCAATTAAACTTTAATCAGGCTCTTTTTGAGCAAGTACTTTTAAATCACAATAGTTATTAACTTCTATTTGATATTCAGTTTTCAACCATTTCAAATCTTGAGCACCACTATAAAATATTTTGATGGCATCATTTTAAAAAAAATCTCTCATGTATTACTCTAAATTCAAAGCAATTGGATCGAATAAATATATTTCCTTCCCATCAGATATTTAAATGAGACAAATTCGTTTGTTACTAAATTCAATATCAATACCAAATGCTTCTCCTTATAATTTTGGTAATAAATTCTCAGAGTTTATATACATTAATTAAAATGTTAAGAGATTTAATTAATAATCATACTCCCTTAAAAGGTAATTTTGAAAGACTATCCACTCTGTTCTAATGCGCCATTAATGCATACAAATACCCTTTAAAGTAAATTTACTTAACAAATATTTCATCAGTGGAAATCATCTCTCCTAATTGGGAGAATTATCAGGGTATTATTGTGTGAAGGACATCCACTAAAGAATGCTTCAGCATCCAATTGGTTAGAGAATACTTAATGATAAGCCTAGAGTTACACCACAAACATTTAAAATAGAAGAATTATTGAAATTAGATGAAAATACATTTGGGTACTACTACACTTCCTAATATAAAGACATCAATATGGAAAATTTATGAAGGACAGAGATTTTTCTAGTGGGGAAAGACCAATAGTAAAATACATTCCAGATTTAGAATTGGCATATGTCTATCAAAGATATAAAGAAGTATAATCCTTATTATAAACAAGAGATTCATGATTTTATACATGTCTTACTCATGTATGATGTGAGTGTCTATGATGAAATTGTTGTGAAATGGTTTGAAATGGCTTAACTTGGATTGCCATCAGCAACTTTAAGTGCATTTGTAGGATCATTCAAATTAAATTGTTAAGAAAAACAAAAATTAATGGAGACTTTGCCATAAATTTTGAAAAGAGCTCACAAAAGCGAATTCATTATGAATGTTTATTTTGAAGAACACATAAACACAGATATTACATAACTTAGAAAATCCTTGAGATTATTATGATGATGATAACTTAAAAATTCCAATTTTATGTAATAATACTAATGTTTCATATTTATTGAAATCCTTTCACGAATTCTTGTTCAAGTTTCTTATTTCCCATAAAATCTAATTCATCAATGTCCTCCAATTTATTCATAGCAATCTCTAAATGAATATAAGATGATTATCCAGGAGCGCCTAGGATGTTTCTCTCCAAGTTTAATTACATAGCCAACCCAGAACCATAAACTGCAGCAGCTCTATGTAAAGCTTATTATTCCTCAACAAAGTATCTCTTACAATATTATCATTAATATTACCATCAAATGCTTTTGGTCCATCTCTTGACAAATATTTATATATATTTAAATTAATATAAAATACTAATCTTAACTTTCTAATTAAATATTTCTATATAATATTTAATTTAATATCAACTATTAAGTAATCATGCCTAATGCATATTTGTTATCTCTATTTTATCCAAAATAGAAATTATTTTGAATGTTAAATAATGATAGTTGGTATTCAGATAATTTCCTCATTTAGAATATAATTTAGAAATATCCTTCTCATTCAAATTCAATTAGTTTGGATCTAATTTGAATATTCTCTTTCAATTCTTATTGGTTTTATATATATTTGTATTGATTCTTGAATTTATAACATATTATAAATCGATTATATTTACAAAATTTCAATTTATTTATATATTAATATTTATTTTTATGGAAATCATTGAATTAAAAGAGGAAGAGGCTTATAGAATATCAGATCCAACTGATATTGTTTAAGTGACCCTCATAGAAGGAGCTGTTGAAATCTTTGGTTAAGAATTATTGATGGTAGAATTTACAAATTAAAAAGATCAGAAAAAATTATATGAATTCCCTCCACATAAACCATTTTCTTTATTCTGTTGGGTTCAATCAAAATTAAAGATTAAATATAAATCTAAAGAAGATTAGCCAGGATATATCTTTAATGAAGAAGAATTAAATTATCATAAAATGATGCATGATTTTCTCAAGATAAACCATGTTTTAGAATGTAAGACAATCATTTATTTTAAGCCTAAAGGCAAATGTCTTTTCAGCTAACTGATAAAATTGGTCCTAGATTGTTAGTCTTGGGAAGTCATTCTTGTGGCAAAAGTAATTATTAGTATTAATGGTAGACACTTTATGCAAGACTCTCATCAATTATAGTTTAGTGTATGGATGGAAACCAATCTATGTGGACATTGATCCCGATAATCAATAAAGTGAATATCCTCATTCGATAAGAGCTGAAGTTCAAACATGTGTTAAAGAGTAAATGTAGAAGAACAGAGTTACCTATTATTTTGGATATTAATGTACATGAATATTTAAGAATGAAAAGATAAGGATATCGTAAGAGATATTTCAAAAAGAATGTTATTTGATAGATTAACAGAGGAATTAAGTGTGTAAGTAGATAGAAAATTGTAGGCAGATCTTGAAAGAGCGAAGGAATAGAAGGTTTAGATGTTGAATTAACTGGGGAAAGTTAAAGATTGTACATTATTGATTAATATTCTAATAGAAAAACTGTGTGAGTTAATCTACATGAAATCCCAAGAAGACAAAGATGAGAAGGAGATATATGCCAGTGGGATCTTTGTAAATTGTCCAAATTTCTTAGGCTTGCATAATCAAATAATGGAGTAGATTAAGTTCTTAATTGAAAAATTTAAAATCACCATGGTCATCGTAATTGACAAACCAGATATCTACAGAGATCTTGATAAAATTTAAGATATCATTGTTTACAAAATGGAAAAACTCAAGGGAGTTGTTGATTCCTATAATCTAAAAGAATTAGAATCATTAAATTATACTTCTTTCTAGAGTAGTCAATCGATACCCGAGTATTAATTGGAACTATATTAAATGCAAGTGAGAGAAGATAAATAAATAATGTTTGAGAAAACAAAATCTACTAACATAGTTAAATTAACTATTGCAGTTCTTCATCTCAAAAAAACATAGCTCGAAGAATCTAATACCGAGTTAAACTCAAAATTAATTTTATAAGCTCCTTTGGCATTCTTAGCATATGTTGATAACTTCGATAAGGACAAAGGCTATTTAATTTAAATACCAAATGACAATTGTCGCCAAACATTATAAAATAACGTTTGTATTATAGGAAGATGATCAATTACATATGATAATTATATAAAAGATATATTTATAAATCATTCATAAAATTCAATTACTCCTGTTTCACTTCTATGACTTTGTTTAACCCTCATCCCTCCACAGGCACTCTTTTTCCTTGATTAATCTATCAGTTTTATATTTGATGCTCCCAAAATTGAATTTATGATTTTTGACTTTTTATTTGCAGTAACCTAACTTTGCTATTGCATTTTTTCTTCTACTTATAGAATGATCATCAATAATTCCTTAATTTCAGGTAAAGGACAAATCATTTTAATCATTTCTACAGATTTGACTGACCTTCTTAAAATCTCTTTGAAAATCATAATTGTATCTTCAATAGACATAATTTCTGGCTAGACCAATTCAACAATAGAAAAGTGCTATTCAGGTGATTTGCATGGAAGTGTTTTTTTGTGATCTTGATCCAAAAAGGAACGAATGTTAAGAGAATCCCCAGTTTAAGCTGATCCTCTATCTTCATAATTTTTGCCATGGCTAGCTGATGATATTTCATCCTTCAAAGCATTATTTTCTTGAATCAATTTCAGATTTTACTACGTAATTTACTGATTCGTTTATTACAGAGACAACAGATTCTATATAAATGAAATGAAATACTTATTCTTAAGCCTTTAACTTCTCAGTAAACATCTTCTTTAAATGGTAAAACTCCTATTAGTATTAGTTGAACCCTTCAACTAATTCTATGACAGCATGAGGAGTTTTATCAAAGCTTCTCACTGAAGCCTGGGATCTTAATTTTTCTGGTATTTATGGACTCTATTCATAATGTTTAATTTCATTTTCAAATTAATTCATTTACTATTGGAGAATACTTAATCTATTATTAATTTCTTAATTCTTGTCTTGTAACTATTTATTCTACTCTAATAACTATTTAATTTCTGAATTTTTTAGTTGAATTTATTTTTTTTATTTCTCAATCTCATCCTTCATTGATGAAATTTAATCATCAAGCTCTTTTTATAAAGTTTAAAGAGTTCTATTTTAATTATAAAGATCTATGTTCTTTTTGTCCTTTTCTTTAATTTATTAATTTAATTTTTCCAATTTATCATGTTTCTCTTCGTCTAATCTTTTAGTTTAATAAGTTTATTATTGTTCAAGATGTTAAATCTTTTGTAATAATTTACTTTTCTCATCATTAAGATCGCTTAATTATTGAGCATAAGTCTTAAGCTATGTTTGTTCTTTGCTTTCCTTCTGTTCTTTTTCTTTCCTTTGCTTCTTAATGGATGACTATTATTATTGCATTTCATCAATTTATTTTTTTTTTGTGTATAATTCTTTGGTCAATTCTTAAATTTATTCATCTTGATTGTGAAGCTTGTTATATAGCTCTTGTATTTAATTTTAGAAAACAATTTTCATATTTTCCATTTCCTAATTAATCAATATCTTTTCTTCACATTTTAATTAGCTTTGTTGTTGAACAACTAATTTTGATTCATTTTATTTAGCCTGCAAGAGGGATTACTTATTAATTTAAATTTCATGCTTCAACTATTAGATTTCATTAGAATGAGCTTAGGTTTCATTTCTTAATTATTATTTATGTTATTCCAATTCTAATTTAAGAGTTTTATTTTCAGACAAAAGATTTTAATTAATTTATCTTAGTTTTTCATACTCTTCGAATATTTATTATTCTTATTCTTCTTTCTTCTCCAACACTATTTAAATTTAATCAGAAATCTTTTGATTCTCTTGCATAACCTCATCATTTTACTCCTTAAAATAATCAATTTATTAAGCCTACTCTTTAATTTATTCTTCATATTATAAAAAGGCATGATCTATTTGTTCCCTCTGCTTAGTTAATAACAAAGTAACAACTTCCCTGGCAATCTGAGCAATACTTTAAGTAGCATCTATTGTTTTAGCTTCCTCTTCCAGAGAACATTCTTATATGATATTTGCTAATTCATCCTTGCATAATTTGCATTGCTCACATTCCTTATAAGAATTGGAAGTCATATGTTATAGTTGATGCATTTACATCTATTAGGTTAATTAACTTTGCAGCTAAGAAATTAAAATCTTTTAATTGATGCACTCTGCTTACAGTTCTTCCATAGCCCTATTATGTACTTCTGGCATAGTATTTCCAGTCACTTATTAGTAAAGCAATGCTTCTTTAGATTTGAATTCATTAATCACTTTTTCATCTTACTTTCTATACTCAGCTTCCTTTAAAAGCCTGACTTATAAATTTTATATCTAGGCATCCTATGATGTGATGATTGATTCTTTCTCTTCTAAGGCTTTCATTTAAGTTTCAATTTAACTCTTTAGTTTTGAAATGAATTTATTGCCATCACTCATAGTTTTCTCATATTCTTGTAAAGCCTTTTATCTCTCATTGTCTTCATTGTTTTATTGGTTTTTAAGTGCTCTGACCATTTGATCCTTGATGTCCAATTAAGCATGTAATTCTCTTAGTTCTAATTCTATGGCCTCTTGCATTCTTTTTTCATTTTCAATCATTCCTTTAGTTTATTCATTTAAGTCTTTTAATTTCTAATCTTTCAATTCCAATTATTACTTCAATTATTTCATTTACTACTTCGCCACTTCTAGATATTTACCTCGTAATATTTCTAAACATGAATAATCCTTATGTTTTTCTTAAAGTAATTTAGTTATCTCTTCCTATTCTTCAAGCTTTTAAGCTAATACTAAATTTTCATTCTCTAATTTTCTTTATTGCTTCTTCATTCCTTGAATTTCACTCTCCATGTACCTTTTCTACTTTTCCCAGATTCTATTTTCAAGTCGAGAGTTTTAATTATTTTGATTTTAATGAGACAGAATTTATGGCTTCTTTGGTTCTGGATCGACGTTTTTAAATTACAGAGATAGAGAATTTTCATTCGAAAACTCAATGCTTGGAGCTATTACTTGTGGAAAGATATTTTTAGCATCACCTGGTGTTACATGTTATTTTGACCAATCTACAATCTTGTTCATTCGTTATGGAGTCATTGATTCCAAGTAAGATCCTCCCGATGCATAGAAATCTTATAATTGCTATTATTGTTGAGGTACCAAAGGAGGTTTAATTTCCTGTTGGTTTATTGGTTATTATTGAAGAGGTTTTCTTTTTTAATCCACTTTTTGGGATTTCAATTCCCTTTATTCAACTTCGCTATCAGTTGCAAAGGCATCTCCTACGAGACTTCGATGTCGCCTAAACTTCTGAGGTTAAACCTCTGTATTTTCTGTATGCACTAATTTATGGAGATATTTTTATGGTGTGTTGTCAGAGAATTCACTATAAGAGGTTATCGTTATATCTGCATGAGGATAAGGGATATTCTCTATAATCTATTTCAAGTCTTCGCCCTATTTTGAGTTTTAATCTCTTCTTTTGAAAAGCAAGTCGTCCAATTCATTGCCGCGGCTCATTATTCAAATTTTAAATAAATTTTATTGAGCAGTCAACTGATAAACTCTTAATTATTTAAGAATGTAAGGTTCGATCATCATATTTATTCTCCTAGCTCAAACCCATCCTAAACATAAGATCAAAGGAATGAAGAAATGAATTTAATTTTTAGAAGGTCACATTTTTTCTGTTTAATTAACACTCTCTTTTAAAAAAACTTATAATAACTCAATAATATTCTTATATTTATATTATACTTAAATTTAAAAAAACTAAATCTATTGATCACTTAAGTTACTTTTACATCCATTTTAGCCCATCTTCTAAACCTTCCCCTTTAACAGCACAACAAGGTTGAATATGAAAAATGTTAGACAATTTTTCAAGCATAAGCTCTCTTGTCATTTCCTGTATGTTCACTTTAATTAGATCTTTTTTATTGGCCAATATTAAAATAGGCAATTCTTTAAAATTTTCCATGCTCAAAAGTCTATGAAATTCGGTTGCTGAACATTCGATCCTTTCTTTGTCATTAAAATCGACTACAAAAATGATTCCATTGTAAGTAAACCCATTTGGATTATAAATTTACATCCTTGGATCTGATCCTCCTATATCCCAAGAAAATATTTCAAATTGTTTATATTATATTTTTTCTAGATAAAATCCAATTTTTGGATACAATGTTTCTACTTTATTTCTTTGTAATTAATACAATATAGTAGTTTTTCCGGCATTGTCTAGTCCTACCATCATTAGGTTTGACTTTTAAACATTTTAATTATTTTCTAAAAGATTACCCATAAAAATTAATAGTTTGAAATGGTTGATAAATTTCTAATTTAAACTAATAAAATCCTACAATTTCCTTAAGGAAATAATAACTGATTAAAATCCGAAAAAGGACTATGCACTTTAAATTTCATTATTTAATATGTTTAATTTAATCATAAAGCCAGTCTAAACCTTCTTCTATTTCAGATACATCAGATCCAACTGTTCGAACAAACCATGGTTACCTCAATTTGATTAGTTCAAACTAAATAACAATTTCTTATATGGTTATTTATGCTTTATGATATTTACTTATAATAAGTAGAATTGGTATTCCTTTGAGTTAATTTAATTGAGATTGCAATAACACATGAGAATTGTTTAAATCTGCAAGGTTTGATGAATCTACTACAAAGATAAGAGCTTCTATTTTCTGAAAAACAGGATTCACATGATTTTGGATTGAGTTGTCATCTATGTTGTGGTAACATAGAAGATTGAATTTAGAATACTTTAATGCTGTTATTAGATCTCCTGAATAAATTGGAGTATGTTTGAATTTACAAGAAATTTAATTTAATAGAGTTCTTTTTCCAGATTTGGGTAAACCAATCATCAAAATTAAGGGGGAGTGGCAATTAATGTTGAGAAGAGAGTTCCCATTAAGATATATAGTTGAATGAATTGTGGATTGAAAATATATGTTTATAAATTTAATTAAAAATGTCAAGGGTTCAAACAGCAAAAAGTTAATAAAATATACGTTCAATTGAGGAGGAATTGGAACATTAGATAAAAAAATCTGGACTTCTTGATGCTGATAGAAAGAATTTTTATAATAATGCGGAAGAGACTAAGCGTAAGAACAATGAAATCATTGAACAATTAAAAAAAGAGAATAGAGATTTGAAGAAACTGTAAGACGAGTTAATTGCAAATAAAAGAGTATATGAGTTTGCAAATAGTAGGGTGCAAGTGCTTCTTTAGCAAAGACATAAGGGGCATTCATATCTTGGTCTGGAGACATAAAAGATGAGAATTATTGGAGACGTAAATTGGATGATGCCAAACACTTAACAAAAGCCAAAAAAGAAAGATTGATTCAATTGCAGGACAAATTGAATGAAGTAAGTGACACTAAATTTGGAGTTCCAGAAGAATCACCTTTGATGAGATAAATTCGAATATTGGAAAACAACTTGGATAAAGTGATGATCAAATATAATGAGGCATAATCAATTAGAAAAACCTATGAACAAATAGTGAAGAGATTGAAGGAAGAAAGAGTTGGATATGATAATTAATTAGCAGCTATTGAAAGATCATTGAAAGGAAAGGAGCATGATTATGAGGAGCTATTGTTATTGGCACACGATGCCACTCATGCAAAGGAGTTGGCTTAGGCTGAGTTGAAGAAGTATGAACACAAGAAGGCAGCAGTGAGAGAATTAAGAAAGACATATTTGGATGCAAAGAGAAAGGCAATTGAGGAGAGAGAGAAGGTTATATAGAAGTTGGAGAAAAGAGAAAAGGATAATGTATAGACTTAGGTGGAATATAATACATCCAATATTCCTATCCAGGAGTCATCTAATCCGAATGTGGATACAAATATCTAGAAATAGAAGTTGGCTGATTATGAAGAGGCATTTCATAAATTGAAAGAAGCTACTGGATTCAGAGATGTTAATGATATCATTTAGAAATTTACTAGTTAGGATGAGACTAGCAAATCTTTGAGTGATCTTAAGGGAGAATATTAGGATAAGATAGAGTAATTAGTAACTGAAAGATAGAAATTGAGAGATCATTTAAATGATTTAAAGTATGAGGGAGGAGAGGCATTAACCAGAAAGTAAATTGATGAAGTAAATTTAATATTGTATTGTAGATTGAAAACAATGTGAATAATGCTATTAACAAATGTGAGAGAACTAAATTGAAATATGAGAGAGTCCAGAAGATATTAGTTAATGTCAAGGCTGGTATTGAACATTTGTATGAGAAATTGGAATTCTTTAAATTAGAAGGAAAAGCTAATATTGTGGTTTCTGACGATACTTTAGTGGAGGGATTGTCTTAGGTTGTTGAGAAGATGAAACTCATCTTGCAATTGATTAAGAATGATGCTTCTTATCGTGCTTAGGATTTCAAATAGACTTGGAAGGATTTCAATAAGGAACATATTGATTAATTTATCAATTTGAATTTAAGGGATAACAGTTTATTTTTATTGTTTATATTGTAGACATCAAACCAGAGAATGTTAGTAGAAATATTAGAGTTAGAATTCAAGATAAGGAGGATGATGATGTAAGTGATGGGGAAATTGAAGATGATATTGATTAGGAGGTGACAGCCAAATTAAAATAAAAGTATGGAGCTTAAGCCAAGGACAAGAATGCCAAGAAGTTGAACAAACCAAATAAAAAATGATTATTATTAAATATGTCTAAATAACAAAATCTTCTTTATGATTTCAATGAGATGACTCCAGCCCAACAAGCTATGTTTCTGAGAGCCAGAAATGAGTTAGAGAAGGAAAAGGCTTGGGCTGAAATTAGAAAGCAAAAAGAAGAGGAAGAATACAAAAGATCAATTCTCTTGTCGAATTCTTAAACATAAAATCCTTAGAATTAAAAAGTGAATCTAGAGAAGATTTCTAGTGATTCCGAGTCATCTGACTCTTTATAATCTGAGAATGAATTTCAAAAAGAAGAGCCGCAATTTGAGTAGAAAGTCGAAGAGAAACCCATGATTGTAGAACCCAATAATGAACAATTAGACACTTACTTTAAATTGATCCAAAATGCACAACTCAAAAGAGATCAAATTTATTACCTTTTGATGAAGCATTATTGTGATAATGTCATTGAAGGGTCTTTTGTTAAAATCAATGAACCCAATCTCATCAGAAGAAAAGATTAGAGCTATGCGATTGCTTAGGTGTTGGCTGTTGTTGAAGGCGAGAAATCCTATCAACTAGAATAGACTCAAACCTATAAATTGCTGAAATTGTAGTTTGGAGAGGTAAAGGATGCTAAATTAAGACATATTACTCTCATTTCCAACCAATAAATTCAAAAACAAGAATTTGCTGTATGGCAAAAAAGATGCGAAGAAAATGGAATTCAAATTCCCAGTAAGGAATATCTATAAAGAAAGGAAAGGTAAATGCCATAAATTTATTTTAACTAGAGATATTATTAAATCGACTTCCAAATTAACAGATGATCAAATCAAAGAAAGAATCAACCACAATCTAACTAAGTGGATCCAAAATCCTAAATCCAATATTCATTTTAGAGATTTGCCAGTCTACTAGAACTTTATCAAAAATCTTATCTCTACCAACAGGTCCATCATTGAATAAGGAGAGGAATTCATAGCCGATTTACAAGATCCTGGAGAAGGGGAAACTGAAAAAAAATAATTAAAACAAGAAGAAACTAGCAAAATCTTGAGATACTAAAGATAAAATAGAGAAAAGGCAGAAGAGAATGTCCATCTGAATGAGGAGCTTAAGAAGATTGAGTAGCTCCTCAAACAATTTAAAGAAACTCAAAGTCAAAAAGTAGAACCACCAAAAAGGTAACCTCAACAAGTGGAATAGCAATAAGTGGTAAAGTAATCCAAATAAATTGCTAAATTTTCTATTAATCATGACTATTAGAAATAATTAGACTCAAAATACATTAGACAATATCCAAACATTAAAACAATTGATGGCAGCGAATAATTTAAAGCAAAAATCCTTAACATGCATAGTAGGGAACTTCCAATTGATAATATAATAGATAAAATGATGGTTTTGGAATGATTTATCAATTTTATAACATCAAACATAATTTATTGCTATCTATTCTGTCATCAGGATTGATTATTAGCATTTAGATGATAGTCTATTTAATTCTTTCTGAGATAGGAATCTGTGGTGGAAAATAGATTGTTTCATCATCCAAAATTATATTTAAGATCATCTGATATGAAGTAGCTTATTCTATATTCCATGGAAATTGACCCACAAGTAATTAATAAAAAATAATTCCCAAAGCCCATACATCCACTTTTTAATTGTAATAGCCACTTTCTTCCAATAACTCAGGAGCCATATATTAAGGAGAACCTACATCTACAGTTTGTATTTGATCTACCTTCTCCTCTTCAAAATGCTTTGCAAATCCGAAATCTATATACTTTGGCACTCCTTATTTCAACATAATGTTAGCAGGCTTAATGTCTCTGTGGATAATCTTTTGATTATGCATATATTGTAATCCATCAGCCAATTGTATCATAATATGCAAAGCATCATTCTCGCTTTATCTGCCTTTAGTTTCCAACATTTTTGACAGAGTACCGCCTTCACAATATTCGGATATAATGTATCGATCAAATCTTCCAGAATTTTATATCTAAAACCACTCTTCATATCTGACTACATTAACATGAGTGCTTTTGATCAAAGTTTGTATTTCTTGATTGGCTCTTTCTTCGAATTTCTTGCTTTTTTCAATAGTCCAAACTGCAAATTTAGGCTTCAGCAATTTACAAGCATAAAACACTAGAATTTATTGAAAAGACTACATCCATCATCTCTTTAAACAAGCCACACAGTCCCATACTCTCCTTCTCCTATAATCTTAATAAGAGAATAAGTCCTTCCTGTAAGAGGAGATTACAACAAGTTTTCCATTGTAATTGCAATAAAGATAGACTTATTAAAATTAATTTAAAAACAAAATAAAATTTTCAGATTTGCACCTAAAATTTCATATGTTTACTAAGAAACTGTAAAATAGTAATGAAATTAATGAAAAATATCAATAATACAATAAATATTATTATATAAAATATTTATTAGGATGTCTCTTTTTGCTTAAATGGAAAAGAATGCCTAATTTCAAGCTGAGCTCTAGAGATATGAAGAGCAGGCTGACTTTCTGTTTCGAAAATAGAGGATGGAAAGAATTGAATCATTTACAGATCAATTTGAATTTTTGGCGAATGAATATCCCTGTGCTGTTTATTACTAGGTAGAGAAGTCAATTGATTAATATAGGGATTGATATATAATTCAGTATATGCAGCATATTAATCTGCCAGAACCCAGGACGAGGAAATGAGGTAGAAATTTGTGAATGTATATATCAATTTCGAGTGAAATAGGCATAATCAGTTCAGGAAGTCTATTAGATAGCCTAACATATAGATGATCCCCCTCATTGGACAAAATAAAGACTGCGAATAATGGAGGTGTTGTTGAGAGACAAGTTCAGGAGGAATGCCGACATAAGAGATTCATTGAGAGCCACAAATAACTATTAATTGATTCACACATTTACACATTCCACTCCAAGCAATCAGTATTGGGGAGTAGTGGATGGGAAGGGTTAGAACTAAATTGGAAGATTACTCGAACAAATCAGAACTGACATTAATAATTATGAGGATCAAGACAAGTGGTTATTGATGACATTTCCAATTGAGTAAGAGTCAAAGATGATTCCAAAGGTGGAGTTGAAGGTTTTGAAAGGTAAATAAATATATTAAATAATAGAGGGAGAGAATTTGCCTAAGATTGAGATGAAACATTCAGCTTTCTTATATTTTGGATCTCATCAAAGAAATCATGTTCATTTAGCACATCCTTCTATATCCAGGAGACATGCAGCTATTTTTATCAATAATTAATCGTAAGTGTGCTTAGTTGATTTGGGTTCGAAGGGAGGTACTTTTCATAATGAATAATTTGTTGAACCACATTTACCAGTGGTATTGGCTAATGAAGACAAGATTAAGTTTGCTAAGAGTACTAGAATATATTAAGTGTTAATATCTTATGATGATTGCAAGAAGTGGTTGAAGGAAAAAGTTGAGAAGTTGCGAAATGACTTAAAACAATTGGAGCGGATTAATAAGGGAAAGATGAGTTAAGAAGAGTTGAAGGCTACGTTATCAGGGGCCATTGAAGATACAATTCTGATAAAGAATTTACCTGAAAAAGCTAGTCATTTGGAATTGATGGAATTATTTAGAAAGGAAGGCAAAATAAAAGAATTGAAAATTCCAATTGATCGTCAAACAGGTAATACCAGAAATGTAGCATTTGTTAGATATGAAAATGAGAGAGATGCTAAAAGATTAATCAATGACCGAAACAAGGTATTTGAGTATAAAAATGAAAAACTCAAATTAAAATTAGTTGATTATGCTTATGTTGAAAAGTTCTAAGAGGAATTGAGATGGGGGATCACTGAATAAATACCATAACCAACTTAATAATAATAATAATAGCCACCCTAATTAGTGTAACCAACTCTTACAAAACCAGTTGAAATCAAATAAAAAGTACCAGAAAGCAGCAGTTCTTCTGATTCTGATAGTGATTCATCGTCTGATTCATCTTCAGATTCTAGTAGAAGTAGATCTAAAAGGAAGAAGCACAAAAAGCATAGACATAAAAAGGATAGACATCACAAGAAACACCATAAAAGATGATATATATTTATTTAATAAAATATCTTCGATGTCGAATTATAAAGTAAATCTAGATATTGAACAAAAATACATCATTTTAGCACTAATTCAGTTTTATCCTATCCCAAACTAAATGGACCCTTGAATACTGAGTTGTATTTATAATACCCAGATGTGCATTACTTATACGAACATTCTAATCCATAAATTAGTATTTCATCAATTATTAGTTCTGAATGACTTTTGGAAATACTAATCTTTACACTTTTCTCCTCGACTACTAATTTTATATTAATGAGTTCAGCTTCAAGTGCTTTCTCTTCATCCTCAAAATTATCCAAATCAGCAAATACTCCTTTTGCTTCTGAATTAATTGGAGCTGCAATAATTCTATAATGATTATCTAAAGATTTCAGATTTTTAATGATCTCTTTTGTATTTTGTATCACTAAGTAACCACTTCTGATAAATATTGGCACTATTTCATTGTATGAACAATAGAGAGTGTGATCTTATTTGCCCTTCAATTCCAATCCAGTAATTAGGTCATACCAATTTGAATCTGGGAAATAGGCTACTCTTGTCACTCCTTCTTTGAGAATTGGGGCACCCATTAACTCTTCACCAATTAACAATTGAGTATCCATCACAAAATCTCTATATGTAAGATAATCCTCAGGGAATATGAAAAACAAGGGGTTTATTACTAATAGTTATTTATTATAGTATACTTGAGCCATGATTTTATTCTCGAATGAAAATAGAATAAAACCATTTCAATAATGTGTACCTAAGATGGATATTTTTTTAAGCAGATTAAACAACCTGAACTCCAAGATTGAAGAACTCTTATGGTTTTGATAAATCATTATTATGGTTTCTGAAGAAGGGGTAAAAGAAGCCCAATTAAATCCATCTACAACAGAGCTTGTCGTTTGTGTCACCCATAAAGCCACAAACATCAGCTCCAACCATTGGAATTCCGAATATTTAAAATTAAAATACTTGTCCCAGTGATAAATAAAGGAAATCCCATGATGCTCCATTATCTCCTGTCCAATGTTAAGCATATTTACCAGTACCTGGAAATGTTGATCTGGTGATTTGAAAGGGTTGTACTTTCCCCAAAGCTTTTTAAGCCTAATAAGTATAGTAAGAATCCATGATTCCATAGAGATTATGTACATCCTTATGTAAATATTGTCCATGATGTAATAAATGAGGAGGTAATGTTTTATTAGCTAATGGTATTTCTCCTGGGATGTATGGAAATATGATTTCCTTATTCAATTTGTCCTCTCTCTTAGGATGATCGCGATGATGAGTACTCCAATTGCATTCTCCTTCACAGAAATTAGCTGGCTCATTCATATCAACCCATAGTCCATCAAATTCCACTTATTCATATAAATGTTCGTGCATCTCATTCCAATATTAACTGATATTTGGATGAAAGAAATCAGGAAAATAGGAATCACCTGGCCAAACATAACCCTAAAAGCGATATCCAGTATATGGTGAATATAAAAAAACATCATATTCTGTTCCTTTTTTGTAACCTTGGTCTTTAGCCCCATATTTCACTCCAACAGCCACATCTAACAAAGGAATGTATCTCACACCTAACCCTTTTAAGTATTGGTAATCTTTCTTGGGGAAATTGTGATTATCTACAGAAAATATTTATCTATCATCCATATAGTCAAGATCAGTCCAAATGATATCAATAGGTATGTGGTTTTTTTAATATTGTTGTACAACATCTATTAATACACTGCTGTTTTTATATCCCCATCTACATTGATGAAATCCAAATCCCCAAAATGGTGGGAGCATCCAACCACCCAAATATTAATGATATTTTTTAATTGCAGTTCTTGGAGAAGAATCACCCAAAAATAATTTTATATGTATGATTCCACCGATGGTTATAAATTTCATTTTGTCCTCTTCATAAGTAACATCCATGGGAGATGAAGTTTTGTAGAACATCACATTGAATTTGCCACTTTCTTCCATACTTAATAAGACTGGGTGACTAGAATAAACATGCTTTCCTGGTCGTTTTCCATCTTCTATTATGTTTGGTTCATCTCTTGCAAATAAAGTGTAAATTCCTTCTCTGAAACGAAATCCTACTTAATTTCTTTCTCCCAACCCCCACATTTATTTATTTTGTGGAATGTGAGTGAATTCAATATATGTTTCACTAAAGATTAAATCGGTTATTTGAAAAATGGTAGCATCATCTCTTTGTATTTGTATCGCAATAGGATTTTCTTGTACTTTGACGTCATAATCATAATGGTCGAATTATTAAGGATCCTTCACATCATTATAGTTGAACGGCTATTATAAGTGAATTCTATTACAGGATCTGATGGTATTCTAAAGTGTTTATTTGCCTCATCATAGATTTGAATATCAACTTAATCAATGTTTTCTTATCTAATTTCTAAAATGAGATTTTATTCTAAATTTATTTTATGTCCTGCTCTGGATACTGAAGTCTCACTTGTATGAAGTTTAAATTATTTAAAAGCTGCAGTATTTTTAACTTATGTAGCTGCATAACGCGTGTATACTGCAACTTATAAATTTAACAAAATGATGATTAACATCAATTATTATTATTTATTTAATTAAATGTCAGAATAATAGTCATTAACATTCTGTGATTGTGGAGATCACAATTGTGATACTCATCACCATCATAATCATCATGATCATAATCACCCTCATCATGATCATGATCATTGTGAACACGATCACGATCACCATGATCACGATCATGATCATGCAGATCATTTTGAACCTGAACAAGAATAAAGTTAAGATACTTAATTTATAAAATTCATATTTGGAAGTTCAGATTATAAATAAGCTATAATCATAGCATTCTTGTATATTGCCCTTGCTGTTTAAGCCTTTTATTCAGGATTAACAAGTTCAAGTGTTCATTTGACAGAAGAGAGCTTTGATTGCATATTAAACTCAATAGTAATTGTGTTTGCCATCTATTGCGGTATCAAAGCAAAAACATTTCAGCCAACCAAAACATATCCATTTGCAATGTAAAGATTAGAATATTTATCCTCTTTTACATTATGCATTCATGTATCAATATTGACTATGTTCCAAATATCAAGAAATGCACACGAAATCCTAGAGGATCTTCACGTCATTAATCATCCAACTGATGAACAATAATAAAATTAAAACAATGAATTGTACTATGCCTCATTGAGAATAGCCTTGTCATTCGCAGGAATCTTCTTGTTTGTTGAATACATCCAACCAAATTTTATTACTGACAAGGAGTAACTTCAATAGTTTGTAAGCAACTACAAAGATTTAATTGGTTCAAATCCATCCAAATATTATTACACCCATTATTTGAATATGCATGCCATTACTATGCTATTCTTATGCGAATTACTCTTCAACATAGGCACATTTCTAGAATGCATGCTTGATAATTCTTTATCTTATGCAGCCATAGGTACAATTATTGCAATGACCAACACAATCATTATTATTGTATATCATATTTATTTAAGATTAGATTCAATTATCTCCATTGGTTCAAACCTCTATTTAGGCATTGCTTTTGGCAACTAATGAAAAATTCACAGGGATACGATAATTGCTATAAGAATTCAATAGTGAAGTATACATTTGGAATCACGGGGCTGACCATAATGCCATCATTTTGGCAGAAGGTTCAAAAAAGAGAGAAACCAGACAAAAAATAAAGGAAATAGTCAATAATAAATTTAAAAATTGTTTTGTGAATATTGCTTGATTATTAATTGTAAAAATCTCCATTCATCATTCTTATTCAAAATAATACTTCAACCAAATCAACTCAAAAAAACGATATATATTATAAACAAAAAAATTTTTCCGATACCGGGGATTGAACCCGGGTCCCCAGGGTGAAAACCTGATATCCTAACCACTAGACTATACCGGAAATGTTAATATTATCTATTGTCGGTACAATTTATACAGAGCAATAAAATCAATATTCTTTTTACACATTCATTTCCCAGATATCCCCATTTTTAATCTATCTATTGTTTACTATTTATATGACATTTTCTTCTATATTTTTTACTCATCCTCGGTAAAAGAATATAAGAGGAATCAAATGAAATAGAAAATCCTAAAAAATCTGTTCTTTATTTAATTTGGTAACCTATTAATAAATTTTTTTAGTAAAACTTACATATGATTTGTTTAATTGGGTTCTTCTAAGAATTGATTTAATTTAATAGAGTATAGTTAACCACATCTATATATTGTTAACGTGTTATTTAAAAAAATTAATTCTCTTTAAAATTAAGAAGAAACTCTATTTACTTAAATATCTATATTTTTTTTATATATCTGAGTTGGTGATGATAATTACTTTACGTTCTTCTTGATTTATCAATTGCTTACATAGTTTAATCAATATAGTAGTCAAAGCTTTTTGCCTTTTCATCTTCATTCTAAAACATTACTGAAATAATTAGAAAGGAACTTAACTTTTATTTTGACTAGTTTATAAATCCAATTCATTAAATATTTTTAATTTAAATATAATAGCTTTGTGGTATCTTCCAATTGTTCATTATCATAAGATAAGCAAGAGAAATTTAAATGAAATTTCATACTACAATATAAAATAGCTTTAAAGAATAATTTAAGTCAAAAAAATAGGTTGTATTAAATGATAATCTTTAGATTTACAAATAAATAATTTAAAATTAAGAATTATTTCTCTAATTCTAAAATAAATATTTTATTTAAGATTGCAATTTACCCATGGAAGACAAGATAACTTCGATTGTTACAGATGATAGAATAGATGAAATCCTACATCGAAATTCAACTAAAGAAGAGCTTCATCTAATTCTAGATTATATCATTATGGACTATAAAAAATTCTCAATGACAGATAAAATACTGCTGCAATCTCAAAAGATGCAAAAACTAACATTAGAGGAATGTGTGGATAATCGTTTTGTGTATTTGTTTGTTCCTGGAGTGAAAAATTCGATGGATTCCACTTCTCAAAAAGAAGTCAGATATACCTATGAGCCTAAAGATGGGAAGATTTGTAAAGAAAAGTATAGGAATGGACGCAAAACTGAATCCACAGAAATCACATTTGAACAAATAAAGAAAATGCTGTCATCTTTCAATTAAAGCACAGGGGCGTTTTTGTCAAGCAAACCTAATTTTGCAGAGAGCAGATTTATTGCTCCTTTACTCCCATAAGAAGAGGTGGCAAAGAGGGCAAAGGTTCAAGTAAAGGGAGGTCAAATGTAGTTTGCTTAATTGCCAAGAAAGAATAAGCCAGCTTTTAAGAATTATACTGCTGAAGAAATTTCAAAACACAATACACCTGGAGATGTTTGGACAGTTTTAAATGGAAAGGTGTATGACATTTCTATATATGTGGATTATCATCCTGGAGGAGCAGAAAAATTGATGTTGGGAGCAGGAAAAGACTGTACAAAATTGTTTAACCAATTCCATCCTTGGGTCAATGGACATGCTTTTTTGGAGCAGGATTATATTGGCAATCTTAAGCATTGATAATTAATATATATTATTGCCTAGAAGACTTATTAATAGTGATTGTCATAAGAAAACGGTTATTGTTATTGTTCTAGTTCGGTCAATTAATAATTTATGGATAAAGCATATGCCCATATCTAGTGTGGTCTTATTCTGTAATTGGATTCATATTTTTATTTATCAAGTAAAATAACTCAGCTTAATTCTTTCTAAATAATAATAAAATTATTGCTGCTAAATAATTTTGTAATTATTTTGTTATATTATATATTAATGAATAGAAGAGGGTACAAGTTCTTAGTCGAAGCCACCATATTGAATGTTTAATTATTAGTACATTTTCCTTGCAAGGTTCAGGTTGTCATTAAAAAAGGTATTCCATTATTTTTAGTTATTTCATAGGTTCTTAGAAGTTTGAAACCCAGCAGATCTATGAATTACAGTAAGGTGTGGCTGTAATCAATGAAAATCTGCAATTTAATATAAATGCTACTCTAACACAAGATGGAAACATAGAAGAAAATAAAGCCTAATTAGTTGTTATATTAGTGACTGAAAAAGGACAGAAAAGCGCTGGTTTTTATAACCTTGAATTCTCCCAATATTTGAATTCATAAAACCTAGGTACAATAGATTTTTAAGATTCAATTTAGAATTTTAAGAAACATTAGCGTTAGACAAGTGTCCAGATAAAAAAGCAAAATTATTGGTTAACTTTAAGATAACTAGAATGGCTGAGCTTGAGAATGAGTATTATATACAATTTACAATAGCGTTGAAATTAATGATTAATCTTTAGATTTATCATAAGTTTCTGTTATCACTTCCGGTCAAGAATCATTTACTATTTAAAACTTATAAAAGTCCCCAGACTAGGTTTTATTAACAGAAAAAAAATTAGATGAATCTGGAATAAAATAAAAGACACCAGAAATCGAAAATTAGTTATTAATCAATAAAGATGTCAAAATTAATGAATAAAATAAATATATTTAACAACTTGAGAGTAAAATTAATGATATGGTTGAACAAGAAATCCATTAGAACATGATAAATAAATATGAATAATAATTAAAGGATTAAGATAAGAGGATTTAATCAATTAATGATGATAATACATAAATTAATTTATAATTGCAAGCATAACGACTTACAATTGAAAGGTAAAATGAAGAGCTGACTAAACTTAAATAAATTCAGCAAGTCAATTCTTAATCAAAGTCAATTAACAGACAATAATCACAGCAGAGTGACGAATAAGTGATTTAACCAGATTTATAAAAAATAAACTCAGAAAAAGAGGAATTAAAATAATTGAATGAGTCTTTGGTTCAAAAAATAGAACAAATTAATCAAGAAATTGAAGCCTTGCGACTTTAAGTCAAAGACAAAAATGAATAAATTCAGAATATGAAAAACTTAACATCCGGAACAATTTCTGCCTTGTAATAGCGAAATTTATTATTGGAGAAAGATTTAGCTCAATAAAAGGATATCAATTAAAAATATGTAGATGTAAAATTTGTGATTTTAAATTATAGTAATAGCCAATCAATGCTATTTAAAATGATAAATTAATTGAAGAATTATAATCAACTTTAAAGCTTAAATAATAAGAGTTAGACAATTTACAATAAAAATATGAGTCAGAATTGGCCAAAAAGGATGAGATAGTCCAAAGTTTACAATAGAAGATGGATGAATCCTTTAGGAAGGATGCTGAATCTAATAGATTAAGCCATGAATCAAAGACTCAAATTATTTCCTCCGAGAAATAGATAGATGAAATAAATGTTAGATCTAAATCAGAATAATAAATAAATAGATTGAAAAACCAAATTTAAATATGGTAATCCAAATATGAGAGTAATCAAAAAGCCCTAAGTGATTACAATAGCGAAATCTAATACTTATAGAGATCAGTTGAGGATGTGCCAAACTTCTTAGAGGATCAAAAGGAACTTGTTGAGCCTCTCTTATTGTTAAGAAGAGCCATTCAAAGAAAACTGCAGAATTATAATCTTACTCAATAACACTTTGAGTCAAGAGTTTAATAATTAGAATAAGAATTAGAAGTTTCCTAATATAAATTGAAATTGGAACAAAGTTAATAAGTAAAATATTATTTATATGGAGTCCTCTGATCCCCAATTTCAATCGCAAACTTACACCAAAAACGATGAATTTGCTAAACTTAAAGAAACTATAGAACAGTATGAATTATTTCATAAATATCATAGAAAAAATGAGTAATTGAGAATTCTACAATTACAAATAGATCAATAAAAATAATAGGAATCTGAAACTTTAAAGTCATCTGAAGAGGCTAAAGCCCAACTTGCTAGTATGAGAACGAACTTTGCAAAATGTAAACAGTAATTAGCAGAGTCTATGTAGGAAAAGGTTTTCTTATAAGCCAAGTTAGCTGAGTAAACAAAAGCCTTAAAAGAAAAAAATCAAGAAATTCAAAAGGAGCAGGATCTTATTTCTGAGCTTGAACAATATAATATCTAAATGGAAGAAGCACTATCACAAACTCTTGATTAGTATAAGTTATAAAACACATAAATGAAATAAGCTTATGAGAAAGAAAAAAAACTCAGATCTGAACTTCAAGTGTAACTTAAAACTTTGAAGGAGGAATACGCAAAAGCTTCCAAAGGTGAGTTGCCTAAAGCTAAAGATGCTGAAGAAAAACAATAATAATAATAATGTAATTGTAAAGAAAAGATTTAAACATATGAGCAAAAAATAGCAGAATTAGAATTTTAATTATCAGATCTATAATTATAGAGATTGGATAAAGCAATTTAAAGAAACAGTATTGCTTAAATCAGGACCAGTTTACTAGTAAGTCATAGAGAATCTTTGGCTTTCTAATAAATGGAGGATTTAAATACCAATAGTAATAAAGGGAATGAAACCACTAAAACTAAAGAGTTAGAAGATTAAAATGTTAATTTAACAGATGAGCGATTCAAAATATCAAAAGAGTATCAGACAATTTTGGAAAGGGCTTTGTAAACCAACACCCAAATAGAGAATAAATATAAAAATTAAGTAAAGGAGCTAGAAGATAAGATTGAAATATAGGCGTAATCGTTAGTCAAAATGAAATTAGACATGGCTGACCTGTATAGTGCAGCTATTGATATTGGTGGTGCTATGTTGGTGGATAAGTTGCAGATTGCCCTAGGGATCAGAGAATGAATAATTATATATATTTAAATAAATAAGCAATTTTCTTATGGATAATTCTGATGGGAAAAAACAACAACGAATAAAAATCAGTTACTTTCATTTTAAATAAAAAATTTAAATTACGATATAAATTGCTATACTTAATGAAGGATAATTAATTTAATAAATAATATTATTAAAATGCATATCTCAAATAAATAATAATAAGATTCGTCAATTTACGAAGTTCAAAAACTTGAGGCCTCTTTAAAATTCGATCATAGATAGAGTGCTGTACCTGAGAACCCTTGCTACAACTTTCGTTTTAGAATTTTCATTTTTTTCAGTTATATTGTGATTACCCAAATCGGCGAGATTTTGGGTACCCCTCAGGATGACATCAAAGGCATATTTGATATAGGCCACGACTTCACAGATGGCATCAATCAATTATATCATTCTCATACATGGTACATATTCAATTTAAATTTAGGTTTGCTTCTCTAATGCAAGTCATCTCTGGCCTCATTTTAGACTTTGCATTTTTCTATGTCAGTCTCTACTGGGTATTTTATGTGAGAAATTTCAGACTATTTGCTGCTTTAATCATATTCTATGGAATAAGGGCAATTCATTTGAATATTTTTAAACTACAGTTTGCTGATAATTACTACTGGAAGGATCCAGGAGTCCCCACATTTGTTGTAAAATACGGGAATTATTCAGATTTCTTTTACTCTGTAAGAATTTATTCATAAATTTTAGGGTCATGTGGGATTCTTGGTTATCTGTGCTTTGGAAATGAGGAAATTGGGTAAGAGGTGGTTTGCCTTGTTCTTTTTTGTTTCTTCTTTCTTTCAGGCTTTTATTGTTATATCTTTTAGAATTCATTATACAATTGATGTAATATAAATAAAAATTATTATAGGTGCCCGCAGGATATATTTACGCGCATTACTTTTATAACTTGGTTTGCTATTGGGAAGTAAGAATTGACCATACTTTATATTGGATATCTACTAAATGTTCGAGTGTTAAGATTTCCTAGTCTTCTACACTTTAAACTAAAATCCCTGATTTAGATACAGAAAAGCATTGAATTATAATCACTTATTTTAATATTTTAAATATGTTCAACGAGAATGACAATATTGAGGCAATCGACGTAATAAACTTCGATGAATATGCTAGCAATGTTCCTTATTTTCTTTATTAGTAGGCTGTTACTCCAAAAATTTAAATTGAAGATCAGCGTCCATCAAGTCCTCCAAAAATAATTAAGAATTAATAGTTTCATAAAAATCTAGGCCAAAATCAAGCATTCTATCAAGAGGATAAAAAATTTGACATCAATTAGGTAATTAAGTTGTGACTAACAATTTTAGATTAAAGTTGAAAATACTATTCGCTTCAATTAGGAAAATCAGATTTAGCCCAAATAAGAAGAAAGTGAAGATGATGACTATGGTTCAGTCATTTAGTTCCAAGAAATAGCAGAAAAGGAAGATGAAGAAAATATTCATTATTAAGAAAATAATGATTTAAACCAATAAAATCGATAATCTCCATAAGAGGATCAATAATAAATACATGCTGAAGAGAGCCCAAAGAAAATTGATTAAGTAGGACCTTCTCTTCAAAATTCAGTAATCTCAAATGCCTCAGTAGTTTCAGCTTATCCATTGGTCAATAAAACTTTAGAATTCTATTGCACTAAGGAATTTCTAGCTTCCCCTTTAAATGAAAAGGGAATAGTTTAGTGTACTCTGATAATTAATACATCCGGTTTAAACAAATTGAAACCTAAATTTTATTTGGAGAAAAATGGCAAAATCTTTTTGGCAGCAAAGAAATCATCTCATAAATTTATTATTAGCATGAACAAGGATAAAATTTAGAGAAAATCATCCAATTTTATTGGACAAATTAGTTGTAAGAAGAAGTATGATTATTTCTTTTATGATAATGGCAATAATCCAAAAAGAAACAAATTACCTGTACGAAATTCCATAGGTTAACTGAAATTCATCACTTCCTCAAAACCCACAGAACCTAGACAATAGGAAGTATATTTACATTAATAATATTTAAGTTTAGACTCCCTTAAGATGATTCTCATATTTTTATGAACAGAAAACCAAAGTGGAATGAAAAAACAAAGAGCTTCACTTTGAATTTCTATGATAGAGTCAAAGTTTCATCAATAAAAAACTTTTAATTAATTTAAATCAATGAATAACCTGAATAGATCTATGTCTAATTGGGAAAAGAAAATGATGGGAAATTCAATTTAGATTTTTAAAGTCCTTTCTCGCCTTTATAAGCATTTATGGTGGCATTAGCTAATTATGATAAAAAGATTGAGTACTGATTGATATAAATAAGATTAATTAAATTTAATTAGTATAAGCAGAAATGAATAAAAGTTATTAAAAATAATCTTATTTGTATACTCTTCACTTTTTGGCATATTTTACTTTTAATTGACACTCTGGAGTGATTTTGAAGTTACTCAAACCCTTCAATGCAACTGTAGCTTGATCATCATTCTAATATTCAACAAATGCCAAGCCTCTAGCAGGTATCAACTTAATGAGTGAATAACCAGGGTATTACCTAAATAACTCGGATAACATGATCTCGGTAACAAAGGGAGGCAATGATTCTATCAACAAGACATTATTGATTTCTCCCTAATTTAAATTGCTACTATTTTGTATTTTCTCTTCAAACTTTTTCTATTTCTTTTCTTTCATCAATTCATTTGGCAAAGTGGGTTACAATTCCTTGTGTTGCTTTTGCTTATAATAAAATTTGCCCTCGATCCTATCGAAAATAACACTCTTCTTGTATGCAAATTCAATAATCTAAAATATCAGGATTAGATACCAATGGTTTATCGTAAACAATCATACCTGATAAAGCTGATTTAGCATTGGTAGCATAAGTAATGTTTTAAAATACTATAAAGGCTTATCCTCTTAATTTCTGTGTTTTCTTCATGACCATTTAAAGGACTTCTCCGAATTATGAAAAGAGTATGTACAACACAAATTTCAAGTCCTCTAGTTTTATTTTATCATTCAATCCAGTTACATAAAGAGTTTCTTTGGGTGCTGAATCCTGAATAATTTGATTCGCTGGATGAAGATAAGGTTAATTCATAAATTAAAATATATATATAAATTATTAATTAAATGAATAAGCAATCTATTCTTCATAAGTATCATCCTAAAATTAGGTAAGAAATGATAATATTTCTTCATCTTTAAATTAATAAAGGAAGAAGCATTAATAAATTAATAATATAATAATTTTTTAAGTATATTATTTAATATCTCAATAATTTGAGTCCCAATTAGAATCTCTAGCTTTCTCCTTCTTGTAGACAACCCCAACTGTATTTATTTCTTTGGATGCTAATTTTCCAGTAGCAAGAGCACTCTGAATTTCCTTATCTTAAACCATTCTAGTTTTCTTTGGAATGAAAGGCGGTTTAAGCTCTTTGTCCATTAGTTTATCCTAAAAAATTCATATTTTGATTTTACCCAATCGAATTTGTCGAACCAATTATTTGCCTTTAATGCAGCATAGCTTCCCCCTAATCGAACTTCTGGGGTTTTAGACAATAATTATTCTATTAATTTTTTGGCTTTCTTATCTTTCATGAAAAGTGGAAAATTTAAAGTTTTCTTTTAAATTTCTTCATAAATTTCATATGGATCATCTGCATCTTCAGCATAGGGGACACCTCCACACATAAACTCGTATAAACAAACACCGATTGACCATAAATCAACAGTAAAAGTGTATCCTTTGCCTGTAATGATTTCAGGTGCCATATAATGAGGAGTTCCTATAATTGTGTATGTTCTGATAGACTTTTGATTCAAGAATTTGGCAGTACCCATATCAATCATCCTCAAGTAACCCTAGATCAAGTAATATTATACTTTCTCATCGACCATAATGTTTTCAGGTTTGATATCTCTATAAATGATTTGTAATTTATGTAAATATTCTACACAAATCAATAAGGATCCTATATAAAATTAAGAGTCCGTCACAGTCAATAGTCCAATCTCCCTAATCACATCGAATAATTCCATGCCCTTTATGAATTCAATCAGAAAGTAGATGTAATTTTAATCCTTCATGCTTTTGTAGAATTGCATTAAAAAGGGAAAATTAATTGTCTGAAGCACTTATTTCTCTTACTAAAATAAAAATATAGAGGAATACTGCTAGATGTCTCTCTAAATGTTATTCCACAATTTGGGCTTTACTTATGCACTTTAATGCGTACATTTTGTCCTCTTAAGAGGTCCTTACCAAATATACATTACCAAATTAACCTTGTCCCAACTTCTTGATACAAATAAGCTTATCCAATGTGAGGTTGGAATAATCCTTTTTTTATAGAGCACTAGGATGGTTGAGATATTTTTGTTCATGAGAATTCTCATTTTTTTGAATCATTTGTTCAACACTCCCTCCTATAATTTGCATAAAGGTCTTGATTTCAAACTCTGCAATGATGGCTTCCTCTGTTATGACTTGTAAACACTCTGCCATTTTATTATCTAGAGTAGACGACTTCAAGTATTGATCACCAAAAACTTTGCCTTTATCGAATACATATTTGTTTGATGGAATCTAAATATCTTATAGTTACGAAATAATTTGTTACTGTCGCTATTTCACCCTCTAAAACTATATAAACCTTTAGACATGGTTGTCCAACCTTTACAATTATTTCATTCTTCTCATAATGCACTTATCTGACAGTCTAGATGATCTTCTCGATTTGAATTGATGTTAATTTCCCTAAAATTGGATTCTATTACAATGCCCACTTCTAAGTGTTTATATATTTAACTGTTTAGATCTTTTACCCTAATATCTTTTAGATATCATCTTTAGATAATGACAGACATCTAACTTCTTCATCAACTGCCTTGACAGTTGCAGCTCGCTAACAACTTTAGTATAATGCAGCTTCTCCAAATGATTCTCCTGCATTCATCTAAGTCACTTCCTTGTCTCCTTTTATAATTGACACCTTCCCTTTTTTTATGATATAAAATGAATTGGCCACATCCCCCTCTGATACTATTATTTCTCCCTTTTTGAATAACAAGGTAATAAGAACATTGCATATAGCATCTCTTTGTTCTTCGGTTAAAAAGGCTATTAAATCTAATTATAGAAATACAAAAAAACTCCACTTTTTTCATGAATTCACGATTTTCATCATAATTCCTCTGATTTTACTGCTCTACTACCTTTCTGAAGGTGTTTCTATCTATTGCCCAAAAAGCACAGTCTAACCATAATTAACCTAAATGCCATACCTCCAACTGCCTTAACACTTGCACTTCGAGGTGCATTATATAGCATGGCTAACTCACCGAAGGCTTCTCCGCCCTTTAAAGTTTTCTTCAATTCTCCATTGATGATAATTTAACACTGGCCCCTTTCAATAAGGAAGTAGGAAGTAGCTTTATCTCCTTACTTGAAAACAAATTAACCATCTGGAACAGTACAATAGAACATCTATTCCACTACATATTCTATGTCACTTTGAGGCACTGACTTAAATATGAAATGATCATTAAAGGCATTTAGCATTAATTGATAGTCGAAAGGGGATTTTCGTTTCTCAACTTTAAGAATGTTTTCAAATATTTCTACAGTATCTGACACCGCATTGATCTTGGCTTGCTTCTTTCTGTCTCCTCTTTTCAGCTAAAATGCTATTATACATAGTTACTTCTATTTATTATAGATTTTATGGTTAATCATCTTCCTCACCTTCATCTTCATTCTATTTTTGAGTTGTCTTTTTTGAAATGGTTGTACCATTCTATTGAGGAATGGTGATTGAGTCTCCTTTCTTGTTTGTACCTTCCACTTTTCCTGAATTCAGTTCTAAATTATCATTTGTAAATTATTAACAACGGCAGGCATTACCCATTATTTTGAAATAAATTAAATATATATTGTATGTTAGTATAGTATAGTCAAATTTATAACTATAATTAACCAATTACAGTTTCCTAATTTAGATATCTTGTATAATATAAAAATCTTATATTCTTGATTCAAAATATCTCTTTTAAAATATAAGGTTAGTCTAACTGCAAATTCATCTATATGGGACGACCACAAATAATTGGATTTTCTTTGAAAGACAATAGACAATTGGATCATTTTACCTTCATTTGACTACTTTCTTACTTCAATCTTAGTTTGGAAAATTACTATATAAAATTTTATTATCCATTTTTAAATTTACTTATTCTGATTGAACTTATGTATGTTTATAGATAAATTAAGTTAATTATAAATTATCAGAATAAATTTAATTAATAAAATAGTGTGAGTGCATTTTATCCAATATTATTAATTTTGTATTAATTAATGAAATTTTTTAATTTTATATGAAAGGGTAATAGGAGATAAATAAAATTAATGCAAAACAAAAATTATGTTATATATCTAAAAATAGAATTATATTCTGCTTCACATCATGGCTACACTGGGTCGGTACTTGGAGGAACATAGATTAAACAAGAGACACATTGTTTATTGATTGAATCCCAAATGTAATTATAGAAGGAGTTGACTAGACAATTGGAAAAATCAAGGTGAGAGATATCAGGGGCTTCTTCACACTTGATTTCGCTCCATTTACAGAGCAGAGGATCATCCTCAATGAAATTTTATCTTTGTAATACACAAGTACTCTCAGAAGTGTAATCCGAACATGATATGACGGTACATTTGTTGTCCTTCCATTGACATCCAAGTCCCTCTCCAAATATTATACACAAATCTTCATCGAACAATTTGTCGCAATACCTTATATCCACGACATTACAACTGTTATTATTCCAGTAACATAAACTCCATTGACTCTAAAATCCTGTGCAATCTTCTTCAACATCTCCACAAAGTTGCACTTCGTAGTCTTAACACATGTTCGGTTCATCCGAAGGCTCACAAAAAAGATTTAAATTTTGATCACCTATTTTGTAGCAATCATAAGAATCGTTCATGTAGTAATTAGCACATTTAGTGAACTTCTCGCATTTTGATACATTCCATGAGCAGGATGCAACTCTATTACACTTTTCTTTATCATAGTATTCAGTGCATTCCCTTGATTAGCAACCTTCAGTTCTCCAGATGCAGTTAGTTTGCTCTAAACAACTTGTGTCTGAACCAAATTTAGAGCAGGAACACTAAGTGTTGTAAGAGACTTTCAACGAGTGCCCTAAAATAAAAATACAAAATAGAACAAAAGGACTCATGTATAAATTAAAAATCAAAAATTCTAATATATTTTTAGTTTATTGCAGGTCAAAATACACTATATAATCAATAAACAATATAATTTGTAATTGTATATGAAGGAGGATTGGGAACAGACAGGAATTTATTTAGAATGCTTAAATAAATCATGTAATTTGAAATCCGGTTTCAGGTTATAATTCAAAAACGAATTATAAAAATAACTTATAACGTATAATAGAGTATCATCAAAAAACATTAACTTATATTACAGATTTGAGAGCTAAATTTGAATCAATCATAGAATGACCATTAATATTAATAGTTTAAGAGCACTATAGGTCGATCAGGAAATCAAACGATGTAAAATAACATAATTTTTCATAAATAAAAACTAAAATTTCATTATAATCAACCTGATTGCTGTTTGTTTCTCAGCTTCAAGTTAGTTGCTTCTATAGATTTCGAGAAATAAAGAGATATATAAAGTAAAATTTTTAGGTTCAAGTATTAATTCTCAACCAAATATTTTCAAAAATCATTAATATTTTAGGCTAACCCATTAATTTCTTTTAAACTCCTTTGATTTCCACACTTAGACTATAAGATTTTGTACTTAATATACTTTCATCTATATTTATTGCTCTCCTTAAATAATGTGCTTATTCATCATCTTTTCCATTATGTGCTGAGATATGAAAACCCTTCAATTAAATTACTTAATTCTTGTATCAGTTATTTAATTGGCAAACCTTTTGATTAGTTTGAATTACCATCTATCCTCCAATATATATAATTTTTGATAAATATATTTATTAATGGTTTACGGCAGATTGATTTACAACAATGTAAAGGATTACACTCCTTAATGGTTTAAGACTATTCCTTATTAATAAACAGTCAAACCAAGTTTTGGTATGATTTAATAAAATATCAATCTCAAGTCAGAAAACCATAAGTAGTATCTAGATTGAATGCTGATCCAAAAGTGAAGGCCCTCTGGAGATTCTTAGGAAGAAATGTTGCTGATAATCCTTGGGCTTGGTAAGTCTACATTTTCGCTAATTCCTTTGTCATTTTTGCATTGTGCTATTATCCTTGGCTCTGGGTTTATCAATTCAACAACAAGAAAGTAAGAATTCCTTATCTAACATTCAGCGAACTATTGATTATGCTCTACAATAAGAGAAAGAATTCAAAGCAAAATAAGCTGCTGCTGAAGAATGAGTTATTATTACACAAAATACAAATTCATAATTATTATTTTAGGCTACTATTCCTATTATTTGCTATTTCAAACTTGTTCTTTATAATATTGATAATATACTATTAATAATCATAAAATTGACATTATAAATGTTAGTCTACTCACATTATTGCAATACGACTCCAAACTCCTTTCTACATTCAATACTTCAAATCTACTTCGTTGTCTTTGTTCTCTCTCAACAATGCAACCATTTTCTAAGATTGATAAGTCAATTCGTCATTCAAAGTATAACTTATAAAGGTGTTTCTCAAACCAGGAACTTAGTAATATCGTATGAACTTATTGGAAAATCAATCATTTTTTGTGAATTATCAAATAATCCATTCTAAACTGTTTATATCTATAACATGGCATAAAAATGCATAAAAAATATTGAATAAAGAAGTGCGTATAACTGCTAATCAAACCAGACAATGCTCCCTTAGTTTTCAACATTATTTTATTAGAAAGCACAGAAACTTCTTAAAACACCTTTTGAAGATTGTCTAAAACCTATTATTAACAACTCGGATTAACTATAATTTAGCAAATTGCAAATCCATTCTCATAGAGTATTACATCTTTTTAATTTAAAGATACATATTATGTTTGATCAATTAATTGTATTAAAACAAATTACACAGGTGGTCCTGTAAGAATGATACAAACACATTAAATTCATCTGATACATTATAGTCAAATTTTGATTAAACTAAGATATAAGGTAGTTGGGCAACAAAAAAATTGTAAATTAAAAAATAGTAAAATAATTTCTTCTTCTAATAAATATTGGAAAATAATAATAATATCTTATGAACTCTATCTTTAACAAATCCACTTAAAGTCTAGTATGATCAAATCCTGGTAATTTTTCTGAGAAATGTAAAGATATTGCTTTGATATCAATATTATATTTCAATATCTAGAATGGCTTATAAGGCAAATCAATCAAATGAAAATATAATATATTTGACTCTTTAATCTAATTTGATTCCAAATTTATTTAAAATTTGGATTCTTGTATCAGTATTCATGATCCTTCTTTTCTTTGAGAATTATTAGTCTATCTGGTATAAAACTTTATGAATTTCTTTCATGAATGGCCAAAAAATGATTATTTGCCCAATTTATTGAATACCACCTTGTTTGCATTAATAGATAAGTTGAACCTCTTGTGTTCGAATTTCCTTTGATTATTCCTCTAATGGGGCTTAAGTTATAAATGTATTAACTGTATTTAAATCTATGCTGAATTTATATCCCTCTTTATAAGAAACGACATCATATCCACTTAGATCTATAAATTTATTTTCATTAGCCATCTAAATTTCGATTGAAGCTCCTCCAACTCCAAAATTCTTAATTTTCACATTTTCTCCAGGTGAAATTTAATAGACAATGGTTCTTTCTACAAGTTTAATTTTAGCACATATTTTTAGAGATCAAGATCTGATTTTTGATTATAATAAAGAAAATTATCAATAAAAGTAAAGGTATTGTAGACATTTTCTAGAACCAAATGAATCTTATCAGAACGTATAATTAAGAACCTTAAACTTAATTGTTCAATTATACATCCATATATATCATGTGTTGAATTAGGCAAGAACTCCTTATATAAGGATTGAAACTTCTCTTCATTTTAAATTTAAATATGACTAATACTTCAATATCTAGTATTATATCTTCGAAATGTTTAGGAATCAAATCAGCTATTATTTTACCACTAAAAACCAGTTCATCATCATCTTTAATAAGTTCTTTATCTAAATTGCTGCTCTCATTAAATAGATTATAAACTCTTTCTTTCATTTTTTCCCTTGTATAAATTATAAACTGGATGACCTTCTTTAGAATCTTTACTGAAGTATGTGTAATTAGGAATATTTTGATAGCAATCTAATAATTTAAAGTATCTATGCTTCATAGTTTCTTCCCTTTTCAATGATTAAATTTAGACTAATTAAGTGTACAATTATTCTGGATCAAACAAATGGGCAACTGCCAAATCTTTCTCTTTTTGTAGTTCCCTTCTTGCTAAAACTTATCTTCTCATCACATTATCCGAATCTAATCTTTCTTCTTATGATTGAATTTCATGAAAATGTGTATTAGTGCCAAGCTTATTATCTAAATTCTTCATTCTGATTCTTTCCAAATCACTTATTTCTGTTTACTTTGAAATGAACTGCTCGATTTTTTATTTCACATTAAATAGTTGTTTCATTGTTTAATGAGGAATTATCTATTTTTCTTCTTCATCTTCCTTAAGAATTCTGTTTTTCAATTTAGTGATGAAAGCATCTTTTCTATTAAATAAGTTAATGGCTCTTCGAATTTAAACATTAAATAACAAATTAAAATATTAAAACTCTTGTTAAATTATCCTCTTAATCAGTATTTCACTTAAATTTTAATTTATTTTCTAATGTAATGATATCAATAATAATGACTGTATTTATATGTATATGTATTCTTAGATATTTATATAATTTAAACTTCTATCATAAGAGCTTTAGTAGTTCTAATAATTCCTTAGCTTCGGCTGTAATTTCCAATTATTGATTTATTGAATCTACAATATGATAATCATATATACGTGTGATATTGTTTAATAAGCTGTTAATCTATTTGTCACTCTACAACTCATAAACAATCTATTTGATAGCAGAATAAACATGTTAGTCATAATTTCCTATAAAATACAACCCTAAGTCTGTTGACATTGCCAGAATTATTTAATTAAATACACTCTCATCGAAAATTTCATTCTATCTTTATTTAATGTATTCCTTGCAATGGTGTTTAATAAACAAAAGCAGATTTCTATCATTTTTTTTATCCAAATGCACCTTTAAATTGAAAGCATCAAAAAATTAATGTTGCGATAATACATTTAAAGACTTCTTTGTGTATAATTCCATTGTTTCTTTCAAAGCTTTCTGTTACTCCTTTGGTAAAAATAGAATTGCTTCTCCCAAAGCCACTTTGTTTAAAAATACTCTTCCAGACTTTGATAATCCAAAATTAATCTAACCATTCACAACACTTGGATGATTAGGATCAGCAAATAGGTTTTATGGAAGTTGAATATTGTACTTTTTACATGTGATTACAACTAGGTTCTCAACAAGCAATCTATAACCAAATAAACAATTATCCACTAATACTTTTGTATTTACTTCATGGCATTCTTATTATATTTTCTATAATGATCTCTAAGTAATCAGAAGACCAAGAGCCATATCTTCAATCTTTTTTTGAATCTCCTAAATTACCTAACTGGATGCAGATTTCTTGCTTTCAAATAGTTCAATCTTAATTTGCTCATATAAGACAGACAATCTTGGCTATAAGAACTAGAATAATTCATCAATGCAATCATTATACTCAACTAATTTCTTTTAAGTGAGTAAATCAGTGATTTCTTTATTAGTAAATAATTCCTGTTTATTTTACTACTTCTTTTTTTGTGGCTATTATTATTTTTTGTTTTTCTTGCTTGCAAACCCTCCTGCTGAAGCCTATATATCTTGAGGAGTATCATCTTGGTTTTGCTGCTATTCAATAAGTTTCTGAGGATTCTAATATATTGATTCAATTATTTTGTCCTTGAATGCCAATGCCAAATTGTCTAGAAATGGTTTATGATATATCATAAAATTGGCATACTCGCAATTATTCAATTACATCAATGAGAAGAGAGTCTCAATATCTTAATCACTTAAAATGACTGGCAATATCTCCTACAGATTTGTGTGGCCTTCATTCAACAGTAACTCTTAGATTTAATCCTATTTTGAAAGAAGAGCATCTCTGCTAAATCCACAAGTATCCAAGAATATCACATTATCTTTGAACATCTACTTCAAATATTCCTTTGGTTTTTAGATGAAGAACTGTTAATGAAGTTTGTCATATTCAACATAAGAGTTTTGATCAAAGAACGATTTCACTTGAGCCTCTTGATTTTGAAGAAATCTCGAACTCACATACTATCCTGAAAATATCTTCCCATCTATTTATTTGGTTATCAACAATTATTCACAAATCTTTTAGGAGTTTTGAATTTCTAAATCTTTATTCAATTTTAAGAATGACACAGGACTCAGAGTTGCTCTTAAAATTCCGCAAAGTTTTGCTGTCATTATCTCTTGATAAGTCACTGTTGTTAATTTGTCTTCATTGCATACTCCTTATATGACTGCCCCTACTTGTTTAAGGATATACTTTGTTACAAACTACATAGGGAGTGCATACTTCTGCATGACTATGATACAATTTAAAATTCCTACTTTCTTATAATGAAATAATTGACTTTTACTAGAGATCTTCGTTGATCTCCTCGCAAACATTTAGAATATAATCGTGAGACATCATTTCATCCTGCATTCTGACAACATCCTGTTATCAATATTTAATATTAAAATTACCCAACCATTGCTATCCTTTTCTATTTATCCTTCGATCTTGTCAAACCCTATACCCAATATTTCAGGCAATTGGTTCACAGCCACTCTCTTGTTTGATAAAATTAGTTGATGAATCTCTTTTGACAACTAATTTGGAGTAACCAAACTTTGACCATCTGTAGAATGATAAACCTTCAAATCATATTCTTTAACTAGTTTCTCAATCAAATCAATTATGATTCTATCAGATAATCTATACTTTGTTGATGTTTCCTATATCTCTGCCAATTGTTATTAAAGAGCGAATAATTCCTCCATATATTAATATATTAATAAAACGATTTTCTATTTCTTTAATAATTATATATGAATTATATTCCAAACGAAATATTCTTAAAAATTAGAAATAATTAAATATCCTTAACAATCATCATTGATAATCTACGCTATAATTTAACGCTTTCTTTTTTTCCTCAGAAAATATTGCTAACAGTTCCAAACCCGAAATACTCATAATAGAATTAGCAATTTCACATGGTGGCAACAAATATAGCACTCCATTTCCTAATTAAGCCACCCCGATCTTCTTTTTATCTAGAAAGTAATCAATATATTCTTAGAAAGCACCATGCTATTAATGTACATATATTCAGAATACCTAAGTTTAATCCGAAGGACATAAAATGAATTTAAATGAATCATTAGCACATTTTTTAGCATCAGAGAAATTCCCCTTGTAGTTAACTTATATCTATGGACTCATCTGTATAGGAGGCTATTCATTTTAGAGAAATATTACATCTGATTCTACACAAAAGGCATCCACTCCCACCCTGTGGCTCTTACTTCTATACATAAAACCACTCCAAAAAACGTTTAAATCTTATCTTTATTAACTTTAAGAAAAGTTCAAGAATCCATCTAGAATTTCCTAATTTCCGTTTTATTAAGTTGAATCTTATTAAGGGTTGTTGGACCTAGATTTTGGCTCACTTTAAGTTGGAGTTTGATGGAAAAAGAATTTGGTTGGATCCATAAATTACTATTGTTCTATCCTCTATTCATTGTTTTATATTTGATGATGATGATGATGCATCTATTGGTATATAATTGGCTATTATTATTGTATAGGATAAGCTGGGATTTGGTAGGGCATCTGAAGTTTTTGGGGTGGGATTTGTTGAGGCATCATGACGTTATTTGTAAATTACTATTATTGTATCATTATGGGCAGTTGAGGTTAAAATTGTTGAGGTGTAGGAATTGAGACTATTCCCACTTCACATTTTGGATCTCCTAGAAGATTTGCGGCGTTTTATTGCAAGTATGTTCTCATCTGAATTGCTTGGTGAGTATCTTTAAATTAGAGGAGAGTGTAGGATTTATAATTAGAATCTTATTGATAGTAATTCCAAAGGAGAGGGCGACATTTATTATTTTAACAAATCTTTCAAAATATGATTTTTGAAACATTACTTCTAATAAAAATGCATGATCGACTTTTTTATTTGAATTCGGAGGAAAAAATATAAATAATACTGATGAAAGTTTAGATTATGATTCATTTTATAAACTAAAAAGGCTATAAAATTGTGTTTACTTATTTCCAACTATATTATGTCTTTTGATAGGATCGGAAAAATATATTTTTATTTGAGTAGAAAACTATTACTATATACTATCCAAATTTTAAAAAGCATAAATAGCTTATTCTATCTAAATTCAAATAAAAAAACGTTTATACAGTAAAAAATTTTATATAACTGTTAAATATATTATGCTTATTCGGATACAGATCAATCCTCTCTATAGAACCAAATTAAGAAAAAATCTATAATTTTCACATTGAAATACCTATCTAATTCGTGGTTCATCGTAGTTCTTCGATATACCATTAACAAATAATTCCCTCACGTATAGTTGGATTTATATTTTTGGGGATTGTTCTAATGGAATAATATGACCACTTGTAATCACTTATCTATGTTTCTCTTATGACCTCGATCTTGAACGAGATCTCTACTTAACAACCATTTATTTATCAATTTAAGGTTTGACACTCCAATCAGCTAAACCACCATCCTTTATAGCTTTTTCGGCTGATTCGTTATCAGCAAATGCAATAAATGCATAACACGATAAATTAAGTGGAAGCCCTATCATAGGATGGACTATTACCATTTGGAGTTTTCCTAATTATCCTAATGTCTATAATATGTCCATAAGTTTAAAATGCTTATTACAAATGATGAGCAGTAATGTTAAGAGGTAAATTTGACACATGAATTTTCTATTTTGCTGAAATATTAGCAGAAGGCGGTAGAACCGTTAATGCATTTTAAGAGGATTAGCTTTATAATGGAGGAGAGAGCGAATGATTAAGCATAGAAATTTAAAAATATTAATATCATTTTGATATAATTTTATAGCTTATAACCTTGACAAAATACTATCTAATCACATATCCTACAACATCCAATTGATCTAAACTCATTTTATTCCTTGTTTCCTTGCAAATCACATCCACTGAAATTACACTCTAATATACAACTTTATCATTTATAACAATTCATAATTAAACAGATTTATGCTATATGAGTAGCACGAGTATTATAAACTTCAGATTCTTTATTGATATTTTACCAATTATGGTTTTAATATTTAATATTTACTATGTTTTAATTTCTATTCATTTTCTACTCTACGCATTTGATTATCAATTTCTAAACTATTTACAGAAGTCAGAATGTATTTAGTAGATAAGTGGATAATTATGGAAAAATAAGGCAACATTTAATATTATATTCACATCTATAAAAAAAATAAATCAAATAAGTTCAATTTAGAGGTAAGTAATATCCTGTTTCTATGTATAAATTATTATTGATAATCTCAGTTATATATGAGAGAATCGCTCTTAAGTGATTAGTTTTGATTTAAAATTATAAACGAAATTTTTAGAACCATATTCCTTTCCATCTAATTGTTTTATTGCAAACGATAGAAATAAAGAAAGTAATTTAATATGCGAAGAAAATGAAATTCTTATTTTCGAGAAATTACAATTTAATTAATCTAAATAATGTTTATAAAATTAAGATATATTATTGAGAATTTATAGAAACAAAATAGCATTTACTTCTGTCATATCTTCAATATTACTTTAGATTGTCAAATTTAACTTTAGTATATTTTTAATTGAGATATTGTATCAATTATTCTGAAAATTACAAGCAATATGTGAAAAAAATGTTGAAATATCATGAAACAAGAGTATTCATGGTTTATATATTTTTCCATTAATAGTCTTTAGAACTATGATTACTTGGACTATAAAAATGATAATTATTTTTAACATATAATTTTAAATTTATAGATTTACATTCAGTGTTTAAGTGTACTCTATGAGTAATTTTAATAACCAAATTTAATTTTGCATGAAATGGCATTTTAAGTAATTGATTTCCTCAAAATCCAAAGAAAAATTTCGTTTGATTGATTTAATATCATTTTAGTATTATTGATGTAACTATTTTGGATCATATTTCCAAAACTTTTCTTTTGTTGTCCTTTGTTCTCCTTATTTTGGATACATCAAAATAGTATTTTGTAGGAGAAATTCATATGAGAAAACTTTAAATATAAATTAAATGACTGAAGAAATTGAACCTCATATTGCTAGAAAATTCGAAATCATTCAAAAATTAGGGAAAGGTGCCTACGGAATAGTTTGGAAGGCTGTGGATAAGAAGCTAAAGACAGTAAGAGTTGTTATTTACGGTTTAGGTCGTGGCTTTAAAAAAAGTATTTGATGCTTTCCATAATGCTACAGATGCTCAAAGAACATTTAGAGAAATAATGTTTTTGTAGGAGTTAAATGGACATGAAAACATAGTGAGATTGTTGAATATCATAAAGGCAGAAAACAATAAGGACATTTATTTGGTGTTTGATTATATGGAAACAGATTTGCATGCTGTGATTGTAATTATATTTATAAAATTGAATAGAGAGCAGGTATACTTGAAGAAGTTCATAAGAAATACGTTGTATATTAAATTTTGAAAGCACTAAAATACATCCATTCAGGAGAACTTATTCATAGAGACTTGAAGCCTTCAAACATTTTACTAAATTCTGAATGTCACATGAAATTAGCAGATTTTGGTTTAGCTAGAAGCATAGCAATCACTGAAGATGACAGCAGTACGATGAATTTCAAATTTAACGTTTAGCTCCTCCTGTATTGACAGAATATGTGGCTACTAGATGGTACAGAGCTCCTGAAATACTCCTAGGATCCACCAATTACACCAAGGCTGTGGACATGTGGAGTGTTGGTTGTATTTTGGGTGAGTTGATCATAGGTAAGGCAATCTTTCCAGGAACATCTACTTTAAATTAAATCGAGAGAATCATTGAATTATTAGGTAAACCAAATGATGCAGACATTGAATCACTTGAATCTCCGTTAGCTGTTAATATTTTAGCATCAGTGTCAATTCAAAAAAGAAGATCCTTCTAATAATTTTTCTCAGGAGCCCAAGAAGATTGCTTAGACTTATTAAGAAGGTTTCAATATAATTCTTATTTATCATTAGACTATTACAATTCAATCCAAAGTAGAGACTTACTGTGCATTAAGCTATAAAACATAAATACTTGAAAGAATTCTCTTCGCCTGATGAGGAGATCGAATGTTCTGAGCCTATTAGGATACCCATGAATGACAATAAGAAGTTCTCTATTAAGGAATACAGAGAGGCTCTGTATAATGATATAAACAGAAGAAAGAAGGAACAAAGAAAAAAGTGGTAGGCAAAATACTTGCAATAACTAGGGATGAATCCCGATGAACTTATTAATGGGTACTAAGTTATAAATTTATTGTTAGGCTTCATTAAGAGCAATCGGAAATTATTCCTTAAGGAAAATCATAAGGACATGAAAATGTTAATGGAAGCTCTATTTAACCTTAAACATAACAATAATAATAATTGTAGAAATCTAATATTGAGGAGATTCAAAATATCATTAAGTAGCAATAAATCTAATCACAATAATTGAAGAAATCATAAAGTTAGGTTGGAATTCAGTAACAATAGAAATTGACTAGTTAAAAAAGTGCAAGCAATTTTGTTTCTTAGATGTATAATACATTTCAATAATAAACACAAAATATAGATAATAAGTTTTATCAATAGTAATAATTCTTGTAATAACAACTTCAACAATTATAGCAGAAAGCATAACAGAAGAAAAAGACTTGATTTTTAATTTATATATAATTTCAAATAACAGATTTTCATCTACGTTGTGGTTTGAACCAAAAATAATCCTAACATGGGTGTGTTAATATTGTTTAAATTAAATATCAAATTTTATGTCTGAAGAAAAAGTGTAAGAAATAGATCAAAGTATTGAAAATAAACCTGCACCACCTTCAGGACCTAAAAGACCAGAGAAAGAGCCTCAATTAGAAAATTTAGATGAGATATTTAAGAGAATTTCAGATGATTTTAGTGATGTAGCTCCACTATAACATATTGCTCAAAAATTTAATGTCAATCCTGGATAATTGGTTTTAGGTATAATTTTTGTTGCCTTCACACTCACAATATTTGGAGCTGGAAATTTGTTAGTCAAAATATTGATTGGTATTCTATATCCTGCGTACATGAGTGTTTAATGTGTGAAATAAAAGGATGATGCAAAATCTAAGATGTGGCTTTCTTATTGGGTGATTTATTTACTCATGTTTCTATTGGACAGAGTGATGTGGTTCGCATTCCATGACCTATTGTAATTGTATTTCCCCATCAAAAACATGACTCTTATTTGGATGTATTATCCTAAAACCAGAGGTATTTACGTGTTTATATATTTAGGTGCAATAATAATATTTGACAAACTAGTGTTGTAACTCAATTAATTGGGTCTTCTGGAAAAACCAAAATAAAAACATGAGTGATATATAGATGCATTAATCATTTATTAAATTTCTTCATTGCCAATCTCACTTTCAATTTCCCATTCTCAAATGAAGTCGTGGCATTAAAATCCCCTCTAAAGCTTCCTTTCAATTTCTATTGTAAAGTCTCTTTGAAGTACTCTCCAAAATACAAGTCTGAAACTCCATACAGGATTTCATTGTGCAATGGAATCTAACAATTTGGAATTAGAAGTTCTGATGTACTCTCACCATTCTTGAATTTTAAGGAGAATGGCAACTCATCATTTTGTTACTTCATCAATCCTGTTAATGTGCATTACAACTATTCTATCAATAATATTGTTTACTGATTCTCCAATGAATTCAACTGTATTGGTTCTAATGGAAACCTCCTATTTAGATAAGGACTTTAATTCCTGAATAAGATTGGATGCAAGTTTGATTTCAAAATCTGAAAATGCAAATTGTTTGTTCTAGTATATTGCCTTGAATTGAAAGCTTCTGCCTTCCAGCTTTTATGGAAGAGCAAACAATTCATTTTTGATAAAGTGTCTCCATGATTTACCTGAAAACCTTTACAAAACATTCTCAACATCAATATCCTATTTGAGAGTATCACTTGTCATACATGCAGATCCATTGGATGAGAAACTCAAATACAACTGACTATCTCCAAAGGACTATTTAGTGATTTCTATCAATAAAAGAAATTCCTTCTTGTAGCCGTGTTATAAGCCAATCATGTACCAATTGTCATCATCTAATTAGTATCCTACCTCACTTTTACATAAACTACAGGCTCTTTATTAAATAGGATTATTGCTACAAGGGGCTAATTCTAAATAATTATTTTTATTATTGAAATGAATAAAGGTTTAGTTCTAAGCTGGTACTTTCTATACAAATTCATCTTATGGAGCTGGCTCTCTCTTTTATTTCTTCTTAACTATTTTCTTTTCCATTTCTTCTAAATCTTCAAGAGATTAAACTTTTGTTTTCTTAGCAGAGTTTAAGACTTCTAATATTTAATGGTCATCAAATTCTGGTTTCTTTTGTTTCCTCCTCTTTTATTATTTAGGCACTTATATAACTTAATTCTCATCATCCTCACTCCATTATTCTGGAATTTCAATGATTTATTTTTTTTTCTTTTCATTTTCAAGAATTTATTATTGTTATTGTTATTCAAATTTCAATCTTTCTAACCTCTATTACTCTACCAATTATTATTCCTTCATTTATTATTCTAATCTCAATTATTCTTACCTTTATTATTCCAATCTTTATTATTCGATTCTCTGTTATTCAATCTTCTATTATTCAATTCTCTACTATTCCATTCTTTATTATTCCTTTTATTGTTGAATAATCAGTTCAGCATCAATAGATTCATTACCTAGTTCATCCACTTCATCATATTGTGATATCTCATCATATTGTTGATATTCCTCATCCTCTGATTGCTCACTTACAGTAATATACCCCTCGCTGAATATGTCTGAACTATCATATTCACTAATTTTCTGTTCTATGGAATAGGTAAAAAACGATTACTTGGGACTTTAGTTTTTTGTTTCATGAGCTACTGAAACTCGAACAACTTATCCACGGGATCCTAAGTGACTACCAAGGATAGTAACTATGCTAGGGCTAATATATAGAGCATTCCGTTTTATAATATTAATGAAAATATTTATCTAACATTTTTCTAAACTGAGTCTTCATTATCCAATACATCCAGGGACCTATTAATCCATCTCGATTGAAAATTAAACATGTTTGTTTTAATAGTTGGAATCAGTATAGTATAGTGTTTAATTATTTTGAATTCTTATGGGGAGAACGATTTATCACTGGAAAAACTTAGCTAAATTGAATATTCTGAATTTTGATTGTATTTATTAAATATTTATGAAATCCATCAAAACAAAACTAGTTACAAATACTTCTTAGATAGAAACAACGATTAACAATCATAGCATTTCTTCTCGTAAAATTCCCAAATTGCCTTATCTGAACACCAAACACAATCAGGTTCTATCGTCATCAAGGAAACTTGTTTTGGAGGAGAATGGAGTTCTGGTTTAGCTGAACACTCAAAAAAAGGAATTGATAAAATGCATTTACGAAAGATAATTGGATGAAGCTTTAGAGAGTAAATGATTAATCCAATACAATAGTAACAAAAAAATTGGTTTAACAAAGTATTGGTTATGATCTAACTATTTTTGGGAAATCATTGCATTTATTAGCGGACATGTATATATCAAATAGAGAGTTCAATAATGGGTTATACATATATAATGTGTTACGCATTCTGGCGGATGTTTAAAATAATCAAACACTCAAAATTGAAGCACTCATACAAATGGGAGATTTGTGTAAATTACAACAATCATATCATTTAAGCAAACTATACCTTAAAAAGGCTTTATAATATGTCTGGTATTTAAATGATACAGAGAATGAAGCCACTATTTATGATTATTTTGGAGTGCTCTATTATGTACAAGGCGAATTGAGGTTAGCTCAAGAATATCACGACAGAGCCATGAACTTCATTAAGGAATCAAACGACAGCGCAGCCAAAAATCATTCTGTCGAATCAATCAAAGCATACATTAAGAAAATCAATTATCAATCATAAGTCATGAACAACATGGTCTTATCGAAATTAGGTTTAATTTAAGGAAATGACACTGATATAAAATTAACGACTTAAATGGATTTTGGCACTTTAAATAATTAAATCTTATCTGATCCTGAATTCTAAGTCGAAGTAGCCACTCCAAATCGACCTCAAAGATGTGTAACCAAAAATGGAGTGCTTCAAAATGACGTTGACATGTTTGAAAATGTAAAGGAATTGCATGAAAGACAACTCAAAAGAAAGTTCTTTGAAAAGAAGATACCTGTAATGAATTAAACCAAATCTATTCTAAAATAAACCATTGAGGAATAACTAGAATAAAGAATGAAATCAGATTAAAAAAAGAATGTATTCCCATTAATTCACTATCTAGTCAGTTGAACGGTTCAAACAATACTTGCAAAAGTTCCACGCTTTCAAGAACTACCCTGAGAAGTTAGAGAGAGTCAACATCAACCATCTCTCTCCAAACAGAAACCTACTTGGATTCAAATACACTTTCAAACCGATGCGTCATCAACTACTCGACTTAATTAGCGATATCGAATAATATATATATTTACATCAATCCTGATATTAAGATATTTATTATAAAATCATAGATTTATTATTTTCACACTAATTCTCCATTTCTATATTTTATAAAGATTTCAAGTATTCTTAAGGACATACTATATTGTCGGCAATCAACTTATTAATTAAAGCAAAATATTCCTATAGTTTGAGTCCAAATGCGCACATTTGCATTCGCTACAGGATTAACTTAGGTTCAAGTTATATTCTTGGATACAATATATTGCAAAGTCTTAATAAGGCCAAGTAGTCCTTATTTTTAAAGAGTTCATTTAATAATATTATAACATCTTCATCCAATTCTATTTTCTTTGCAATCTCTAAATAATTGACTAGTATGAATAGACTTTTTTAAACTGTTTAATTATCATCATCTCCAATATGTTTTGCTAATTCATCCAAATTCTCCTTTGACAAATACACTGGTTAATTACATTGCAAATTTATGATTGTATCAAAGACAGCAGATGTAAGGTCTTTTCTACCCATATGGTTGAACAAGAAGTTTATTACACAAAATAAGAAATCTTCTTACAATTTTTCCTTCTTATGATATTCATCGATCAACCAAATTAGTGTAAGTTTAAATTCTGTCAGGGAATAATTGCTGATTTCAATGGCTCTTTAGATTATCAATCTAATTTTATCATCTGGGAATTGAATGAAATCAATTAAATTTCCAATTATGGAAAGTAACTAAAATTTCACTCAAATTTATAATTACATAATTTAGACTTGCTTCTTAAGTTGAATTCTATGTATAATTCTTCAAAAGGCTGATAGTCTTTTCAATTGTGACTACCAGAACCCCTTGATCTGCCATGTACTTGTTGCATTAATAATCTTCAACTGAACTTAAAAAAGAGATGAACTACAAATAATCAGGTTAATCAATATCCTTTAGCAATTCACTAATTGGATTCTCGAGAACTGCCTATCTGAAGTATTGGGGAGTGGCTTGTAATTTGATAATTCTCCTTTTTGCGAACTCTTTCTGCCTTTGCTCAGCTCTTATTTTAACATGGAAATTCTCTCTCATTTATTTCATTGTGAATAATTAATTAATTAAATGTAGTAAACAGGAGGAGGACACCAAGACATCTTAGGAGCTCTACTAAATGACTCGTACAAGCTAGTGATGACCTATTCATTCTTCCAAAATAAAATGGAAAATGATTAGACAGCCTTCGAATTGCTTTTTAGGAAATGCCCATTCGGAGGTCAATATGTCATCTTTGCCGGTCTAAACGAAGTTGTTCGTTATATTAAGAATTTTAAATTTACAGAAGAAGAAATCGAATTTGTGAAACAGAAGTAAAGAAAAGATATAAAACATTTAAAAGTATTTTGCCATCAGATGCTAACCCGAAATTTTTCGAATATCTTAGGAATTTAGATTCTTCTCAAGTTAAAATCAGAGCAATGCCTGAAGGATCGATTTGTTTCCCCAAGGAACCCTTGATTAGCATAGAAGGACCACAAGGCATATGTTAACTCATAGAAACAGCAGTCAGTATATGAGATCAATTATAAATTTAGTTAATTTGGTTTCATTTCCATCATTAATAGCTACCAACGCAAGTAGAATGAGACAATTGGCCGGGTCAGCTCATTTACTTGAATTTGGATTGAGAAGAGCATAAGGACCTGATGGAGGTATGAGTGCCACTCAATATTCATTTTTGGGGGGATTTGATGGCACAAGCAATATGATGGCTGGATTACGATTGGGAATACCAGTATCAGGTACCATAGCACATTCATTTGTTACATCCTTTTCAGAATTGAATGATGTAGAATCTGCAGAATTAAATGGTGTCAATATCAAGTTAAGAGCAATTGAATATCATAAGAAGATGGGAGTGAAAACTAATCAAGGCGAATTGGCTTCCTTTATAGCCTATGCTTAATCTTGTTCAAACAACTTTTTATGTTTGGTTGACACCTATCATACATTGAAGTCTGGAGTTCCAAACTTTTTGGCTGTTGCATTTGCTTTAGATGATGCTGGAATTAAGGCCAAAGGCATTCGTTTAGATTCTGGAGACTTGGCTTAGTTATCAATGTAATTCACATTTATTAGATAAATAGATAAGCAAAGGAGATATTTAAGCATTATGGAGATCAATTTGAGAAGGATGTCTCTCATCTTAAGGTTGCTGCATCAAATGATATCAATGAAGAAGCACTGATACATTTCAATAAGAAAGGACACAAAATAGATATATTTGGAATAGGTACTCATTTGGTAACATGTTAAAAATAACCAGCTTTGGGTCTGGTCTATAAATTGGTGGAGTGTAAAAATTAGATTGTGATGAAATTGTCTGAAGAGTATGATAAAACTACTTTCCCAGGTTAAAAGAATGTTTATAGGGTTTATACAAGGAGTGATTAATGTGTAGATATTATCACATCAATTAATTATTTACCTGAGAATAATGAATTCAAATGCATTGATCACATAAACAAATAGCGATATCACATAAAGCCAACCTTTATTGAGAGCTTATTGCAACCTGTGGATTATGATTATGTCCCTGATTTGCATGCAGCTAAGAAACATTGTACAAAGCAGTTGAAAGAGTTTAATACTAAAGTAACTAGACTTGAGAGTCCATAGAAACATTTAGTTTTGATGTCCACAGAGTATTATTAAATGTTCTAGTCGAAATATGATGAAATTGCTATTGAGGAAGTGATTGAATGATGAATATTTTAACATAAATATTTAATTTTGGATATGAGAAGATTAATTGTTAATTAAACAAGAAGCAAGACAGTTGCTGCTCGTCCATCAGCAAATCTTGATCGTATCAATAAATGGTTGCAAACTTTGAGTGCTAAAGCTAACACATTAGAAAGCAGATTTTATGCATCTTAATTGAGTTCTTTGTTTAATTTCTATTCAAAACCTTCAACAGGTGCTGCTCAAGTATTGCTTGTGTTTCGATGAATAGGAAATTGATTGGAATCATTGGAAAGAGTAGATCACCACTGAAGGATTGGTTGATAAAGTTTAAAAAGGACATGACACCTTATTACAAAGGGAATTTGATGTTGAACGCATCTGTCATCAAGTTGTGTCTAGTCAAAGCAAAGAATTAGAAGACTTAGAGAATGAACTCACATTCCATAGTGCAGTCTGGAGTAACTACTATTTGGATCAACACTTGGCTTTATTAGATTTAGAATAATATGGAGACAGAAATAGCTATGTCAGTACAATAATTAATTTGAATGATTAGTTCATGAGGATTACGATTTCTATCCTAGGATTAGAAGCAGACTTAGAAGAATTGACAGAAACTCACAATTGGATTCCAGGTTCAAAGGATGATATCAATTTGAAGGGTTACATGGTCTCATAATTCTAATGGGGCAAAAAAATCATCTCATTCTACAGACATCCTTGTGATGACTTCAAGGCTGCAAGAGGTACCAAGAACATTTTGGGTAGATGAGCTTTCATATATTACAATACATTAACAAGAATTAAAATCTTTACATTCTATAATTGACTACATTCCCTATGAAATGTAACCATCAAACATAAAGATCTTATTAATCAAGATTCTCATCTAATCAATAAAAATACTAGTCTGGACTATATAATATTACAATCTCCATTATACTTATTAGACTTCAATTAGGATTCTATTATTAGATATAATACCCATTCTTTTAAGAACAATTACTCTGATATCAAAATATACTAATTTATGTAATTATTTTCTATAATAATTCTTTTTTTTTGGAATTTAAAATATTTCATTTAAATGTCTTCAATATAAGGAATATTCGATATTCTCATGCAGCACCATAAAAATTCCATTTCTTACAATATAAATGGTTGTAGTTCTAACATTTTACTAAGTTGAATTTCCTTTATAGGAAGTATGGAATTGATTGTAAAAATAAACAGGTTTATTTAGTTTAAATTAGTCTTAATTTATGATAAAATTATATTAAATTAAATATTTGTCATTTTTGCTTCTTCTCATATTCTATTGGGTAATTCTCGTCAGAACAAATATAGACTTAAATTTCGTTATTCTATCCTTATACTTTCGAACTATTTAAGTAAACTGAATAGGGGTATTCAGGATTGTTTTCTTAAGGAGTTTCTACAGAAGTTCCTTTTGGCGCTGTTATTATAAAAAGCGCCTCTCCTTTGTGATCAGCCTATTAACTTTTAGATAATTCTTTAAAGTCATCATGAGTGAGAAAGGTGTACTTAGCCACTTCTGGATCACTCTGGAACTTCTCTTATAAATTCTTTTGCAAGTACTCTATCCAATAATCAATTGTTTTCTCTTCATCTTGCAATGCATCTAATTCTGATTTTATTTAGCGAAGCTCATTTTCCAATTAAGGATCATCAGTAGCTCCAACCCATTTAATCTTGTTTTTAGAGATTTTCTCAATATAACCAATTCCCTCTAATACATTTGTAATATCGTAAATTCTTCTCTTTTAAACTCCTAAATCATTCACTGCCACATTCAAATCTATAGTCAACTCTTCAGAATTCCTGATCAACTCAACAAACTTTTTTGTGAGCACAGATAATGAATTGTCATGTCGGGTTTTCTGTTTCCCAGTACTCTTGGGTTCTTCGTCATTCGACTCATTGAATGAATCCTCATAGTTTGATTCCTCTTGCTTAACCTTTTTCTCTGACTCCAATTTAACTTACTTTCGCTTCGAACTCATGTTAATATTAATTAATTCCCTTATAATTTGAGGTATTAAGCGAATAAATACTATTATTCTAATAGAATACAAAAGAACCTTACAAAACCACAATCCCAATAATTTAACAAGCCTTAAAAAACGATTAAGAGATCAAATAAGACATCTTTATTAATAATATAATTTAAATTCTAAACCTATAAAAATCAGAAGGATGAAATAAACAAAAAATGCGTTCATTCTATTTATACTCCAATATTAAGAATATAATAATTTCCTTTCAATTCAAAATCAAAAAATTGTCTAATATTTAAAAATAAGCTTTCTTAAAATTATAATTCAACTTGATTATAAAATTATTTTAATCTAATCAGACATTCTCCTTCTAATTATTTGTTTAAATATATTGTAATTAATTCTCATTTGATATAGAATTAAACACTAAATATTACTTGAGTTGAATAGAAAAAATGAAATAAGAACAGAAAGTTCCTCAATTTTAGAATAATTAATTGATTATCATATTTTATATAATATTGTTCTTTAGGTTTATGGTAGAATAGGAAAATACAAATTTAATATTATTTTGATTATTATGAATAAATTTTCATTAATTTTTTCAGATTCCTAATTGGAAGAAAGATATCAAGAAAGCCAAAGACCGTAGATATTGCATGGCTTTAAGATTAATACAATTATACCAATTATTTCTTATGCGTTTCAAGCTGTATATTGGATGATAAAAAATTAAATTGTGCTATCAATTGTATATATCATTTTGACTATTTTATACACTTTTTTTTATTACAAAGTAGTGATAAGATAGCAATGGTATAAAATAGTGGGCACTATAGTATTGTCATTTAGTTTATAAGCATCAATCATGCAATTTATCCCATTTTGGATACAGAATCTAGCTGATTCTGAAATTGTTTGGATAGAAGACACTGCAATTCAGATGGGTCTGCATATGAACATTACTTAAAATCTCGTACAAAATGCTATTTTTTATGCAATTTTCATATCAACTCGAATTTATTTCAGATCTATTTTGGAATTCAACCCTATGTTCATACTCTTTTTATTATTCACGATCCTTACTTGTTATAATGAATATTAAAGAATCAAGGGTTTAAGGTATTAGTTTTTATGGAAGGAGAAAAACCTAAACCAATATTTCATTTTTGATGATTTGATTAAAGAGAGTTTAGTCATCCTCAATTATAATGACGTGTGGGATAAATTTAAAGTGGTCTACGCAAACAAATCATTTTACTCTGAATATCATGATAGTCCTTTGGAATTCTTGAAAGAAACTCAGCTTTCCCTATAAAAGATGTCCACCATGACATTCCTACATTATAAAATTCAAGATTTTAAGAGTTCTTTTTAAATCAATGCTTTTTGGAAAAATAGAAATTAACACTTATTTATAGAATGCTGGAAGTATTCGATTATGGATACACAGATCATTTTAAAGATTACTACCAAAAAGGCTTATACTGAGAATAATATGTATCCACTTTTGTATAAAGGCATTTTGAAGAAATTAAAGAAGATTGATAGATAACATTATCATACGGAATCATTAAAGAATCTTCTTGCAGCATTGCTAGTAAAACCAAAATCAATTGTTAACTTTAAAATCCAATGTCTTAATTATAATAAGTTAAGTGCATTATTGATGAATATTTTAAGAGACAACGCAGCTTTGTTTTCATTAAATCTAAAGTCTGATGCCTTTTACACAAATATACCGTTACTCTATATTTTAATGATTTCTGTAAGCAAATATTATAAAGTGAGCACCTTTACGGTACTTTAACTGAATGAATCCATTCTAGAAATAATTGTAAAAGGACCAATAAAGAAAAATACTGAATAGAATTAATAGTTTTTTAAGAAATTAATGAGTATAATAGTAGATATGATTGGAATTGAGTAAATAAAAATTGAAAATAACGAATTTATGTGTAAAATAATGAATATGGAAAACCCTTTCATTTCAACTATGACTTGATAATATATATATATAGCAATTTAAAAACTTCGTCATTTCTGATTAATTACCATAAATAATTATGTAAATTATGTCTAATATATAATTGTATATCATTTGAGAATAAAATTCAGATTATATTTTTACATTCTTATTGCTGGATAAATTAGAATCTAAAAATAGAATCATATCTATATCATTCGAGTTATATTTTAATATTCAATATAAAATTAATTTTATAAAGTTTTGTTAAATTTATAATTTGTTATCAATCTGAAGTTTTGACAGAGTTTATTCTTAATTGTACTTATTTAGATTCTTTATCTTAAAATGAAAACTTACAATAAAGAGTAAACTCTATTGTGAAATATGAAAATCATAGGGGAGATAACATTTCGTTGAAATCTGACTTTCAAAACAAAATACCATGAAAGTCAATCTTATGCATTACCATTTCAAAGATTATTAGAGAGTTCTTAAAATAATAACAATAATTATAGAATTTTATAATATAATTATTATTTATTTGCACGAGGAATGGCTACAAATATACAACATGAAGAGATAAATTTAAGTTTGAATAACGATAAGAAGGCATTTGAAGATCTTAGTGGATTTTTTAATTTGCTAGCTCAAGCCCTGGAAAAAGTGGATTAAGCTAATAAGGAATTGATCGAATGTTTGAAAAAGATTCAAAAATAACTGAGTTCAGAAATACCAAAATTAGCAGAAGTAGTTTCACTGGTAGCAGAGTCAATGAGTGTAGGTCAGAAAAAGAATATGGAATATGTTGACTTGATTAAGAGTAAAATTATATTAAGTTTGAATGGTCAGCTAGAACAAATAAAGACTAAGTAGAAATTGTTGGATGATTATAAAGCTAAGACAGCGATTGAAGCTGATAGGGATTAAAAAAGAAAGAATACAGAGCCTGCAAAATAAAAGGAAACATATCAAGCTTATGAACAAGCAAAGAAGGAGAAAATGTTGGCTGGATAAACACTTAATACTTAATATTAAATTTATATTAATGAGAAAAATCAAGAATTTTGTTCAATGTGGAAGCATTTCCTGAATATGCAAATGTATTGTTGTGCAGCAGGACTTCAAAGTTTCTCGAAAAGTGCTTAAGAAATTCATAATAGAGAATAAGAAGTAAAGAAAGATGCAGAAATTTTCTTAAGTAAATTGTTAGGTAATTAAAGAAGCAAATGAATATTAATATATATATATATTTATTTAATGTAACGAGATCAACTTAATTTCTCATATTTAAAGAGATTGTTCCCAAACTTGGAATAGATTTTGTATACTGGCAAGTTTACTAGTTTAAATGAGTTTGACAAGTGCACTTAATTGTGGCATCAGGCAGGATTTCAAGGTCCTTTCTTTCTAATAAAATTAACTGATTAATGTGTCTTCATTATTCTTAATTAAAACTCAACGTAAGACTTCATACGGACAATCAGAAAGGGATTAACATTTGAGTTGAATAAAGGCACATAATGGTTTTATTTTAACTTTTAAGATGAGTAATAAAAGGTTTTCAATATATGGTTCTAAGAGTAGTAAGATTTTGAAAATTTTAAGGTTTGTTTAGAGAGGATTGTAAAATGAAATTCATGATATGTATTTTATCCTCTTCTAATCTATTTTAATATATTATTCATCTGCAGGTTAAAAAATCAAATTAGTATTTTTGTGAGAATCTACATTCACATTTTTGGAACTCTAAATTCAAAGGAATATTAAGGTAGAATGGTAATTATCAATAGGAAAAGCATGAATATAATACTCAATCATATTGATGATTTTCTAAGAGTTAGAATCAGATTTTGCCCTATCGAGAAATCTGAGATTAATTTTAATATATATGTTCTTTCAAAATGAGAGCTTTGATAATTCTAATTCTTTAGTTGGATCTTAATATGTTATTCTAAAAAGATATAAAATAGTGGATAGATTATTAACAAAATTTAACTAAGATAATTTGAATTTTTTAATTTTAACTCATTGTTAGGATAGACGATGTTATTTATGATAAAGGATCAAAAAATCTGATCCTGAACTTAATAAGATATTTAATAGGAGGACTGCATAATTATTAATTTTAAATTCAAAATACAAAGTCATAAATTGGTATAAATTATTTTATATATAGAAAGTATTTTCACATTTTTATAAAATTGATTTTCTTTGCTATGAGAACGACTTATCAATAGGGAATGATAAAATATTCATTTTATATAGAAAAATGATTCTAGATCAAAGGCATCATACTTCATTATTAGGATAGTCAAGGAATTTTAGATTCAAAGTTAAAAAATGAGCCTAATTATTGCTTCGAAAATTCAGAAGTTTAAGAAATTTAATAAAATTATTTAGAAAATATAAGTAGAAATTTTCATAAAATAATAAAATATTTAAAGATAGAAATTCAATTAAATTTTTGAGAAAATATATGGATAGAAAAGTAATATGAAATAAAAAGAAATTAAAAAATAATATTTGTAGAAAATTTCTTATCAATATTATAAATATATAAAGAAATTTGATAAGTACTAAAAAATTTAACATACTTAAATAAAAAGAGATCATCTTAAAATTAATCTTCACATCTAAATGTACTTTTCAAGTACTTAATATGAATTTTAAATGAAAACTACTTATATCTTGAATTTTGCACAAAATTATCTCTAAATATTTGGTTTGTATTCTTTATGAGAGTTATTAGAGAAAAAATAAAAGAGAAAAATCATAAGTGGTTTAGGGTTGGTGATTTTCTTTCTAGTAAAAAAGATTTTGATAATAAGTCTATTAAAATTCTTGAAAATAGTTAACTAATTTGTAACATCAACTAATATGCATACATTTCGTCTAGAGTAGAAAACTCAAAATAAAGTAATAGAAATTTTCGATTAAATTTTAAAAAAAGGTATGAATTGCACATAACATATTCAAAATCAAGTGTCATTCATTTGCATAGCTCCTCACAATTGTTAATGTTAAAGAAAATTGTGTGCTTAATGCTAATATGGACATGGAGTTGATTAGAAATATACTGTGCCAATAGAAATTTTTGAAGATATAAGGAAGAAGAAATTTCAAGGATCTTACCTCAATTCAACATCTGAATTAACAATATAAAGAATGAATTTTAAGAAAATGCTTGCTTCAGCTCTAAAAATGTTAAAATAAATTTGGGATGAATTAGCAGAATCAATAAAACAGATATATGATTTGATTGAGATGGAAGATAAATCTTATTTGAATTACTTTAACAACAATGTGAATCCATCTGAATTATCCTATACTTAATTAGAAAAATTAGTCTAAATTATTATAGGAAATGCTTTAGAGGATTGGAATATTGAGAAAAATTCTTAGCTGAAGAGGTTGGAAATGAAAAAGAATTATTGGGAAATGGAAATGAAGGGTTTTTGCTAAAAGCTGAATAAAGAAATGAAAGAAATTAGGTAAATAATATAAAAAACAGATAATTCCTTTGAAAACATTCAATCAAATAAGGAAATAGTGTAAATTTATAATGGAAAGTAAGATTTGTATCAGGTATTAACTTAGACGAAGAATATTGATGGATACTTCCTTAATTAATTAATTTTGATGTTGAAAAAAGAGAAAATTACAAATTTTTTAGAATTCTTTTCTGAAAAAAGTCAAGATTAAACTCTATTTCAATTTATCACTAATTTGATGTATAATATTAGCGAAATAGACTTTAATAAGGAAAATTATTCAACTGAGAACTATGAATAAATTAGAAAGGATTTGATTAAACAAATATCTTATGATTAGCACATTAGTGAATTTTTGAAATTCTTAGTACACCTTACAGCTATTGATAAGAGATTTCTCTAATGTGGATCTAATTCACTCCATTTATTAGTTGAAATGAAGGTGGATTTGAGGAAATAAAACTTTGAAAATATTAGGATAAGAGACACTTCTATAGTAGGTGGAAATTTTGTGAGATGCAATTTCAATGGATCAGAATTTGATAACGTTGATATTAGTGGTGTGAACTTAAATTAAGCGTCCTTGTTTAATTGTAAATGGAAGAATATCAAAATACATGAGTTAAATAAATTAAATGGTCATTCGGGAACTATTAATACACTTTGTTTTTCTCCTGATGGAACTACATTAGCATCTGGTAGTGATGATATCTCTATTCGTCTATGGGATGTTAAAACAGGATAATAAATAGCCAAAATAGATGGTCATTCACATTATGTCATGTCAGTCAATTTCTCTCCTGATGGTACTACATTAGCATCTGGTAGTGAGGATAACTCTATCCGTTTATGGAATGTTAAGACAGGATAATTAAAAGCCAAATTAGATGGTCACTCATCAACTGTTTATTCAGTCAATTTCTCTCCTGATGGTACTACATTAGCATCTGGTAGCAGAGATAAGTCTATCCGTTTATGGGATGTTAAGACAGGATAATAAAAAGACAAATTAGATGGTCATTTAAATTGGGTATATTCAGTCATTTTCTCTCCTGATGGTACTACATTAGCATCTGGCAGTGTAGATAACTCTATCCGTTTATGGGATGTTAAGACTGGTTAATAAAGAGACAAATTAGATGGCCATTCAAATTGGGTATATTCAGTTATTTTCTCCCTTGATGGTACTACATTAGCATCTGGTGGTAGAGATAACTCTATCTGTTTATGGGATGTTAAGACTGGGTAATAAAGAGCCAAATTAGATGGTCATCTAGGTTATGTTTATTCAATTAATTTCTCTCCTGATGGTACTACATTAGCATCTGGTAGTGTAGATAGTTCTATCCGGTTATGGGATGTTAAGACTGGGTAATTAAAAGGTAAATTAGATGGTCATTCAAGTGATGTTAGATCAGTCAATTTCTCTCCTGATGGTACGATATTAGCATCTTGGTAGCGTTGATAATTCTATCCGTTTGTGGGATGGTTAAACAGGATAATAAAATTCTAAATTATATGGTCATTTAAGTTGTGTAAATTAAATTTGTTTCTCTCCTGATGGTACTACATTAGCATCGGGTAGTTCAGATAACTCTATACGTTTATGGAATGTTAAAACAGGAGAATAGAAAGCCAAGTTAGAAGGTCATTCAAGTGATGTTTATTCGGTCAATTTCTCACCTGATGGTACTATGTTAGCATCCGGTAGCGCAGATAACTCTATTCGTTTGTGGGATGCTAAGACAGGATAATAAATAGCCAAAATATATGGTCATTCAAATGGAATTATATCAGTCAATTTCTCCCCTGATAGTAATAAAATAACATCTGGTAGTGTAGATAAATCTGTCCGTTTATGGGATGTTAAGACAGGATAATAATATGTCAAACTAGATGGTCATTTATCAATTGTTACTTCAGTCAATTTCTCTCCTGATGGTACTACATTAGCATCTGGTAGTAGAGATAGCTCTATCCGTTTTTGGGATGTTTAGACAGGACAATAAAAAGCTAAATTAGATGGTCATTCAGGTTATATTTATTCAGTCAATTTCTCCCCTGATGGTACTACATTAGCATCTGGTAGTGTTGATAACTCCATCCGTTTTTGGGATGTTTAGACAGGATAATAAAAAGCTAAATTAGATGGTCATACAGGTTATGTTTATTCAGTCAATTTCTCCCCTGATGGCACTACATTAGCATCTGGTGGTTCAGATAACTCTATACGTTTATGGGATGTTAAGACAAGATAATAAATAGCAAAATTCGATGGTCATTCCCATTATGTTAAATCAGTCTGTTTCTCTCCTGATAGTACTACATTAGCATCAGCCAGTAGAGATAACTCTATTCGTCTTTGGGACGTTAAAACTGCAAAGGAGATTTTACTTCAAGATAACTTTTACAAAGACCTACATTCATAGTTTTAAATGCCACATTAAAGTTCATCCTTTTTATTAACTAGTATTTAATTATCATAATATTTAGCTCGTATTGATGGTACAATACTTAGAATATGTTAAAATCCAATTTTGGAAGCTTTAGGAACTTTAATCTTGAAAGGAGAATTAGTAAATTATTAAGGCCGGAATCTAAAATCATTATTCTAATCTAAAGGGAGTTTCATTTTTGAAAACAATATTGAATTAAAATAAAAGAATCCTGAAAAATGTGTATTATACTGAATATTTACGAAACTATTTATTGTATTTTTATACTTCTCTTCTTAGTAGAAAATTTAAGTTGAGTTACTTCCAATATATATTCCTAGTCTGCATGTCCTTGCTTACCCTTAATTCTTTTAATATAATCAATAATTTTTCGATCATTTTTAAATTATATATTAAATAATCATCATTTTGTTTTTATTGATGGCACTAATTTGAAAAAAATTATGACGTTTGATTATGCATTCCTTAATTTAAAAACCATTGAAGTTTGAAATACCTCCTAATTTCATTAGTGAAAATTTCAATTTTGATTGCTATTATCTCTCAATATTATTATATTATTATCTACTTTTTCATTTTTTAAATTCATTAATTAGCAATATTAGTGTGAGTAATGTTACTATAATATTATATAATTTATAAAAACGTTTGAATTGTAACAATATTTTAAGATAAATTACGATCTGAAGATTAAGAATGGCTTTCAATGAAACAGAGATATTATTTTGTAGTAAGTCTAGCTAAGGGTTGATTTTATTTTAAGACTAGTTTAAAAGCATCTGCTACCTATGAATGATAAGCATCAATTATTATTATCTAAATATATTGATTCAATACTTGATAAATTTTTTTCTCATAAAGTATTGCCATATTTTCTCTATATAATATATCTAACTCATGTAATTTGCTCAAATTAATTTCAATTTTGGAAATGGATGAATAAATGAACAATACCAACAATTAAGTCTATCATTAGTTGAGGAATTTGTTATAATATTTACCCAATATTTAATTTGATTTGTTGTTGTTGTAGTAATATTAAAAGCTTAGCAAGATTCAATTCTAACTAATAATTAAGATACAATCAAATATTCTTAATTTTATTTTATCTGAAAAAATGATAATAATATTTATACCCAAACATAATTTAGAATGAGAACTAATCTATTTTAATTAAATTAAACTAAACTAGTCATTGCAATACTAAACACAACTTCCTAAATCGTATAAAGTTCACATATAATTTCCTAATAGTAATTTTCTATTCTAATCCTACTATAAAGATAATCCAATAATATAAAAAGATCATTTCCTTTTTATTACATTCTCAATAGTATCCAAATTGTGTATCATCAATAATGACCTCAATTGTAAAAATTTACTGTTTGTCGCTCCCTTTTTGATATCACAATACTCTTCTCCTTGTCTATTATTTCTATTTATCTTGTCATAATATGTGTTGCTAATGTAATAATCCAGGAGGCGTGTGGTATTGTAGACATTTGTCTTAGTTATTTCAGTGCTTACTTTATAAATGGATTTATGTATGTTTACCCTCTTACAATTGCAGTAATCCTTTCTGTACTTTCATCTTTAGTAATGGATTTGTTAAACTGTGGAATTGCAACTTGATAGTAAAAAGGTAGGCATTATTTGACTTAATTTTCTATCACAATAGTATCCACAACTATTGTTATAAATTAGCTTCAATCTATCAAGTATCCAAAAATGGAAAGTAAAAAACAGTAATTTTTTGGTTTGTATAAATCATTCATATTAAATAAATAAGTCTAAATGGAAAAGTATGGAGTTAATGAATTTATACATACGATAAACATTAGCGATATTAACATAACATGAACTAGTATTAGAATTTAGGTAGCATCCAACTTTACAAATTGTCGAAGGTTTTGTATCTAATATAAACAATCACAAGGACACTATGATATTCTTCATTAAATAACTAATATTATATCTAGTATCATTAAAAAACAACCAATTCGTATATCTCCACTTTTATTTTCAGTATTATAAGCTTTATTTTAAGTTTAACTAGTTATATTTAAACCAAGAAAATTCCTTAATAGGTCACATGCTTATTGTAGTAGAAAAATTGAAACAAGCTAAAGTAATCATTATTAATCTCTTAAATTGCTTTGTTTATGTACATAATTAAATGATCTGGATCTGTAATCTTTTTAATAAAGTTTGAATAATTAAATATTGAGTTAATTTCCAATTTAATTTATCATAGTTGTTGGTGTCCAATCCTGACTCACAAATGTCACTTATGTCCTCCATTCATTAGTGAAGTATTTAAGTGTTTGAAGAGAGCAACTGAGATTTTTCATCCCCTTTATTATATGTGGTGATTGAAGGGTTTGCGCAAATTATTCTGATGGAGTATGCTTTAATGCAAAACATCCTGCATGTTAATAACCATTTTGTCTCCAACACTATAATAATTAAATGTAATTCTACTAAGATCAAGTAATGATCATAATAAGAGCAATCAAAATACTAGTTTATAACGAATTTATTGCTTAATTCTATTATTTATAATTTCCTTTTTTGGAAACTGAGCATTTTGAATTATGTTTAAGTGCTGAATAGTTTGAATATTGAGCGACTCTTCGATGTTACATTGATTTAACAAGAAATTCTGCAATCCTTACCTTATGAATGTAAGAGTGGTTCCTTTTATTATTCTAAACTTACTTCTACATGTTCAGACTATCCAACTTTATGTCGCTAGTAATATTAAGAGGCAAATGCAAAAAAATAGTTTGCCTTCCAAAAAAACTTAATAATACCTTAGTATGAAGTTGAATTTACTGAATATCTTGGCTTTTCATTCTTGAGCTGAGCAATACATGAAACTAATGTATTAGCAACCATCTCAATCGAATAGCTACTAAAGTTAATAGATTTCATCCTTTATGCACATTTTTAAATATCTTATAATAAAATTTTGTCAACTAAAAAAAATTATAAATTGATACTTGACTTGTTCATCAATCTATGTAATGATTATTAAATATCTTATTAATCAAATTATTTCAAAGATACTAAATTATACTAAATATCCTCTTCAATCCAGCGTTAATTTTTAATTTGCATTTATATGACCTGATGTTACTTTTTCTTTTCTTTTTCAATTAATTATTTTAAAATCCTTCAATTATCTAATCTTATCAACGCTTAAGAATTATTTTGCAATCAACTTTTCACTTATTTCTTTCTATTTAATAATTGTAATTCCTTCACATTTGTGATAATTAGGTAAATAAATCAGATTTATTTTCTTTGGTTTTTTTTTTCTAATAATCCGAAAAACTTTTCAACAACTATATTATATTCCTTCCATTATTCCTCTACATTTTGAATAGCCCAATATTTAGATCATGGATTCTCATATATACAATCAAAATTATTTCTTTTTATGATTACTATGTAAAGATATATTATTATAATATCATTATTCCTAATAATAATATTGTAGTGGTTTAATAATTTTTGATAAATTTCATTTCAGAGAGATTACCTTCAACCAAATAATGAAAACTGAAGAAGATGAATCAAATCAATTGGATTTTCATTTCTGTAATTATATCATAGCTGATTAAAAGAAGTTAAACATAATAATAAAATAAAAAAGAGAAAAATCTAGGGAATTTATGAAAGCCCAAAAGTCATAAAAAATTAGAAAAAAGGCAATTAAGTTGGCAAGATAATTGAGATGAATTTTACTACTATTTTATAATTAATAACAAATAATTAACTGATATGAAACATTACAGAGATTCTGTTAGTCCAGAGGTTAGACAATTCATTAAATAATTCCATAATTGTTAGAAAGATTAGAAACGAGATAAATAGACTAGTACTGAGGAAAGCAATTCATCAATTATTGTTGAAAGATAAGATGATATCAATGTTAAGGAAGTGTTCCTAAAATCGCCAAATAAAGAAGCAAAGGAAAATAGACAACCTTATTTAAAAATATCAAAGACTCCTAGTGTTTGTTCAAACAACAATTCACTTTCTAGCATTGATTAAGATAAGTATGTTGACATCATAGTGTAAAAAGTGGTTGACGAAATGGAAAGAAGAAACAATAATAAAAGGTAACCTGTGTTGAGTATTTAACAAAATACAGTTCAAGTCAAGATAGCTCCTAAAAGTGAGTTGGATAATTTGGATGATGACTCATTCATTCGTCATATGTATGATTATATATATTGATTAGACAACAAACTCTATTGAATCCTCATCATACACCAAAGAAGGTTCATAATTTTTAAAACTTCGATTAGCGATAGAAACAATTCTAAATTTAACGAGAACAGAAATTGCAGAAGCAAAGAGAGGCTCAATAACTGACTAAGTTAGTAGATGAATTCAAGTGTTACTTAATACGATCAAGAAAGAGTGGAGGATTTTGAGATTACGCATATATAAATTTACTTAGATATTAAATCCTAAATATAATTTTTTATTTGATATGTCTCTTTTGCTTCTAAATGCAAGCAATAGAATTGCTTAAGGATTCTTAAAAGTAGCTGCTGAGAGTGGTAAGTATGAGAAGATCATTTGTGCTGATATCTTCCCAACATACTTCACAGTTCAAAGATTACTTAAATTCAAGCAATAATTCTCAACCAAGATAGAGTTGTTCAAAGTGGGTGATCGTCAAGATCTCCATGATGTAATCAAATAAGCCAACAACCTCCTTTATGTGAGCCATGACTATTACTAAGTTACAGCCTCAAAGAAAAACTTGTTGGTGGCCACTCTAGATTTGGCCAAGACTAGAAATTACAAAACTGTGGCTTATGTGGCTCCAGTCGTGCACATGATCATTAGGAAGAGATCGATGAATGGAAACATTTAGAAGTTGAAGGCCGTCGCTCCATTCCTCAATTGGTAGGTATCAGATCTGATATTACTTTTGGACCTCAGAGCACATTTACTAATAAAATTGCTTAAAGAATTTATAATGGATAAAGCATTTATTTCAAAAGCACAGGCCAATCATGTGCCCCAATCTTCACTGGAGACTTAGAGGCAATTGTTGCAAGAGTACTTGCTGGCGATCATGCTGGTAAATTGCTCTTGGCTAAAGGACATAAGCATATAGATTTCAAGTCTATTATTCATTTAATTGAGGACAGCCTTGGAAACAGTTATAAAGCTTAACTCAATAGTTCCTTCATCGAAAAGGTAATTTATTTATCATAAAATCAATTAGATCATTCATCCCACCAATAACTGCATTGTTGGACAACAATTATATTGTCCCTCATACATTAACTTAACCAAATTGATTGCAAATTACAAGGCTTTAGAGAACACTGGTTATGATTAAGTTGTTGGAGATAAATTAGTAGATATTGAAGAGTATCATAAAAATAATAAAACTGTGGTTGATCAATCATTGAAAGCTGACTATGAATTAAGCTATTTAATTGGATGATCAAGTGACATATAATAAATAAAAGTACATAATTATTATTTTTAAAACTTTATTATAAATTATTATTTGAATTTTGATAAATAAATGAAAAATCTATCCAAATCTAAAATAAAAAAAGAACTTAAATCATTAATTATTATACATCTGCATGTATTGTGAATATTCTAATTTTGAATGGTTTGATATAATTTGAGTTAGGAGATTTTAATGTATTTAAAATTATTTATAAATAATAATGTTATAATAAATGGATCAAAATTCCTTTTAAATTCATTGCTAACGCAAGCATTTCCTGAAAGACAAACATTATCATCTTCTAATTGATGATAATCGCATTTAAATATCGCAAGTAAGAAAAATTTCACACTAAAAGAGTCAGCAAACTTTCACTAAGCTAAGTACATCCTTGATTTAACATTCCAAAATTTAGTGTTTTGGAAAACTGAATAAAATTAGTTAATTGCATTTGGTATGAAGTATAATAAAGTCCTGAAATGGTTTCATGCCGAGAAGAATGATCTAGAAGCATTATATAGAGAATTACACACTCGCATATTCTTTGGAAATATATCAGCAATATACGAAAGTAAGGAAATGCTTGGAGCTGGGGCGTCATGCAAAGTTTATAAGGTTTTCAATAAGATAACTCATTACGAATTTGCATCAAAATGCATCAGAAAAGATTATATTTTTAAAAGGGAAGACAAAGAAAGATATGTATAAGAATTTAAATATCAAAGAATCGTTTGCTGCAAGAAATAGAGTTGATGAGATTGATCGAGCATGATTCAATTGTTAAAATGGTCGATATTTATGAAGGGGACAAGTCATACTACATCATAATGGAATTGCTCAAAGGTGAAACCCTCTACTCATTCATCAAAAAGGCATAATTGAACATTTCTCAAATTAAGGCAGTGATGAGCGTATTTATCATAACGAATCATTAGAGATGTCTGAAAGCATTATGTTATTTGAATTTTCTCAACATCATTCACAGAGATCTAAAATTAGAAAACCTAGTGCTTCTTGAAGCAAATAATGTGGAGACAGTTAAGATCATTGATTTTGGGCTAGCCATCCCCTTATCTACTCCTAATCGTCAATTATGTGGGACTCCTGGATACATAGCACCAGAAATGTTCATTGATAAATATCCATATACCACAAAAGTTGACATGTTTAGTTTAGGTGCTATATTTTATAAGCTCCTGAGTCGAAGATCCTTATTTAGTGGTAATAATAGCGATGAAATTCTTGAAAACAACAAGAGATTTAAGTGCAACAACCATCTTAAGTGCTGCTCTAATGAGATCTTAGACTTGTTGAAATAGATGTTGCAAAAGGATCCCAATAAGCGAATTTCTCCAGAACAGGCTCTCTTACACCCGTTTTTTGAAGAATCTATTTAAGGTATCATGGTCTGTCACTTTCTCAATAGGAGACTTAGGAGTAGCAGATGAAAGCCCACATGAAGTCGTGAGAACATTTCCACATATCAAACCTATGTAGATCACTAACTCTAATGAAAATATTGCGGATATCAAGATTCAGGTTATTAGAGGAAGTCAACCTAGTTTTGAGTAAAGCTTGGGGTCAAATTACTTTCCTTCTTTTGATGAAATTAATAAAAAATCAAGAAATGGCAGCGATCACATTATTGAATGATTAAGTGTTCATAATAAAAACTTAGTGTTCATTATTTGATTTATTCTTTATTCATATGTATCATTCAATGTTGATTTATATCTAGTAACTGAAGTATTTAGCAATTTTGTATAGATTGCCTATGCTCTTGCTTTGGTGTAGTCGTTGTGCAGGACGAATTAGATTTATTACTCTAATTTTTTAGACCTAATCTTTTGTCGTTCAATCAATCTTTGCTAAGCTTTCTTGTTGCCTTATTCCTCATTTAATTTATTTTTTTCTCCCTGAAATTCAACTATCTTTTCCTATAAAACTTGTGTAAAGCTACAGCCTAAACAGGATTCATTAATGAAATCTTTTAATTTACGTTCAGCCTCAATTTCAAGGCAATCAATTATTTATTAATTTCTTTTTCATTACCTTCTCCTTTTCTGACGTTGTCCATTTTATCGAATATTTCAACTAGGGGTTGTAATTTCGTTTATATTTTTGAGAATTTAAAGAAATGCTTTTCATTCTCTGTTGTTGTAAAACTTCTATAACTTATTGACATTCTTTTTCTTGACAATGTTCCCAAACCTAATCAATTTAATCATTGCTGCAATTCACAATCATGTGATCCTGCAGAATTTTCAAGAATTATGGCTTTTAAGTTGGTTTTTCAATTCTAAGAGTGGCAAGCAAGTGATGTGTTTACATTATTATATTTAATAATATAGAAATAGAGATAACCCATCATTAACTTTTCACCTGTAATTAGTTTAGATTGATATTAAATGAGAAATTCTTCTAAAAATACTGATCCTACTTCTTAATTGATTCTGTGCGAAATTTTAATCCCAAACCCTCTAGATAAAGTACAATAAGCCTTTTTATTAATCTTTGTTTAGTGATGGCTATTTCATTTAATCCAATCATAAGACTTATTGAATCAATAGTACTCATTTAATTATTTAATTTAAAAACTAATCCAATATTTCAGAAGAAAATAAATTGCCATACTATTTTCGAATCTAAAATATCTTCTATTTTCAACTTTTATCAACACATTCAACATTTTTTCCTCAAATTTTTCTATCATAATAATGATAGGATTAATCAGTGTATTTTAGAGTTGAGACACATATTCCGACAATCAACTAATTAAATAAATATGGTGGGAAGATTATTCCCAATCGAAACACATTTATTTTTATGTTAATCATCAATAATAACTAAAAAATGATCTAATACCACTTATGTTTTAGAGCTTTATGTCTAAATAAAGCAATTTATTTATTTCTAAAGGATTTAAATTGTTAAGTGTATTTCAAGGTTGAGAATAGCTAAAATAGACACATGAAAATTTCATATCATTATTGAGTTCAATAAAAACGTTTTGATTAATTTATCATTTTAGATTATTTTAAATTATTTATGTTTACTATATCTAAAGAAAAATTGTAACAAATATTAGCATCTGGATTAACTTAGGATAATTAAGATAGTATGGGTGAGTTCAATTCTACCAAGTGCTTTGAAGATTCTTTGAAATGTAATATTGAATGCGGATTAAGTAATGATGGAGTGTTGTTGAGACGATTGGAATTTGGAGAGAATAGGCAATAAAATTAAGTTTGCATAAGTAGAATGAAAGCATTATGGATAATTCTATTCGTACATAATTCTATAAACTTAGAAACCAAAATCAATGATCTTCTTTTCCTTGTCGATAATTTCAATGATATTAACTTATTTGTCAACTGATGGAATTTACACAAATGAATGGATTGAAAGTTTAATTATATTTGGATTAATTTGCTTAACTCTTATGGTGTCTGTTTCTCAGGTAAAATATCAATTTTTAAATTTAGTTTAAAACTGATGAAGAAAAATAGAAATAAATATAAATTTTGGATGAATAAACTAAGTTTACAGTTGTGTTGAGAAATCGGGAATTGAGAAGAATCATGGCAAGAAATCTGGTAGTGGGAGACATTGTTATTTTATAAGAGACTGACAAAATTTATGTTGATGGATTAATTGTTGAATAGCATAATTTATATGTTGATGTAAGAAATGGTGATCATCTTTATTTTAGCAAAGCTACTTAACAGGGGAAGAAGAGCCGGTTCAAAAAGTTACATTGGAAGAAACTATTTAATCCTAATAGCCAATTTCACCTTAGAAACATTTAGTCTATGCAGGAAGTCGAGTAGTATAGGGATGTGGAAAATTATTAGTTTTAGCAGTTGGTTCAGAGGCATAAGTTAATAAAATACTAATTTCGACTGAATAAGAAGAGTAATAACCACCAATTACAAGAGAAATTCGAAATATTTCGAATAAAATGGAAAGAATAGGATTTATTGGACTTATAATTATAATCATCATGTTGCTAGCTCGATTCATTCTCTAATATGGTGAATAGAATATTAATAGATATAGTATGTTTGCAAATATACTCAACTTAATCATAGCTTTAAAAACTGGAAAAGCATATGAAACAATATTTACTCATTTCTAAATTCAAATGAGTGAGGCCGTATAAATGATGCTATATTAATAAAACTTAGTTAGAAGGTTATAGAAATTAGAGAACCTAGCATTTATGGATACAGTAATTTAATATTATTTATCAATAAGGTAGTTGTTGATTAAACAAGCATTCTAACACAAAATAGAATTCTTGTAGATAGTATTATGAATGATACAATGGAATAGTTTACTACATCCTAATTTAATCTATATCCACAATAATTCTAATAGGCTTTGGTTGATTCATGTTTCATTAATAATTACTATGATCCAAATACTGATTCTGGGAGTAGAATTGAAAAAGCATTGTTTGAATTCTCCAAAAAAATATAACTCAATTTAAGTGAAAGAGTACAATAAGTGACACATAGAATTCCTTTTAGTAATGCTAGAAAAATGCAAGTATATATTCATTTGTGAATGATTAGACAATCATTATTAATAATAATAAAGTTGCTGTAAGAGGATCAGGTGAACATATCCTTAATTCATCAACTAAATTTTATAGTTTGAAAAATGGAATTGTTGCTATTGATGATGTTTTAAAGAATAATATAGAATAGCTTATGTTTGAATTGGGTCAATAAGGAAGCATTATGGGAATAGCATATAGGGATGTGGAATTATAAAATGAAAATGTAAAAGAATTGATAGAAAATAATCAATTTGAATATGATAGATAGGATTTGACATTATTAGGTTTCTTGCTTTTTGTGGATCCATTGAGATATGAAACAAAATCAGCTATTTAAGGATTGAGATAAGCTGGAGTTAAAGTGATTTTAACCGCAGGAAATGACTCTATTAGTGCAAAGAATTTCGCTATCAAAGCAGGAATTATGTTAAACGATTCTACTGTAATAGAGGGGAGTGATTTTTCTGAAAGATTTAATAGAAAGGCAGAAAATTCCAAAAAAGAAATCGAAGATATTCATGTTCTTAGCGGAGCAAGACCAAAGGATAAATACAATCTTGTATAGGAATTGTAGTATTTTGGTCACGTAGTAGGAGCCTGCTGTGATGGTGAAAATAATGGTAAATATCAATATAATTTAAATTAAAGTTCCTATTTTAACTAAGGCTGATGTAGGGTTTAGTTTGGGAATTGGAGGAACTGAAATTGATAGAGAAGCTTCAGGGATTATCCTATTGGATGACAATATTAATTCTGTTTATAAGGGACTTATATTTGCTAGAAATCTCATTGATTCAATTAAAAGAATAGTTCAATATTTGATTGCATCCTATTTTGCATTGTTTATGATTTTAATAGTCTCAGTAGCTTTTGGAGAACCTGCGATATCACCACTTTAATTAATATGGATTCATTTATTTAACGACTTATTTGCTACATTTGCTTTATCTTATTGTAAACCGAATTCATAGTTAATATACTAAAAACCTCCTAATAAAAGTGGATTCATAATGGATGAAAATGTTTAAATCCACAGCTCCATACTTTCAGTATATTTGATTGCAGTATGTATCTTATTTGTGAATCAAGTATTTAACATTGAAATTATTTAGCCCTTGATGGTATTCAATATATATGTTATGACAACAATCTTTAATTTGATTAATTCACGTATGGTATACTTAGAAGTTAATGTCGTTCATGGGTTCTTTAGATCTTGGATTAGTTTCATTGCAATTTTACTGATAGGAGTTATTCAGTTTGTAATTGTAGAATATGGAGGATCTGTTTTGGATACATTCGATGGTTTAAGCCTTAAATAATGGTATTATTGAATGTTTACCATGTAGGTGTGTTTGCGTTGCAGTAGGAATTGGAAGTGTTGCATGGAGAAGCATAGCTATCTTAGTTATTAAACCTATCGTGGTAAATAATCAATAATACAATTAGTTAAAGAGTGGCAAGGGAAAATTAAAAGTTAATTGAGATGAATTATTGTAAAAACAAATAATTATTATTTTTATTATTAAATAATAAATGAAATTAGTCAGGTTTCTGATGAAGCTCAAGAATGAGCAGGTCATTGTAGAATTAAAAAATGGGACCGTTGTTTTAGGAACAATCACTGGAGTTGATGTTAGAATGAATACGCATTTAAGCAAAGTGAAATTGACATTGAAAGGAAAGAATCCTGTGGGATTGGATCAATTGACTATTAGAGGTTTGCTGACTATCATTACATAGGAAATAATATTAGATACTTCCATTTGTCTGAGAATTTATAAATTGATAATTTATTAGTGGATGAATCCATTTCAAAATCAAAGAAGGTGAAAGCAGGAATGGAGAAAAACGATCCAAATTTTAAAAGAAAGAAGAAGAATAAAGTCACTCGTTTACCAAGAAGATGATATACCATTCCCAGTATTAATTTATCACATATAAAAACTTCTATTTCTTCATTAAAATTAAATTGTTTTTATTCCAATACTTTTTGTAAGTAAAATTATGTATAACATTAATAAACTAAATTAATAGTATCATTCAAATCCCTATTTAATAAAATGGATTTTGAATAATATAAATAATATGGCAGAATCAAAAAAGAGATTGAATTCTTCTATGACTTACGAGGAATATGTGAGTATTTTTGAAAAAGAACCGAAAAAGCCTTCCCTAAAACCAAAACTAAATCCAGATCTTGCGATGGATGACTTGGATCTCCTCAGCGATGCTACCACAACAGACAATCTGGAGACTCTCTTTCCAGAAATCAAAGAATAGTAGGATCAAAAGAAAGTTCTCCCGTACGGCCAATCTTAAAACAGATAAAGAACTTACAGCGAGAACATTTCTTATACATTCCTTAGTTTTATATAGAAAAAAATTGAAAGAAAGTAATCAGAATGAAATATACTAATTATTATATATCTAATCACTTTGTATATAGTTTATTTTCTCTAAGACGATCCTCAAACTATCTCATTCTCTATTCAAGTTACTCTTTATTTTTCTGTAAATCTGTTAATCTTAATTTAATCGTAGAAAGATTTGCCTTCTCATTGTTGTTATTCGTCTTCTCCCTAATGGAACTTTGAGGTCTCTCATTTAGAACTTCCTTCTTCTTCAACTTTTCAAAAGATTAATACTTAGCCTCCCTATCGTGATCAGTCTTACAAAATTTGTTTCTTTGTGGATTATCCTCAAATTTATTTTCTTGGATTATCGCTTTGACTGGACTCTTCACTTACTACTGATTTTAATAATTATGTAACTGAGAATGAGAAGAGTGATGATAAGTCAGATTTGGCTACTAATAAGGCAATGAAGTCTATTTCTTCAAGACTTTGACATCCTCCTCCTCATCACTTCCATCCTCTTGTACATGACATTACAGTATTTCTGAATCCGAATTCTTGTTCTAATGATCCTCTTGTAATCGATGCAATTCATTAGTCCTAAAAATTTGAATATAGATAATTACAATCTTGCGATTTCTTAATCCTTACTTTACAATTTCCCCTCCATTTCCTTTTATTTCTGTTGCATCTACTATAATTTGGATTGGTAATCTGCTTTCATTTACTAGATTAATCTATCTTTTTCCTCCAATTATTTTTCTAATTGTTGAATTCTCAAACTCTGACTGCCATCTTGTTTCTCCGTATAGTTGCTTTTGCTCCTTTCTTCGTGCTTACCTCTAAGAGTTGTAGTTGAACTGCAAACACTTTCAATAAATGATGAGGATCCCTTCTATTCAATGCATATCAAGTGACTATTGCCGTGCTGAAAAATGTATTAACTATTTCGAGTATAATTGATCGATCGATTTTACCATTGAGTTATTCTCTTTTATTCTGGATCAAAACTACCATTAATAGGCCTTGTCTCCTATGCACATTCCAACTAAGTCCCCCATACAAAAGTCTTTGATATTCATAAGTTATTCATCTAATTCAAAAAAGATTAATTCGTTCGTTGAAGTCAAACCGATTGGAGTGCTCTTCCCATCTATCTTAATAAACTTTTCTATTTATCAGTAGAATCTTCTTACATTTATAGTTTAATTTTTATAAATTTCCAAAACCCAATCCACAAATGTACACAATTCCATCTTGTGTTAGGAACACCGAAAATAGGTTGCCTGCACTGACTTGTTATAAAGCAGGCAATTTAATTTTTGTTGGTTCAATAATGGTTTTCAATCTTGAGATTCCCAATTGAGAATTGTCGTTCAATCCAAATCCAAAACATTCCTGAGCCTCTTTTTATATTATTTATATGCTAGAAATACCTGTCAATACTAATGTATGCTTATTACCGCCATGAAACTTGAATACAATTTGTTAAAGCACTCACTTTGTTCAAATTCCCATTCTACTTGACTCCCAATTAACCACAAGAATTGTCTCCCCAAGTGTAAAGGGATCCATCAGACGTAACACATGCAGTGTGAGTGTAACCACAAGAGACTTGTATAACTCTCTTTTAATATAAAAGATTGTACTTGCTCAGTTATTCTATTTTTTAAGGGGCTTGCACAGACTGTTTAGTAACATGTCCTAATTTATTGTGCTCGTTGCAGCCCATGGTGTACACGTGACCATTCTAAGTGAGAAGGGCCGTGTGATCCTTGCCACAAGAAACCTAGACAAAGCCGATTTTATAATGACAAATTTTTGGTATATGGTAGTATTATGAGGATCCTCGATTCTTGCCCAATCCCAATTATCCTTCGTTATCAGCTATAAGGTTTAGTAGTGACAATACCTCCCCAAACATAAACTATTGACTCAGAGATCATATAAGAATTTCAAATTTAACGATATATTAATTATATTGATGTTGCAAGTAGTACTATCAGATGAATAAAACTTATCTATTTCATAAGAATTATTTCATCAGGGCGGCAATTTTAGGATTTCAAAATAATCCCTGATTAAAATAGTTAGCGCTGCTCAGGAACGGCTATTTGCGGAGGAGATTGATGAATTAGAAAATATTAATGGTTTACAAAATTTGGAAATGACTTTGTGCACCAGCTTTTAGAAGGGTTTGAAGGGGGACGATTTTCAGGAGAGGGAAATTCTTTTTGGGAATAATAGGAAACCTGTAGTCCCCCCAAAAACTTACATAAAATTGCTTTTATAAGCTTTAGAGGTTCAATTATTAGTATAGAATCTAAATAGGATTTCATAATGAGAGTGTTGCTGGGTGGCCTCTATCGTCTCAATAGTAATTGGAGTGTCTACAGCAGATGACGGCCATCGTTCCTTGGCTTGGATAGAAGGATTTGCAATTTTCGTAGCCGTATTTGTGTGTTGCAATGTAACTGCAGTCAATGTAGGATATAAGCATTTATGTGTAGGACTATTAAAAGGAGAGATAATTTCAAAGTTTAAATTAGATGGCTGACAGTAGGAAAACGGTAACAGTTTGGAGAGATGGATAAAAAATAGATTTGCATTAGAGTTTAGTAATGGTGGGTGATATCATTTAAATCTTTGAAGGGATGGAAATACCAGCAGATTGCTTTGTTGTTGAGGCAGCCGAATTAACAAGTGACGTAATCAAATAATAAATGTTACATAGGAAAGTGCAATGACAGGAGAGACAGATCCAATAAAAAAAGATACCTATGAGAATTGCAAAAAGCAGAGAGATAAATTGAAAAATCAACAAAACTCTTGTGGTCGACATGATATTCCCTCTCCAGTTATGCTCAGTGGCACAAAGGTGCTTTCAGGAGAGGGTAAGATGATCGTAGCAGTTGTAGGAGATTCTAGTTGCGTTGGAAAAATCTCCTCCTTGCTTGCTACTGAGGAAGTGCAAACCACTCCATTATAAGAAAAATTAGAAGCCATTGCTTAAGATGTAGGTAAGTTCGGTCTTGCAAGTGCTGCTTTGATATTGTTAATTTTATTATTGAGATTTGCAGTGGAAAGAATTAAAGAAAATTCATTTGAAAAAGATCATGTAAAGGAAATGCTTAATTTCATTATCATCTCAATCACAGTCATTGTAGTTGCAATTCCAGAAGGATTACCCCTTGCAGTTACTCTTTCCTTGGCTTATTCTACAAAAAGAATGCTGAAGGACAATAATTTTAGTTAGAAAAATGGCAGCATGTGAAACTATGGGTGGAGCAGATATGGTATGTTCAGATAAAACAGGCACATTGACTTAAAATAAAATGTTTATGGTATCAATTTGGAATGACACTCTTATGGACATTGAAGTGTATAATGAGTAATTGGATTTGAATACTTTTTTTCCTGCTTAGATGCATGAGTTGTATGTGCAATCATCAATTGTTAATGGAACAGCCATGATTAGACCAGAGGAAAAAGGAAGTAAAACTGAAGTAGCCATGATTCTATTTGCTGAGAAATGTGGGATCATCTATGAAAAGGAAAGAGAACATCATGTTGCCAATGTTAAAATACCTTTTTCAAGCAAAAGAAAAAGAATGGCTATGATCATTGGAAAAAGGTTAGTTATAAAGGGTGCTAGTGAAATCATTTTAGAGGGTTGCAATAAGTTACATTCCAAAAGTAGAGGAATCATTTCAATCGATTCTAATGTCAGATAAAGTATAGAAAAAGCTATAGAAACTATGGCATCATAGTCACTTAGAACTATAGGATTAGCATATAGAGAATTAAATGGATCTGAAGATCTGACTAGTAAAAATGATAAAGGGGTTTATGATGTTGAAACTGAGAATTTGACTTTAATTGCTATCGTAGGAATCAAGGATATTTTAAGACCTGAAGTCCCTGGAGCTGTTGCTAATTGTAAAACTGCAGGTATCAAAGTTAGAATGGTAACTGGCGATAATAAGATCACTGCCAGAGCTATAGCCAAAGAATGTGGAATTTTAATTGATGAGGAACGATCCTTAGTATTAGAAGGTCCTGACTTTGTTAATAGAATTGGAGGTGTAGTTTGCAAATGGTGCAAGACAGCTACTTGTGATTGTCCAAGAGATTAATCTACTGCCAAACAATTAGGCAAACCAGTAAGAGTAGATACGATTAAAAATGGTGAAGAATTTGATAAAATCTATCCTCTTTTAGATGTTTTAGCGAGAAGTAGACCTGAAGATAAATACGCACTTGTGACAGGACTTCTAGAAAGAGGACATGTTGTAGCAGTGACAGGGGATGGTACTAATGATGGTAATATATTGAATTAAAGTCTTTCTAGCTCCTGCTCTAAAGAAGGCTGACGTAGGATTTGCTATGGGTATTGCAGGCACAGAAGTTGCTAGAGAGAGTGCTTCCATAATCTTATTAGATGACAATTTTAGTTCAATAGTCAAGGCAGTGATGTGGGGAAGGAACATCTATGATTCGATAAAGAAGTTCTTGCAATTCTAATTGACAGTCAATGTTGTGGCTGTCACATTGACTTTGATATCTTCAGTATTACTTAAGTAAGAAGTTCTGGAACCAATCCAAATGCTTTGGATCAATTTGATTATGGACACCTTTGCCTCTTTGGCTTTGGCTACAGAAACACCAACACCAGAATTGTTGTAGAGAAAACCTCATAATAGAAACGAGTATATGATTTCATCAAAGATGTTCAAACACATTATAGGATAAGCCATTTATTAGATGATTATAATGCTGGTGTTGTTGTTTTCTGCTCAAAGCTTCATTCCTGAATACAAGGGATCGGAAGATAGCTATGCAGATTTTGAAGGAAACTTGGAATACAAGTATTCCAATACATATTATGATGAAACAATTAAGATTCATTTATGTCCTAATCACTAAGACTACTGCAACTTAGTGTCCTTTAGCACCGATTATTTTGTGGATGGTTCAGAGAACTACGAAACATTCTATAAAAAGAGTTATATCCCTTCAAGACAATTTACGGTGATATTCAATACCTTTGTGATGATGCAGCTGTTCAACTTTATAAATGCAAGGAGGATAAAAGATGAACCTAATATCTTCCAAGGCATTTTCACAAACATCCTATTTCCTATTATAGTCATAGGGATTCTGGCTCTGTAAATAATTATAGTTACATTTGGTGGAATCGTCTTCCACTGTTACACATTTTATGGATTACGGATTCAATAATGGTAAATTGTATTGTAGATGTTAGGCTGATTTGCATAGCTTTTGGCTCAGGAAGTTTGATTATGAGAGTGATACTAAGACTAATTCCAGACCCAAAACTCTCCTTTCTGAATAAATTAGGACATAGGCATGATGAGGCTTAAAAGTTAGCATCCCCAAATGCACAGAATAACACTGGTTACTAAATTTAAGTAATTCCTTAAGAGTCTGAGTTGGCCAATTTGAATGAGCACCCCTAAGAATCTAGAATGATGTGAATATTAATTTATTTATGAATAAATAATTTCTAGCTTTGGGCATTGAGGGAAGTGCTAATAAAATTGGCATTGGAGTAGTTACTAAAGATGGCAGCATACTGTCCAATCCCAGGAGAACTTACATAACTCCTCCAGGAACTGGGTTTGTGCCTAAAGAAACTGCATAACATCATAGAAATAAAATATTGGAAGTCTTGGATGAAGCACTTAAAATTGCTAATGTTACATTAGATGATATCAGTCTAATATGTTACACTAAAGGCCCTGGCATGGCTGGACCACTTTCGATAGGTGCTACTGTTGCAAGAACTTTATCTTTACTTTATAGAATCCCAATAGTAGGAGTCAACCATTGTGTTGCTCATATTGAAATGGGAAGATTAGCTACCTAATGCCAAAACCCTGCAGTTCTTTATGTGAGTGGAGGCAATACTCAAGTTATAGCATATTCAAAAAATAGATACAGAGTATTTGGAGAAACCATTGACATAGCAGTGGGTAATTGCTTAGATCGTTTTGCCAGATTAGTCAATATAAGTAATGATCCAGCTCCAGGGTATAACATAGAATAACTTGCGAAAAAAGGCAAAAATTATATCCTTGATACTCCTTACGTTGTAAAAGGAATGGATATGAGTTTTAGTGGTTTATTAACATTTGTGGAAGATGTCGTTAATACACATCCATAAGTTAAGTTGCCTGAAGTCGAAGGGAATGATCGAGCTAAAAGAAAGAGTAAATAAACAAAACACGTCAGGAAATGGATTAATCCTATCCCTCAAGATTTGACTACCGAAGACTTATGCTTTACTCTCTAAGAAACCATTTTTGCAATGCTGACTGAAGTGACAGAAAGAGCAATGTCTCATTGTGAATCTACAGATGTCATCATAGTGGGAGGAGTTGGTTGTAATGAACGCTTGTAAGAAATGGTGTCGATTATGGTCAAAGATAGAGGTGGTAAGATAGGGGCGATGGATGAAAGATATTGCATAGATAATGGAGCCATGATTGCTTATACAGGTGTAAATAATTGATAATATGGGCTAGGCATTTTAGAGTACTTTTCTAATGGACCTACCAATTTCAAAGATACTTATGTCACTCAAAGATTTAGAACTGATGAAGTCTATGTAGGATGGAGAAATGATTGATGCATATTTAATAGTAATTGATACAGCTATTTGCAAACCTGCTAGTGGAAGATGCATATCTTAATAAATACAAAAATTATTCATTCGAACTTTGAGACTGCAAGTTCCTCTTCACTATCTTCCTACTTAATTTATAAACCATTTATAGAAATGAAGCTTTCGTCTGTCATCTTACTTTTTAGCTCTGGAGCTTCTATTTGTTCTTCAATTTCATTTGCTGTTTAATTTACACTTTAATTTTATTCTATTTATTAACTACTCAAGTAAAAATACTCATTGGTGCTTCCTTGGTTCTAATTAGTGGATTGTTGAGACACTAGTCTGTGATTATAAGATGATAATCCCAAAGGACGTGAAAAGGTATTGGAAAATTTGCCATATTTTGTTTAATATTCAGAATTGTCACACTCATAATACAAATCCTTAACTCCAGAGCTCATTTAGGATTGTTTATGTTTTTAGTCATTCTCTGTTTTTAATTCATCAAAAGGGTCGTGAGTATAGTTACTCCCATTTTAAAGATCTTGATTGTGTCTAAGGAAACTTTAAACTGCTTTTTTCTATAATTGCATTTAAGTGCTTTGTTTAGTTGAATTCGATTTGGAATGGATAGGGGGCTTAGTGGAAGCAACTTCTTCGATCACCTACAATCCTGTTGCCAATTGGATTGTCTTCTCCAATAGACATTCTTACGAATATTACTTAGTGAGAATTGCCCCCATTTAAGGCAACTTCTTTGATCTATTAGATTGAGATTGCATTAATTGTGAGGACTATTAAACTGCTTATTATTGTTCTTGAGTTGCATTGGTAACTTTGATTCTATCCTCAAACACAATTGGCTTTGCTTACAATTGGATTCTATTTATAGATGGATTTTTGCCATTTTATAATTAAATAGGTTTTCTCTATTGTTAAGCAAATGAAGTTGGCTTAACTTTTAATCCGTTTGGATTACTGAGTTTAGTTTACTCTTAAAAATTCATATAAATTTATTTGGGCTATACAGATTTCCTTTCCTATTGACTTTAAATATTTCTTTCTTAAGAGTTGGATATGTTGGATATTCTTCGTAATTGATTAGATATTTAATTTTTTCTAATTTCTAGGTTTTCGGATTAAGCTCTAACACTCATTGGTAAGAGTTCCAAGATTCTTTTTTCGCAAATCTTCTAAATAACACATAAACCATCACTTTTGTTATACATTATTATTACTTTAATTTGCCCATAATATTAGATTCGTATATCTTCTTCAATCTACAAAGAGTGTGAATACTGAGCGTCTTTACCTACATTTCTCCAACCTTGAAAAAACTGTCAATATCAAATGCTAAGCTGATCCATTTTTTTGTCAATATGAATGCACTTGATATTTTCACCTCATTTTTATTTTTTGTGTATGCTTATTGAAAATTAGGGCCTACAATGATCTTATAAGTCTGTTTATATAATAGAAAACAATACTTCGTCTTTAGAAGTAAATTCAAGGGTGAATTTCAATTTTTCAATCACGTATATTTGTATGTACAAATTGGAACCCCTCAGATTTAAATCTTGAGAATTGTGGTAAGTGTAGAGATTTGTCGGACCGACCTTTAATACGAAACCTCTATATTTATGAGTTTTTATACTTTTCATGCTCTTGTCAAAAATGATATTATCTGATTACTGTTACTTTAACTCTTCATAAACATTGATACTTTACCTCTGCATTCAAATAATACGTGTTCTTGGATGAGTTTCGGCAACTGCATCATGTATACAACTGTAATTAATATATTTAATTATTCATAAAAATATATAAATTGAGACCACTATTGGTCTAATTTTCATTTAAACTTATATAAAAAATTAAAGTGCTTAGTTATATTTATTTAAGGTTCAATGAAATTCAAAGATTTTATAGGCTTGCTTTAAATGAGCTTAAATTCTTAAAGATTACACCTTCAAAAGTGATTTCCTAACCAAACTGATTATCACTTTACTTTAATATGAATTTACCACTGGGACCAATAATCTTGATTACCTTTGTGATCATTCTATTGAAACACTCTATCTCAAATACTTTCTTGATAGTTCCGCTATACTGAGCATGTATTTTGATCACAACTTCATCCACATTCTCCAATTTAAACCCAGTTTCATGCTTCTGATTTATAATTAAAGTTATTGAAAATGGAGATTTTTCAATAAGGAAGCACAATAAACTTAAAATTAAATGAGTAATCAAATAAGTATTATTAGTAATAATTAAATTGTGTTCAGTTTGATAAGAAAGTTTAATCTATTGATAATTTAAATAATCTCTTAGTGGATTCTCTATCTATTGTATTAGGCTTTGAATGTTAATAGTAGAAATTTTTAATTATGGAATATCGTTATTATTGATACAAATCGAAAAATATTCTGAAATGAATTGAAGTAATCGAAAGTTTACTTCAGACAACAAAATAGATTTTTACTGTAATCCTCTAGAAGTTATAAGTGAACTCATTTATTTAATTCGAATTTCAAATAATTTTTGAAATTAAGTAATGATCTTCCTAAAGCTATCTCGCTGTTATTTAACCTTAATAAATTCTTTTTTAATTTCATTCTATTAAAGTAATACGATAGCTTTGGCTTCTCCTTTTTCGATAGTATGTAAGATTTTTATTTTATAATCGCATTTCTCATTGAAGTCGTAACCCTGCAAGAATTCAAAATGATCGGATTTTTATTTAGTTAATGATTTATGAAGTATTTACTCAAGAGTTTCAGAGCTGTCTAAATTTGGAAATGTATTTCGAGTTAATCTAATTTGGGAGTTCTAAAATAAGCAATCACTTCTTACTCTTGAGGATGAAATTTTTGTTTATAACACTGCTGGTCTCTGCTATTTGGGGATCAGAATTTATCTGATGAACTTCCTGAAATCCTCTTGAGAGGAGAAGTTGAATCCGATTGTGGTTTAATTTTAAGATTCTAATTTTAGGAAATTTGTTTTTCTGTCATATTTGACTTTGAACACCTATATACCAAATTGCTCAATTAGACTACCATATTGGACTTCGTTTCTTTGTTTTAGTAAGAAGAACTCTCTTTTTTGATATTCATTTGAATAGTATGACAAGCAGGTTAAAATAAGAGCTAATTTATTTACTTTTGGTACCTAATATCAACATAACTTAATTTCCATTAAACGAGTTCTAAACTATTGTCTACACTAGAACTAAAGTAGTAAAGTTAAATATTATAATTGCCATATTGAGTGCAAAGTTTGACCCCAAAAGTAAACTGAACTGCACCAAAACAACTGTTTATCCTATCATCAAATTTAGGTCTGGAATTAAATCAAATAGGACTGTAACATTGTATATTAAACCAATTAAAAGGTTGTTAAATGGTATGATGTAGTTAAATAGCTTTGGATGCTTTTTTATTAGTTTAAAAGTCATCAAAAAGATCAGCGGTAAACAAATGATGAAATATTTACTTCTTCCAAACCCTATAGGGTAAACGAACTCCAAGGAGAAAATGATGATTGCGCTAATTGAGCCAAATACGCACACTCGTTCATAAAAAAAGGTTAACATGGGAAGTTGATCAACGAAAAATTGGTTTTATTTTTAAGTGTTTTTGAAGGATAGCATAATCTTATTCATTTTTTATGTTGATTACGATATGTAATTTCGAATTAAAATATATAGGTAAAATAAATAAAAAAACTTCATTCTTTATTCAAATAATTTAGAGATCTCTTTTGTGACCTATAATTTCCTTATTAAAAAAGAAGATACTAACTGACGAATCTGACTTTCGTTGTATAATGGCTAATATATTATTGATTAAATAATTTATAGAGAAATAATTATAAATAAAATGGATAATAATGAACACAAGGAGAATCAGGAGAAACAATATATATGCATTGATCCCAAATGCGATTAATCGAGCAGACTATTTAAGGCAAAAAATGACATTCACCCTCATAAGGCTCACGATTATCAAGTCTACTCAGAGTTCTAGAAACTGATCCGTGCTTAATTCCCACAACAAATCAGGGAATAAATTAATTAACAATTTAACAAGGATGAACTCGTAAAGGCCATCCAAAGTCGATCTGTCTAGATGCATGAGTCAGTTAAGATCTTTGAGGAAAACTTAATAAAGTAAATATTCTCCTTGAAACGAATAGAACCATCGAGGCTTATGATGTTTTAGGAGCAGATAAGGCCTCTATTAATCAGGCATTAAGTCAATTGAATGAATCCAATCCTCCACAATAACTCAATGTTCAAGGTCTTTTACATGTCTTAAAAATCAACAAGTTGGGACCGCAAAAAGTGTTAGAAAAGTGGAAAAGGGAAAACGAAATCATCCTAAAAGAATTGAATACTTAAGCAGAATCAGCGTTGAAAACATTAAGCAATGCTACTCTATAAAGTTACATGCATATCTAACATTTGTAGAGTCCCTTAATTTTATAAAAGTACCAATAGAATATGGTATAGTAGAATGCATTTTGCATGGAGTCATAATTTCAAAGCCAGTTCTGTGACAATTAGAGAGGAAGCTGCATATGAGAAAGGAAATGCTATGGGGTTGATTTGCATCCAGCAATAACTTGAGAAGGATCAAATACAGAGTCTAACAATAGACTTGAAGGAAAGAGGAGGAGTACTATATATTGAAAAAATAGAATTTGTATATCGGAGTTATGGATATAAACGAACGAAAACAAAAAGGAAGAAGAGCATTTAGTTTTCATGACTGGAATGAGTCCGGCCATGGATTGTATTTGATTTATCATGGAGGGTGTAATGAATCAATAATTAATTTAGATGTATTTAGTTCAAATGATCCATCCATAAATACCAAAAAGGTTGGCTTTAATTTTGATTAAAATGATAAATTAATACTCACTTGGAATGGTCCTGAACACAGTGTTACAATCTTGAAGGTAGGAAGTAGTCATGTAAATTTTTATCCAATAATCTATAGTAATTTGCTTTCAAAGTAAATCCAGACGGCTAATATCACTTTGCTGTTGGACTATTTAAATGCGAAGTCAGATTGCTTGAATGATAAAACCAAATTAACAATATCATTTATTGATTAAATAGTAATTTATATATTCTGATCATTATTGTTTGATCTTAATTTTAGTAAAGAATTATTTTCAAGAATATATACAATTACATTAAGATTCTTCATTAAATAAATGAAATAAAAGGGCAAAGCTAATAAAAGTAAGAACGCTTAAACAGACCATCAAACCAAGAAAGATGCTCTTGCAAGAATCAAAATTACAGAGGATGTTTACGAAATACTGGCTTATACTACAAATGAAGACAATGACATTAGGTTAGCAGCAGCTTCCTAACTATGTCCTTGTAAGGTTTAAGAGGATGTTCCTGAATTTTGGACCAGAATCTTTCAGCTAGCCGATGATCCTGACCCAAGAATTAGATCTAGAATTCTCCATATTATTTGCGATGGCTCTCCTAACAGATTGTAAATAGAAGTTATGGAAGCTCTAGAAAAGTTCAATAGGGACTCAGATTCTGAGATTAGAAGATAAGCACATAAAGTATTAGCCAAAGCCTAAAAAGGAACATGGAATGTGTTATGATTACTGAAATTATTAACAATATCAATTCAAAATTACTGAACAATCTTGTTTGTTGAGTATTTAATATTTTCCACAGGCTTAGGTTTACTTCTTAATGAATCTTTCCTTATAGTATCTTATTAATTGATTAGATTTTCAGAATTATTTTTCTATCCTATTTGGACCTAAGACAATCTTTATTGTAGAATATTGTATGATGAATTTGAATTGGTTTATTAATTAGAACTTTGATCGTTTGTGAATTACATAGGCTACATCGTTTTAGTTCTATTATATTTTTATATTGGATCTGTTCTTTATTCAGTTGTGGAGTATTAATTTTAATTTTTAGCGGGAGAAGGTTAGAATGATACTTCTTTTGATGAATATTTTAGTTTCTATTCCAAGATTCTTTAATTTTCTAAAAGTTCTTCAATTTTTTATTGGTAACTTAAGTTATTGTTTCTAAGTTCTTTATTCTCGGATTGTAACTCAATTACATCTTCATGTAATTAATTAAGAATGCCACTATCATTTGAATCCTATTGATCTTAAGTATATTTGTTTAGTTCTTTCCTTAAATATTCAACTTCAATTTGTTTCTATTCATACTTCTAATTCAAGTCCATTCTCATTAATTTCTCTTCCTTATATTGCTTATGGACTTTAAGTAGTTCATTTTCTAATTCTTCAATTTATTATTCCTTAACTTGTTTATATTGATTAAATTTTTATTGTTATAGCTTCAATTCTTCGAGAATCTCAGAATCAAAACCATTATTCACAACCAGAGTCTAATCACTCTTTTTAGCTTGTTCCAGTTCTTGTTTTAATTGTGATATTTCTTAATTGGCCACTCTTTAAGCATCTGCCATTCGATCCAATTCTTAGACTAAGATCTGTATTCGTTCTAAACATCCTGAGTGTCTTTAATCAGTCTAAAGAGTATCAGATCTAGTGGAATTGAACATGTTCCCAAAAGATCTATTGCGATCATTCTCTTAAATAGAGCTTCTTTATGAATAGTATTAATACATAAATAAATTTATTTTTTAATTAAAATCAATTTCAAAAATAATTTACTCCTCATATTTTCAATAACTAACACTTTAAGACATAATCTCTTTAGTCCTCCTCAGTTAAGCTTTTATTATTTCCATCTTCCCTCTCAACATATAGTTTGTAATCTGCTCGAAATAGATAATTATCGCAATCTTCAATCCATTTATAATGTATAATAGGAATATTCTTTTCCTAAGCAATCATGATACTTCTAATCTTTCTTCTTCCAACTGTAATGACGTAACTGTTCTCTTGACCCACAAAATTATCCTCTTTGAACTCTCTGTAAACTTTGGCTCCCAAAATAACAGCTTTATCCTTTGCTTATTCTAAACCTCTCTTTATGGTTTCTTCATGTGCTTCTGATATTGCAAAAAATAATGTAACACCACTCAATATGCTCCTTCTCATTTCTAAATATATTGTTGGAACACTGATTTTTCGGTTTATTATTATATCCAAAAGATTTCTCTCTTCCAATCTTAGGCTTGTATCTTCAATAATCTCCGTTTTTACTTTTTTTGCCTTGCATACTTATTATTCTATTTCTACAATGAAATTTGGATCATCTTGAGCCTATTTGATTTGGCTCCAAAACTTATCCGAAATTTCTTTCAATTTCTATGTTATCGTATAAAGCCAAAAATCATTTTTATTGAATATTTGTACTTCCTTTTCAATATCAGTCACAATTCCTTAGCCATCCTTTGTAGAGCCATGTTCATTAAAGTATACGAAAGGTTTTGTATGTATGAGATTCTCTTTGAATTGATTCCACATTCCAGCATTATCATCCAAAATTACTAATAGATTAGTAGCAATTCCTGGATAAAAGAGTCTGTTCAGTGATTTACTGTTTGAACATATAGTATCCTCGCGTGATAAGACTCTTTATGGAGGAAAGAAAGGTTTATGTTCAGGAATAAATTCATTTAATCTATGAGTAATAAAGCTTAAGATGAAATCTGCATATGACTTACTTGCCTTGGTGTAAATGAAGATATCAAACAGAGGTATCAATGTTAAGAAGAACTACTCGAAGTAGGGTCTTAATTTGATGATAAACTTGCTCTGCTAATCGCAAGTCATATCTAATAAATGTTCCTTAATATTAAAGCCCAATTGTTGGAACCCATTGAATTATGCTTCACTGTCAGCCTATATCATTTTATTCTGCTTTTCACAAAACTCATATTTATTGAAGGTAGTCGAAACTTTGATGGCGTGTAAAATAGTTTGATCTAGATCCAGTACCATAATGAGTTTCCTTTTCTTCAAAATATCAAGAACTATTTCTTTTGAAATCTTTTTAGAAATATCATCCGAATAATTGAGATCTAATGATTCCACATTGCGAATGACCTTTTCATTACAAATCAGACAATAGTTATTCTCAATTTTCAAATGGTTGCAAGTTTGTGAGCTATCAATCACCATTAATGCATAGTTTCTTGGCAAAATTATTTTTGTCTTGGCTAATTCAATTACTCGACCATTAATCTTAGATTTCAAGTCAATAACATCTTCTTGGGTTTCATCTGAGCAAATCCCTAAAATCATCGTGGGCGAAATGTAATCTCCAACATTGACCTTCCACTTTAATATTTGAATATTTCCCTGACAATTCTTAATTGCAAGTTAAGCAAAATTCAATTTGACATAATTTTATTAGGCCAATGAGGAAGTAGAAGTTGTATTATTTTCTAATTCTTCCTGCTTATAATTAAATACTTTATACTTGATTAGGTATATCGCCTTTGTTTTTATAGATGATTCCAATTGTAAAATATTATTCAGTGACTGGTATTTCAAAAACCTTTTGATTTTATGCCCACACAATAAATCCTTGCGAAGATGCTAATATCGATTTATTCTGATTTTCAAATATATAAACTCCAATCTTTTCATTTTCCTCTACTTTCTCTCCTGATTATTTCAATACTTCGATCTGAATTGGTGAAACATGTTTAATATTAATTCTAACTTAAGAATTAGTATCATTCTAAGTTTACTAATATTTTGGTCTCATTTTTTATAATAATATTAAAAGTTTCTCAAAATTTCCCTCTAAGTTTTATTTTTGAAATATCCCTTCTGATTTTGCATGAAACCCTTGATTAGATTATCAAAAGATATTAATTCTAAACAATAATAATAAAAAACATAATAATATTAAGGTAACTAATATTAATCAGTCCATTTAGAATGAATGACAATAAAAAATATTATATAACAAATATTAGTAAATAATGTCTGATTATTATGATGAGGAATTTGGATATACCCCAAGTTATACGCAATCATTTTTTAATACAAAACAGATTAATTATATGTATTCATTGATAAATTCGATATAAAAGATTATATCAATTATTACAAATTGTAAGTATAAAATTGAAATCATAGTTAATTTTAGGAGGTTACTCCACAAAGATGTACATAAATGATATAAAATTTCACATTCTTCGAAAATAGTTGTTTTAATAAATTAGAAATTTAATTATCAACCTATTGCACTTAATAAAAATCTTGCACTATTTTCTTTTCATGCAATCTGAACAATAAATTGGTTTATTATTGAAATTTATTTCTCCTTTGATTATGAAATTTAAGTATTTTGATTATTCTTCTTATTCATTTATTATTATGTTTTTGTCATCATGATTATAATACTCATTTTTCTTTGTCCAATATAATACCACCATTAAGTTAAATTGAATTTAATCTCAGTTTACCCTATATATAGATAGGAATAGTCTCATTATATATGTTGGTTCATTGTTTAATCGAATTAAATGAAAATTATAAAAATCAATATTAAAGTGACAAATAATAAGAAAGCATTGGTTTTTATTAAATTAAGATTATCCAATAAATAAATTTAATTTATGAAATACTTGGCAGTCCTGGTGATTTTATAGGCAGCATTGCTTTGTACGTGCTATTCTAAAAGCACTGAAGAGAAGGAGAAATCAGTATATTTCATTTTCTCAGAGGAATGTTTCGATAAATTAGTGATCTAAAAAGATTTCTTAAATATTGAATGCGTTAAAAAGACTTTATCTGAATTTATTAGTTATTCAATAGTAGCATTATCAGTCATTTTGAAAGCACCTTAGATATTTAAAATAGTTCAAAAGTCAAAAGTCACTGGATTATCATTTGATTCAATTTTCTTTGAAGTACTATTTTAATTCAAATTAAGCTCTTTGTTTATTCCTTTTCTATTGCTTATAACGTGCATAAAGGAAATCCTTGGAAACTTTATGCAGAAAATGTTGCCATTTTATTTTAAACTGTGATTATCGTTGCACTTTTTAAGGTTTATGAGAAATCATTCACTCTGAGATAATTTTATTTAAGAATTGCCATTTTCCTTGGAGTAAACTTGCCACTTTTCACAGGACTCATTCCTAATAGTATCTTTAACTTAGCTATCATCATAAATATCTGTTTGAGTAAGATATAGCATAAATAATATTTTAGTTTTGTTTGCAAGACTACCTTAAATTTGGTCAAACTTTAGAAATAAAGACACTGGTTAACTTGCTTTTATAACTATCTTTTTGTAATTCGCAGGAGCAGCAGCAAGATGTTTCACTATTCTAGTCAGCTCAACTGATGGAATGTTGATTGTAAATTATTCATTTATTTATTTAAATTAGCTCCTCAATATCATTAGTGTAACCTTGAATTTTACTCTAGTGTTCTAAATGATAGCATATTGGAATTCTAAGAAAGGAAAGCAAGATTGAGTTAATAATATAAAATTTTAATCAAAAATTAATAATTTTAATAAGCACTTTTCTTTAAATAGGCAAAATATATGATAAAATACAATTTTCTAATTCAAATCAAAATAATCTCAACTATTATAGACTTTTAATTAAGTCGATATTTTGAAGTTATTCATATTTAGAAATAACTTTTCTCCTTATTTCAATTATTATTTAAAATTTAAATATATTTAGCATTAACTTTGAGATTCTCAAAAGTAAATGTCTATACTGTAATTGATTAGTTCCATATAATGTTAAGCTTACGATTGTCTTATTATTAATATATAGAAAGATGATTATATGGTTTTTGATTTATTTTAATAATCAATCTATAATTAATATGAGTTATGATGATGAAGTTTGGATAGAAGACTAAAAGGAAATTTGCAAAATTGAAAGGCTCAATGAGGCTTAAGCTGCTAAAAAATTCAGGGTTGACCCTTTGGCTAAATAAGGAATATAAGACCTTCTAGTATTAATATTCTTATGAACATCTTAGTGTCTATCAGATTTGAATGAATTCAATTGTCTTCATAATATTCGAATTCGATATTTGAGAGAATAAATCTACACACAAATTGGCTCTTCTATTTTAGTTTCAATTAATCCTTATGTTTTTCTACCAAATGTCTATAACCAAGAAACAATAGCTTATTACAAAATCAAGCTTGGACAACACCAATCCGAATTGAAAACTAGCGTTAGAGAGAATGAATTTCATCCTCATTTATTTAAAATTGCACAACTTTCATTCGACTAATTGTTTGAAACTAAAACAAAAGAATTAAGAATATGCTCAATGATCATTTCTGGGGAGAGTGGATCAGGAAAAACAGAATCAACAAAAATACTTTTGAAATACTTGGCAGCTGAATCAAAAAGCGGTTTATTTAGAACTATTTAACAGGGATAAACTATTGAATAACAAATATTTGCATCTAATCCAGTGCTAGAAGCATTTGGTAATGCTAAAACTGCCAGAAATGACAACTCTAGTAGATTTGGAAAGTTTATGCATTTATATTTCAATGCAGATACTAAAAGAGTTAGTACAGCTAAAGTAGATAATTACTTATTAGAAAAAAGTAGAGTTGTTAAGATCAATAATTAAGAAAGGAATTATCACATTTTTTATTAAATAATAGCATCATAAATACCAGAATTAAGTATATAATTATAATTCTATAATAGAGCTCTAAGCTCCTAATAAATATGAATATTTAAAAGGAGGGGATTTGAATTATTAACGAGACGAGAAGTAAGAATTTGAAGAAACTGATAAATGTTTAGATAATTTAAATTTCAGTCCTGATCAAAAGAGATATATATATCAAATACTAGCTGGATTACTACATCTAGGGAATATTCAAATTTTATATGATTCTTAAAAATCTACATTGAAACTTGATGATTCTGTTAAATTGGCCTCTTAATTATTAGGAATTTAGATTTAATATTTAGAAGATTTAATTTGCAAAGTCTTTAATTATGTGGGAAAGGAGACAGTAACTAGAAATAATAATTTAGAAAGTGCTTAAAGTGCTAGAGACACATTAGCAAAACATTTATATGAGAAGCTATTCAATTGGTTAATAACTAAGATTAATGAACAATTGTTGAATATCAAATCTTTAAGCTTTTAGAATTAACAGTAACCATAGTTAACAAAATATATGATAGGCATTTTGGATATTTTTGGATTCGAAATTTTCACAGATCCAAATGGATTGCACACAAACAGTTTTGAGTAATTAAACATTAATTTTACGAACGAAAAATTACAATAGCACTTTAATGAGTAAATGTTTGTAACTGAGTAAAAAGAATATGACTAAGAATCAATTAAATGGCAATAAATTAAGTTTCCAGATAATAAAAAAATAATTGATCTAATTGAAAATTCTTAAACTTCAATATATAAAATGCTGATTGATTAAACTATTGTGCTAAATCGAGGAGATAAGGAGTTTTTGAGTTCTCTTAAATAATTGCCTAAAGATCACTTGGTTTTGGTTAGTGACTTGTAAACAGCCGAAATTGAATCTAGATTTGATAAGAAATTACATAGGGTTGCCAAATTTGATTGGTTTTGTTTAAAGCATTTTGCTGGTGCTGTTGCATATAATGTGTCAGGATTTGTAGAAAAAAATAGAGATTCGATAAATTCTGAAGTCTTTAAAGTGCTCCCCAATAGTACTAATCCTGTTTTGAAAGAGATATGGTCTTAAGTATAAAATGATAATTAAAATATGAAATAAAACAACGTTGTTACTAAATTTTAGAACTCATTGAAAGATTTGCTGAATTTATTGAATTTATCCATACCTAAATACATCAGATGTATTAAGCCAAACAACTTTAAATAACCTTTAACATTTGATGCTTCAGAAGTCAGAAGATAGATGACATGCGCAGGTTTGATGGAAGCTATTTAAATTAGAAAAGCTGGTTATGAAATTAGATAGAAGCATTCTGAATTCATTAAAAAATATTAGCATCTTGTCAATAAAAATCCAAAAAATATCAAGAATATAGAAGAAATGCTAAAACTTCTAGGTGAAAATTAATAGATTGGAGCGTTTTTGAAAGAATAATAAACCGAATTAGGCTTTTAAATAGGAAAGACTAAATTATTCATGAAATAACATTTTAGAGAGTATTTTGATACCAAACTCATCGAGTTTAGATTAAAATACATTTTGAAAATATAAAAATAATTTAGAATTTATAGATAAATAAAAATAATGAAAAAGTAACTAAAAGAATTGCATAATAAACTAATAAGAATAAAAAGAGCAATTAAGCGATTCTTATTTTAAAAGTCAATAGAAAAAAGAATTAGTTTAAGAAGAAAAATAAATGCTCTTGTATCTTCATGCATTAAAGCTTAATCAAAAATTAATAAACATTATTCCATTAATTAATTGAAAGATAGAATTCAAGAAATCAAGAATCTAGAATAAGCATAAATATTGGACGATGTAGAAATCATTGATAAATCTATTGAATTTACTAAAGTATTAAGAATAGATTCTGATTCTAAAGAAAGCGACCTTATTAGCAAATAATAATAAGAACCCCTTTAAAAGGAAATCAAGTAACAAATAGAACCATAATAAGAATAAACTCAGATAGAAAAAAAGGAGGCTAATTCAAAAGGATCCTTCTTAAAATAAACAGTAAAACAAAATACTCAAGAAATAAAATAATAAGTCGATAAAAACTAAGATTAAATAAAATTATAGGAGTTAGTTCAATCAAAAGAAATTCAATTTTATGAAGAAAAGTTAAGCTCATTGATGAAGGAAATAGATGAGGAGAAGAATAAACGAGTTTAAATAGAATAAGATACCAATTAACGAATTTAATCACTTAAACTTGAATAATAAAGCGAAATAACAGAAGAAAAACATAGAGAACAGATTTAAAAATTGGAAAATGAAATATTCAGAAGAGATTAAATAATCCATGATCTCAATGTTAAATTGAATGATTATTCAAAGCAAATCAAACAATCTAATTCTATGAATCGACTTTCAGATGTTTAAAATATCAAAATTTCCCAATTAGAGAGCCAACTTCAGAAGAAAAATGATTTGATAAAACTTTACTAAGATTAAATAAAATCCTTAAATAAGGGATGGAGAATTAAGATATTAGAAAATGAATGCCTATTCAATTACTTTAATTTAAAGACTTATTAATAAAAATTAGTAATGCATTATTATATATTTAGCCTATATACGAGCAATTCTAGATTACATAAATTGTTGAAACTGGTGATTTACTTCAAAAATAAATTAAAGATCTTTAATAATAAATATAGTAGTTAGAACAATCATTATCAAAGTCCTAAATAACAACATAATGAAATATAAATTAAATTCAATATTTTCATTATTCTATTTTGAGTAGTAATTTTATAAATGAATGACATTTTTAGTCTCAATCTAAATTTCTTAACTCATAGTATGAGGAAAATATTATATTCCTCAAATTTTAATATATCATTATATATAAATGATGAGAATACAAATAGATGAATGAGGATATATTTATTTATAAGAAACATCAAAAATTTAAGAAGGTATTGGAATTTTAAAAGAAAATTCTCTTATTAGAGTATTTCTTGTTAGAAAATTTGAATAATAATTATAATCCTTAATAAAATAAAGGTATAACTTTATTTGCAAAACTATAAAAATATTCATTTTAGTTCAATCTCAAAATATCTGTCTAATAACTACTGTTTCTTAAATTTTTATTTTTCTAAATCTTTCTTAGAAGTTAAATACTATTAACTCAAATGATTGTATTAGGCTTCAATTTCTGATAGTCTTTCTAATTCTTCTTATGCTCTTAAACATTTGTCGACTGAAGTATACCACTGCTTCTTTGTGTATTTTAATTAAAGTGTTAATTGTTCAACAATACCTATTAGTTATCCTTCATCAAATCGCGTATCATTTTTAATCCCACTCCTTAAAAATAAAGGACTTTTATCTTGTACTTATTATTATTATTATTATTCTTCAACCATATCACTTTCTGTATGAAGTTAAGGAATCGCAGAAAACATTAAAGGTGTCATAGAATTTAATAGGAATTGATTCAAATCTATGTCTTCAGTCTATTATTCAGCATCAACTCCTTTGCATTCACCTTAAAATCTTGGGCTTTTTACATCATTCTCAAGTTTTCTTGTCTGTTCACTCAAAAAATGTTCAGCACTTGCATCATTTTCAGTTTTTTCAGTTTAAGTTGATTTATCTTAATTTTGTGGTTTTTCATATATGAATGACTCAAAAATCTGATTTTCTAAAGTAAACTCTCTAATTCTTTATGAACCTCTGTTAATATGCTTTAAAATATCATTAAACTGATTTTAGACCTGATCTAATCGTCGAGAAGAGCTACTTCTATGGGTTTTGACTAATGACTCACCTAACTCGTTATTTGTATTTTATTATAAGAGTTATTGTAAAAATAATTAGATTAATTACTCAAATTTTTCTTTGATTTAATCAATATTAGGAATTTCTAGATACAAATCTGATAAAGATAGTGCAATATCAGGAAAAGCAGTAAGCCTTGATTTCTGTAATTCTTGCTATAATTCTTATCCTTACTATTCTAATTGATCTATCAACCCTTATTTTTCCTTTTTAAGCTTTAGAATTGTGGCGGCATCTTAAAATTGTCTAGCTATCATATATTGCGACTTTTCTTCTAGTTGTTGAATTCGACTAGTAAGCTAATTGTTGATTCGTTTTAATTCATTCATTTTAAGTTAAGCTTCTATATCAAGACTTTATGTAATTAATGGATCTTAATCATTATCTATTAATTTATTAATAATCTATTTTAACGGACTGTCTTCCTCTTGAATTTATGAAGAAAGGGAAAATAAATTTTTATTTACATTTTGCATCTGCTATTTTTATTTTAACAGTGTCTTTTATGTTTCTACTTAAGAATTAACCATTTGAGAGAGTTTATTCCTTAATTGCTCATTTTCATTTTCTAATTTTGTTTGAAGATGCTTATATTGTATTATTTATAATTCTAAGGTTTAGGTTTCAAACTGATTTGCTGGTTTCTGAGGAGATTTCAGTTGATCAATTTCTTTCTCTTTTAATTCCAATTTCTGCTTCAACTCGATTATTTACTACCTAAGATTTTCATTCACCTCCTGTAAAGAAGTCATAAAATAAAATATAGTTTTATATTTATTTTAATAATCATTTCTGAGCTTTTTTTCTCCTTATTATTGCTGCAATCCATAATTGGCTTTTTTCATTGGACCAAACTTTTAATAAGTTACTCAAACAATCAATTTTTATAATTCGTTTTAAACTCCACCTTTTATTGAATAGGCCTAAAAATAAAAATATTATCTTATATAAAAAGAAATTATTGAATTTCCCTTTCTTTTTCTTGTCTCGATCTTAAATAAATCTTCTACTTTACGATGTCATTAAAATCTTAATACAATTTCAATCTCTTAAACTGTTTTCAAGATTTATTAGTATTCAAAATTTAAGAGTTAATGAGTATCTGAAGTGAATATATAGTTATTTTAATAGCTTACAATAATATAACACTTTTTAATTTGACAAAATAAAAATAATATAAAAATGCCATAAATGCAATCAAAAATAATGCTTCGTTAAATGTGTAAAACTTCTAAATTGCTGTGGGAACAAACTCTAATTCTCCAAACCTTAGAAGTTCTGCAAACTTTGATTATTGTTACTGGATAGTTTAAGAGGAATATTAAATTCAAATCTTATATTTGATTGTCTCTTAAATTTATAAATATAGAGGCTTGAGAAAAATTTATAAAGGAACCTAATAGATTATTGTCAAAAATATTGTTATTTTCTCGGTTTCTTTTCAGGAACAGAAATACAGGTAAGTTTTTTAATTATAAAGAATTTGCGTACCAATCAGTCAAGCCACATCTTAATCTAATTGTTGCTCAACTATTAAGATAGTTGGCATAGTGGCTTCAATGCCATTAACTTTTATGAGAAGAAAATGCAAATAGTAGTTAACTATAGTTACAACAAGATTAATAAATGATTTATAGAGATAACTAGAGAAAGAAGGCTTGTTTTGGTGTTATAGAGTATAAATTAAGGTTTATGAAGAGTGTTGTTGCTGCAGTTTTGGAAGAGGTACCTTAATTTGGAATTAAATATAGAATTTATAGAAATTTAGAGAATTTTAGTAGTATATTTACAAAAGGTTAGGACTCTAAGAAACTCTATTTTTTAGTAATAATATGTCGATCGAGTGCAGCAGTATTAGCTATTTTGATTCTATATCCATTTGATAACCTAAGAATAAAATATTGGGCCTAAAACTAAAGTGTAATACCATAATTTATCTCAGAATCTTTTATTAACATAGGCAAGGACGATATCATTAACTGAAGGTCTGGAAGAATTTTATTAAAGCTATTTACCATGATTAATCAAAAATTTATCTAATTTGAAATTCTGTGGAGGGTATATGAACAACTAGCTTGAAAACAGAGGTTGAAAAACATGGATCTATGAGTGATTTAGGAACTTAGGATAGATATTTTATATATTTTATTTTGTTTCATTTAACTTATGTATTAGGATTAATTTGAAAGAGTTATAGTCTAACAGTTTTCTTTTATGAAAGTTCTTTTCTGAAGTTTATTATTGGTTTGAATTTCAATAAATTTCAAATTGTTTTTACAATAGAACCTTTTTGTATTAATTTAAATTTTCTCAATTTTTATTGATTACGAAGAATGAATTATTAATTATCTGAGTAGTAATCGATTTTTAATTTAATTATGAGTGTGTATTCTTTAAGTCCAAGAAGCTAAGTTGAATTGAAACTGTTCTAATAGCTATCTCCTCACTTTAATGATCCCTCCTTACAAAATTTAACTATAGATCACTGTATGATTAGTTTTTATGAATTTAGAACAATGCTAAGATAACTTTAAACCATTTCAGAAGTTACCTGTTCTTTAGAAGCAAGAGCAGATAAAAAATTAATGCAATGAGAAAATAACTTATGATAATCCAATCGAAGACTAGAATGAACTTCCTAAATCATAAGTATGTTCATAAAAAGTGTCAAAAAATATCTTCTAACTCATAAAGATAAATAATCTGGTAAAAAGATTTAAAAACATTTTGTTTTCGCGAAGCTACATATTATCTTAGAGTTAAAAAGAATAAATAAAAGGTAATCTCATATTGCAGGAAAAATATATTTAAGACAAAAAAAATATTTCAAAGAATCTCATCTCATTTGTTATCGGTCCGACTAATAGATTCATCATTTTATGGGATATAATCATGTTTTTTGTGATTTTAAGCTTAATTATATTAATACCATTTTTTTGGAGTTTCGATCAATCCTATCCTATACTAAAAATAGAAGAAATGTCATTGTTCATGATATTTTTTTTGATTGACATAATACTCAAACTTAACATAGCAATTATAAAAAAAGGAAATGTATTAAATTCTTTATAATTTCAAGATCATTAAAACCAGAATATACATATTGAAAAAATATTTGAAAACCTCCTTTATTTTAGATATTACTTACCTATTTTTAGTTTATTATACTATGAAAATAGAAAGCACGCTAATATTTATATCTTTTTGTGCCTTAAGCTTGATCAAACTTTAAAAAGTAATTGGTAAAATAGTCAAATTATTAAATTTATCAGAAATTCAAAGAGAAATCATTAGTTTAATCAACCTTGTAATTACAATTAATCTTATTGCTCATTTTATGGCCTGCATTTGGCATTACATAGGAATGACAACCATGGAATATGAGAAAAATAGTTGGATTCTTGATAAAAATTTACAAGATGATACAAAATAAATTAGATACATTTTCTCTTACTATTGGGCTATTGTCACAATGATTACTGTTGGATATGGAGACATAACACCTTAAAATCATGTGGAGGCTTTTAGTTGTATATTTCTTATGCTTTTATCATGCGCAGTCTTTACATTCTCTCTCAATTAGGTTGGAACTATTGTGCAAAACATTAACAAACAAAAGAGACAATTTTAGTAATAAAAATTGAAATTAATTTAGAGAAATGATGAGGATTTTGACTTGCTATATGTAATAGCACTCAGTTCCAGATCAGCTATAAAGTAGAGCAAGAAGTTACTTAGAATATCGATGCATCAAAAGAAATTAGCAATCAAAATATCATGTAATAAACTTTAGACTAAAATTAGTTGTAAAGTATACTTGAATAACTCTCATCATTTTTATAGTAAGAATTGATGCTTAATGTTTTTAAAAACTTACTTCAAGATTGCAAAATCGTCTTGCATAACTTTAGTGAAGATACAATAAAGAAAATGTCAAATTCTCTTTAAACTGTATATTACTGTCCTGATGAATATATCTATCATCAAAATTAGATGGACGATAATTATTTATATTTTTTGGATTATGGCAAGGTTGAGATCTATGAATAGAACTCCTAATAGAAAGTAACAGAACTTTAAAAAGGAAAATACTTTGGAGAAGAATCATTTTTTACATAATAACCTCGTAAATTTTCAGTTATTAGTCGAAGCTTTACAAAAGTTTTTAGGATCTCTTAAACTACCTTTCTAAACTAACTTAGTAAGGAAGAGAATGAAGTGTATCATTAAATCCGACATTTGTTCTAATTTAATGCTTATATTATTGGTCAAAAATGCCTAATATGTTCTTAGTCTGGTCATTAAATAGACACTTGTAAATTGCTTAATTATAAACCTGATATTGAAAAGTTGATTCTAAAGGATAATCTAAAAATATAGGGTAGACAAAAAAAGAAAAGATGTGGTAAAAGGTCTTGTAAAGCACTTCAAATTCATAATGTATTTTATTTATTAATTTACTAAGTAATTGAAATTAGTGCAAAAAGCAATAGAACAAAGTTAAGGATAGGATGATATCCAATTTGATGAAGATGAAAATATGTCCTTAAATCCTTAAGATCTGGAATTGAATACAAATAATGGCTCTCCTGCTTCTAAAAGAAAAGAGAGTTACCCTAAATAAAGTGAACCTTCTCTTAAAGCAGATATCAAAATTTCTCATGATTCAAACAAAAGAATTTAATTTTAAAAATCAGATGGAATTAATAAGAGCAAATAATTTCAGACTTCCTAATAATTAAGATAATTTAGTGACACTGAAATAAAGTTATTTGGTGGAGCTACTGAAAATAGAACATAAGTAGGTCAAAATTCTATATCTTGTAATTTCTAAATTATAGGATTTGAAAAAGCTATGGAATTCAAAAAGTTTTTCCCTTAATTTTAATCTGCATGTGTTGATTTCTGATTATAATAAAAAAGGAAAAATCTTAAATAAGACTTCAAAAAGTATTTATTAGCTTTTCAATCATTCAATAAAAAAGAGAACATCAGTAAAAAAAGCCAGAAGCTCTAAATATATTTAATTGCACTGATTATGTTTATATATGATAATATGAATATTAAAAACTAAAATAATATTTTTCTATTTAATTCAATGTATTATGGATGAGTCAATTAAATTATTATCAGAGGGTCGTTCATAAATGGCTTAAATAAAAGTAATTAGAATACAATTCAATATAATTTTATCAAAATTAAGTCTTTAAGAATATTAATGATTTATAGATCTAGCAAAGATCATCAATTGTCACTTTACTAATTGAATTTTATCTTCAATCTCTTTAATAAAAACTATCTTTTCAGAAGAAAAGTTATTTTAATTTTAATATATTAATATTTTCATAATTTTATCCAAAGACAATAAGGAGGAATTTAGTGATGTTTCCGATTGAACACTAAGAAAATGCATTTTGTAGAATTAAGTAACAGATAATATCTAAAAACATCAATGAATAATCAAAAAATATCCATATTCAAAAACAAACTAAGTTCAAAAGTAGTATAAATTCAAATAGAATAGCAACCAAAAGTTTATACGTTTAGAAGAATTCTGATATTTTAAATCTTTTAGATAGTATATATAAGTAAAGCAGATATTCAAATATGTTTTTATATCACTATATAAGAAAGATATTAGATATAAATTATCATAGAATATCTATTGGTCTTCTTTTTAAGAAACCAGCTTACTTCATTGAGCGGACAGTAATTTTATCATCCAAGAAGGGATTCCTCAACTGACTATGATAGACATCTCTTTAAATCGTAGCTTCATCTACTTCTTCTATAAAATCCATATATGCTTCTGATTCATCACTTAGGGATTTTTCCTTTTCTCCAATTTAATCTAAGACAATCTTCTCCTTTTATGATTAAGAATATATTTTAAAATATCCATTATAAATGACTGGTTGATTAACGAAGGAATTTGGAGATAGACATAATTGAGCGTACTTTTCATAATTTTTAAACATCGTATCAAGTTCATAATTAATTTCTTTAGATTTTTTTGGTATTCTTTTGGTTACTTCTTTTACTAGAACTTACTTTATTACATCTTTTTCGGTTTTACATTTTATTATTTCTTTACTAAATTTATCTAGTAACTTTGGCCTTGGGGAGTTAAAGATTTAAGAATTTTCTGTGGTAGCTCTTTTTACTGTGTACTTTTACGCTGCCAGTTATAGAGCTGACTGGCTTTTACAATAGGCCTATAAAGAAAAGATTTTTCTAATAGTTTCCTTTTTGTGATCATTCTAATCAAGGCTTATTTTTGGCTCTTAATATGGATGACTTATTCTGTAAGTGCTTTGACTACTTTTGACTTCATAATAGCCTCTTCGTTTAGGAATCTTAATATCAGTAGAATAGATACTTTTGTTGAGCTAATTGAGCTAATGCCAATTAAGGATACTCTACTATCCTATTTTAATCTATTAATGGCCTTCTGCAAACTAGGACTTCGATTCGATGAAGGATTTGAGATGGAATAATTGTTTTTCAAGCTCTTGCCGGAAAACATGGAGGTGCTTAGATCAATAGATGCTAAATTTTTTTTTTTCATTAATATTTTCATTAATGAATAATTGATTAAATTAATTTAAAATAAAGATCTAAGTCATTATTGAGGAATTGTATTTATGTTACCATCTTTTGGAACTAAATTAGATCTGCAGACAGGACATTCTTTTTTATTATTTTTAAGCCACTCTTTTATACATAAAGAATGGAAATTGTGACTAAATGTATACGATCATTTAATACTGGCAACATGTTTGTCTAACCTCTAGTTCATCATTCAATTTTTATAAGCAAATGGTGCAATCATCTTAGTTATTTAATTCACTAATTGAAACTGGAGATAGATGATCGAAAATGTTGATTTAATCTTATTGATAATTTCCAGACGATTCTCCGTACCTAGCCATTCTCAATCTTTGTTATTATAATAGTCTTTTTCTGCTTCTAATGTTCTTACATACAAAAAACATAATTATAATAATAATCACTGCTGCGGATATCACGATGACAATTATAATTATAACAATAATAGAAATTGTATTTTCATATCTATTGTATGTTGAAAGTTCTATTAATAGAGTGCTTACTAATGAGTTTAATTGACTATTCAATTATCTAGCTCCAAAAACAAACTAAATGTTATCATATTCAGAAATAGAGTTCTTCTTTATTGTAAAATCAAATGGTTAAGAGTCATAAATCAATTTTTATTTGATCAAGACACTATCAGCATCTAAGTAGTTTTAGTTTGGAATTATTATTGCATTAGTGAGCTCAAAGAAAATTTCAATTCCTGAAGGGCTGTCAGTCTAATTTTCAACTTATAAATTACACTTAATCTTAATTTAATATCCATTTACTCGTAAACATTTGTGTTCAAATAAATAAACTAAATCTCATCTCCAAAAAGGTTAATCTGTGTTTAATTCTCCTAAATTTCCTTTGCCGTTTAGTGGCAATCAGTACTTATATAACCAGAGTTGCATTCACACCCATCATCCTTTTATAGAACTCACACTTACTGTGCATTCACCATAATATGAACAATTATTATCACAAAACTCCTCCTTGCTACCCCAAATTGTTATATTGTAATATCCACTAGTGCTATTAGAGGATGCAGAAATGTAAATTATTTTTCCATTAGGTTCGATTTTCAGAAATCTGGTTCTTCTCTCTTCATAATAACTTATTCATTAATTAAAATAATACCTCACGTAGTCACCTGGAGACCCATTTAATTCAGGAATCTAATTTAAATCAAACAATAGGAAATAAGATAAATCCTGTTATAGTAATGTAACCTAAACATAATAATAAGGCTGCTCTAGATTTGTTATTCTGTATATATTCTTATCATTGACTCTGTCTATTGAGGTCCAAAAGAATTTATCATTGAATTCAACATCTCTTTATTGCTCAGTTAGCAAGAAAAAAAAGAATAGTATTAGCATATAATATATTATTAATTAAAAATAGGTGATCAAATTATTCCAAACCTTTTCCTTAAAATAGAATATGGTCTCACATTCTTTATCAAAGAAATTAAGCAACTTTTAATGCTTAATTAGCCCATTCATAACTAAGGCTTAGATCTATTTTCAGTTTGATGCACTGTTTAATTTAGTACTTTTTTACAATAATATATTTAAAAAAGATTTTTCAATTTAAGATTTTATTGTTATAAATTTAATGATGCCAATCTCTATGGTATGAAGGTTTAGAGGATTATCAATTGTTCTGAGGGTGTGAATTAAACCTAGTATTTAAAGTGTCATAAGCCTTCAAGAGAATTAAACCAAACAGACTTTTATTACTTATAATATTGAATTATATATATAAACTGTTGAATATTTTGCACATCAACAACAGTGGTGCATTTATTTACTCTAATATGAAACCATCATGATAGAATTTATCTAAATCACTTACAACACTTCATTATTAAAAATATTCTTCTTTTTCAATTTTTTATTTTTAAAATTCAATATATAAAGTTTTCTAATTATTTTAAAATATCAATCCAATACAAGGAATTTAAAAATAAATGAAAATATATCTATAAAAGCAAACGTAAAATTGATTTTCATATATTAATATTAGGTTTATCATTTAAACCAAAATAAAGCAATTTAAGTAATCATCATGGTATTGAAAATAGATGAGATGTATTTGATTGTGCTGCCTTAAGCTAATTTTAAAAAGATGATAAAGTATTTCGCTATTATTTATATTTCAAATCTAATTAAGTATTTAAAAAAATCAATAAATAAATCACCTTTTATAACGATTGTCAATACTATAATATTTTCTAGAATCTTAATAGAATTGATATAGATAGTATAATAATACTATATATAGGAAGATCTATAGACAATTTAAATGTTAAATTATTTTGTATTTTTAATATGATTTTCTCATTAGATTTTCTTTCTCTCCTCCAACAACTTGGCATTTCTAATTCTAGAGAAGAATTTAAGAACCTCATCAACTAAAACAACAGGTGCAGAAACTCCAATGATTAAAATCCTAAAATAAAATTAATTAAAAATAGTACCAATCTTAAAGGGATAATGGCACAGTGTTAAAGATGTTCTCAAATAATGGAACATAGCAGATCATGCAATGGAGAGTCATTGATCCAAATATAGCCAATATCAAATATGGATTGGCAAAAACTCCAACTTTCAACAATGATCCATCCTAGAAAGAGTTTAATACAATAAATATACTTCAGATAAAGCATTCAAGGCATTGAACATCTCGATAACGACAAGAACAGAAAGACTTAGAGTTGAAGCCTTTTACTTACCCCAAGAGAAATACAAGCATGGATCCTTAGAGAAATCATATTTGTCAAAGTTGGCAACCTTGAATCCTTCCCAATGATGGCATTCAGCCCAATTTCTCAATTGATGGAATGTGACAACTGGATGTCCATCGCCAGCCCATTCATATCCCAAATAATAGTATATGAAAACGAAGACTGTGGCCAAACCAACATAAGTTCCAACAACACAGTATCTAACAAATACGTATTCAGTGATAATTGGTTCATCGTGTTTTCTTGGTGGTTTTTACATGACATCAGGATCAGGTGGGTTGAATGACAAAGCAGTAGCAGGGAGTCCATCAGTGACTAAATTGACCCATAATAATTAGATTGAATTGAATCCATCAGGAATACCTAAGGCTGAAGATGTGAAAATAGAGACGACTTCTCCAATGTTTGATGAAATCATGTATCTAATAAATCCTTTCATATTTTGATAGATAGCTCTTCCTTCTTCAACAGCTCTGACGATGGTGGCAAAGTTATCATCTGCTAAAATCATATCTGATGCTTCTTTAGCGACTTCAGTACCAGAGATACCCATAGCAATACCAATACTAGCTTATTTTAAGGCAGGTGCATCATTGACACCATCACCAGTCATAGCAGCAATTTGATTCAATTAACCAGTTAATAATTTGACTAATTCTCTTTTGTGTGATGGATCTGTTCTTGAGAAAACTAATCCACTTGGTCTTCCAATGACTTATTCAAGCACCTTCTTTTGTTTTTCTTCTCCCATAGTTGAAAATTCCATTCCTGTAAATGAGTGAGTTGGGAATTGGGATTAATTGTGGAGGATACCAATTTACATAGCAATAGATTATGCTGTTTCTTTGATATCACCAGTAATCATGATGACTGAAATACCAGCTTCTCTGCATTTTTCAATGGATCTCTTGACTTCTGGTCTTGGTGGATCTTATAAGGCAACAACACCAATAATGATTGGTTTGTTTTCCAAATCCTTATAGTTATTTGTATCAACCAATTAACTATGAGCTGGATGTTTAGGTCCATCGTAATCACTCAATTAACCACATTCTTCTTATACACAGATGGCCAATGTTCTTAATCCCTTTTCTGCTAGATTCTTGACTATTGTTAAGAGTTAATTCTTGTCTTAAGCTTTCAATGGAACAGCTACTCCGTCTGAGTTTAGAATCATGGTAGATTTCTCTAACAAATAATCTGGTGCTCCTTTGATGAACAAGACATTTCCTTTTTCATTTTATGAACTAGCCAAAACAGACATGCTCTTTCTGTCTCTTGTGAATTCTAAGGTAGCCCTCTTTGTGAGATTCATTAACTATCTTATCATTATATTATTATGGAGCATCTAAGATTGGTCTTCCATTAAAAGATTTATCATATTTTCCAATCTTTTCAACTAATACTTTCAATGCAGCTTCAGTTGGTAATCCACTTCTTTAGACTCTACCTTTATCCACGTATAATTTGAGATTCATTGCATAATGCCATAGATTAGCATAATCTCTTTAAATTTCCGGATAAATCATTTCCTTTGAATAATTTAGATTCCAATCCATCAATCTTTCCTTCAGGATGATAAGATGTTCCTTCAATTGGGAATACTTATAATGAAGATGCCTCTTAGCCTGTCAAGAGAACTAATTCTTTGACACACATTTCATTGGTTGTTAAAGTACCAGTTTTATCTGAACAAATGATGGTTGTGCATCCCAATGTCTAGACCTTTGGTAATTTACGAACGATGGCTTTTTATTTGGCCATTCTTCTGGCTCCCAAAGCCAAACATGTAGTGATGACAGCTGGTAATCCTTCTGGGATAGCAGCAACTGCCAATGCAACAGCCACCTTGAAATAATACAATGCTCCCATTATAGTTCCACCGTAGGCAGGATCAGAGAAGTTACCAATGTTCATAACCCAACAGATGATACAAATGTATGTGACATATTTAGCTAGTTTGTCTCCGAATTCATCTAATCTTTTAGACAAGGGATCATCATCTTCTTATTTCTCCTTTGCAGCATCTTAGACTTCCTTCTAAATCTTTCCGATTTCTGTTCTCATTCCAGTGTTGCAGACTATACCAATGGCTGTTCCATTTGACACTAATGTTCCTGAGAATAAGAAATTGATCTTATCTTAAACAGCAGCCTTATCTTTTTAAACTGAATCAGTAATCTTGTTTACTGGGTTGACTTCTCCTGTTAGAATTGACTTTAATATAATATGTTATAGATACCTAATCTGTTTTCAAAGTGATTGTTTTTAAATCAGCCATTCTGAGATCGGCTGGAATTCTGTCACCTTATTTAATCTCAACAACATCTCCAATCACTAAATCTTTAGCTTCAATTTAAGTCCACTCTCCATCTCTCAATACCATGGCATGAGGAGATTGTAAATCTTTCAATGCCTAAATTATGAATCATAATTATTTTACTTCGATTGCTCTTTCAGCATCTAAGTCCTACCAAATGCCTACTGCGGCATTTAAGATCAAAATTGTAAATATAACACATGGCTCAACCCATGGAGGCACTGCATGTGAATCTTCATGATCTTCAAATTATGAAATCACAAATGAGATCACGGCAGCCAATAGCAATATTCTAACCAAATTGTCTTCGAATTGCTCCTTGATCTTCTCCCAAATACTCTCTTTTTCCTCCTTTTCCAATTCATTTGGGCCATATTTTGTTAATCTCGCACTGGCTTCAACTTTTGTCAAACCCCTTAAATCTCATATTTTAACATACTTCTAAAGGTTTGTCTGGACTGCAGCAACCACTTTTTCAACTGGATATCCATAAAATGGCTAATTCAAGTCAATTTCTGCCATATTTAATAAATAATTATAAGATAGATTTGCACAATAGGTTTGTTAAATACTCAGAATTTTAATTTAATTTGTGAGCGAATATATTAAATTATTAAATTCATCATTTTAACAAAATCATTAATATTTTATGTATTTTTTATTTGGAGAAAATTCAACTTCACACTTCATTCACCTTCAATTTCATTTGAATCTCCCCTAGGACTAGCCAAGTCAAACAGTTTAAAGCACCTTATTGTAGATGAGGGTTCTTTTTAATACAATTTAGTTGGAGACCTAGACGAAGATTGGAACTCATTCATTAAAGAGCATCGTTTTGTTGCAGGAATTGAAATAGTATTCTATTCCTCTTCCTTCATTTCACAATTTACCTGATTCTCTTCTATTTCATATTTGGACATCTATTCTTCACATTATATATTTAAGTTCCCATTATGACTAAACTTCATGTTGGTTGCAAAAGAGGACAACACTTAAGTGCTTTATTCGTTGATTTAATCAAAAAAAGGATGTCGAAGTGCTTATCTAGCAGTTATTCTTGACTTTGCATTTTTGTTTAATAATTAACTCAATAAATTCTACAATTATAGGTTGCATTGATTACAAGAGAAAGATCTGTCAAATAAATGTGATCAGGAGGAAGATCCAAATCAATGAAGCATTTCTTGTTTGATCTCAACACATCATCAAATGTTTTGCCTCCAAATACGCTTTTTCCAGTTAACAATTTATAAAGAATACACCCACTACTAAAGATATCTACTTTGGTAGTGTATTTATTCTCGGGGTTTAAATTAAGAACTTCTGGAGCCACGTACCCTGGAGTTCCACATTTGGGAAATAGAAATCTAATATTCTCTTGATTTGTATACTTTTCAAGATTTTCTAGAGTGGCCAATCCGAAGTCCACCAGAACCAATGAAGAGTAGTCATTTTTTTTAGCAAACATCAGATTGTCAGGTTTGAGATCTCTGTGAATAATCTTGCATTATATGTTTAATAAATACTTTATTTTCATGTAGCAATGCTAAATTTGATAATAATTTGTACATTAATATTTTAATAGTTTGGATTGGCAATCTACGATCAGGGAGATTCTATGAATAAATTTAAATGTTACTTTTGCTCTCTCGATTTCTTCACTCAGACTGGCTCCCTCCAAGTAATCTGTTACCAAATAGTATGTTTGATCTCCTTCGTATATCTCCTTTAAATTAAGAAAGCTCTAAGAATACGGAGAGAGGATTTTGAGAATCCGCACTTCCATTTTATAAGCTGCCTAGTTCATAAGTCGAGTTAAAGTACCAAGCCCTGTCCTTTTTCCGTTTAGTTTAAAAACGACTTCTCGATAGCCTTTATTGCATACGTGTTTTAATCCAAAATATTTTGAGCACTGTACACCTTGAATTAATTTAGAAGTTTACTTTAGCCGAACTTCCCTTCCCAATTTATAAAATTGGAATATAGAGATCGCCTATGCCTTCGTATGTTACTGAGAGACCAAGAAGCTCTTTGAATCTGAAAGATATAGTAATACTAAATCAAAGTTACTTCATCAAATCGTTGTGGTCAGCATAAAGAGTCTTGTATGAATTGTTGTATGGAAAAGCAAAAGATTAAATAATTATATTGTTTTTCTGTTTTTTCAAGTCCCAACTCAATTTAATATTGAGATCAATGTTGACTTTGTACTTTGGCGATTGCGCATCACTTGTCTATTTTATAAGGGTGGAATGATTTACAATGCCCATGACAAAATAATCCTCAAAAACACTCACGTAATATTATTTATCCCTAAAGAAGTGCTTGCGAGTTCCAATAAACTAAAGTTTGGCATCTGTGTATGCAATATACTCCATATTGTAATACAAATAATAATTTTAACAAAAATGATTTATAATATTACATTAAAAATAAATAAAACTTGATCTTTCAGTCAAATTGTCTTTTTTCAACTCTGAAAGCAGTAATATTTTGATTGAGGGCAGTGCTCTTAACTTTCAGAGGTTACGAAGGCTGAGGCGTTTAGTTCACATAATTATTGGATTATTTAAACGGAGATTCGATATCATAAGATTTGGTAGTGAATTTTGAACTAGAGAAGCAAGTGGAGTCTGAAATGACACTAAACTTAGTCAACTCATAAGCACTGGATCTATTTTTTATGGGAGTCAATTCCAAGGGATGCGAAATGTTTTTAGTAGTGAGCATTTTAATTACCCATTCCGAATTCAAGACTTACTAAATATTAAATCGTTTAGTGTGAGCAAGCATTTACTGTAACAATTATTTACACTCACTAGACAGGTTCTCATTGAATTTTATCAATTACTTGTTGCATATCTTCTCATGCAATTCTTCCTTACTCTTCGCCTTAAAAAGCAATTCCCCATGAAGCATATACTATTTTTCTATCATAATTTTTACATGTAATAAAATCCCAAGGGCCCACACATCGACTCCTTTGTCGTGTTTCAGTTTTTTGACAACCTCCGGAGGCATGTACTCAGTAGTTCCACAAATGCAAGGTTGAGCCTTGCCTCCGTTGGGCAAATATATTGACCAATTAAAATCACATAATTTGACCGTGTTATTCTATAACAAAACATTGTCCGACTTGATGTCTCTATGAACTATGTCTTTTTCATGCAGATACTGTATTGCCTAGGCTATCTAATAAAAGTAGGAGAAGGCCTCATCTTCACTGAAGACCTTCTTCTTTTTAATCAATTCATACAAAGTTCCATTCTAACAGTATTCCAAAACTATGTAGACATTTTCCTTGTCCTCAAACTTCTCTATGAATTCGACAATGTTCTTGTGTTTACAACATTAAAGGTAATTGATTTCATTGTCGATGTGTTATTTGGCATTGTATTAATTTATGTAATTTTTGGAGATCTAGAATAATAAAAGCTATAGATACTATTTTGATGGCACATTTCTTATTGTTATTTCTGTTTATGGCCAATTTTACTTTTCCATATGTGCCTTGTCCCAAGTCTCTCTAGAGTAACTCGTATTAATCTTTCAATAATTTTCTTGGTGCACTCGGTATTGTTTGGTGAGATTTTGGTGGCAAACTGAAGAAAGGATATTAAATCATAGGTTTTATAAAGAATAAATATAAATAATAAATGATTTCTTAAATGCTAAAATTACAATAATTAATTTGTTGTTTTTATTTCAAGAGTAATGTATTTTCATTGTTAATTTTATAATTTTCTCCTCAGCATTTTTAAAGCTCCCTGAACATCCAAAATATTAATTGAATCATTTCTAGATTCATAGATCGATTCTCCATAATTAACATTCATCTACCCTCCAAGTTTAAAAAGCACTTTTAACTACTCATCAAATTACGAAATGCATCTTTGGATATTCTCATGCACTGAAATCATCTACACCATACAAGATTGCAGAATGTCTGTGAATAGGAAAGTTTGGCCTCTTTAATATTCTGTTTCATATTATACCTAATCCATTCTGCAAGTTGAAAACAGTTACTTTATTGATATTTTTTAAAGTCCTGGATGAATGACATAAGGAGAATATAGATAAAATCGAGTTTACTTTTTATTAAGACATTTGAAATAGTAATTGATACTGGTAGCAACATTCAAGTAACTGTCCAAACCAATAGCCCAAAATTGATTATCAAACAAAATCAAATGAAGAGTGAAATACCCGAACATTTTCTTTTATTTCAAAAACACTAGCATCTCTTCATAAAATTTATTTTTGTCCATAGTTGAAGTAATCGATGGATACACTTAATTTAAAATAATATTGAAATTTACAATGCAGAGTCTAAACGTAATGATGAGCTGAGAAGCTATCATATGTGCATATCTCTTCAAACTCATATTGTGGACTAACATGAAAACTGATTGAAGTTTTTTATATTTTCAATCTATCCTAAATTGGAAATGCTTCTACTATCCCTCCAGAAGTCAAAAAAGCTGTAATATACTCTTTATAAGACTAATACAAAGACTTTACAGCAATCTTTAATTTGAGAGGCAATTAAGTCTTGATGATTTACCTAAATGATCATGATTAATGAAATACTTGATAGCAGAAATAGTATTTTCATCTAATTCTTGTTCGTTGCAATTTAATAATTGATTCAATCCAGGAATTGTACTGATATTGATTGTAGCTATGCCTCTCCCTCCAAAAGAACAATCTATTTTAAAGATCCAAATTCTTGTGTTCCTATTCTTCACTATCAAAACTGTTAAAGTATTATAAAGCTCTATTTCATCATAAATCTCTGATGCTCCTGGAGATGTTGGTATCTTGCATTTACTAAACAACACTTATGCTCCAGATTAACTAGAATACAATAAATGATGCTATGGTAATCCACTATACAATGGCACATTTAACATATGGCATAGTTGAATAAACTCATTTGAAGGGTATCCTGGAATTACCATGGCTAATTTATTTTCTATTATTTTTCTTATTTATTTTAAGCATTTTGGAGAGTAGATCAATTTCTACAATAGACTCATGTGTGTATTGAATTTATCAGCATTCTCAGGAGTTAAAAACCTAACTTTTTTAAATGACACTTAATGCATTTCAAAAATCTATCATAAGAATAAATGTTTACTCTTTCATAGTACATTAAGATGTCTTTGTCTTATTCATATGCACAGATATATATGATTTCTACTTATGGATCTATTGCTCTAAAAATCCTACTGATCTAAGAGTTCTCCTTTTGAATAAATTTATCCATTGTCAACCTCTAATATTCCGAGTAATTTAATGATGATAAATGTATTTCCACTCTAGGATACAACTTGTATTGGTTCCAATTATCCTATCATCAATTTGATGTATACCTAAAACATTGTTTATCTTTATAGGAATTCCTTATAAATGGAGTTTGTTCTCTGTAACACCCTCTACTTTGTCAATTCCTTTTGTTGCTTTCTCCGAAAATACTTTTAGATGTATATAGTGCTTTTGTATAATGTCTTGAGCTATTAAAATCTCCTAAATTGAATGTAGCCTTTAAATGCTGCCTATATTTTCTCAGCTGCTCGTTCTAAGCTGTTATTAATGATAATTCATACCCATCTTGTCCAATAAACAATCTCGGAAATAAATATGGGATGATCTCGTCTTTATTTTATATGCATTTAACAATATCAGACAATGTGATGGTTCTTCTGCAATGAATCAAATGTATTATTGATCTGCCATCAACAAAAAAAGTTGGACATTGATACTTGATATTGATTGATTCCATTCGTTATATAATCGCATTTATTAGATTCCATTCTTGTAAATTCTTCTATTTGAATGCCAAAAGTTCAACAGCCTAAATTCTTTTGCCTTTTTGAATCATAAATTAAAACTGTTTTTTTTCCACTTTCTTCATCGGTTTCGGTGCAGGACAATCGAACAGTAATACTTGAGTTCTCTATTTTTACGGCTTATGAATGATTTGAAAAGAAGTTTAATGATGTTGTTAAGATTATTCAAAACTCAGATCTATCTTCTATTTTAACGATTCATCGTTATATTCATTCAGAATTGATTGCTATCTAAAATTGTTCATTTTTGAATATCGACTGGCTTTGTTTCCTTGCAAAAATATATTCTTTTCAATGTTCACGCTATGGTTCGCCACATCTGTTGAAACTGCCCTCTTTCTTTGCATTTCATTTAACTCTGGCAATTTTTAGGGTTAGATGTCTGGAATTATAATCTTAATCAAATACAATTTTACATTAGAACACATTGCATTAACTTTCTATTCTAAATTCTATTCCAAATTACTCACTTTATTCTATAACTATTTCAATAAGATGATATTTTATTTTGAATTTGGCTGGGATATGTTAACTATTCCTTCCAATTTCCCTAACTATAATTTAAATTATTCAATTTCTCTCCTTGAATCAAATAATTATGAGTTAATCATATAAATTTATAATAATAATATCTATATGAATTTATTAATAATTATTTCTAAAACTTAATAATAATAGTAATGAATCCACATTTGATATCACATACATATATTAGTATAAGTGTATTTGCATTGAAATAAAATGCTTTTCAAATTTTGAATAAACTTGATTGCGAAATTCAGAATCCAGACCATTTGTTTTGTCTATGCAATTTACCTAAGACTTCCAATTAACATTAGGGAGTAATCTATTTTTGTAACTTTTTTGACATAATATTATTGTAATATTGTATTATATAATAAATTTTATTATTATCAAAATAACAAAAGTTTGATAACTCTGTTATTAAAGTTTTATGCCAGGAGCCAGAACTGTTTTTATAAAATTAAATGGTGATAATTATTTCTTCATTCAAATAATTATTCCTTGTGCTCCTTCGAGTTTTTTTGTTCTACAAGTAGGTTATATCTTTTAACTTTTAACACACATTAATTTTTATGACATGAAATTAAATAAATAATAGTAATGAGTTATTCTATAATGTAAATACTGAGTTTGTTCTAAGAGAATGAAGAACAAAATCTTCACAATATAGGTTGCCCATGTGATTCGGAACCTAGGACTCCTGCTTTTAAAGATGAAAAAGAGTAACTCATTAGGCAAATCAATGAAGTTAGACAATAAAACTAAATTCTTTAAAATGAATATTAAAAGTAAATCCTGATTTTAAGTGAAAAACTAGGTAAAATATTGTAATATTTTAGCTTAAACCCAAACTTTATCCAGCCAAATCGAGAAAAATAAAGAGCAATTGAAAAATGAGTTAAATTAAAGTTAACATCTAACTAAATAATACCTGCTAAAGCACGAAGCTTGCTTCGAAATGAAACAAAGAATATTACAATAAAAGACAACAACTAAGATTATATATGAAGATGCTGGAAAAAGAATAACAACCTGTCCAAGTGAAACATCAACTGTACAAAGCCCTTCTTTTGTAATACCATCCTCCCCAAAACCAATCGGACTCTGCTATAGTTCATTCAATCAAAATTTTTGACATTATTTATCATTAGTATTACTCTAATAATAACACTTATGAAATTGGGGAGATATCAAACTATTTATTTTTATTTCTTTTTTATGTTATGCTAATTTTAATTATAAATGTAAAGCACATCATAATTTCAAAAACTTAAATGAAAAACCATAATTCTTATTCTCATTCCAGTTAGAAAACTTTCATCAGATATATATATAACTAAAAAATAAAAATACTCAAAATAATTGAAATTAATTATCATAGCATTCATATACCGTACTAATAATGATGAATCTACACAGAATTAATCTAAGTTATTAGGATGATCTGCATGCTTTGAAATCCCATATTATTAACTTATTAATATCAATTATTAAAGCCTATGGGTCTTTTTTAGATTTCGCATTTTATCAGATACTCATATGTGCTTGAGTTAAAAAAAATGATTCAACAAATTATTTTTAGTAAAATTTCAAATTCTTATTATAAATATTTGACAGTAGGATATTAAATGGGACTTTAAAAATGACTTATCAAATTTTAATTAATATTTCCATTTTCTCTCGATTTACTCAATTAAACCCTTTTATTAAAAAATATATATATATTTTAAAACATTTTATATATAATGCATATTTTTATAATTTTATCAGAATTGAATTATAAAGACTATTTAAGTTTTTCTAATTTACATCATTTCTAGTTCAACTTAAGCATGTTTAGATGATAATTTCAATTAGTTATGATAAAATTATGAGAAATTATGGAACAAAAAAAAAGTTAAAAAATAAATGTTTAAATATCACTTAATTTTATATAGTATTTATTTTTCTTTCTTATATAACTAACTTTCATTCAGATTAAGAATATTCAAATAGTTTCACATAAATGAAATATACTGATTCCTAAATAGGATGAATAGATTGATTAATATTTTAAATGAATTTTAATAATTTTGGTATTAACAAATGCATAGTAGAAGCATTCGAAAAAATGAATTTCAAGAAACCTTCTTTAATTTAACAAAAGTCCATTCCATCTATATTGTAAAAAGAGGATGTCATTTGTTAAGGAGAAGCTGGCACTGGAAAGACATTGTGCTTTTTAGTGTAGGTACTATAATATGGATTGGAAATATAATAAGATGCTTATGAAAGGAAGGCTAGAATTCAATAAACTTTGGTTGTTGATAATACCATTTAAAATTTTGAGAATCCTTTGCCATTTGCATTAATTATTGTACCTACGAGAGAATTAGCCATATAAATCACTGACATATTAACAAAACTTGTAAATAAATTGGAAGGAGTAGAGAAGGACTATTTTCAATCTCATCTGTTTATTGGAGGATTGCCTGTCGAACAAGATAGAGATGTTCTTAAAACAAGAAGATGCACTATAATAATAGGCACAGTAGGAAGAATTATGTAAATGATTCAGGAAAAGTTAATGAATTTGTGCAATATAAAATTGTTGGTATTGGATGAAGCAGATAAATTACATGAGAATTATACTTTTTAGCCTCATTTTAAGAAGATATTGGCAAATATTGTAGGTAGGAATTAGGATTAAAATAAACCTTAAATATTATGTTTCTCTGCAACATATCCTACCAAAATAATTGGTTTGATATAGTTATGTCTGAGCAATCCTAAACTAATTAAATCAAATGAGGAAATATGCCTAGAGAATCTGACGTAATTTTACATTAAGTTAAATTATGATGATGAAAATAAATCTAAATACCAAACAAAAACTGAAGCAATTGCTAAAATAATGAAATAGTTATCAATCAAGTAAACTATAATCTTTTATAATGACAAAGTTAGAGGAGAAAATCTATTTATGGATCTTAAGGCTGAAGGTTTTAATCCAGTGCTTATTCACGGAGATTTAACTTAATCTGATAGAATAAAAATGATGCATTAACTCAAAAGAAACAAGGCAAATTTGATTATTTCCACAGATTTGGTATTTATTTAATTTATATTTGCAGCTCTCCCGAGGAATTGACGTCGATACTCTGGATCTGGTTATTCATTTTGATACTCCCTCTTCTTATGAAACCTATTTACATAGGATAGGAAGAACAGGTCGTTTTGGAACTTTTGGTATGTCATTATTACTTGAACAAACAAATTTTAAGGATGTGTACGAGTTTATTGAAGAAGAGATTCCGAGATTGAATACCAAATTAGATGAGAAGCATTGTAATATGGTTGAAAAGAAGGAGTTTTATGCTGAATTTTTAAATGGGGTTTCTGACTGGAAATAAACCAATTACAAGTTTTATGATGAAAACAAATTTCAATATTATGAGGATGAACAAAAGGAGAAAGATTAAAAGGATAACTTTGAGAAAGAGGAGATCGTAATTAGACCTAGAAAATAAAAAAAAATATAGGAATGTGATGATAACCAAAATTAATAACAACAGATGGATGTAGAAGTATAAGAAAAAGTAATAACTACTAAATAGAATTAATTAATAAAGTTTAATATTAATGAAATTAAAGATATATTATAATGTAAATGTTGTAGAGAGTTTTATTCATAATTAAAATGTTTAAGTAATGAATTAGAATAATATTTTAAATGAATTAGTTTATAAATATCAACCAAATTACAATTATTCCTTATACATAGAAGAGGACTATTATTTTTCATTATAAAAGTCCATAATTTATTTAGTTTCCATGCTCAATTAACTATTGCTTCTCTCATTTTTGCTTGTATTGATTCTATTAAACTGATTTTCATTAACCATGTTTTTAATGATATCTTAGTCAATGTGAGGGTTGTTAGAGAATTCTCGAATGTATTACTATTGGTTTTTATGGATTTCCAATTCATTCTTCAGGATTTGATTTTGTAATTTCAAGGCTTCCATTTCCTTCTCTTTCTCTTATACCAATGGACCTTAATTCAAATTGTCTTCTAAAACTTAAAAGTAATCCTTAGGTTTTGTGTTTGTAGCAAATAAAAATAGGTCGGCCTCCTTTGATTTATGTCTCACCATATGTTCATAGATGTTTTATTTATGTTTGCATAAGGTATCAGCAGAAACTTGTATTTTTCCAACTCTATAAAATTTGAATTATAATTACTATTTCATTACGCTCAGTTTGAGACCATTATACACTTCTTGCAATTTGGCAGCTCTCTACTCCACATTATATTTATCTTAAATCAGTATCTCGTTTTCTTTCTAGATTTTTCTAGCACAATGACATGTAATCAATACTCGTAATCCAAATCAGAATGTTGTTCAATCTCCTTTCTCCTCATTTCAGTCTACTTTTAGATGGCTTCTCTCTTTTTCTATAGTTATTTTATTCGATTATCATTTTCAATAGAGTTTTACTCAGAGAAGTGCATTCGTTAATAACCGTATAAAATTAATATTGTATTAATATGAAATTCAATTTGACTATTTACTAACAAGAGTTGGAGTATAGATTTTCCAAAAGAAGGTGATTGCTAACAATGCTCCAATCCAAGGACCAAGAATGTACATCAATAAATTAATCATTTAATCCCATTTTCCATAATAAATTCCATAAAATAATTGTAATCTAACATATATGATTATTGTACCCAAAAGCAGCTGAAGGGTTGAATAAACTATTCCCCATCGTTGCAGTGTATCTACATTATATTAAATATTTACTATCGAGCTACGAAATAAATGACACTCACAAAGATGGCGGATTGCACAGGAGTAGTCGTTATTTTAGTGTTTTCTGCAGTCTAAATTTGTATGAATGTGAAAAAGATGATGGAGCCAGCTATTTCAGACATCATTGTTCCAAAGACTTAATGTGATGGTAATCTATATTAATTGTAATCACAAATACCTTTCGAAATATGGCAATGTTTATTTGGATGCAAACATTGGCATCAATAACATCCCTGCTATTAAACCTGCAACTGTTTAAGCTCCAACATAATAAATGGCTTTTTTCTTAGAAATCGATCCATCTATATATCCTATTAAAGTGCAAATAGGATTGAAGTATCCTCCGCTTAACCTTGCACATACCACTAATCCAATGAAATAAACAAGAGCTACTCCGAAATTTGTTCTATAATTATAAGATCACTTTACTCTGTAGCTAATGCTCCATAGATCAATAATAATGTTCCTGCTGTTTCAAATACTATGATATTTTTAATTTAGGCCTTCTCTTTTTCGACTGAATCATCATTTACTTATGAAAACTCATTAACAATAGGTTCCATAAATTATTTAATTAATCAATATAATCAATTTTATTTATTCTTGTTAGAATTCCACTAAATGAATCATTTAGACTATTTATAAGCATCAAAATAATAATCAATATGTGTCATCAGAATTTAAGGTCTTAAGCTCTAAATTTTATGAGGATTTATTGGATTAAAGAGTTCCAAAGAGTTAAAACTATTTGCTAATTAATTAATATTAAAATGCAGAATATCATATTAAAATCATCAAGAGAACTGCGATATATTTACTAACAGCAAAAATACCTCCTATAACTGCAAAAACTAAAACTAGATAATTTATTATTGTAGTAGATTGAACAGTCATAGAAATAGGATCAAATTCATATTGGAATTCAATGAATGGAGCAGTCGTAGCATTGTAAAGAGACCTCTATTGTGTAAATGTATAATAGACATTTCGATTATTCCAAATATCAATACTGTTAGTAGTGACTAATTTTAAATAGTATTTTGAAGAAAATTGACTATTTGTTTCTGTTTGAGTTTGTGGTTATTCTCCAAATGATAACTTGAAGCTGTGATTTCCTTGAAATGTTCTATTAATAAAATCCATGGCTTATTTATTGGATTGTATAGCAAGGATTCCAGGAACCTTCTTAATGTAAAAATAACCAAAAAATCTACATGCTTCATTAATATGTCCTTCAATATCTGAGACTTCAATATTTTATTAAGATGGCTGTTCAACCTTGAATGGTTCACTAAATAGTTATCTAGTATTCTAGTGCTTAAATTCTTTGACATTAACATAAATACTGATTTTAAATTAATTAAATGATTTATCTAAAATTGAATTAGGTTAATAACTATAGATATATTGAAAAATTTGAATTATTTTGACTTTTTAGTACCTCCTATAATGTGATCCATAGATATATTAAGCATGTTAATCAACTAATCGAATTATTTATTCTTTTCTTCTTACAATCTCTGTTCATCCCATTGCATTGGATTATAACTAAATTCAGAGAGTAGATCTAAAGCTTTCTTGAACTTGCCTCTCTATTCTTAAGTCAAAATTTAATTGGTGGTGTCATTATCATCTAATTCAAAAGATTATTTAAATAATTGAGTAGGAGTAATATTAATCAATTCATTTTTAGTCAGATAAAGTTATTTTTAGTGATTAAGATCAGTTTTTAAGAACTACAGTAATTCTGAGTCATCAAATTAAACAATAGGCTGACCAACACATTAAACTATGCTTTCGAAATTAGGCTATGTCCATCTTCTTTAAGCAAATGCCATCATAACATCTTAGCAACTATAACACCTTTGATCTACAATCAACTCAGCACCGTAGCAAGATGTGAAATTTACGTTTGGCTTAAATATCGCCTCCTCAAAAGTAGCTTTGATAAGTGGTGTTTTTATAACAGAGTGTTATACATCTTATAAATAGGAACCCATCATATCTTATATGTTAAAATAATGCTTGGCAGGGAGCTTGGATAGTTGCATCCAAATTAACTCTAATCCTAGAATCAATAGTTGAATCTACTAGTAATGAAATTTTCCCCTTGAAGGCGTTTGTAATTTCAGTCCAAATCATAATGACAATAAAAATGATGGTTATGAGAAACAGGAGGCCTCCCCAAGATTGACGATTATATTGATTGTCCTGTATTTTAGGGAATAGGTTTATCATTAATTTAATTTATTCTTTATCTGTTAATACTATTCGATATTCAATGGGAATGCATATTCTGATCGCTAGACTTGACATGATAGTTTTATTAACCTAACCAGAGCCATTGACTGAGATCCAACAATTTGAAATCCAGAAATACTTGAGGTTGAATAAATCCCTGTTTTCTGAAAATCAGATCAATTCATTGATCCAACTCATTCAAATTAAAAACTATGAACACATCCGAAATTTGTATCTCAGAAGATATACAAGGTATTCTTAATGATTTATAAGACTTGAAGAACTGTTATCATTGGATTTGTCAATTGAGTAAATCTATGATTATTGCATACGAGTTTATTTGAAGGAAATCAAGAAGCTTGGCAATACGACTCTCAAAACCTATAATAACATCATAGAAACTCACCGCATACAGTAGACTTACTTCCTACGAGAACCTTAGATCTAGTAATCGCATTACAATTGTCTAGACTTAGAACAAGATGAGACAAATAAATATTTATTATTGTCCTCCTTATATAACAGGAACCGATTCGAAGAGCCCAGATTCATTTACATGTCAGATCTACTTCGAAGGAGGATGCAGCAAATGACTAAGGATATCTCAGATAGAAATCAAACTATTCAAAAAAGCATAAACTAATATTACCATCAAAATAAGAGGAAATCATATTGTCTTACACCAAAACCTGCTCGATCTCGCAATAACACATTTTACAAGAACAACGCAAAGGTAACTGGATTGCGAGTACAAACAGAATTTGTGATTGAGAAACGTTTGCCAGCCAGATCCATTTACCAGATTAAGAAAATTTAGTTACTTGACGAAAATGAAAACAATACTCCCAATAATAAGAATAGTTGTAAAGCGTTGGGAAGGCCGCGGAGTCTAATACGAACTAAGTTTTAATAACTGATCAATTGATTTTTATTATTATTATAATTATTATAGATATATAAAAATGGACAATCAAATTAAAGTTATCATTCGCTTTAAATCCATTTTGAGTACAGAAGAAGAGTCTGTAAATTTTCCTTAATCTCAAGTCTCCTAATTGGATAATTGAAGAAGAGGCAATCACATATAAAAATACAAAACAAGATGAAATCTTTGAATTTGATGTTATCATGCCTCCTATGACACTCTAAGATGAGATATTCTAAACCATTATGTTGCCCAAAATCAGTTTTTTGTAACAATCCATATTTCATATCTCTAGCTTATAGGGGTATAATAGTGCGGTGTTTGCTTACGGTGCAACTTCCTCGGGCAAAACCTATACAATCTTAGGGCCAGAGAGTACCATAGAGCAGATTCTCAATAATAAGTTCAATATTGACTAGAGTTCTGGCATACTTCCTAGATCGTTTTATCAAATAGTTGAGGTACAATCAATTACGAATGTAGGGATATCAAAAAATCAAACAATAAGAATCATTGCAATAAGTGACTCTCAAAGCCAACTATGTCGAGATCTATAATGAGCAAATTTATGATCTGTTAAATTAACAATATAAAACTAACAACCAAAAATTAGATCTCAAAGTATTTCATTTTTACATTTCTTAGATTAGTTCTATAGCTGATGGTCCCAAGTTGATGGGAGTGAGAGAAGTTCAAGTTGAATCTGTGAACGATCTCATGGAATTAATTGCCTTTGGTAGTTACAACAGAGCAATTGGAGCAACCCAATTCAATTCCAGGTCCAGTAGATCTCATGTGATTTTCTCAATTGAGTAACCCATTCCATTGACTTAGATTGTTTGTTGAATGGAAGGACAAATCATAGAGAACATCCAAAATTCAATTTATAGATTTGGCTGGAAGTGAAAGACTCGCCAAAACTGTTGCCAAAGGATAAATGCTCGAGGAAACCAAAAAGATCAACTAATCCTTACACTGTTTGGGACATTGCATTATGGCTTTATCCAGCAGAAAAAGCAATAAACATGTTCCTTATAGAGATTCTAAACTCACCTTGCTTCTTAAAGAATGCTTAGGTGGTAATTCCAATACTTCCTTCATCTGTGCAGTAAGTGCAGCATCAGAACATGAAGAAAAAACCATCCAAACCTTGAAATTTGCGTAGAGAGCAAAACTCATTCTCAATAAAGTCAAAATCAACATCAAACTCAGTTATGAGTAGATTGAAAAATAAATGACCATGCTTAAATAGGAACTATCAATGATGGAAAAGATTTTATTGATGAATGTATTTTCTACTCATTTATATGTTTTAGGGCATCAAATATGATAAACAGATATTTAAAGAATAAAACTTCTAACTCCAAATCGATCAAGCCATGAATATCGATGAGTTAACTGGAGAATATAGAAAATCATTAAGGAGATCACTCTAGCAATCAAGCAGTAAATCAGATATTAAAGAATAATTTAGTTATAGATTCTAATAGTATCTTGATAATGAAAATTTAAAACCTAAACAAAATTCAAGTCCCAACTCCAAAAGAATCGGCTAAAGACAATCAGGAGGCAATTTAAGAAAATAATCATTGCCCTGCTCTTTAGATGGTTCAGAGGCAGAACCTGATGAAAATGGGGACAATTATTTAAACGAAGTATAACTGATATCGGCCTTGAAATCTATCAGTGAAACACCAAGAGAATTACAATAATTTATAAGTGGCAGAGGATCTTAAATTAAATTTCAAACTCAAGAATCACAATTTCAATCTTCTACAACTAATCAAACTACAAACACTGAATAAATGAAAGAATAGCCAAAGAAAAGAGATAGTTGTTGTTAAGTCTTTTGAATACAATTATAATTATTTTATAATATTCACTTGTTTTTATACATAAGTCTTAAATTTAATATATAAATTCATTGGGCACTAGGATTCTGTAATGTTGGCTCAATATTAGTTTGTTGCTCAGTATTTTAAACTGCAATTGGGTACAATTATTATGATTTAGATGATTGTTATTGAGTCTAAGGATCATACAAAACTTAAATGGCTCTTGGTTGATGACCTTGAGCTTGTAAAGCACTTTATTTAGTAAGCTCAACACTTATTCTTTATTCTAAAGATTTGATTAAGTCATCCTTCTATAATATGATTGTATTTAGTTTATTGTTCTCACTTTCTAAGACTTTGTACTCATGCATAAGTCGGTTCCACTCCTCCACAGATGGAAATGCATATTGTTATTTTTAAGTAGGTTAGAATGTTGTCTACAACCTTCTCAATTCTTAAAGCAATGACTAAAATGATATTTGTAATTTACATCTCTTTCAAACTCTAGACTTCTAATTCTATCAATGAGTTCTGGAGAGTCCTAGATTATTGTTGTTGGTTAAGGGATGCTTTAGGGTACATTTATCACTTTAGGCAATAGAGATTATTATATTATTGGTTTATTTTCGGAGTAATGCAATTTGATTTCAAGTTCGGTTATTCTTTATTGTCTAAATTACAGTTCTGATTTGAGACTGTCAATTTCAGTTTTGAAGAGCTTGATTTTATTTTTCTTTTTTTTTAATTGCTTTTCCAATCTCTCCACCTCATTTTGACTGTAAAATAAGTGTTATTGTTATGATTATTAAGAGTAGGGATGACCATATGTATTCCCTTGTAATGTTGATTAAAGTTCAGCTATCTATTGTCGAACATCAGTTAATTATTTAAATTAATCTTCTTGCTATCTTTTTTATAAGAGGGAATCTATTTATGATTGCATTTTAAACTCAAGTTCTTTAAGTTCTTTTTTATGACTCCTTTCCAAATCATTGATCTTTCTTTGATATTCATCTTGATTGGTCAAAATTGCTAACAATAATAGGGGATTCAATTACGTTTCAGTACTATCGATTTATTTGTTTAAGGATTTAAACTAAATGATGAAGTGATAACATTATTTTGTTAGATCTAATCGTTTGATGATTCTTTAATATCGGCTTATTTAGCAGAATTAGTTGATGGATAATCAATTCTCGATGAATTGATGGTGGGATTGAATGTTGGAATGAATGGATTTGGCACATATGTCTAGTAAAATTGTTAGCTCATGAATTTCAACGGTTATATATAATATTTAAAAATATTAATAAAATACACTCAAACATAAATTAATCAAATTTTACCCATCTCTTTTAAATCAGTTCAATAGTAACTTTCAATAATATTATGTAATCCATAAGTTTAGGATATGAATGTTTCATAATAAAATCTACAATTTTAATAATAAAATCATATTATAATAATGATGAAGAATTGATTCATTTATAAAAATGATTACTAAATTAAAATGATTTTCATACTTATAATCTAATTGTTTTTATCGCTATTTTTTTTTAAATATATTGATAAAATTCATTTGTAACCCGTGTTGATCTGCATCAAAAATTATTACTTAATTGAATATTATAATTCCTATTTAATAGTGTTTAAATGTTTATAGTAGAAACTAAATGACTTTATTTAATTTCCTCTTTCAATATTATTTCATATATCATAATTGTAATTTCTTAAAAAAATTCTATAAGATTGTCTATTTATATCATGTCAAATTTATTTAATTTTATCATGAATTTGACTATTTATTTCTTCTGTTAATAATTTATATTATGGATATTACCCAAATCAATAGTATTAGGTATATAACAATCAAATATGCTAAAGAAAATCATCTGATTTTATAACATTCTTCTTCCTAAAGATTAGCATACAAATACTGTTATTCTAATTAAAATAATTATGTTAAAATATGATTTTATCATATCTGCATCCTTAACAATTTTTGTATAACACATTATTCTAATAAAATATTGGTAATTCTTAGCAATCCAAGGAGGAAGTAGAGAATTATCAGAAAAAAAATGCTTTAAATATTCTATTTTTCATAATAAATCAATATCTTCTTCTTAATTTTACATTTTTTCTTTTTCCATTTTTTCTTTCTGCAATTTAATTTCGTTTTTCTTCTTCTCTAGAAGTTCTCTTTTTCTTTACAATTCTTCTTAAGTATTTTTTCTCTAGATTGAAAAGGCATCATCTTCCTTATTGTTATTGATTTCCTAGAAAAGAAAAATTTAAAATGTGTACATTAGCTTATTATTGTTTATACTATTCCAAAGTCTTTTTATTTTCTTCTTCTTTTCTCTTTCTAATTTCTTCTCTTTGTTTAATTAATCTTCTTTTTCTATCTTCAACACTTTCACCTTAATCAACATTATTTATTTCAGTAGTCTTTTGAGAAGCTAAATTTGCAATGACCGACTTTTTGACACCAGCATCATCTTCTGCAACATCCATCTCAAACTAGATCACTGAATCTGCTTATTGTATTACAGGTTGAGCCTAACCCTAGATTGATGGTAAGACAGGTTTATGTGATAACTTATCAAGTTTTTTTGATTATAAAATGGGTATTGGCTCTTTCTAGTTTTGCACTTATTCGACTTTTTCTGGTTGGGAGTTGTTGCTATTTTGAACTTAATAAAATTCAGCCATAGTTGGACCTTGTTAGATTTGGCTTTAAATGTTTTATAATTGATATTCCTATATAGGATGTGTATTTTACAGATTTTAAAATAGGAGTAGGTGTTCCATCTGAATTTAGACTACCTTATTATTTAATTTCTTATGATGGTTATTATTATTATAATTATTATTACGGTTATTATTATTATTATTATTACAATTTTGATTATTATTCAAACTCCTATGCTTTTTATGCTTGTTCTTCTTTCGCTTTTTTTAATTCTCTAGTTTTTAGTTCTAAAGCTTCTCTTTACTTTTTCAAACCTTGTCTTAGAAATAAATAAAATCAATACTAAAATTCAACTAAGCTCTATCTCAATACTTCTTGTAATTATCTATCCTCTTCGGTTACCATCTTCTTTTTTTCTTCTTCGACTGCCAAGGACATTTACAATGCATGTTCTAATTCAGCCTTCTCTGCTTCCATTTCAAGTAGTTTGATATTAGCATTATTTTAGGGATTCACAACTTATCCTTTTTAAACTCTAATTAATTGGATGTATCATTTACTTCTTCTGATCTTATTTCTCGATTTCTTTTAGGGCCTCTAATTCTAATTCTTTGTTTCTTTTAATCATTTGAGTTTTGAAAACCAAAAAGTTATCAATTGTCAATAGTTTTTCAAAGACCAGTTTTTCCTTTGGATGCCTTAAACCCTTTTCTACTTACTCAGCAAATTGCTCTTCGTTTACGCCTAACTCATTCATCATATTGTCAATAAGATTGGCCATCATCTTTTTGTATTTTTTGAACAAGGCCTAATATTCTAACTTATTCTCCTCTTCATCATCAAAGACGATGCAGTTTTAATCTACAAATTCAGAAATAGTTATATTCCAGATTGGGGATGTCAAATATTAAAGAATCGAAGCGTAAACCCAATTCTTAATTTAATAAAAAATAACAAACTTCCTCTTCAATCTATTTATTGGATTTTGGCTATTGAACGACTGCTTATGGTTGTGGAGCCTATTTTTCAGGTTCTTTTTTTTTTCCAAAGAAATAATCGAAAAATCCCATTGAATATATATTAATAAAATAAATATGAACACTCTTTCGCAAGCATTATTTAATGATAGCACATTTCACCATAATACATCATGTAAAGGATCAATCAAAATAATATTCACAACGATTGATTGTGTTCAGCAAACGCCCTATTGACATCAGTTGATCGTATTTTAATTTATCCCGATTAGTTAGTAAGATATTTACTATACTTCTACTATATATATTTTATTATAATAAAATGCAAGAACTGAAATCTCCAAAGTTGTTAAATAATCTAGTCTCAAATGTTTAAAAAAAACAAAACCCCATTCCTCCCTCAACTGACATCAATATTCTCCAATAAATTTTGGATCAAGTTCAACCTGTTGAGATTATACATAATAATGATGATGGTTAAGGATGTAAACTATATATTTAATATCATAGAGGCCAATTAAAAAAAGAACAATAAATTCCTTAAGATTAATGAGGGTTAAGCAGAAGAATAGTTAATTGACTTTATTCACTTGGGCATCTAGGACTTTGAAGCTAACCAATATTCCCAATGTGTGTATCACTTAAAATAAGCAGAATAAATACTAACTGCCATTTCTTATTCTAATCCATTGATTCACTACTTCCTCATGATAAGAATTAATTTGGGAGTCGTCTTTTACGCCATAGGTTGGTTGGAATAAGCATTTACTTGTTTTGAAGACGCCATTTTGGCTTTAAAGAAAACCCCCAGAACAGATTAAGAGGGCTATCTCCTTTCAATTACACGTCTACATTGTTATTTGCAATGCTGCATCATCCTTTCAGAGAGTGGTCAGCACTCTGAAGCATTGGCATTTGCTAAAATGGCGATAAGAAAAGCCTCGAAAATACTGATCGATCTCCAAAAATACTTGAAGAGCTAAATACATTAACAAGTCCTTGAAGAAATTCTCAAAAAGAGCTTACCAATTCTAAAACCTAAACATCAAACTTTAGTGCAGGGATATCAAATGCAAACCCAAGCTACTTAAGAAGTACAATGATTAGTATTAAAGAGTTACGATTCAGTGTATTCCGGATGTCCATAAGCGTATATTCATAGAGCCAACATTTTATTCTTCATCCAAATGAATCCAGTGAATTTAAACAATTTTAAACATGTCGATGACTTTCCCACTAACTAACAGTATTTGCATATGATATGTTTGTTTGTGATTTCTCTGTATTGCACTTCAACTGAGTCCAAATTTGTTTAGAAGGTTGAGTCTTTTTGTTTTAGTGAAGCAGAGAATTATTTATCAAGAGCTTTAGAAATAGCTTATTTGTATTTACCCAAAGATTTACCTTTGATTAATTAATTGTTGAATGTCCACAATAGATTTTATGACATTTCCAAATAGGTAGTTATTTACTTCAATATCTAGGCAATTGATGAAGATGCAAAGATGAAAATGGATCAAGGACATTTTGAGATTGTACTACTTAAGCCAGTAATCGAATCACAGAAATGTGGATTTGTGATTCCCATCATCAGAAAATGTAATCAATAACTAATTTCAAGCTAAATATGTTGGAATGAAGAGCAGAACGAGATCTATGAAAGAACAATAATTTTCAAATACAAAGTAAGTCAATTTTAATGTTGAGCCAGAGCATTAGATCTATGAAGCTTAAAGCAAGACTCATAAACGGAAATTAAGATCTATTTCAACTACTAATAAGTACAAACCTAATTCTCCGAAGTGGGCCAATCATTAATTAGCAGAGGTCTACTTGAATCAACAATATCCCTTTAAGTCTGTGCAAATTAAAAAGCAGCAATAAAAATACAATAACAAAACTGTTGACTTAGGTTCTGGGAAGAATTCAGGAAATTAAAATAGTAAATTGAATAGATCAGAAAACTAAATCAAAAAGAAATAATTAAATATTTAATTGATGATTACTAATAATATCAATTAGACCAGTTCTACCTAAAATTCAAATAATAATGGATAACAAACTCAAGTCAACAACGTAACACAACAATAGTTATTCAAGAGGAAAAGGAATAATTAATCATTTAATTTTGATCAAATTACAACCAAGAGCCCTGTAAATCTATTTGTCTAAAAATAAAGAGATGACAAAACACTTTCGACTATATAATAGAAAATCAAATCTGTAATAAAACAATGTTGACTTTATATTTTTCTTCCGTAAATATATATATGGATAATCTATAAAATCCTATTTATCTTGATTTTCAGAATTTCTTTGTATCAAATATATATAATTATTTTGTGGAATATTTTTATAATTTATTATTTTAATTAATAAATAAGTTATTTAATGATCCATATATATTTATTATAGCAGATGCTTATTAAAATAAGTTAAATTATTCACTATATTTTTTAAGTGACTTATTTTTGTATTCACGTTCCAAGAAAACGAATTTCTTATTACATAGATGGAAGTAAAAAATGGGGATTTATCTTTACAATTCCATCATTTTAAATAAATGATTGACTTTATGAAAAAAAGGCTAAAAATAAATTATGATGCTAAATCACAAACTGTTTGAATGATTTATCAAATTTATATTTAGACAACAGCCAATAATGAATAAATATATATATTTTAAAATTATTATTATCTAAAAATAAAAGTTTTGGATTTTTGGAATTCCATCTTAAACATTTATATTATAAATTATTTTGTCAACATGAATAAAATTTAAAAGAAAATGAATTTCGATGCTGATTATTAAAAAATTTAAGAGGAGAAGAAAAGTAGGACAGCGATAGAATCAGAAATTTCAATAGGGAATAAACCAAAAGGTTCAAATTTTATGAGGTTAATTCGATATTCATGGAAACATAAATTATTGCTGTTCTTGGGCAATTTTGGATTATTAGTGACTTCATTATCAATGGTGGCTCTTCCATACTTGACAGGGTAAGAAAACATTTAATTTTAGATAAATGATTGATACAATAACTAAATCCGATGGCAAAGAGGATCTAAATAAATTGACATTTTATTTCATAATATTGACCATCGTATCAGCCGTCTTTACATTTGTGAGGGCTTACGCTTATAACATTTTGGGTGAAAAAATCACTTTTGACCTAAGGAATGAATTATTTTAAAAACTAATCACAAAAGATATTGAGTTCTTTGATTCAAATAGATCAGGAGAATTGATATCTAGATTGTCATCTGATATATCTGTGATTAATAAGGGAGCAAACGATTCAATCTCAATGATTCTAAAAAATGCAGTGTAATTTATAGGTAGTCTAATTCTATTGTGGTTTATCAGTTGGAATCTTACATTGGTGTTATTTTGTGTTATTCCTCCATTTACAATAATAGTTATTTTATTTGTGAGATCCTACAAAAAACTAACAAAAGAATACCAGTAAGCAGTAGCAGCATCAACTTAGATAGCATCTGAAGTCCTTGGAAACATGAGGATAGTGAGATCATTCTCGACTGAAGAGAAAGAAGGATCTCAGTATCAAAATGCGACATCAACAGTTTATGGAATAGGAAATAAAATTGCCATATTGGGAAGTCAATTCATGTCCATTGGAATTCTATTGGGCTATGCAGTTATATTGGCTATTCTGTATTACGGAGGAAGTCTTGTAATCGAAGACAAATTAACAATTGGAGATTTAAGTTCATTTGTGTTATATACATTAACAATGACAAGTAATATCAAACTTAATATCATTAGTATCCATATTGGCAGTGAGCGGATTTATGAATTAGATGATATCTGCAGCAGCTGTTTCTGAAAAGATATTTTCTATTATGGATCATCCAGTGAAGATATAAAATGGGTCACTTGATGCTCAAAAGATCACAGGTGAAATCACACTTAAAAATGTTACATTTTAATATCCAACCAAATCTAATGTGACTACTTTGAAATCAATTGATTTAGAAATTAAAAAAGGTGAAGTCGTGGCATTAGTGGGGTAAAGTGGCAGTGGAAAGTCAACAATTGTTTAATTATTGGAAAGGTTTTATGACTCAACTGAAGGATAGATTCTATTTGACAATATCGACATTAAAGAATATAATTAGCAAAAGCTTCATCAAACTATAGGATTTGTGGCTTAAGAGCCAACATTATTTTCTGGAACACTAAAAGAAAATATTACTTATGGAGTTTCAGCTTACTCATAGGAGGATATCGATAATGCTATGAAATTAGCAAATGCTTATGAGTTTGTTTCAAACAAATAAATATTTCCAGATGGTCTAGATACTATTGTTGGAGAAAGGGGAGTCAAACTATCAGGTGGATAAAAACAAAGAATTGCTATTGCAAGAGCCTTGATCAAGAACCCTAAAATACTTATTTTTGATGAAGCCACTAGTGCCTTAGATTCTGAATCAGAATTCTAAGTATAGTCAGCCATAGATGGATTAGTTTCAACAGGACAAAAAACAATCATTATTATTGCTCACAGACTATCCACTATTATAAACTCTAATAAAATTGTCGTAATTCAAAATGGAGAGATCGTTGAATAGGGTAGACATCAGGACTTAATTGAGAAAAAAATGGAATCTATAAATAGCTGATTGAAAGATAACTAACTTGAATTATATATATACATTTCAACATAAAATAGATATTTATAATTAAAGTAAACATAATATAATATTCAAAATTTTAGCGTTTCAATCAATTTCTTATTACTTCCTATTAATAACATTTATTATAAAGCTAACAGACATTTGATTTTACCATCTATCTGATATGATTTACTTATTTGCTAAGAATAAACAATAAATTCGCTATCATTGGTTTATATTATAATTTAGCCATTTTACATGCTAAAGATGTTCATAGCTCCAATATCTATTTCAGAGTTAAACTTTAAATGTTTTGCTTCTTCATAAATTAATAATGCTCCATCCCTTTAAAGTACATATAACAAGCCTTCTTCATAAATCATATTCTTGATCGGCTTCTTTGAAGTGCAAACCAATTACAAAGAGTCAGCTTATAATTTGTATATGAAATTGTCAATAGCAACCAAAATATTATTGGATGTTTAAATCATGCAATTAAATACTCCGTGATATGCAATTTGCTTTTTTGTAACAGAGGAAAAATAGAAAATATAATTGGCTGTTACAATATATAAAACCCCTTTTTCAGTTTAATAGAGTTACAAAGGGACTTCATCCATTCTCCAAGAATGTTTCAATCGATAGGTGCCATGCATTGATTCGCTCACCCACTGAATGACTTGGTTATCTAAAGAGCATGAATAAAAAGTTTTAAAATTCTGTTAAATTACAATTTTAGTAATTGATCTAATTGGCTTCTGATGCTTTCCCAAGACTTGAATTCTACCTGAGTATAAATTGATTGCACGGACTGATAAGTCAGAACACCCAACAATTACATGAGTTTGATTTGGATCATTACTTAAAAATAGTGGTATTGCCTATATATGATAAATATTCAAATTTTAAATATTATTATATGTTTTTATCTTCTCTATGTCTTTGTTCATTGATGACAACAATGAATTAATCTTACTAGAACTAACTTAATATGACGATAGTTGCTAAGAAATAAATCGAGGACTAAATTGTTTAATCAGATCACTATTATTTTTAGTAGGAGTTTTAATGTAACTAGAAACTCGAATTCTGTTATTCCGACTAGTTGTATTTTCAGATTTGCTGTTTTCTCTCTCAATTAAGAAGGATGATTAGCTTTTAGAGTAATGATTCTATGAAAAATAACTTGACATTTATTTGTTCTTCCTATCACTTTTTTCATTTGGCTATAAACATGATGAATTTCTTAAGAATTTATTTGTTATGTATTTTTAGATATTGTAAGATCTGTCTTATTAGGATTCTTTATTAATTTACTTCTTGTAATCGTTATATAAGATGTTATTTGTGTTTGTCTGCATAGCCAAAGCTATTTTCTTTTCAATAATCTTCTTTAAAGAATTCGTTTAAAACTGATTATTACTATTTTAGAATATGAATTGATAATCCTTTGAATCCTTGCTTTGCTATTTCCCATTCTCCTTGTGATTTTTGTATTGAAAATAAGATCGTTCAGTCTCAGTGCCTCGATTATCAATATAACTATGATTCAAATTCAAATTAGTTGATAGACTTATGTCGTTTTAACTAGTTTTTTTCATCATTGAATGCTTATCAAACATATTTAAATCTGATTAAGGTCTATGGATCCTATTTTATTTGAACTTCTGTAATATTGAATTGATTTGTTATCCAATTTCTGACATTTTCTTTAATGATGTTTACATGTAATTCAAGGGCCTCTAAAATTTCTATTACTAACTATCCGGTATTAACAACTTATTTAAATTGGTGTGCTTTGATTAGAAATCGTGATTGTTGATGTTATTTTCCTAACTCATTGATTTAGCTGTTTATTTATTTTCATTTGGTTCAGTTATGAGAGGCTTACCTTACAACATCTAACCAAATTCTCTTTCAGGAGTGATAGATCTCCATTCAAATTAATTTTATTTCGGATTTCTGTTCCCTCCTTCGTGTAATAATTATTGCATATATTATTATATAAAATTAATTGAACCCAATGCTTAAACTATAGCATCAGAAATTATTGAGGATAGAAGTCAAAAAAACTGACAATTTACTTAAATTTAATCATTAGATAAAAGTTGGATCAAACTCTAAGAGGGATTTTTATATTTTCAAAATAAAAACTAATATGCAATTACATATGGATGGGACAGAACTCTGTGAATTTTATAGATTTAATGAAGCAATTAGAATAAGCAATTTTAAACAATTTATTGGATTATGTTCTTAAAATCGCTATACTACCACTCATTCTATATTGCTTTTCTTTTAAGCTTTGAATAATCTATAAAAGTCTACCTTACTTAAGACTTGTGATTTTCTTGAAGAAAGACAGTTTAATTCATATTTTATCATAGAACTTTATATTATTGCAACACAATATCTCATTATTGTTAATAATACATTAATCACAATAAAGAAATAAATTTACCTGGATAGAGACTAATTTACTATTTTCTAAGAAAGATTTCAAATAACTGCCAGAGTATTATTTTAATTGATTAGTTTCTATTTGTATGAAAAAGATGAGATCAATTTAATTTTGACTTTATTTATGATACATAATAGATCATAAGTGATTAAATTTTATAACTAGGGATAAAATTTCTTAAATTTTGAGAATTTAATAAAAAATTTCTTCACGTGACAAAATAATTATTGCTTATGGATCAGTGTAATATTTCATGCAAATAAATCATGTTTAAATAATTGATATATCAACAAAATATTCAAAAGTTTCCATGTAATTTTTTTAGAATAATTGAATCTGTAGTTTCAGGTTCTTTATTTTTATCAGTAATGTAACTGGTTTTTGATATCTTTAAAAGTACTTTTCATTAAAATATGGCAAATAATAGAGTAAAGCGTAATTTAGAATCTTGCTCGAAGTAATTGGTAATTAGAATAAATCTTGACATACAGAGATTTGGAGAATTTTATCCAATTTGAAAGTCGAGTTATGTGTTTTAGATACTTTAACCAAAATGATGTAAATTAATAGTAGGATTAATAGCTGTTAGGGGCGTAATTTTTGACTATTATAAATAAATATGAAAATTCTTATCATTATTAAACAAATTTCTTATTTTCATTACAAACTATGTAATACGGTATAAAGGGGGAAGATTTGACAAGATCTAAAATTGAAATCCTTGAGGACTTGACGAGAGAATCAGTTGAATCTTTAGATAGCTTATTGCCTCAATTCCATTGTGACAACTTTCAGCAATTGGAAATTGAGAGGAGAGTTGTGGCCTATTTAAGAGTGTTGGGAGTGAAATTTAAGACAGACCCCACACAAAAAGAACAAGAGTTTTAGTATGATGTTTGAATAATTTAGTGAGTACCCGAAGAAAGATGGCATAATTTTTTAATAGGTAATTGGAGAATCCCCCATGATTAACAATATATAAATTATAAAAGTTGGGACGGATCAAAGTAATACCAAAAGTGATTCAGAAAAATTTTTAAGTCCGTTTATTCTGGGAAAATAACGATCGTTTGAAATCTGATGCTATTATGATTTTTAATTAGAACCTTAATAAAATTGATAAAAATTTATTGTGTTTGTTTGCTATGATAGGTTGTAACAAAAGTAGTTGGTTTCTATTTTAGATAATTTGAAATTATAGTTACAATTTATATGGATTTTGTCATTGATTATAAAATGCCTATTAAGTATTATAAAATTATCAACTTTTGGAAATGGGATCATTTTTGACTAAGTGCAAAGAGTGTCTTTTACTTTTCAAAAGCAAGCCCTCTGCATAGGTGTCTTCACATTAGTTAGTGAACTTGTCCAATAATCCTGTGGAGGAGAGTTAAGGGAAAATACAGGCATAATAGATAAGTTAATTCCATCCAAAATTTAGGTATTGCACAGGATAACTCTCATTCTAATGATTAATCATTATGTGAAGCAGACAAAAACGATGAAAAAAATGACAATGATCTCACATTAGAAACTATTACCAATAAATAGCTACCCATCATAAAATCACCTTCAACTAATTAAAAGGGGTAGTAGAAAGATGAAGATAAATTTATGATTAAATAGTAATCGAAGCAAATTTCAGATAAAGCAATTCATCAGTCATAATAACAATAAACAGTAGACAATTGGATGATTGTTTTCTCTAATATAAATTCAATTAGAATCAATGAGTTAACCTTGTATGCTCAAGAAGCCCTGGAGAAATTCACAGAACTAGTTGATATCATAGATGACAGTGATACCTATATTTAGAATATCCATAATATTGAGTTGTACTTCTCTCATTATTTTGTGTAAAAAACTATGTTCATCCAGATTAAGTGTTTATATAATAGTTATGATATAGGTTTCAATTTGATTTGAATACTGAAATCAGCAAATTTCTCAAATGGTCGAGTACAAACTCATTATTTGAATTTGATTTGTTTGAAAACTACAAATTACAACCAATTAATGAGTAGATGTCGATTGGAGAATTGCAATTGAATAAGCATTCAATGATTAAAAAACAATTGATTACCTACCTCAAATACATAGAACTATTGAACGAAGATTATTATCTTGTTTACAAATCAATACGATTAGAAGATCAATACTAATCCAGAATGTATTATTGTATACTCATACATTTTAGAGCCCAAAATGAAACATAATTTTAGGAAGGGAAAGTCATGTTGGGAGGATTGAGAATAAGCTAGAAGGATGGAAAATTGATCGTTAGAGGGTACTTAGATGGGGATTTTAAAATAAAAGCTGGATTTAACTTGACTATCAAGACTTTAAGAGATAAAGTGATTGGGTGTATCAATAGGTTGAAGGATTTATTTAATTGAAATAATATTTTAATTTAATTAAGTATTAACCAAAATGAGCTAACCATAATAGGGAACGCCACTTAAAACCATAGTCAGAATTATGAACCTGAGTTGTGCTGCAGCAATTATAGCCATAACAATAGTCGATGTAATAACTATTGTCGAACTTTTTGCATTTTGGAATTGGATTTTCATGATATATTAATTGTATAAGACATGTTTCATTAAGCTTGTTTGCCTTGATGATTTTAGCAGCTGAATTAAGATTGGATTTTATACTCAAGTACTTTAGATTTTTGGAAGGAAATATAGGGAAAGGTTGGTTTTTAATTTTGTAAGCATATAAACAATATTTAAGCTGTGGAATGTGGTTGATTGGATAAACTTTGGCAGCAACAATAACCGGTAATTATTATTGGATATTTAAGGGGGCTGTCTGATATTTTGTGGATTCGCGACAATTTTCATCCTAACCTGCAGCGTAACTATAATCCATAATAATATAGAAATGATGATTGCCCTTATGAATTTTATATAAAATTATTAAAATATCAATATTCGTAGTAATAATTAATGGGGAACAAAATGATGATGAAAAGCCAAGCGGAATTTGAACAAGATTATCAAAGGAAACAAGAATGTAAACCAATAACTAATAACAATAGAGAAACCATCAGTGCTGGCATTAAATCTTCTAATTAAAAAAAAGGGTCGAGTAAGTACAGAATACTAATTCTTGACTCCACCAATTGGCAAAGGATAATATTCAGAAATACGTAAGGTAATTAATAAGAAAACCGGTATCATGAGAGCAGTTAAGATTGTTTAAAAGAATGCCACTGAGAAAGAAGAGGAAAGAGTATTGTCGGAAGTCAACATTTTAGAAAAGCTAGATCATCCGAACATTTTGAAAATCAATGAATATTATAGTGATGACAGGTTTCATTACATAATAACAGATTTTTATTCTGGAGGAGAATTATTTAGCAAGATTCAAGAAAGAAGAATATTCTCTGAAACATATGCCGCAAGAATTATCCGATAATTGCTGTACTCAGTTAACTATTGTCATCTTCATGGGATTGCTCATAGAGAAATCAGACCTGAAAATATAATGCTTGAACGATGTTCTGAATTTGCTTCAGCAATCTTAATTGATTTTGGATTGTGTTCAAAGATTTCCCATAAAATGCATAGTTCAGTTAATCACCCCTACTATTAGGCACCTGAGATACAATAAAAGAAATATAATGAATCTATTGATATTTGGGCTATTGGAGTAATAACCTATATCTTATTATGTGGGTACCCTCCATTCGGTGGAGACACTAATAGAAAAATCATTGATAACGTTCTTAAAAAACCCCTTATTTTTGATGAATAGGATTGGAGCAAAAGTAGCAATGAATCAAAAGAATTTGTTAGGAAAATCTTACTTAAAGATCCTAGTCAAAGAATTACAATTGATTAAGCGTTAAATGATCCATGGATTGTTAAGAATTATGAACTTTAGGTTACTGATAGTTAATTGAAAAGAGTTTTAACCAATTTGGTGAATTATAATTGTTAATCTAAATTATAAGAAGCTACTCTTAAATTGATAGTGCTCTATTTAGCTTCTAGAGAAGAATTAAGTGAATTGAGAGAAGTCTTTACATGTATTGATACAAAAAATGATGGGTATATTGATGTGGAAGAGTTATAGGCTGCGATGCTCAAGATATTTGATACTGAAACAGCTGAAAGGCAGTCCAATAAGATATGTGCTGAAGATGAAACTCTTTCTTATTCATAATTTTTAGCATAGGCTATTGATAAATAGGCCATTTTACAAAAGTCTAAGATTGAGACAGCATTCAAATTGATAGATAGAGTACTAATGAAATGAATTATTCTAGAATGCCTCTGGAAATATCAATGTTGAAGAATTGAGTGAAGCATTCAAATGCAATCTGACTGGCAATGACTATTGGATAGAAATTATGAATGAAGTAGATGCAAATCATGACGGAGCTCTTTCATTAGTAGAATTTACAAATATGATGAAAAAATTGATATAATCATGATCTTTTTAATTGTCTGTAGCTATTTACTGCAATACTCTCTTTTTATTTATTAATATTTCTTTCTTCCTTAAGTTATTTCATCTTTAATTGAAGTTATTCATTTTCTTATATTAGATTCGATATTGAACTTTCATAGTTCTCAATCATTTTATTCTAAATTCCACAATTCGAACATTTCTTTTAAGTAGTAGATGACAGAGTGTCTAATTCATGTTTAACAACTGGATCCTTCATATCTTCTTTCTCATTTTTAATTTCGAGAGGAAATACATCATCTAAAGCCTCATTTGAAGTTGGCCTTGATCTTCTTATATTTTGATACTGAATTGAATGTTTAACCAACACATCGATCATTGGATCTTATTTTATCAACAAATAAAATGATGGCATTTTAGCAATATCTTGAGAAAACCTCATCCAAAGTCATAGATTCTTTGAGAGTGACATCATTATGTATAATATCAAAATTTTTTTTGATGTATTTCAACAAATACTATTTTAAAGTCGTAATTTTTGTGTAATATTTGCACTTTAGAGTAAGCTGATATTTATTAAAAGTGATTTGATCATCCACATAAAAGTCGTACTCGTTCTTTCTCATTAAAAATATTAAAAAATGGGGTTATAAATTATTTATTTATATGTGAATAATTAAAATGTTTATGAATTAATCATCTAACTGTATAATAAATTATGATTTTACAATTAATCTTAAAATCTCATTATTAGAGAAGATATAATTAATTCAAACCTCATAAGTAAATTAGATTTCTGCATTTACATCTTCGAAATGATTGAAAATTATAATAAGAATCGACATATATCTAATAATAAATTTTATTTGTTCTAAGAAAAGTACTATATTAGTGCTTTCAATCTTATTTCTAAGAGCTATAAAACTAAAATATTTATATATGTAAACGATGCAGATATTATAAATTTTCATATCTCCATGTACGATTTTAACAGTTCATTGATTCTAGAGTCTATTTCTCGAATAATTTCAAGCTAGGGACCTTCACTATGTACTCTTACGACATTTTCAGTGCCTGATGGTCTAATACAAGTTCGATATGAATTATCATATTTTGACATTATTTCATCCACTTTTTATTTAAGATCTTATTAATTAATTAAAGAATACCTATTGGTTCAATTAAGGATGTTTCTTCATAATTGGTTTTAATGATTTATTTATTTTTTACATACAACTTGGTTGACAGTGCAGGGTAGTCTAGATAGATTAATAACCAATCTTAAATATTCATTTCTAATTTGTTTAACAGGAACTCTGTCATTAAAATATTAGTAATAGCATCTCCTATTGCTTAATTTGAGAGTCTTAAAAATAATTCAAGTTCAAAAAGTTCAAACTCCTTGACTTTTTACAGAACATGGTTTTTATAAATAACAGCTCCATGTCCATTTGCTTCAAAATAGATTCCGATATCAAACTCATGAGCAGCTCTATGCAAATATTTGACTCCTGTGGGTGCATATTTAGCTTCAATTCCTAATTTTTCTGTAATGTATTTAGTTGATGCTGAATTTGCATATGCTGTTTAAATAATACCGATAGTTAATTTTAAAGCAGGCTATTTTTCTAGTTGTTATTTGATATACATTGCAAATAGTATAGCAAATCTATCACCTTCAATAATTTACAACTTATTTTCATTAAAAGAACTACGATATCATATAATTATTACTAATAAACTAATCTATCAGCATCGCCATCTAATGATGCATACCTATAAGTTGGATCATAAACAAAGCATTTAGGTAATTTCTTTTCTTTTTAAACGAATTCTGAGCCACAACAATCATTTAATAAATGCGATTCTTCCCCATAATTGATTCTCTTAATTGTTAATAACGTTGCTAATCTTTCTTAAAATTATTTCATCCATATTCCCCCAACACCTTCTGCTCCATCAATAACTAATGTCCCTTTTATAGGGGTTTTGACCAATTGCAAAAAAATGTCGCAAAAATACTCTACAAAAAATTCTTATTTAGATTCTATTTAATTTACTAAGCCTAAATTTGTCGCATACACTAAAAATGCACATTAAGGTGTTGTTACAATTCCTAAATTAATTCCATTAGCTCCAGCTTCCTTTATTCCTTCTAGGACTATTTAACATAATGATTCGCTAGATGGTCTAGTATCCCTTCCCACATAGACTATTCCAGTATCATATAATGTTTCGGATTTAACGATTTCATCGGATTTATAAAATATTTCTATATTCTACTCTTCCTCAATTGACAGCATCCCACCTTTGGGTGGCACTATCTTAAAACCATTATCAATAATCTTATTATGAGATGCTGTTATCATGACTCCTAATTTTAATTTTGTGTTCTTAGACATTTGTCCAATGAAGATTCCCACTCTCCAACCGACAAATTTCAAATATTTTGATTCTTCTCTAAAGCCAGAAGTGCCGTAAGACAATAGTTACTTTTGATTCATCTCCAGAAGTTATCTATGTTCCTCTCCAAGCTAAGGGTCCATGATTTTTAATATATTAATTTCATTCGCATTAGAAAAATTGAATAAATAATTTACAAATATTTACACATGTCAATATTTCAAGAGTCTTAAGATTTGTCTTAATTAAAACTTTAGTAGTTTATTTTTATTCCAACTATGCTTCTACATACCCAATTTATTTCTAAATTTTTGCCAATTGTTTTTCTAAAGATCTTTTGTGTTTCATTTTTTATTCCTCATTAAGCAAATGTAAAATTCTTCTTTGAATAGAATGTGCTTTCTTTTGTTAATTGACCCAATTATGAATTGCCTTATCTTGTAAGGCAGGATTTGTTCTATCATAACAAGAATTAAATTGGGATTCGTCATAGGGGGAAAATTCCTTGAGCTTTTTTGTCTTCCATATGTTGTTAATAATCAGGTCTTTAGGGATCAAATAGAACACGAATGCACTGATCAGTTATATTAAAGGAATCCTGTTTTCATTAGAATTCATAAAATGCTGACAAGATATTATAATAGGAGTATATGATATTAATGTAAACATTTCAAGAGATAAACTAGAAGAGGGTTAATGCTTGACAGTTGAATGACTCAATAGAATGTATTTATCAGCCCAATAGAAAAGACTTAATCCTATAAATGACATAATTTAATTAATCGTATGATATTTCCGTATATGTTGTAATTATCATCGTATAATTAATATAAGCATAATTCCTGGTTAAATTGTGTTGTTGAAGTTCATAAAGTTCATTTAATTCATCCTAAGTGATAGGCTATTGTTAATAATTGATTTTGTAATTTTTAATTTGTTACTAAGGTTTTAAGAGAATAAATATGGGAGGTAGAAATGAGTTACTAAATAATAATAAATTAATTCGATACCAAGCAAAGAGCCAAAAAAATTCTCCATCTATGAATTTGGCTATGTAGATAGTAAATAAAGACATAAAAATAGTCAATTTAAACGATTAACTCTTCTAAGATTGTGTCCAAGATATGTACTTTCTGAAGGTTATTCTTTTAGTTATTTATGGAAAAAAGTAATAGCAAATTATCGTTATTAAAGGTGTGAAACAAGATTTAAAGGATATCATCTTATTTTTGCTGTATTCTGTAGTACAAGTCACTACTAATAAAGATATTAATAAGAAAAAGTTAAAAAAGATTTATAGGAGTCTTTTGAATTAAGACAACTCTATCCACTCATTTAAGCTTTTCCAATTAATATCTGTAGGTTCTGGAGCTTATCTTACAGCCAAACTAATCCCTTAAAAATTTACATATCCATCATTATTTTAATCTAGATTCAATGATTGTTTTAAATAGTATTTAAAAGTGTTGTATTTTCTTTTTTCAGGAATTTAAGTTTGTCTTGCTTATATTTGAATGATACAAGAGCACTTCCAGAAAAGTAGTTCTATTCAAAATAAGTATCTCATAATTAATCCAAAAATATTCTCTAGTTTTTTTTTTTTTAAATTATTTATTTGAAAATAAAGCACACTTTTACTACGTTCTCAAACTCCTCTTGTATTTTCAGTTCTAATTCTTCTCGTGGTAAATCCAAGGGCAATCCTTGAAATATGACTGTGTAATCTCCTAGAGTTGTTTGTTTTAAATCACAAAAACTATCTAGCTTAATTTAATTATGTCTAAAATATATTAAGTAGATCATTGCAAAGTATAAAGCGGTTAAACTTAATACGTCTTACTTTTATTACAATCGTTTTTCAGTTTCAGACAATTCAAACAAGGTTCCAATATGAGTAATTAATTAAAAATTACCAACTGTTATATATTAGATGGCAATTATGGTTAAACAAGATTTGATGAAGTCAAAATATAAAGGATAACTACTACCTAAAAACCCCAGTTGATTACTCGATATTCCAAAATTAAAGCTTTCTCTTTCCTTTGTAAATATATTTATACAATTTGCAAACCACAACAAATACAAATTCTTCCTTTATATTTTGGTCGACCTACTCTATTAGCTTATCGATGATCAAGTGCCTGAACTATGCTCACCTAATGCAGACTACTAATATCCGCTGAACAAGAAGGATTACGTACTGAGACATCTGGTAAAATTTCATTCATTAAATATTTATTATAACAATCATTCTACCTTTACCTCAGATTAAACGATCATCTAACAATTTGGACAATAGGATACAGATCCAGTGTTTAGACTTTCACTATTTGGTTTAAAGCACCATTCAAAGCTACAAAATAGGTTGGGACATTTGTAAACTAGAAGTTTTTGACTCTTTACAATTTCAGTTAATAATTTTATTTGCTGGCCTTCCAAAATTTTTTCCAATAAACATTTTGCTTCAACAAAGTTCATCCTTCTTAAAAGTTAATAAGGAAATGGTTAATCACAATCGCAATTATTCATAGTTATTTATCCTTATTTTATTACTTTATCATATAGGCAATTAATATGATACACACATTTCCTGGATTGACAATATACAATTTCATATTATCCATCACAACAATTAAACAATTTATTCAAACCATTTTCTTTCCTCCCTAAAATAGTAAGTTCTTAAATTTTAAACAATTCATCAAACTATTCCTTATTTTGTTAATTTTTCTTTAGCTTTTCTACATAACTAGCAATATTTGCAAAGATTTCATTTTTCTCATATATGACCTTCTATTAATCCTTAATATGATTAGATAATTTTTTTAAATTCTCGTTCTTTATTAGAAAGCTATCGAATTCTTATTTCAAGTGCTTATTCTATGCTTAAAAATGTTCTATAATTTAAAGCATTTGTTCATCATTAGTAATAGATTAATTTTAATTAACCTTATACCCGTTTTATTCTTCAGTTATCATTAAATTAGAAGTCTAACACTTTTTTTAATTAGATTATGCTATGCTATTTGAATACTAATTCTATTCAATCGAACTATTTATTTGCAAACTTTTTCCCATTAATTTAATAATATTCCATTATTTTTCAATCGTACTATCCTTCTCCCTTATTATTTGCTCTGAATTTTTTTCAGCCTCTACAATCATAGTATTTAATCGTTTAATCTAATTATTTAATTCCGATATAGTCACCTAATATATACTTGCCTGCGCCGCTAATTTCTATTCCGTCTTTGACTCAAGTTAACCTAATTACCCCTGACAACCACTAATTATGATTTATTTCTGATTCTCCAGATTTTATGTCTCTTTTTCAAGATGACAAACTTTTATTTTTAATTGTGCTATTTACTGTACGCAATTATGATTAAACACCTGCAAATTCTCAATTTATTCTTGAAGACTTTTCTAAGGATCTTAATTTTAAGCAACTGCCTCTTAAACCTATTACATTGTATTTCTATTAATTATATTTATATAAAATAATTCTTTTGGTTATGATAATGTGTAGAAATTTTAGTATATTAAGTAAAATAAAATAATATAATGTCAACTTTATATAGAAGCTTTAAAAAATAAATCTTTTTATCTTTAGTCATCACGTCTTTGGAAGTTGTTTTGATATTAGAGTAATAGAATTTTGATTTTCTGAGAATATTAATGCTTAATTTAGTAAGAGATTATCATCATAAAAATATATTCATTTAATCTGCTTTATTGATTTTTATTGTGACTTATTAATTTATCAATATTCAGCTACTTATAATTATTATTTATCATTTACGTGAAAATATATTTTTTTTTTACTACTAAGGAATGCTGTTACCCTGTAACCATTTGAAAAATACGGAGATAAAAACTGAATGAGCTGATAAAGATTCTTTACTTAAGTGATTTATAATTTTTATTTAGTTCTTTCTAAACTTTTGCTTTACATTACATCATCTTTGTGATAACTATGATATATCTTTATAATTAAATTACATTCTAACTGCCAAATAATATTCTCTATACTTTAGAATCAGGAATTTGTTATTACTCGGTTTTTTAATATGAATTTTAAATTCAAACTTCAGAATTTGTAGAAATTATTTCAAAAATATTAGGTACCGTTTATTCATGATTAATTTCTAAATTCATTGGTAAGCATTATCCATATTTTATTCTAAACATTTCTAATTTAATTTTATTAGACACAATCTTGCAAATTTTTAATGTTATGAAATGATTGCCCAATTATTAATTAAATTTTTTGAATTTTCTTTGTTTTATAAAGTCAAAAATAATTTGACTCTTTTATTTAAAATCTAAATATGTTTATCTTGGAATTACAGTAAATAGGCTTGGCACTTGTAAAGATTAAATTGAAAAAGTTAAGAATAGAACAACATTTTTAGCAAGATAGCTAAAGTGGATAGGATAAAAAATGAACTTTAAATTAAAACTATAATTATGGAATGTTTTTATTAAGCCACCTTATGATTATTCAGCATCCGCATTCTGGTAAGAAAAACGAAAAACCTATTAAAGAACCATTTAACTTAGTTATAAAAAGTCGATCAAAGTTATTGGAAATCTACCAATGAATACAACTGACAAATTCGTTAATAGTTGTGCTAAGAAAACAAATAACATTTATAAACTAAATAAAATATTAATATACCAAAGATTAGCAAATAGAGGGTTTAGCTTAGATCTAGAATAATAAGATTTTGAGGATATCAAAGGTGATTAAATAAGAGTGAAACAATTACCAAATAATATAGTTTAAATCTATAAACTGTGTATGCTTAGATGTAAAAAACATAAGGTAAGAGCTACAGCGAAACATTTAATAGAGAGAAATTTAAAAATATCGGAAGACAAATTATTAAAATTAATTTTTAGTAATCAAGGAAAGAAGAAAAGAATTTAAAAGATGGAGCGTTAGATTGAGGAGTGTATTTAAAAAAGTAACTTTGTATAAATGTGAATTAATTTATATATTTTGTGTTTATCTCCCTTGCAGGGAAGAATGTAATGTAATGTAATGTATTTAAAATCCAGAATAAAGTAAGTTAATTTTTGAGTTTAAAGCTATCTTTGATAATGAGACAATTTTTAAGTCATCTCAATATCAAATAATAAAATTCGACTATCTATTTTATATTCTTGTTTTCTAATTTCCTATTCATTTTACGTAGAAATATTTAGAATTTTTGAAGAAAAATTACAATAAATCCATGAAATTAACTGTCCTAACAAAGGAATTTAAGCTTTCATATTTTTAAATCAAGTGGATTAATTAGTTCTGGGTCTTTTGATTCATAAGTCATATTATGATCAACAGTTTAAATTGCAAGGCCTAAATAAGCTAATATGTCTTACTTTGTCCATCCTCTATATTAAAATGTAAATTTAGGAGGATTTAATCATTTCTTGTATTTGTTTTTCTAATCAATTGTGGGGTTAAAAAATTAAAAATAATTAGTCATGGATATGCTTTTAAACAATTAGGGAGTGTGAAATATTCGTAGGTAATCTCTATAATTAGTAGGGTAGCTAATTAATTTCCTGTAGCGAAGATAAATAAATCTTAGTGATGGATTATCAGTCATTTCTTAATTGGTAAAATAATTGATATAGAATGAATGACTCAGGATTTAGATTATGCTAAATTAACGAAAAAATTTTTTGTTTTCTAGCCGAAATCAAATCAAACATCCATAAATTGATTCAATTTCTAGTTCCCAAATTTTTTTAAAATGGGTAGTTCTTAAAGATAATAAAGTTCTTTAATAAACTTATAGAGCATTGACCATATCAATAATTATAATGATAACTAATAGGTAAATGCGCCAAAACTATTTAGGTTATCAATTCTTATTGATAATTACAATATTTGGAACTTTAAGTGATTATGGATAATTCTAAATAATGAGAGAAAAATTATTTAAAAAAAAATAGATTTAAGGAAGAAAATATTAATACATGGTGTGAAAATTTTTTCATCAAGGTGTGAATATGTAAAAAAAAATTTTTTTCACCTTGAATTCTTAAAAATAAAATATCTAGTTTCTAAAATAGAAAAAAAAATAATGGAAATTTGTAAAAATCAAAATGAAACCTAGTGGAGAAACAATTAATGATTTAATTCATTCCATCAACTTATTTTTAATTATATGTATAACTATTTAAACATTCTTTTTCACACGAAAAATATTAACAAATTAATATTTAAACAGATCATAATCTATATATTTTAGCATCGATTATCAAATTACTGATGATGGGTAGCTAAAGAACTGAAAATTTAACATATGAGTAATTTTCCGCTAACTAATCATTGCATTTCAATAATTAAACTGATATCTATAACTTTGAACATTAGCCAATTTATGAAATTATTAAAACATCAAAGTAAAAATTAAAACAAAATTAGACCATATAACATTTTATTTTCATGCAAGTAGAATTAATTCTAAAAATATAGAATGGACTGTAATAGAAGAATCAAACTATTGCAAAAACTATTTCTGTTATCAATATCGATAATTAAAGCGCTCCGATGAATACGATAAAAGAATTAAATATGTAGGAGAAAGTAAATATGAATTTTCTATTTAGAATCTAAAAATATACTTTGTTAGCATAAATTGATATAAATAAAGAAGAACAAGTACATCTTAAAAGGTATTTTTTTTAAAAATGATTAAAATCTAAAAATTTTATAAGAATAATTCATAATTTACTCATCACTTATATTTTATACTAATAATTCAAACACAATATTATAATTTTGACATTTTTTTGTTCACAAATGCCAAAATTAAAATGAAAAATAAGGTCCAAATACTGATATTTAGTGTGAAGTAATTTGACTTGTATTTCATCCTCATTAATAATTTTCTAAGAAATTTGCTATACAATCTTTAGATAATTAGTTTTAAAAGGATTTCTTAAGATGTTATTGTTAATCAAATAAATTTATAAAAAATTGTTTTCTTATAGAAAATTTTGAGATCACCTCCTTCTATTTAAGTAAAATATGTATAATATTTGAAAGTTAAGTGAGTAACCTTTTGCTTCTATGACAACTTCATAAATGATAAAAAGTTGATTATGAAGATCAAGATGCTGCAATAGATCTAATAACTTATCAAAAATAGAAAGATAACTTCGTTCATCTATTCAATTTTTGTAAAATTAGAAAAAAGAAAAAGCATATTAGCTGATATTCAAATATTAAATAGTTGGAGGAAATTGATTTTGATATTTAGGTAAAATCAATCCCGTTTATAGTTTAAACATTATGGTATTGTAATAAATTTTAATAATTCTTTTGGTGTTTCGCTAATAAATTCTTCTTAATAAGAAATAATTTAATTCTAAAGAGTTTGTAACTTCTTCCAATTATATAATTAATTTAAATTAATCATTAATTATATATTTTGACTCATAAAATACCTAGAAAGCATATGAAATCTTTCCATTTATTGATTGAGATATATTTATTTCACAAAAAGGAAAGCTTTGAAACAATTGAACAAATTATTTTAACTATTGTATCAATTAAAATCATGAATCTTTTAAGTAAATAAAGAGTATGAATTTTAATATATGCCGCATTTTATTAGGTTTCTCAGTCCATTATCTTATTTTCAATAGACAGATCTAGTCCCAGAAAATTGATCCTATATGATTTATAAATGATGCAATCTTAGAGCAATCCCTCAGGTGATTTTGAGGATTGCCCTTGGCTAATTTCCATATTTGGATCCCCATCCACAAAGACTGGATCTACCCTAAAAGGATCCTGCTTTCTTAATCGAAAATTGACTCATGGGAGGCAATTCTTACTCATTACCTCATTGGATCCTAATTCCTGGCGGTCTCTTTAATTATTTAAAGCCTCTTATAGCTCTGGAGATAAGAGACTATTGGGTTAAATTTATTACTACCATGATTTGGAGTAATTAAATATTTTATCAAGTATATTATCACTAAAAATTATCCTGTATTTTATCTGTATGGTGGCAATAATATAATTGATTAAAGCTATTTCATCTGAATTCAAAAGGATTGTTAAACATCAAAAATATTTACAAATCCTTTGTTAAAGATATTAAACTAAGTTCAAAACGAGAAATAAGGTTAGATTATTCTCTACAACATAGAAGACGAAATATTTGAAAAAAAAAATAGTCATAAATTGGGCAAATTCCATAAGAATATAAATATTGCTCCAAAGAATATTGTAGGAGAGGAGTGACATTCAAAATATCTATGAATGAAAATTTTACACCCTGGAATTAACAAATGAATTCAAAATAGATAGGACCAAAAAATATAATCATCTAGATAAAAAAGCCTTATTAATGTTTGTTTGTAACTAAACTATCAAGAATATGAGTAAATGATACATTTACTTGATTGAAATTATCATTTTTCGAACATCTATACATTTTTTTAAAATCTTGTAATTCATTTAGCAAAGGAAATGTAAAATCTATAATTTTCTCTTAATTCCACTTACAGAGATACATCCTTTAATAGATATTATATTTAATTGTTTTAAAAGCAATAAAAATATTATTTAAATTTGAGTTCCAAATTATCTACAAATTCTTATTAAAGCAATTCTTTTGTAAATCTCGATGATTTCTAGCTGATGAAACAAATATTGAGATATTCATTATTCGAGAGGCATGATACATTTCATCCAGCGATTTTAATTGTTTATTAGTTCAAGATTTTTCAGACAACAATTTCTTTTTCATTAGCAAAAGGAGTAGATTTGGTGAATATTTCCTTAATATATTATGCATTTAATACAATTTTTTAGAAGGTTAAATGTAAGTTTTAAAGACCATTTATAATAGCATAATAATCTGATTAATAAAGAAAAAAAGTTAGTGTTAGGAATTAAGAGATTTGATTTTTTAGAATTTTAATACTGATTTATGAGAAATAATTAGTTAAGAGAATACAAATCTGAACAAGTCTAAATAAATTAATATGAAATCATATTCTTCCCATTTTCCATTAGTATACCGTTTGATATTCTCCATTGTATAAAATTATTTAATATCTCCACTAAATACAATATTTTTATATTTCCTTCCAAGATATTCCATTTAACAATTTTATAGTATGTTATTTATGAATAATCATAAAATCCATCCGACATCCCAATCCACTCTCCCCATTTTCATTCAATAACCTTCTTCGTCATATAACACACCACCTTTAAGCAAATTAAGAACTTATATTTACATAATTTTTATTGCTATAAATCAAAGAATCCATTTGAAGGCTCACTCTAAATGTCAATCTTTTTTCACCTTCTCGTCGAATGACTCATATATGCTAAAATCAAAAATTCATTAAAATCTTTCTGATGTCTTCTCATTTGAATAATATCCAAAGTGCTTCTTATAAGTAATTTCCTTTGACCAACTTTGATACAACTTTTATTTTCGCCATACGAGTAGTAATTAATGAAATTTCTCCCACAAATCCCTCCATTATCGCTCTTCAGTCTTCAAAACTTATAATTTCCTTTTCATCGCTATTTAATTCATATTTGATTTGATACATCTCCTAACTTCATTTACATACATCCAAGATTCTTACTGCATTCCGGTTAGATATCTATCCACTTCATAAACTTTGGCTTTTGCTATGTAATAAATCTAATTTAGATACCACTAATGATTTTAAATAATATCATTCTATAAACCTTCTTTTTTTTTTCGCTCTCTTTGTACTCTCTCGAACCCAGCTTAGATATTATATTTATTCTAAATTTGTTACAATTTCAAGGTATTTTGCTTTGTCTAAGGACTTTATCCCTAAGTTATTGAACTTTAAAGAATTAATTCTCCCATAAATATAAAATATTTTTGTTTATTTTAATGTGGTGGGTTTT